TAACTCTGTCCACCACCAAGTGTTCTGACTGTTTCCTGTGACGCCATTGCTGCCTGTGACGTTAAAATAGTTTACCAGTACAAAAAAGGCCCCATGACAAAGGCAGACTCGGTTAGGGCACAGAAGCAAGAGTGCCCGGAGGGCCGAACGGAAGTGGCGAATCCAATTTCCAGGGCGATTATGAAATCTGTTAAGATGAGTTGGGTGAATTTAACCGGTCTACGTAAACAAGAGAAATGTATTTTTCTGACATTATTAAGGAGGTTGAGTAACAATTTTCCGTGTTATGTTTTTCAACATTGTTGATTACGACCCCCCTGTAAAGTTTGCCCCTAGAGATTTTTTCCTCTAAATCTAGTGTAATGAGTTCGCACACAGTTTTTCGATGACAAAGTACAAGGAATCAAAAACACTATCACCTCACAGCACGATAACAATGCAAACATCCGAGAAGCTTTTTTGAGCTGTAACTCACTTTGCACCTGTGGATACTAAACGGTCAAAAAGATAATCATGAGTCTGAGCTCCTCACATTACCTGGATATATTGCCCTCTAAATTTCTGAAGTCCGTCCCTGAGCAGTTTGTTACCTTCACTGACACAAATAGTAAACAAGTTCTCTGTCGTCAGGGAACAATTTCCTAGGCCCTAAAAACAGCAGTCCATAATAACCTCTCCTAAAAAAGAGCAGCTCTGGATCCTGGCGCGACACTTCAAAATTATCCGCCGCCATATCGAATCTGCATTTATTGGAAAATTCTGAAAAAGTGGCCTCCCAACAACTGTACTGAATTTTAACAATGAATAATTCTTTTGATATGTTTCCATGTCTGGGTTTAGACCCCACCACAGCACTGAGAAACCCGCTCTAGTGAAGGTAACAAAACGACATTCGACTTCAAACTGATGCAGTTAAAGTCACAGTTTTGGGTCCATGTTAGATCTTAGTGCCGCGTTCGACACCGTCGACCAGGTGATCCCTCATCGCAGAGACTGGAGTCTGGGCTGGTGTCACTGGCACAGCCCTAGACTGGTTTAGGTCTTACCTGGAGATAGGAAGTACTCTGGGAGATTGGAGACTGCGCTCAGATATGTGGCCGCTGACCTGTGGTGTACCACAGGTCGATTCCTGACCTCGTCCTATTTAATCTTCTACATCACCCGTTAGGTCATTATTTAATACAAAGAAACAAAGTGTCCTACCACAAGTATACGCTGACGACACTCCGATCTATGTCTCACTGACTGCAGGAGAACATGGCCCACTGGAGTTGCTCCTGTCACTGTATTCCCAACAGATCAGTGACTAGGATGCAAAATTAAATTCCTCCAGCTAAATGCGAAGACAAAACCAAATCCATTGTCTTTGGTCCCCAGAAACAAGAGAAGGGCGTCATTTGTCACTTCAGTCTCTCTCCCTACTTCCTCAGACAAGGGTCAGAAATTTGGGGGTAATACTCGGACTCAGACCTAAATTTCATTAGCCACATAAAATCAATTAACATCACAGCTTTTTTACCATCTGAAGAACATTGCCAAAGTTAGAAATATTGTGTTCCAGGGCAGACTTGGAGATTGTCTTGTCCATAGGCGATTTGTCCCAGCAGGCTAGACTAATACTGCAATGGCCTGCTTTACAGGTCTGTCCAACAGACCTGTAAGCAGCTCAGTACATCCCAAGAAATGCAGACAGCTAGAGTCCGACAGGAACCAGGAATATGACCATATTAGTCCGGTCCTCAGGTCCTCTGCACTGGTCCTGGCTCAGAGAAAGATTTTAAAACGGCTCTGCATGTGTACAAGTCTCTCCAGGCCTTGCACCAATTACATTAGTTGACATGTTGGTGTCATATGAACCGGCACCGGACTCTGAGGACACAGGGACTGGCCTCCTGCTGGTGCCCAGAGTGAGAACCAAACATGGGGAGGCTTGCGTTTCAGATCCAGGCAGCTAAGATCTGGAAACAATCTCCCTGAAAATGGTAGGAGGCGTCTACTCTGTCAATGTTCAAATCCAGGTTAAAGACTGTGTCTGTTTGCCTGTGCATATAACTGAAGATTTTATCTCCATTTTTAATGCACAGCTGGTCATTTATGTATTTTTTTTTAAATTTCTTGTGTAATTTTGAAAGTTTTAATGGTTATTCTTTTGTGTGAATTTTAATGTTTAAAATTGTGTTTTTATCTTTTGTGTGATTAAATGTTTTTAAATTGTGATTCTGGTGTTTGTTTTATGTGAGGATTTGTGATGTGGACATGTGAAGCGCTTTGGTTTGCCCTGTGTATGAAAGGGCGCTCTACAAAATAAAACTTTGATTGATTGATTGATATTAATAAATGCACGGTATTGATCAATTGAGGGCTAGACTGCAAATGGTTGTTCAAGCCACGCCCACGTCTGCGAACTAGTTGAGTGTTTGACGGGTTGCGATCCATGATGTTGTCACCCTGCGTGCCTTTACCGTGACTCGGACCTTGGGAACAATAAACGTTGTAAAAACGACTATTTTGGTATTTGTTTCTGGTCCTTAAGAGTGCAAACACGAATCTTGGTGTTTCTGCTTCGTTGGAGATCGCATGGGAACGCGCTGTTTGTGGAAAAGAAGCATAGTTTGGGAGTTTTATACGCTCAAGCCACCCAGCCTGGCATGGCCAGAAGCGCAAATCAGCGCACTCACTGATACTGAAGCTGTTTACCTGTACGCTACGGTAAAAACATTTACACATTATGTCTACTACAAGTCGGAGATGTCGGAGAGTTGGAGAATGCAATGGACGGATTTGAGGAAAATCTAATGACTTTGTCTGCTGCGAATTATATATCTTTTGTTCAATCTTGGGGAGCATCTTGAGTGAAGAGGACAAGGGAGACCCTTACCATCGTGCAATGAGGACTATCATTAACAGAATCAGGAAGAGAGAAGATGTTGTCCTCGCCTCGAGGATGAAGGATTATCGTTGGTTGCTCATAGTTACTGGACCGAATTGATGAATTAAAGAGTGTACCCTCACTACTCTGCTAGCGCCAGCTCTCCCTCTGCTGGATACAGCAGGTACTGCATCCACATACCCAAAGTGCACTGCTGCATACCCACTAATTCAGGTGCCGTTTCCAATGTGACTATGACTCCATTTAAATGCCAACCCACCATTTGTGCACCAAATTTACATAAAAGAACTAACGTTAAGGGACAGATTGGTGAACCACATCAAAAAGGCAAACTTGGATAAATTCCCATTTGGAGAGTCAAATCCAAATAGCACTAAATAAAGGTTACAGTGAGTCGGACAGAACTGGAACTCCAGGGAGACACCAATTCAGTTTGTGCTCGTAGCAATGACTTAAGACGGCAAATTTTAGTTTGCATCCGAAAGGGGCCGAAAGTGGAACTCAAATACAGCCCGGATTTAATCAAAGATCAATTCTTGGCAACTGTTACTTACGAGGCTGATTGACACACAAACCATAAGAACTGATTTAGAAGCCATATCTTACAGATTCAAATGTGTCTGAAAGTGCGTTGGAGAAAGTTACAGAGCATACACCACTGGAATGAATGAAAAAACCAATTAGCCGACGAGTCACAGAGCAGTGATAATTTCCCTGCAATTGGGGGAGGACCATTTACAATTAACAGGGAGAGCACAGCCCCAACTCCAACCATAACCAAGCCCAGTGAACCCCCCAAAACGTGAGAACTTGACTGGAAAAAGTGGAATCAAAGGCAAATAAAGCAATCTTGTGAACTATACAACAACTGTCACACAGCTCTCCCAGCCTCCAGCAAGCCCAAAGAACCCCCACCACCACAACGAGATCCTAACCACCCGGCCGGGCAGGAACTTCTCAGGCAACGCCCAGTGACCCCCGGAAGTGTCCTCATTGGCCAGACAACCAATCCCTCAAGGCATGTAACCACATTGAATAATGCGCAAAAACTTTTCGATAATATTTCAAAATTCGAAAAACCTGTAATTTGCAAAAGCGACCGTTTCCATTAAGACATATTCGAATAAGTATTCACTATTTTCGCGCGTTTATTCACTAGTTTCTAGTACGTCAACATGGCAACAGAAGTAAACAACACTTTGATTTACGTGAGATATATTAATGTCTTGACTTCTGCTGCGGCTCTCATCCTCTCTGAGAAACTGTGGCTGCTTTGACAGCTCCGCGAACGCGCGTGGTCATGTACCGAGCGCGGACCATAGACGCGCGCACAGAACCATAGACACGGGTCTTGCCTGTCTCCCCCGTCTCTCCCCCATGCCTCTCCCTCATGCCTCTCCCCCGTCTCTTCCCCGTCTCTCCCCCATGCCTCTCCCCCGTATCTCCCCCATGCCTCTCCCTCATGCCTCTCCCCCGTCTCTTCCCCGTCTCTCCCCCATGCCTCTCCCACGTATCTCCCAAGTCTCCACACGAAGCGCAGCCAAAACTCACTGAATAAAGCTCAGCTCGGCTTCCTCCGCTATATCGGAATAAGTGTTTCCATTGCCGTTTTGCGAAAAACTTAATTTCGATACGTCCAAAAAACCACTGATTTTAAGCGCATTAACTTTTTATATCGAAAAACTGTGGTTTATTCGAAATTTGCGCGTTTCCATTAGACATTTTATGATGCGCAAATTCAAATTTCGAAATTTGATGCTCAATGGAAACATACTATAATAGTAGTATTATTATAGTATTATTACAGTATTGTTATAGTACTAATTATTATAGTACTATTACAGTATTATTATAGTATTATTACAGTGTTATTATAGGATTATTATAATATTGTTAAATTATTATATTATTTTAGTCTTTTTATAGCACTGACAAATGATGATTTGTGTTTCAGACTGAGGCTTGAGAACGAGCAGCTCAGGTACCTGCTCCCACACGGAAAATGACCGGGGGGGGGGGGGGGGGGGTACCAGGACATGTTTGGAGGTGGAATGTGTGTAGATATAAGAATATCCTGAAGGGGGCGCCCTGAGCCAGAAGTAGGAAGTGAATGTTCCCGTGTGTCCACAGGTGTGTTCTGCAGCTGAAGGAGGCGGAGCTTACACACAGGTGACCAATGACATCATTCACCCACAGCTGCTTCAAAGATCGTTCATTAAACTATTATTTTAGGAAGCATGCGTTGTCCGTCTGCCGGCGCTGTGAGGACCAGGCCCAGGAGCACAAGCAGACGTCAGTATTTTACTTTCACTTTCACTTTGACTCTGTCCAAACTCCTGTGTGTGTCTCACAGAGTACGAGAGATGGACACTTTCTACAGAAGCAAACTGAGTGAGGCCAGGTACACACACAAATATACACACACACAGACACACACACACACACACCCACACACACAAACACAGACACACACACAGACACATACACACACAAATATACACACACACAGACACACACACACACACACCCACACACACAAACGCACACACACACAGACACATACACACACAAATATAAACACAGACACACACACAAATATACACACACACACACACACACACACAAATATAAACACAGACACACACACATACACACAGACACATACACACACACACACACACAAATATACACACATACACACCGACACACACAGAGACAGACACACACACACACACACAGAGACAGACACACACACACACACACACTTCCTGGTTAAACACAGAGGTCTCTGTTCCACAGATCTGCTCTGGAGCAGAAGGAGGAGCAGTTCAGGTCCTTCAAAGACCGGTGAGTCCAAGCACCTGGTGAGGCGTTCATGGTTCTCTTTGCAGATGTTGATGGTTCTTTTGCAGATGTTGATGGTTCTTGTTGCAGATGTTGATGGTTCTTTTGCAGATGTTGATGGTTCTCTTGCAGATGTTGATGATTCTCTTTGCAGATGTTGATGGTTCTCTTTGCAGATGTTGATGGTTCTTTTGCAGATGTTGATGGTTCTCTTTGCAGATGTTGATGGTTCTCTTTGCAGATGTTGATGGTTCTCTTTGCAGATGTTGATGGTTCTTGTTGCAGATGTTGATGGTTCTCTTTGCAGATGTTGATGGTTCTTGTTGCAGATGTTGATGGTTCTCTTTGCAGATGTTGATGGTTCTTGTTGCAGATGTTGATGGTTCTCTTTGCAGAGTGGCAGAGAATGTTCTTCTCTCGTCAACAACAGAAAACACTGAGAACATGAACAGTCCAGTGAACCGGAGCCGCCTCACAGAGATGTACCAGCAGCTGAGAGTGTGTGTGTGGCCTCACATCAACTGGACACAGCCCGAGCACCGGGCCAGGTACCTGGTCCAGGTAACTGTGAGGACCCTGTGACTGTGAGGACCTGTGACTGTGAGGACCCTGTGACTGTGAGGACCCTGTGACTGTGAGGACCTGTAACTGTGAGGATCTGTGACTGTGAGGACCCTGTGGCTGTGAGGACCTGTGACTGTGAGGACCCTGTGACTGTGAGGACCTGTGACTGTGAGGACCTGTAACTGTGAGGATCTGTGACTGTGAGGACCCTGTGGCTGTGAGGAACTGTGACTGTGAGGACCCTGTGACTGTGAGGACCTGTGACTGTGAGGACCTGTGACTGTGAGGACCTGTGACTGTGAGGACCTGTGATTGTGAGGACCCAGTAACTGTAAGGACCCGGTGACTGTGAGGACCCTGTGACTGTGAGGACCCTATGACTGTGAGGACCCTGTGACTGTGAGGACCCTCTGACTGTGAGGACCATGTGACTGTGAGGACCCTGTGACTGTGAGGACCATGTGACTGTGAGGACCATGTGACTGTGAGGACCATGTGACTGTGAGGACCCTGTGACTGTGAGGACCATGTGACTGTGAGGACCATGTGACTGTGAGGACCCTGTGACTGTGAGGACCCTGTGACTGTGAGGACCCTGTGACTGTGAGGACCCTGTGACTGTGAGGACCTGTGACTGTGAGGACCCTGTGACTGTGAGGATGTATGATTGTTATATTGTCGTGTTGTTCTTACAGGAGGTGTTCTCTAGAGCAGGGGTTCCCAAAGTTTTTAGCCCGCGACCCCCATCATAAATGCGCTGCTCCCCCGCGACCCCCCACCTCAACAGTCCTTCCCGTCAATGAGCATGTATTTCCTTGATACGGAGTAACGCAGAGACTCGCGCCACTACTGAGCTGCACTGTCCAGCCCAAAAAAGGAGGCTTGCATATTTTTACTCATGTAGTGACACAGTGATGGGCTTGGTGGGCTCCCTCCTCAGCAGAAGTGGAGCGCATTTCTTGCGGCTTGCCCTCTCTGTTCTCATACCGCGGTAAAGTGGGCCGGCTTTTCGGAGTCAGCGGTAAAGAGGTCCGCACATAAAAAGCGGGCGGCCGCTTTCTGCTGTTACTTTATGCGGTTCATCCCCGCGGCTTCTTTTTCCAAAGTTACTGTAAGTAACAGCATAAAGCAGCCACCCGCTTTTAATGTGCGGACCTCTTTACCACTGACTCCGAAAAGCCGGGCCTCTTTACCACCCTCTTCTACCGCTGCCCTCTCTCCCTCCGCTGCCCTCTCTCCCTCCGCTGCCCTCTCTCCCTCTCTTCGCACCATCAGCCTGACCTCACATGTGACTTTTCTCCCCCTCCGGGTTTTTCTGTTGTGGATATTAACCACGTTTCATTTTAAAGCAGGTATTATTTGTTTGAAGCCTCCAAACACCTTTAGTTTTAGCAAACAACAGCAGGACACGCTTTGTCGCTGCGTGACGTAAGCTGCGTAACTTGATTTTGATTGACGCTGTCAATGACTGGACAAAATTACAAACGTAATTTAAATATTTTATATTCTCCTAACACAATTTAACAAGTAGTCCTTTTGAATCAAATCAAATGCTAAATCAATATTTAAGGGCTATTAATTAGCAAAATGTTTTTTTTTTTTTTTTTTTTTTTTGGAAATCATCTTGCGACCCCCCCCAGGGGTTCCCGCGACCCCCCGGGGGGTCGGGACCCCCACTTTGGGAACCACTGCTCTAGAGCCCATGAGAACATGACCAAAGCCTTAAGCACAGTGTGTGCAGGAAGCACCTCCTCACCACAGGTACTGATGAAGAGGAGATAGGGAGGATGATGATGATGATGATGATGATGATGATGATGAAGAGGCTGCTGTGTTTCAGGTGGACACATTCAGGCGCAGGGCTCTGGAGAACCTGCAGATGGTGCTGCTGCACAGCAGTAAACAGCAGGTGTGTGTGAAGGCCTTCCCCTCTCTCTCTGGACCAGAACTGGACTTGGCCTCAGAGTGTTACTGGTTGGGTTGTCTGATGGCTCTGCACTCTCCTCCTCTGCATCCAGACTGGGACAGAGGGTCTGGACTGGTCTTCCCACGGGACATCAGGGACTGACCTCAGGGACTGACCTCAGGGACTGACCTCAGGGACGGACCTCAGGGACGGACCTCAGGGACTGACCTCAGGGACTGACCTCAGGGACTGACCTCAGGGATTGACCTCAGGGACGGACCTCAGGGACGGACCTCAGGGACTGACCTCAGGGATTGACCTCAGGGACGGACCTCAGGGATTGACCTCAGGGACGGACCTCAGGGACTGACCTTAGCCTTCTGTGTCAAGGTTGTGTTTAAATCGAGTGATGTTAGGAAAAATGTATTTCTATAAAAAGTAACTTTCTTCTCTCCCTGGTCTCTAGCTCTGGTCTCTCTGTCTTTGGTCTCTCTCTCTCTCTCTTTGGTCTCTCTGTCTTTGGTCTCTCTGTCTTTGGTCTCTCTCTCTCGCTTTGGTCTCTCTCTCTCTTTGGTCTCTCTCTCTCTATGGTCTTTTTCCCTCTCTGGTCTCGCTTGTGTTCTTTCAGAATGAAACAGTCAAAACTAATTTTGGTATAACATAAAAAAAAAAATGGTTATAACATTGCCCTGAAGAAAGCCCTGCGAGGCCCAAACACGTTGGTCCCTTTGCTCATTAAAGGACTTTTTATCAGAGTGATTTCACCGTCTTTACTTTCCCAACACAAAACCTGCTTCACTTCAGCTGCAGATCACAGGTACACATAAACTAACACAGGTACATAGAATCTAACACAGGTACACATAAACTAACACAGGTACATAGAATCTAACACAGGTACACATAAACTAACACAGGTACATATAATCTAACACAGGTACATAGAATCTAACACAGGTACATATAATCTAACACAGGTACATAGAATCTAACACAGGTACATATAATCTAACACAGGTACATAGAATCTAACACAGGTACATAGAATCTAACACAGGTACATAGAATCTAACACAGGTACATATAATCTAACACAGGTACACATAAACTAACACAGGTACATAGAATCTAACACAGGTACATAGAATCTAAAACAGGTACATATAATCTAACACAGGTACACATAAACTAACACAGGTACATAGAATCTAACACAGGTACACAGTATCTAACACAGGTACACAGTATCTAACACAGGTACACAGTATCTAACACAGGTACACAGAATCTAACACAGGTACACAGTATCTAACACAGGTACACAGTATCTAACACAGGTACATAGTAGCAGACATGTTGCTAAGAGGGTTGTTAAATCAATCTGGAGTTTCCCAGAATGAATGAAGACCTCTGATTGGTCAGTCCTTATAAGGCCCATATCTGGATTTACAAAGACAACATCACATAAAAACTTAAGGTTACTTAACGTAACCCCGGTTCTTTGATAACAGAGTGAGGTGTTTCACTATGGGAATCGCCTTGGGCGTGACCATCCATGGAAGCTCCAATGGCACCACGTCTGTCTTTTGACAGACAGGTTGACAGTACCTAGCACCGCCCACCTACCCTGGTACAGTCAACCTCCTCCTTTTGGAATCATTCAAAAGCGCTTTCTGACCGCTTTGCAAGGAGGGTAATGAAGGTGAAACACCTCACTCTGTTATCAAAGAACCGGGGTTACGTTAAGTAACCTTAAGTTCTTTTTCTAACTTCGTTCGGTGTTTACTATGGGAGATATGGACAACTCCCGTATTGCAAGGACTGCTCCTGAAGCAAAAGGACCACCGAGGCGCCAGACGGTGACCTCAAACAGTACCAGAAGCACTTGGTTCCAAGACTACCTGAGCCAAAGAGGAGCCAGAGACATCCAGTCGATAAAAACGAACAAAGGTATGCGGCGATGACCAGCTGGCCGCCGCACATATATCCTGGACAGACACACCTCGGAACAGGGCCCAAGAAGTGGCAACACCCCTGGTGGAGTGTGCCCTCAACCCCTGCGGTGGCACTATACCCCTGCAGGTATAGGCCAGAGAAATTGTCTCCACAATCCAGTGAGAGATCCTCTGACTGGACACCGGCTTTCCCAAATGGGGAGAAGCCCAGGACACAAACAACTGGTCGGCTTTCCTTAAACCAGCTGTCCTGTCAACATATACCCGCAGCGCGCGCACTGGGCACAAAGAGTGCAGTAGCCGCTCCTCCTCAGAGGAGAAAGGCGGAGGATGGAAGGCATTAAGCTCCAGTGTAGGGCAGCTATATGCAGAATCCACCTTTGGTACAAAAGCCGGGTTAGGGCGCAAGCGCACCTTAGATAACCCCGGCGCAAACTGCAGACACGAGGGGCTGACAGAAAAAGCCTGTAGTTCACTCACGCGCTTTGCAGACGTCAGAGCAAGAAGCAGAACTGTCTTATAAGCAACATACTTCAAGGCCACAGCCCCTAAGGGCTCAAAAGGGTGATGACAAAGGGCATCAAGCACGACCGACAAATCCCACAAGGGAACCAGGGACTTAACCACTGGAAGTTTACGTCGTGCACCCCTCATGAAGCGACAAACTAGAGGGTGCTGTCCCACAGTTTTGTCACCGATACCCACGTGGCACGCCGATATGGCAGCCAAATAGACCTTTATAGTAGAAAAAGCCTTTCGCTCTTCTAACAAATGTTGTAAAAAACATAAGACGTCAGACACGGAGCATTGGAACGGGATGATCTGTCTAGCCCCACACCATTCCTCAAAAACCCGCCACTTGCAGCTATACAAAGAGCGAGTGGAGGAGGCCCTAGCACACTGTATAGTATCTATAACAGGCGCCGGAAGACCCGTGGCGTTCAAGTTCCACCTTTCACGGGCCAGGCCCAGAGAGCCACCCGGTCTGGGTGAGGATGAAAAATCTCCCCGCCCGCCTGGCACAACAGGTCCCTCCGCAGAGGAAGAGGCCATGGGTTGTCCCATAAAAGCTGCACTATCTCCGCCATCCATGGCTTGGACAACCAACGGGGAGCAATCAAAATGAGCGACAGCCTCTGTTCTCTCACCCGCGCTAGGGTGGGTGAGATCAGACTGATGGGAGGAAACGCATATAGTAGAACGGTCGGCCACGGGTGGGCCAGAGCGTCCACGCCCAGAGACGCGTTTGCGTCTCCCAGAGAGAAGAACAGTGGGCACTTTGCGTTTTCCCGCGAGGCGAAGAGATCTACGGCAGCCCGACCGTATCTCCGCCACAACTGCTCCACCACCTGAGGGTGGAGAACCCACTCTCCGTACAGGGGGTTTCCCCTCGATAGCAGGTCGGCCCCCTTGTTGAGGACGCCTGGAACATAAGACGCTCGGAGAGATAGGAACCTTGTGTCGCTCCACAAAATCACCCTCTGTGCCAGCCTGTGCAGCTGAAGAGAGCGGGTACCACCCTGGCGATTTATGTACGAGACAACTGTTGCATTGTCTGTTCTCACCAGAACGTGATGGTCCTGAAGGAAAGGCAGAAAATGCTTCAGAGCTAGATACACCGCCCAAAGTTCCAGCACATTGATGTGCCTCTGGGCTAAATGTGGGTCCCAGGTCCCATTCACCGTCCGACCCGACAGAGTGGCCCCCCACCCTGACAGGGAAGCGTCGGTTGTCAGGGTAACCCTTGACGACACGGCGCCCAGCGGGACTCCGGCTGAAAGAGCATGATGAGCCTCCCGCCACGGACGTAGTGCAATAACACACTGGGAATCCACCTTCACTCTGCGGTGAAGGTGACGTTTGGGACACAAGCGCAACGCTGTGATCCAACGTTGAAATGGTCTCATCATTAAAAGCCCTAGGCGCACGACAGATATTACTGACGCCATGAGACCAGCGAGGCGCAGGCACGTTCTGAACGTGACTGTCGCACCCGGGTTGAAAAACGCCAAGCAGCGAGTGAGAGACAGCCTCTCTCGTCTGTCAGTGTGGCTCGATGTGAAACAGAGTTTATGCATAAACCCAGGTATTGAGTCTGCTGTCTGGGTTCCAACCGGCTCTTTGCGTGGTTTATTCTGAAACCCAGGCTGGTCAAGTGACTGAGCACTGTGGCAGTCTCTCTCACTGCGGCGCCCTGTGAACTGGCGCATATCAGATAATCGTCTATATAAGAGAATATCCGTATTCCCCTGGCCCGGAGAGGAGCCAGAGCTGCCTCCACACAAGTGGTGAACACCCGTGGGGCTAGGGAGAGACCGAAGGGAATGACCTGGTACTCGTACGCTGTTCCCCCGTGAGCAAAACGGAGAAATTTCCTGTGCGCTGGATGCACCTCGATGTGGAAATATGCATCCGCAAGATCGATTGTGGTGAACCAATCCCCTTTGCGTATTGAACGACACAGAGCTTTGTGCGTCAACATTTTGAATCTGAATCTCCGTAGATGTGTGTTCAAAACACGGAGGTCTAGAATGGGACGCAGTGACAGAGAGCCCTTCTTTGGAACCAGAAAGTAGCGGGAGTAGAAGCCCAGCTGAGACTCGCTCTCTGGTACAATGCGGATAGCGTGCTTGCTTAACAGGGATGTAATTTCGTCCTGTAAGACACGGGCTGCGTCCCCTGAAGCCACTGAAACAAGTACTCCGTTGAAGGAGGGTGGTTTTATAGCAAACTGCAGTCTGTAACCTCGAGAAACAGTGGATTGAACCCAAGGATTGACTGCGCATGCGCGCCACTGCTCCGCTCTGACAGAGAGTGGGGCTTGCACCAGGGGAATCCCTGGTGACGTCACTCCCCTGAGAGGAGCAGAGCCTTCTGCCTGAGAAGGAGCGTGAGCTCCCTCTGGAGGCGAACGAAGGGAATGATCCAAACTTAATTGAATTTTTTTGTTTGATTGATAACTCACCCTTAGCCCTTGGCCTGGATGAGTTTAACAACTTTTTTTTTTTTGAAAAAGTGTTTTGTGAACATGAGACCCAAGACTCATTCCCTGTAACGTGCGAGGGGAGAGAAAGCCAGAGAGGTCGCCTGGAGAACTGTGCGGGGCCTCTGAACTGGTACCAGGGTCCATTCTCCTCCTTTTCAGAGGGGGAACAGGTGAAGAAGCTTGATTGCTAGGAATTGCGCTTCTTTTTGCTCTCCCCGGGCTGAGAAGAGCGGTTTTTTGCTGCAGCCGCAGCATAGGAGTGTTTTCCCCATGGTCTGGAGTTGCCTGGCCGTTGCTGCTGGCCAGAATGCTGGTTGGAATGCTGGCCAGGGTGCTGGGTTGCCCCCCTCTGCGGCCCAGGGCCCGCCCTGGGAACCCTGGGGCCTGTCTGTCCAGAGGGGCCCGCTCTCTGGGGCTGCGCTGGACGAGGAGGTTGTTTCCTTGGCAGACAAAGATTAAAGGCCGCACCCTCCTCTTTACGGAGGGTACTGGTCTCCTTCATCTTCTCCAGGGCCGGACCAAATAGACCTTTGGTAGGGTCATAAGCAGTGTCCATAACTTCAGCCTTCTGAGCGTCTGTCAGACCTGAGTGGTTGAGCCATAGACCCCTCTCACCCGCTACGGCCAGTCCCATGACATGGCCGCAGCCCTGGACAGCTCCACGAGTAGAGCGTAGGATGAGGTCATTTACCACGCAGATTTCCTCCCAGAGGACCGGGTTAGGAGACCCGGAGTCCAGCTGTTGTCCCATTTCCTCAAGTAGTTCCCCTTGATAACCGGACAGTAAAGTCACAGTATTCAGTACGCATGCAGATTGAGAAGCATATCTGTACATGCGTTGCAGAATGGAGGATGTAACTCTCTCTGATTTTGTGGGCAGGGAAACCTGACTTGAGGCTGAGACGGAACGGCGATTAGGATGGAGGTGAAAAGCCACTGAAGGCTCCACCGCTGGGGGTTCGGCCAACCCCAGCTCCTTCATCCCATGGATCTCCAGCTTTGAATAGCCCTGTACAGGAAGCTTGCTCCTAAGTGGGTTATTCCAAAACCTCCCCACCTCTCTCATGCATGCGCTGACAGCAGGGAGAAGTTGCTTCGGAGGTGGATGCGCTGGCGGGAGCCGTTTACCGTCATATAAATCCCTTTCCCCATCCTCCGCATCTACAGCGGCTGGCCAGGTTATGTTAAGCTTGGCGGCAGCGCGCTTGCACACATCATATAGGCTGCTATCGACGGGAGTCGCAGCCTCAGATGCGCTGGAGGGTCGGGACTGGGCCGCTGGGAATGTAGAGTCCTCCTCCACATCATCCATATCCACAGCCTCGAGGAAGTCAGAAGCGGCATCATCGCCGTCTGCGCCCTCGTCGCCTGGGTCCACTTCGAGCAGGTCCTCGAATAATGGCGGCATATCAGCGTCATCGTCATTCAGCATATCTGACCATAGTTCAGTCTTACGGGGCTGTTGAGTGACGGCTGTGGGTTTATCGGTGGTCCCCGCCAGCAACGGGTCCTGGGGATGGGCCACCGCAACTCTGAGCCTCCTCTCCAATATTTTCTCAGGCATAGATGCGCAATACCCGCAGGACTCGCGGTCAGCGAGCGCTGCCTGAGCGTGTTTAGCGCCCATGCAGGTTATGCACATAGGGTGAGGGTCCCTGCCTGAGATGGCAGACCCGCATGACGCGGGACATGAGCGGGATGCAGCCTCCTTCGGCTTCGGATCCGACCCTTTGGCGGGGGTGGTAGCCGTAGACATGCCTGACAGAGAGGAGAGCTGGAGTGAGCACGATTGTATGAACCAGACAATTCGGGTTTTAAGTCGAAAAATCAGGTCCAGGCAAATTCTGTTCGCCACAACACGTTAACAGAACAGCGCACTACAATCTGTTGGCCAGTAAATTAATACTAACCAACCGAACAGAAGGACTCCGCTTTACGCGAGAGCCCTGGGTTAACAAGTGAATGCTAACCGCAAGGTGATAGGACAGACCGCAACTTAATGTGATCTGTCCCCGTAAACACAAGAGCAGTTCGCCTTGACGCGGTCACTGCTCCGGTAACAAAATAATAATAGCTTAGCGGTAAGACTGTAAGGACTTACCCAGCGTCGGTGAACCAAAGCACCAGCAACTGCGCTCGCCAACAAAATCCTTTACGGCTCGTCTGTGAACTGTTAAGCAGAAGCTAGCCTAAGGTCCGAGAACGCTGAAGGAGCTAAAAGATATGGTTTCCACGCGGGAAGAAAGCGAGAATGATTCCAAAAGGAGGAGGTTGACTGTACCAGGGTAGGTGGGCGGTGCTAGGTACTGTCAACCTGTCTGTCAAAAGACAGACGTGGTGCCATTGGAGCTTCCATGGATGGTCACGCCCAAGGCGATTCCCATAGTGAAACACCGAACGAAGTTAGAAAAAGAACAGCAGGATCACAGAGAACGATAAACCACAGATTTAAGCCCAAAATGTGAGTGTGAGACAAAGAGTTGGTGACAGGAGTTTACTTTTACTGTAAGTCAAAAGGAGCCAGAGAGGAGCTGAACCCACGGCTCCATGCTGTGTACAGTCTCAAAGGCAGAACGAGAGGCGCAGTACCTGTCTGTCAACACGGGAGGGCAGCACTGCGCATGTGCAGACTGATGCCGGAAGTGAGAGTTGGCAGGAGGAAAACAAAGATGGCGGCGGACGACGAGGTGAGTTTGTTTACTCTTAACTTTACTCAGTTTATAAGGGGGTCTGTCACTGTGGCATCCTGGGGTGTGGAGGAGCTCATCCCCGGGGTGTGGAGGAGCTCATCCCCGGGCTGTGGAGGAGCTCATCCCCGGGGTGTGGAGGAGCTCATCCCCGGGCTGCGGAGGAGCTCATCCCCGGGGTGTGGAGGAGCTCATCCCCGGGGTGTGGAGGAGCTCATCCCCGGGGTGTGGAGGAGCTGATTCTCGGGGTGTGGAGCTGGTTCCTGGATCACCACAGTTCACAAAGACGTGCAGATTTTAAACTGAGGCTGTTGGAAGATCCCCCACTGCTCACATCACCCTCTGCAGAGGATACAGTGTGTGTGTGTGTGTCATAGACTGTAAATATTCTGTGTGTGTGTGTCATAGACTGTATATATTCTGTGTGTGTGTCATAGACTGTATATATTCTGTGTGTGTGTGTGTGTCATAGACTGTATATATTCTGTGTGTGTGTGTGTGTCATAGACTGTATATATTCTCTGTGTGTGTGTGTGTGTGTGTGTTAGTGTGTTTATCGGGTGTAACGACAAATAGTAATTGTAAAGACCACTATAGGCCCATAGCTCTGGCCATCATCTTATCTAAGGTACTGGAGCGGGCTATTCTGAACAAGATGGAGGAGTTCCTACTTACGTCTGATAATCAGTTTGGTTTCAAACCTTAAAATGGAACAGACATGTGTATTTTTGCTCTGAAAGAAATTTGTGATCTTTACTATTGACACGAAACCACAATATTTATGTGCTTATTGATGTTAGGTGTTCCGAAATGCCTAGTAAGACATTTGGCTTTCTGGTACACCCAACAGTCAATGTTTGTAAAATGGGGAAATTGTTTATCTGCACCTTTCTGTGTGTCTAAAGGAGTAAGACAGGGCAGCATTTTGTCTCCCTTTTTATTCAACTTGTACATGCATGATCTGTCAAGGCTTTTAAATGACTGTGGGACTGGCTGTCGTGTCGGCAACAGTCTGATTAACCACATAATGTTTGCTGACAACCTTGCAATTTTTAGTCCGTATAGTGCTGGGCTACAAGAGCTGCTGCGGGTGTGCTCCCAGTATGGAACAGACTTTGACATCAAGTACAACGAAAGAAAAGCACCGTCATCATGATAGTACGGAGCAGGGGGGACTGTCGGGCAACAGAATGAGTGTATCAGATGTAACTGGGACATTACAGGTCCGCACTGGTCTGACGACAGGGACATCTACAGACAATGGGCCTCATTCACGAACCGTACTTAAGAACAAATGTGTGCGTAAATCCTACTTACGAAGATTGTGGCATTCATGACATTTTCTCGTAACCAGAATTTCTCTTGGGTACGTACAAATCCTACGAATGCTCAGGAGCACTCGTACGCACATTCAGTGTCGACACGTTCGTACGCTGGTGTCATGAAGTTCAATAAAACACAACATTACAGTGATATATCCGTCATATTTATGTATGTATTTATTTATTTCATTGTTAATGGTAATTTAGCCTATTTTTTAATTCATTTTGAAATGAAATGTGCCAACGCTTTATCAAATACATTGGAAATCTTGCCGTGTATTAGTGACCCCTTCCTATTTATAGGGGGCATTTCTTTATCCACGCGCCACAGAACAACGGCATATATACTGCTGCTGCAGGAGGTTACTGGGTCCGCGCTGAGTCTCTGCGCTGGTCTCTCCTATGGATCTATACGGGTCTGCACTGGTCTCTCCCATGGATCTATACGGGTCTGCACTGGTCTCTCCCATGGATCTATACGGGTCTGCACTGGTCTCTCCCATGGATCTATACGGGTCTGCACTGGTCTCTCCCATGGATCTATACAGGTCTGCGCTGGTCTCTCCCATGGATCTATACGGGTCTGCACTGGTCTCTCCCATGGATCTATACGGGTCTGCACTGGTCTCTCCCATGGATCTATACGGGTCTGCCCTGGTCTCTCCCATGGATCTATACAGGTCTGCACTGGTCTCTCCCATGGATCTATACGGGTCTGCACTGGTCTCTCCCATGGATCTATACGGGTCTGCACTGGTCTCTCCCATGGATCTATACGGGTCTGCACTGGTCTCTCCCATGGATCTATACAGGTCTGCACTGGTCTCTCCCATGGATCTATACGGGTCTGCCCTGGTCTCTCCCATGGATCTATACAGGTGCACTGGTCTCTCCCATGGATCTATACGGGTCTGCCCTGGTCTCTCCCATGGATCTATACAGGTCTGCCCTGGTCTCTCCCATGGATCTATACAGGTCTGCACTGGTCTCTCCCATGGATCTATACGGGTCTGCACTGGTCTCTCCCATGGATCTATACGGGTCTGCACTGGTCTCTCCCATGGATCTATACAGGTCTGCACTGGTCTCTCCCATGGATCTATACAGGTCTGCACTGGTCTCTCCCATGGATCTATACAGGTCTGCACTGGTCTCTCCATACGGGTCCGTGCTGTACGCTCCTGGATCCATACGGGTCCGCGCTGGTCTCTCCAGTCTGGTCTATGCAGTCTCTCTTTGGTCCGCACTGGTCTCTGCACACCGGTCTCTCCAGTCAGGTCTCTCCAGTCTATGCGGTCTCTCCTGTCCGCGCTGGTTTCTGTGTGCTGGTCACTCCAGTCTCTCCTCGGGTCTGCATTGGTCTCAGGTCTCAAAATATTTTGAGATTCATTTTTAAATTAATACATAATATATTATTAAATTTAAGCTCATAACATTTTGAGATTCATCATATTTTTAGATTAATCTAATAATTTTGCTAGTTCGACTTTATTCTCATAATATTTCGACTTTAAAGTCAACATTTTATAACTTTATTCTCAGTCTGGCAAAAGAAGAAATAAGGCTGACTCTTTTGCTCCGTGTAACTCTTTGCTTTAGGCCTGTTGCTGTTTCCTCTGGCGTCTGCACACGGCCCTGCAGTCCCTTATGCCCATAATGCCTATGTACCTATGCTAATGAAGCACCGGGCACGCGCGCTCTACTTACAAGGAAATAACATTCATCAATCTAAGAGAACAGCTGCGAACAATTCAGCTTTGATGAATCCCACGTAGGCTCTTCTTAGAAATCTACTTAAGAACGACTTGAGAAGAAATTTGAGAAGTTTCTTACGAAGTTATTTGTGAATGAGGCCCAATGTCGCCTGCTCTACGGCCAGGCCAACATGCTGATCCGCAGGTTTGGTATGTGCTCACTACCTGTCAAGATAAGACTCTTTAAGGCCTATTGCACTCCCATGTACACGGCCACCTGTGGAGGGGCTATAAAAAGAGCAGTTTGCAAAAACTTACTGTGGCATACAATGATGCCATGCGGATGCTGCTGAGAGTCCCATGGAGCAGTGCCAGTGTCATGTTTGTAAATGCACGTGTGCCCACTTGTCCTGCTGTACTGTGTAATCTCATGTGCTTGTGCATGTGCAGGTGCATGTGAAGGTGCATGTGCAGGTGCAGGTGCAGGTGCATGTGAAGGTGCATGTGAAGGTGAAGGTGCAGGTGCATGTGAAGGTGCATGTGAAGGTGCATGTGCAGGTGCATGTGCAGGTGCATGTGCAGGTGCATGTGCAGGTGCATGTGCAGGTGCATGTGCAGGTGCAGGTGCATGTGCAGGTGCATGTGCAGGTGCAGGTGCATGTGCAGGTGCATGTGCAGGTGCATGTGAAGGTGCATGTGCAGGTGCATGTGAAGACTGTCCCACTCTGTCAACAGCATCATTGCTGCATTGACCAACCCAGGTCTGAGCTCAGTGTGTTAGTTCTCTAGTTTATGGACTCACTGGCTTCAGAGCCTATACAGGAAATGACTTATCTTTTAACTTTTTACATGTTTTTATGTGTTTTTGTATGTCTTGTAGTATGGACCTTTTATTCTTGTGTCCGAAATAAATTATTGAATTGAAATTGAATTGAAAGCGTAGTTCATCCTGTTCAATACAAAGTGTGTGTACGGTAATATAAAGTCCTCTGTTGTGTTTCAGGCAGAGACGGAGGTGTTCGAGATCACAGACTTCACCACAGCCTCCGAATGGGAACGGTCAGTCCAGAGTCATTCCAGAGTCATTCCAGAGTCATTCCAGAGTCATTCCAGAGTCATTCCAGAGTCATTCCAGAGTCATTCCAGAGTCATTCCAGAGTCATTCCAGAGTCATTCCAGAGTCATTCCAGAGTCATTCCAGAGTCATTCCAGAGTCATTCCAGAGTCATTCCAGAGTCACTCCAGAGTCACTCCAGAGTCACTCCAGAGTCACTCCAGAGTCACTCCAGAGTCACTCCAGAGTCACTCCAGAGTGACTCTGAGAGTCTCGTTTCTCTCAGTGTCTTCTCTCTCTGTGTCTTCTCTCTCTGTGTCTTCTCTTTCTGTGTCTTCTCTCTCAGTGTGTTCTATCTCAGTGTGTTCTCTCTGTGTCTTCTCTCTCAGTGTCTTCTCTCTCAGTGTGTTCTCTCTCAGTGTGTTCTCTCTCAGTGTGTTCTCTCTCAGTGTGTTCTCTCTCAGTGTCTTCTCGCTCAGTGTCCTCTCTCTGTGTGTTCTCTCTCAGTGTCTTCTCTCCTGATTTCTTCAGGTTTGTGTCCAAACTGGAGGAGGTTCTGAATGACTGGAAACTCATCGGGAATTTGCCTCGAAAACCTGCTCCCACCAAGGTGACGGATACACACACACGCACACGCACACGCACACACACACACACGCACACACACTCATAAACACATATAGTAAAGTCAATGTGTTAGAAGCTGAAAGTCTCTATCTCTGGTCTCTCTCTTTGGTCTTTCTCTTTGGTCTCTCTCTGGTCTCTCTCTCTGGTCTCTCTCTTTGGTCTTTCTCTTTGGTCTCTCTCTGGTCTCTCTCTTTGGTCTCTCTCTTTGGTCTCTCTTTGGTCTCTCTCTGGTCTGTCTCTCTTTGGTCTGTCTCTCTGGTCTCTCTCTCTGGTCTCTCTCTGGTCTCTCTCTTTGGTCACTCTGGTCACTCTCTGGTCTCTCTCTGGTCTCTCTCTCTGGTCTCTCTCTCTGGTCTCTCTCTTTGGTCTCTCTCTGGTCTGTCTCTCTTTGGTCTGTCTCTCTGGTCTCTCTCTGGTCTCTCTCTCTGGTCTCTCTCTCTGGTCACTCTGGTCACTCTCTGGTCTCTCTCTGGTCTCTCTCTCTGGTCTCTCTCTCTGGTCTCTCTCTCTGGTCTCTCTCTTCGGTCTCTCTCTCTGGTCTCTCTCTCTGGTCACTCTCTGGTCACTCTCTGGTCTCTCTCTGGTCTCTCTCTTTGGTCTCTCCCTGGTCATGGCTACTGCTGCTGTAACTTTGTGTGTGTCTCTGTGTGTGTGTGTGTGTGTGTGCGTGTGGGTGGGTGTGTGTCTCTGTGTGTGTGTGCTCCAGGGGGAGTTCACCAGTGGAGTGTGGGGAGAGAAAAGTCAGGATGTCAGTTTTGCAGATTTTAAATTCTCGATCACACATCATTATCTGGAACAGGAGGCGGAGCCTGAGACCCGGACGCCACAGGAGGACGGTGAGAACCATCGCACGCACCATATGCTCCAAACACACACCATATGCTCCAAACACGCACCATATGCTCCAAACACACACCATATGCTCCAAACACACACCATATGCTCCAAACACACACCATATGCTCCAAACACACACCATATGCTCCAAACACACACCATATGCTCCAAACACACACCATATGCTCCAAACACGCACCATATGCTCCAAACACACACCATATGCTCCAAACTCACTGGTCCTGGTTTCATGACAGGGGTGATGTGTTCTAAAAAAAGCCACATTACGTCAATCCTCTCCTGAACTCACGACTGCTTAAGTGCGATCGTGGAGATGTATAACCTGTGTGTGTGTGTTTGTCTCTGTGTGTGTCTTTGTGTCTGTGTGTGTGTGTGTGTGTGTGTGTGTTTGTCTCTATGTGTGTGTTTGTCTCTGTGTGTGTGTGTGTGTGTGTGTGTGTGTCTGTGTGTGTGTGCGTGTGTGTTTGTCTCTGTGTGTGTGTGTCTGTGTGTGTGTTTGTGTCTGTGTGTGTGTGTGTGTCTGTGTGTGTATGTTTGTCTCTGTGTGTGTGTGTGTGTCTGTGTATCTCTGTGTGTGTCTGTGTGTGTGTTTGTCTCTGTGTGTGTGTGTTTGTCTCTGTGTGTGTGTGTGTGTGTGTCTGTGTGTGTATGTTTGTCTCTGTGTGTGTGTCTGTGTGTGTGTCTGTGTATCTCTGTGTGTCTCTGTGTGTGTGTTTGTCTCTCTGTGTGTGTGTGTGTGTGTGTGTGTGTGTCTCTGTGTGTGTCTGTGTGTGTGTGTCTTTCAGATGTGTTTCCTGATGCTCTGCAGGACCTGCTCTGCACCAATAACGACTTTCCCCCCAGAGCACACTGTCTGGTGCGCTGGTGAGTCACACACACATCACACACACACATACAATACAGACGCACACACACATAACACACACACACATACAATACAGACGCACACACACATAACACACACACACATACAATACAGACGCACACACACATAACACACACATACAATACAGACGCACACACACATACAATACAGACGCACACATCCAATACAGACGCACACACACATACAATACAGACGCACACACACATAACACACACACACATACAATACAGACGCACACAAACAATACAGCTGGCATGGTGGCTGAGTGGATAGCACTCTCGCCTCTCAGCAAGAAGGTCCTGGGTTCGAATCCCCGTCGGACCAGGGCCTTTCTGAGTGGAGTTTGCATGTTCTCCCCGTGTCTGCGTAGGTTTCCTCCGGGTGCTCCGGTTTCCCCTACCACTAAAAGTATGTACAATAGGTCTGGCATGTGCCTCCTGTACTGGCACCCCCACTCCCAAAAATTGTAAACCGCTTTGAGACTCCGATGTGCAGTGAAAGGGCGGTATATAAATAAACCTTACTTACTTACATACAATACAGACGCACACACACATACAATACAGACGCACACACACATACAATACAGATGCACACACACATACAATACAGACGTACACATACAATACAGACGCACACATACATACAATACAGACGCACACACACATACAATACAGACGCACACACACATACAATACAGACGCACACATACATACAATACAGATGCACACACACATACAATACAGACGTACACATACAATACAGACGCACACATACAATACAGATGCACACACACATACAATACAGACGCACACACACATAACACACACACATACACTACAGACGCACACACACATTACACACACACATACAATACAGACGCACACACACATACAATGCAGACGCGCACACACACATACACTACATACGCACACACACATACAATACAGACGCACACACACATACAATACAGACGCACACATATAATACAGACGCACGCACACATACAATACAGATGCACACACACATAAAACACACACACATACAATACAGACGCACACACACATAACACACACTCATATAATACAGACGCACACACATCTCCTTCTCCTCTCTCCTGCTCCTCTCCTCTCTTCTGCTTCTCTCTCTCCTTTCTCCTGCTCCTCTCTCTCCTCTCTCATGCACCTCCTTGTGCCTTTTGACAGGTTTGGTGTGCGCTCCTTCCTGGTCCTTGCTCCTGGTCCAAACGTTGAGGTTATCAGTGAGTCCAAGTGTAACCTCCTCCTGAGCTCCGTCTCCATCGCTCTGCAGAACAGCGGCTGGTATGTCCTTCTCCCTCCTCCCTCCCCCTCCCTCTCCCTCCCTCTCCCCTTCCCAAACCCCAAACACCTCCTCCTCATCAGGTCCTGGTCCCGGTCTCACCTCCTCCTCCACAGTCAGGTTCCGGTCTTACCACCTCCTCCACAGTAAGATCCAGGTCCCAGTCTCACCTCCTCCTTCTCCTCCTCCTCCTCCTCCTCAGTCAGATCCTGGTATCTCCTCCTCCTCCTCAGTCAGATCCTGGTATCTCCTCCTCCTCCTCAGTCAGATCCTGGTATCTCCTCCTCCTCCTCAGTCAGGTCCTGGTATCTCCTCCTCCCCAGTCAGGTCCTAGTCTTTCCTCCTCCTCCTCAGTCAGGTCCTAGTCTCTCCTCCTCCTCCTCAGTCAGGTCCTAGTCTCTCCTCCTCCTCCTCGTCCCCCACAGTCAGGTCCTGGTATCTCCTCCTCCTCCTCTTCCTCAGTCAGGTCCTCGTCTCTCCTCCTTGGTCAGGTCCCGATTTCACCTCCTCCTCCTCCAGTCAGGTCCCGGTCCTGGTCCAGGTCCAGCAAAAGTGGAGGCGTCTGTACCAGGGGGAGTGTCAGGGACCAGGAGTGCGCACAGACTTCCACATGGTCCATCTGCACAAAGTCCCAGCTCACCACAGGAACCTGTCGGGTCTGCTGGACATCTTCAAGAGCAAGATGGTGAGGGGAGGGGCTAAGAACACTGAGGGGGAGGGGCTAAGAACACTGAGGGGGAGGGGCTAATGACACTGAGGGGGAGGGGCTAATGACACTGAGGGGGAGGGGATAATGACACTGAGGGGGAGGGGATAATGACACTGAGGGGGAGGGGCTAATGACACTGAGGGGGAGGGGATAATGACACTGAGGGGGAGGGGCTAAGGACACTGAGGGGAGGGGCTAATGACACTGAGGGGAGGGGCTAATGACACTGAGGGGGAGGGGATAATGACACTGAGGGGGAGGGGATAATGACACTGAGGGGGAGGGGCTAATGACACTGAGGGGGAGGGGATAATGACACTGAGGGGGAGGGGCTAATGACACTGAGGGGGAGGGGCTAATGACACTGAGGGGGAGGGGCTAATGACACTGAGGGGGAGGGGATAATGACACTGAGGGGGAGGGGCTAAGGACACTGAGGGGAGGGGCTAATGACACTGAGGGGAGGGGCTGAAGACACTGGGGGAGGGGCTAAGGGCACTGAGGGGAGGGGCTGAAGAAATTGGGGGACGGGCTAAGGGCACTGATGGGAGGGGCTAAAGACAGTGAGGGGGAGGGGCTAAGGGCACTGATGGGAGGGGCTGAGGACAGTAAGGGGGAGGGGCTAAGGACATTGATGGGCGGGGCTTACTTGTGTGTCTGTGTTTCTCCTCAGAGCTCCTCGTTGTCTCCTCTTCCTCCCATCAACATCTCTATCAGATTCACCTACATCCTTCAGGACTGGCACCAGACCAGCTGGCCCCAGCAACCTCCGGGTAAAGACCAGACCAAGACCAGACCCAGACCCAGACCAAGACCAGACCAAGACCAAGACCAGACCAAGACCAGACCCAGACCCAGACCCAGACCAGACCCAGACCCAGACCAGACCCAGACCCAGACCAGACCCAGACCCAAACCAGACCAGACCCCCCTTTGCCATCACCTCCTGGTCTCTCCTCAGTCTATGCTGTCTCACCTCCTGGTCTCTCCTCAGTCTATGCCGTCTCACCTCCTGGTCTCTCCTCAGTCTATGCTGTCTCACCTCCTGGTCTCTCCTCAGTCTATGCCGTCTCACCTCCTCGTCTCTCCTCAGTCTATGCCGTCTCACCTCCTGGTCTCTCCTCAGTCTATGCCGTCTCACCTCCTGGTCTCTCCTCAGTCTATGCCGTCTCACCTCCTGGTCTCTCCTCAGTCTATGCTGTCTCACCTCCTGGTCTCTCCTCAGTCTATGCCGTCTCACCTCCTGGTTTCTCTCCTCAGTCTATGCCGTCTCACCTCCTGGTCTCTCCTCAGTCTATGCCGTCTCACCTCCTGGTCTCTCCTCAGTCTATGCTGTCTCACCTCCTGGTCTCTCCTCAGTCTATGTTGTCTCACCTCCTGGTCTCTCCTCAGTCTATGCCGTCTCACCTCCTGGTCTCTCCTCAGTCTATGCCGTCTCACCTCCTGGTCTCTCCTCAGTCTATGCCGTCTCACCTCCTGGTCTCTCCTCAGTCTATGTTGTCTCACCTCCTGGTCTCTCCTCAGTCTATGCCGTCTCACCTCCTGGTCTCTCCTCAGTCTATGCCGTCTCACCTCCTGGTCTCTCCTCAGTCTATGCCGTCTCACCTCCTGGTCTCTCCTCAGTCTATGCCGTCTCACCTCCTGGTCTCTCCTCAGTCTATGTTGTCTCACCTCCTGGTCTCTCCTCAGTCTATGCCGTCTCACCTCCTGGTCTCTCCTCAGTCTATGCTGTCTCACCTCCTGGTCTCTCCTCAGTCTATGCTGTCTCACCTCCTGGTCTCTCCTCAGTCTATGCCGTCTCACCTCCTGGTCTCTCCTCAGTCTATGCCGTCTCACCTCCTGGTCTCTCCTCAGTCTATGCCGTCTCACCTCCTGGTCTCTCCTCAGTCTATGCCGTCTCACCTCCTGGTCTCTCCTCAGTCTATGCTGTCTCACCTCCTGGTCTCTCCTCAGTCTATGCTGTCTCACCTCCTGGTCTCTCCTCAGTCTATGCCGTCTCACCTCCTGGTCTCTCCTCAGTCTATGCTGTCTCACCTCCTGGTCTCTCCTCAGTCTATGCCGTCTCACCTCCTGGTCTCTCCTCGGTCTATGCCGTCTCACCTCCTGGTCTCTCCTCAGTCTATGCCGTCTCACCTCCTGGTCTCGTCTCTCCTCAGACTTCGATGCTGTTTTCGGTGGAGAAGTTGGAGGGGTGGAGTTTGGCAAAGTGCCGTTCGGAGCGTGTGCGGAGCCCATCAGGTGGGTGCTCCTCCTCTGAGGTTGTGGAGGTCTGTTGCATGTTCTCCTTGTTCTCATTGTCCTCCTCCTTCTCACAGTGAGCTGCACCTCGCTGCCACATGGCCTCATCTGACGGAGGGCATCATAGTGGACAACGATGTGTACAGGTGAGAGCTCCTGATGTTAGCGCTACAGAGACACTAGCTCCTGATGTTAGCACTACAGAGACACTAGCTCCTGATGTTAGCACTACAGAGATACTAGCTCCTGATGTTAGCGCTACAGAGACACTAGCTCCTGATGTTAGCACTACAGAGACACTAGCTCCTGATGTTAGCACTACAGAGATACTAGCTCCTGATGTTAGCGCTACAGAGACACTAGCTCCTGATGTTAGCACTACAGAGATACTAGCTCCTGATGTTAGCGCTACAGAGACACTAGCTCCTGATGTTAGCACTACAGAGATACTAGCTCCTGATGTTAGCGCTACAGAGACACTAGCTCCTGATGTTAGCACTACAGAGATACTAGCTCCTGATGTTAGCGCTACAGAGACACTAGCTCCTGATGTTAGCACTACAGAGATACTAGCTCCTGATGTTAGCACTACAGAGATACTAGCTCCTGATGTTAGCGCTACAGAGACACTAGCTCCTGATGTTAGCACTACAGAGATACTAGCTCCTGATGTTAGCGCTACAGAGACACTAGCTCCTGATGTTAGCGCTACAGAGACACTAGCTCCTGATGTTAGCACTACAGAGACACTAGCTTCTGATGTTAGCACTACAGAGACACTAGCTCCTGATGTTAGCTCTACACAGACACTAGCTCCTGATGTTAGCACTACAGAGACACTAGCTCCTGATGTTAGCACTACAGAGACACTAGCTCCTGATGTTAGCGCTACAGAGACACTAGCTCCTGATGTTAGCACTACAGAGATACTAGCTCCTGATGTTAGCACTACAGAGACACTAGCTCCTGATGTTAGCGCTACAGAGGCACTAGCTCCTGATGTTAGCTCTCTCTGTTCCTCAGTGAGCTGGATCCCATCCAGGCGCCGCACTGGTCTGTGCGGATCAGGACTGTGGACAACGCACAGTGTCTGTTAGGTAAGACCAGGACTGGACCAGTTTGATCCAGTCTGACCCGGTGTTCTGTCGAGATTTGCCCCCTTTGTTGAAATGTGCATCCCCACCCGCCGAATGCAACTGTAGCTTAGTCATTATGAATGTTTACTTATTAAACATGTCAACATATTTATGATGTATTAGATTTAATAAAAGGTAGTATATTAGTTTAATGTACTGAATACATGGCGTGCACTCCACCCGCCGAAAGAGAACACGTTATCACCACTTTTAGAGCCAGTATTTTGATCTTTGAAAAAGGGAAATTGAGTAGCTTAGAATGTTATATTGTATACGTGGATACTACATCCTTATTATCTTACTGCACAATTGTGCAATAGTTGCTAATGCAGAAGTCCAGACGCCAACTTAAGACGTATATTTATTTACATTATTTCCACATCTTCACGTGAATTTGAACCAGTACTACATCACTGTAGTACTACAGTACTACAGTGATGTAGTACTGTAGTACTACATCACTGTAATGTCTAGTGCCAAAGTGTTCAGCACAAAGTACACGAGTGTAATCTTGTTTATCGTAAGTAAAACTACGCACGTGAAGCTGGAGATGCAAAATCCGATGGCTCGATAAACCTACTTTGACGCATGCGCAGATGCACTAGAAAATATGTTTCGACGGGGGCCGTCTCGACAGAACACTGGTTTAACCCGGTCTGACCCGGTCTTGTGTCCAGGTGACTTCCTGCTGGAGTTCTTCAGACTGGGTCAGTGCTCAGAGACTCTGGACGACGTCCTCGGCCGTGGTCTAACGGAGGAGGAGGGCAAAGGTAGGTCTAAAACAAGACCAAAGCAGGTCTAAAACAGGACTAAAACAGGACTAAAGCAGGACTAAAGCAGATCTAAAGCAGGACTAAAGCAGGACTAAAACAGGACTAAAGCAGGACTAAAGCAGGACTAAAGCAGGACTAAAGCAGGACTAAAGCAGGACTAAAGCAGGACTAAAGCAGGACTAAAGCAGGACTAAAGCAGGACTAAAGCAGGACTAAAGCAGGTCTAAAACAGGACTAAAGCAGGACTAAAGCAGGTCAAAAGCAGGTCTAAAGCAGGACTAAAACAGGACTAAAACAGGACTAAAGCAGGACTAAAGCAGGTCAAAAGCAGGTCTAAAGCAGGACTAAAGCAGATCTAAAGCAGGACTAAAGCAGGACTAAAGCAGGACTAAAGCAGGACTAAAACAGGACTAAAGCAGGACTAAAGCAGGTCAAAAGCAGGTCTAAAGCAGGACTAAAACAGGACTAAAACAGGACTAAAGCAGTGAAGAAGATGACAAAGTCTGGGATCGCGTCTTTCATTCAGACAGAAGACATGTTTTATTGTCGATGGTAGAGACAGCACGAACAGCACGAACAACAGAATGCAAGTGTATTATTCAGAGCGGAGGCATGGAGACCTCCAATCAGCAGCTGCCACGGTGCCATGTAGCTTGGCCTTCAGATAGACACAACAAGGGAAAAGAACTGGCTTCTGCACATTGATAGAATGAGGAGTTTAACCTTAACAAAAGTTGCTTCAAAGTGTTATGAAATCTCACAGCAGGACTAAAGCAGGTCTAAAGCAGGACTAAAGCAGGTCTAAAGCAGGTCTAAAGCAGGTCTAAAGCAGGACTAAAGCAGGACTAAAGCAGGTCTAAAGCAGGTCTAAAGCAGGACTAAAGCAGGTCTAAAGCAGGTCTAAAGCAGGACTAAAGCAGGACTAAAGCCGGACTAAAGCCGGACTAAAGCCGGACTAAAGCCGGACTAAAGCCGGACTAAAGCCGGACTAAAGCAGGACTAAAGCAGGACTAAAGCAGGACTAAAGCAGGACTAAAGCAGGACTAAAGCAGGACTAAAGCAGGACTAAAGCAGGTCTCTCTGGTCTCGCAGACGCAGACATCAGCTCTGCTCTTCAGAAGCTCACGCAGCCTTCAGCCTCTGTGCACATGTCCAAACTGTCCGTGTCCCACATGGTCCACAGCGCCAGACGACACATCAGGAGGAGGAGATACGAGGAGTCCCCACTTAGTCATGAAAGCCTGAACGCAGCAGTCCTGGTGAGACACACACAGACACACACATAGACAGACACACACACACACACACACAGACACAGACAGGGACAAAGACACACACATATACAGACACACACACACACACACACACACATACACACCCACACACTGACCTCTGACCTATGACATCATCGTCTGTGTTTGGGTCAGTTCTTGTTTCCAGATGCAGCGACAGAAAAGTCCTCAGAGCAAAGATGTCAGACTGAACCACATCCAGACCCAGACTCTGTGAGTAAGACCCGGACCAGGACTCAGACCAGGACCCAGACCAGGACCCAGACCAGGACCCAGACCAGGACCCAGACCAGGACCCAGACCAGGACCCAGACCAGGACCCAGACCAGGTCCTGCAGACCAGGACCCAGACCAGGACCCAGACCAGGACCCACACTGTGAGTAAGACCAGGACCCAGACCAGGACCCGGACCAGGACTCAGACCAGGACCCAAACTATGTGAGTAAGACCAGGACCCGGACCCAGACTATGTGAGTAAGACCAGGACCCAGACCCAGACTATGTGAGTAAGACCAGGACCAGGACCCAGACCAAGACCCAGACTATGTGAGTAAGACCAGAGCAGGACCCAGTGAGTGAGACCGCCACAGAGAGGACCGTCAGTGATGGTCCCTGTGCTCGTCCCAGACCCAGTACCTGCAGCTGAAGGCCTCGCCCCCCCTCTCCCTCACCCACCGTCTGGCTCTGGCTCTGGCCGCGGTGAACCACTCCCAGGGGGGTCTCCGCGCCGTGGCTCATCTGTGGCAGGAGTTTGTGCTGGAGCTGAGGTACCGCTGGGAGAACAACTACCTGATCCACGGGTGAGTCTGCAGGACCATGTGTGTGTGGGACCAGGTGAGTCTGAAGGACCAGGTGTGTGAGGGACCAGGTGAGTCTGAGGGACCATGTGTGTGAGGGACCAGGTGAGTCTGTGGGACCATGTGTGTGAGGGACCAGGTGAGTCTGAGGGACCATGTGTGTGAGGGACCAGGTGAGTCTGAGGGACCCGGTGAGTCTGAGGGACCATGTGTGTGAGGAACCAGGTGAGTCTGTAGGACCAGGTGAGTCTGAGGGACCAGGTGAGTCTGCAGGACCATGTGTGTGTGGGACCACTATCTTCCTCTTTGGGCTGAGATCTGATTGGCTGAGAGCTGATTGGCTGTTCCCTGTTCCCATTGATCTGGTTTGTGTGATTTCAGTTTGCCCAGTGGAGCTCCAGACCTGCGCTGCTGCTTACTACACCAGAAACTACAGGTCTGTCCCTGGTGTGAGAGAGACCAGAGAGAGAGACCAGAGAGAGAGAGACCAGAGAGAGAGAGACCAGAGAGAGAGAGACCAGAGAGAGAGAGACCAGAGAGAGAGACCAGAGAGAGAGACCAGAGAGAGAGACCAGAGAGAGAGACCAGAGTGAGAGACCAGAGTGAGAGACCAGAGTGAGAGACCAGAGTGAGAGACCAGAGTGAGAGACCAGAGTGAGAGACCAGAGTGAGAGACCAGAGTGAGAGACCAGAGTGAGAGACCAGAGTGAGAGACCAGAGTGAAAGACCAGAGTGAAAGACCAGAGTGAAAGACCAGAGTGAGAGACCAGAGTGAGAGACCAGTCTCTGTTTTGTTGTGTTCTTCAGATGTTGAACTGTTGCATCCAGAGGAAGCGCAGTCGAGACGAGGCCCAGAGCTCCGCCCCCAGAACCTCCGGCTCCGCCCCCAGAACGACCTCAGAGGGAGATACGGCGCTCTGGGACTCAGACAGCGACGACGAGTTCTACGAATGTGTCAGCGACTTATCTGAGAGCGACCGAAGGAGAGCGGAGGGAGGAAGACCAGAAGGAGCCAGACCAGAAGGAGGGAGCCCGAGCGGTGGCCACAGGAGACCAGAGGGACGACTCAAACAGTACCAGGACCTCAGGCTTCTGCAGAACAACGAGCCACTCTACGTACCAGTGACCCAGGTGAGAGACCAGAGAGAGAGACCAGAGAGAGAGACCAGAGAGAGAGACCAGAGAGAGAGACCAGAGAGAGAGACCAGAGAGAGAGACCAGAGAGAGAGACCAGAGAGAGAGACCAGAGAGAGAGACCAGAGAGAGAGACCAGAGAGAGAGACCAGAGAGAGAGACCAGAGAGAGAGAGACCAGAGAGAGAGACCAGAGAGAGAGACCAGAGAGAGAGACCAGAGAGAGAGACCAGAGAGAGAGACCAGAGAGAGAGACCAGAGAGAGAGACCAGAGAGAGAGACCAGAGAGAGAGACCAGAGAGAGAGACCAGAGAGAGGAGACCAGAGAGAGAGACCAGAGAGAGAGACCAGAGAGAGAGACCAGAGAGAGAGACCAGAGAGAGACCAGAGAGAGACCAGAGACCCAGGTGAGAGAGACCAGAGACTCAGGTGAGAGACCAGTGAGAGACCAAAGACCCAGGAGAGACCAGAGACCCAGGTGAGAGACCAGAGAGAGACCAGAGACCCAGGTGAGAGACCAGAGACCCAGGTGAGAGACCAGTGACCCAGGTGAGAGACCAGTGACCCAGGTGAGAGACCAGTGACCCAGGTGAGAGACCAGTGACCCAGGTGAGAGACCAGAGACCCAGGTGAGAGACCAGAGACCCAGGTGAGAGACCAGAGACTCAGGTGACCCAGGTGAGATACTAGAGACCCAGGTGAGAGAGCCAGGTGAGAGACCAGAGAGCCAGGTGAGAGACCAGAGAGAGAAACTCAAACTAAGACATGGCCAATCTCTCTCTATCTAACCTCACCCCCCCCTCTCCCCTCTCCCCCTCTCCCCCCCCCCCCCCTCTCTCTCTCCCCTCTCCCCCTCCCTCCCCTCTTCCCCCAGGAGCCCTCCCCCATGACTGAGGACATGTTGGAGCAACAGTCTGAGGTCTTGTCTAAACTGGGGACGTCAGCAGAGGGCGCTCACCTTCGCGCTCGCATGCAGAGCGCCTGCCTGCTGTCCGACATGGAGGCCTTCAAGGTACTAGGTCTAAACCAGGATTGTGCCAGGACTGGACCAGGTCTGGACCAGGACAAGACCAGCTCAAACTCTTCTAAATCATAATGTTGTTTGTTGAGTGGTTGATTTCTACTCTGACCTCAGGCGGCAAACCCCGGCTGTATTCTGGAGGACTTTGTGCGCTGGTATTCTCCCCGAGATTTTGTCACAGAGTCTGAAGACCAGGCCGAAGACCAGGCCAAGGACCAGGCCAGGGACCAAGCCGAAGACCAGGCTGAAGACCGGGCTGAGGACCGGGCTTCAGGGCCCCAGCTCCGGGGCCAGCTCAGCGCTCGCATGCAGATCCCTGGGAACATGTGGCTGGAGACCTGGGATACGGCCAAAGCCACACCTGCCCGGAGACAGAGACGGCTGTTTGACGACACCACAGAAGCAGAGAAGGTACTGGGACAAAGATGGACTAAACCAGGTCTAAAGCAGGACTAAAACAGGTCTAAAGCAGAAGTAAAACAAGTTTAAAGCAGGACTAAACAGGTCTAAAGCAGGTCTAAAGCAGGTCTAAAGCAGGTCTAAAGCAGGACTAAAGCAGGACTTAAGCAGGACTAAAGCAGGTCTAAAGCAGGACTAAAGCAGGACTAAAGCAGGTCTAAAGCAGGTCTAAAGCAGGTCTAAAGCAGGACTAAAGCAGGACTAAAGCAGGACTAAAGCAGGACTAAAGCAGGTCTAAAGCAGGTCTAAAGCAGGACTAAAGCAGGACTAAAGCAGGACTAAAGCAGGTCTAAAGCAGGACTAAAGCAGGACTAAAGCAGGTCTAAAGCAGGACTAAAGCAGGACTAAAGCAGGACTAAAGCAAGACTAAAGCAAGACTAAAGCAAGACCAAAGCAAGACCAAAGCAAGACCAAAGCAAGACTAAAGCAAGACTAAAGCAAGACTAAAGCAAGACTAAAGCAAGACTAAAGCAAGACTAAAGCAAGACTAAAGCAGGACTAAAGCAGGACTAAAGCAGGACTAAAGCAGGTCTAAAGCAGGACTAAAGCGACTGAAGCAGGTCTAAAGCAGGACTAAAGCAGGACTAAAGCAGGTCTAAAGCAGGTCTAAAGCAGGTCTAAAGCAAGACCAAAGCAAGACCAAAGCAAGACTAAAGCAAGACTAAAGCAAGACTAAAGCAAGACTAAAGCAAGACTAAAGCAGGACTAAAGCAAGACTAAAGCAAGACTAAAGCAAGACTAAAGCAAGACTAAAGCAAGACCAAAGCAAGACCAAAGCAAGACTAAAGCAAGACTAAAGCAAGACTAAAGCAAGACTAAAGCAAGACTAAAGCAGGACTAAAGCAGGACTAAAGCAGGACTAAAGCAGGTCTAAAGCAGGACTAAAGCGACTGAAGCAGGACTAAAGCAGGACTAAAGCAGGACTAAAGCAGGACTAAATCAGGTCTAAAGCAGGACTAAAGCGACTGAAGCAGGTCTGAAGCAGGTCTAAAGCAGGACTCTCTGATAATAATAATAATATTTTATTTAAAAGCGCCTTTCAGAACACACTGTACAGGACATAATAACATTAAAAACAGGAGCAACAGGTGGGTTAGGACCATGGGGTAGGACCATGGGGTAGGACCATGGGGTAGGACCATCGGGTAGGACCATCGGGTAGGATAGTTTGAACAGATGGGTTTTGAGTCTGGATTTGAAGAGTGGAAGAGAGTCAATGGTACGGAGGTCAGGGGGGAGAGAGTTCCAGAGCTGGGGGGAAGAAAGGCTGAAGGCTCTGTGTCCCACGGTGATGAGTCTGGCTGCGGGGACGGAGAGTGTGAGGGTGGAGGAGGAGCAGGAGTGGCAGGGTGGAGGATGGGGGTGGTGTGGGGGGTGAGAGGGGGCGGAGACAAGGATGGGGGTGGTGTGGGGGGGTGAGAGGGGGCGGAGACAAGGATGGGGGTGGTGTGGGGGGTGAGAGGGGGCGGAGACAAGGATGGGGGTGGTGTGGGGGGGTGAGAGAGGGGCGAGGATGGGGGTGGTGTGGGGGGGTGAGAGGGGGGCGGAGACGAGGATGGGGGTGGTGTGGGGGGTGAGAGGGGGTGGAGACAAGGATGGGGGTGGTGTGGGGGGGTGAGAGAGGGGCGGAGACGAGGATGGGGGTGGTGTGGGGGGGTGAGAGGGGGTGGAGACAAGGATGGGGGTGGTGTGGGGGGGTGAGAGGGGGCGGAGACTAGAGAGATTGACAGGTGGAAGTAGGCGGGCCGAGTTATTGAAGAGTGAAGTGTCTGGTGTTGTGTTCTCAGGTCCTCCACCATCTCTCTCTGATGAAACCCTCAGACCTGATGCTGCAGCTGCTGCCGAACCTGCTGCTGTCGGCTCTGAGCAAACTCACAGAGGAAGGTACGAGACTCAGGGGGTCCCAATGAAGCAGGTCTAAAGCAGGTCTAAAGCAGGTCTAAAGCAGGACTAAAGTAGGTCTAAAGCAGGTCTAAAGCAGGACTAAAGCAGGTCTAAAGCAGGTCTAAAGCAGGTCTAAAGCAGGTCTAAAGCAGGTCTAAAGCAGGTCTAAAGCAGGTCTAAAGCAGGTCTAAAGCAGGTCTAAAGCAGGACTAAAGCAGGTCTAAAGCAGGTCTAAAGCAGGACTAAAGCAGGACTAAAGCAGGACTAAAGCAGGACTAAAGCAGGACTAAAGCAGGACTAAAGCAGGTCTGTTGTTTGCAGAGACCGTTGAGGACTTGCCGTCGGTGAAGAAGGCTCTGGCTCAGGCTTCACTTCAGGCCGGAAGACTCATGCACCAGCAGAGCCTGGACCTCCCACTCATAGAGGTAAGGCTACTGTTCAAACCCAGTCCCAGACCAGGTCCAGGACCGAGAACCAAGCCAGGTCCAAGAAACAGACCAGGTCCTCACACTTCAGGGCATTTGTTCTTGATGCTTCTTAACTTGAACAATAAGCTGAAATCTCAGTCCCCCAGGAACAGTGTCATGATGAGCTGAAATCTCAGTCCCCCAGGAACAGTGTCATGATGAGCTGAAATCTCAGTCCCCCAGGAACAGTGTCATGATTGAGATTTCAGCTCATCATGACTGAAATCTCAATCATGATGAGCTGAAATCTCAGTCCCCCGGAACAGTGTCATTATGAGCTGAAATCTCAGTCCCCAGGAACAGTGTCATGATGAGCTGAAATCTCAGTCCCCCGGAACAGTGTCATGATGAGCTGAAATCTCAGTCCCCCAGGAACAGTGTCATGATGAGCTGAAATCTCAGTCCCCCAGGAACAGTGTCATGATGAGCTGAAATCTCAGTCCCCCAGGAACAGTGTCATGATGAGCTGAAATCTCAGTCCCCCAGGAACAGTGTCATGATTGAGATTTCAGCTCATCATGACTGAAATCTCAATCATGATGAGCTGAAATCTCAGTCCCCCGGAACAGTGTCATTATGAGCTGAAATCTCAGTCCCCAGGAACAGTGTCATGATGAGCTGAAATCTCAGTCCCCCGGAACAGTGTCATGATGAGCTGAAATCTCAGTCCCCCAGGAACAGTGTCAAAATAAAGCGGGGCAGGATGAGGCTTCAGCTAGGGACCCGGGTTACAATGAGCTGAAATCTCAGTCCCCCAGGAACAGTGTCATGATGAGCTGAAATCTCAGTCCCCCAGGAACAGTGTCATGATGAGCTGAAATCTCAGTCCCCAGGAACAGTGTCATGATGAGCTGAAATCTCAGTCCCCAGGAACAGTGTCATGATGAGCTGAAATCTCTGTCCCCAGAAACAGTGTCATGATGAGCTGAAATCTCAGTCCCCAGGAACAGTGTCATGATGAGCTGAAATCTCAGTCCCCAGGAACAGTGTCATGATGAGCTGAAATCTCAGTCCCCCAGGAACAGTGTCATGATTGAGATTTCAGCTCATCATGACTGAAATCTCAATCATGATGAGCTGAAATCTCAGTCCCCAGGAACAGTGTCATGATGAGCTGAAATCTCAGTCCCCCAGGAACAGTGTCATGATGAGCTGAAATCTCAGTCCCCCGGAACAGTGTCATGATGAGCTGAAATCTCAGTCCCCCAGGAACAGTGTCATGATGAGCTGAAATCTCAGTCCCCCAGGAACAGTGTCATGATGAGCTGAAATCTCTGTCCCCAGAAACAGTGTCATGATGAGCTGAAATCTCAGTCCCCAGGAACAGTGTCATGATGAGGTCTGGTGTGTTTCAGGAGTTCCTGCTGCAGCTCATGACTCTGGAGACGTCCATCACTCGAGCTCGATCTCTGAAAACAAAGTTTGGAGTTTCACGAGATTCAGGAGAACAACGAGAAGAGCTGCTGGAGTGAGTACTGCTGCTGCTACTGCTACTGCTACTGCTGCTGCTGCTACTACTGCTGCTGCTACTGCTGCTGCTGCTGCTACTGCTACTGCTGCTGCTGCTACTACTGCTGCTGCTACTGCTGCTACTACTGCTGCTGCTGCTGCTGCTACTACTGCTGCTGCTGCTGCTGCTACTGATGCTACTGCTGCTGCTACTGCTACTGCTGCTGCTGCTGCTGCTGCTACTGCTGCTACTGCTGCTGCTGCTGCTGTGATGTGGTCTTAAACACTGGGCTGATGTGTTCCTTTGTCCTTTACAGATTTGTGAACTCTCTCCTGGAGGAGCCGGAGGTGGAGGTGGTGGGAGCAGGACAAGGACCAGCAGGACACATTATCCACCAACTGTTCATCAGCTCTCAGAGGGTATGACTGCTGCTGCTACTGCTGCTACTGCTGCTGCTGCTGCTGCTGCTTCTACTGCTACTGCTGCTACTGCTGCTGCTACTACTACTACTACTGCTGCTACTACTGCTACTGCTGCTACTGCTGCTACTGCTGCTGCTACTGCTGCTACTGCTTCTACTACTACTACTGCTGCTACATAATAAACAGACTTTGTTATTTCCTATTTATTGAAGAATGGCTTCAACCATTGTCCTCTTAGACCAACCGTATGTTGCGTTAGTTACGAGGTAAAGTTCGGCTCTCCCTTATTACAGGCTAATGACATCCTAACAAATAACTAGGCTCTTATCTAAAATAATGTTCATGAAAAATATACCAGTTACACTCCCAACGCTCACAAAAATACATATTCACACACACAATACTTACGGACTAATATTGTCCAAGGCAACAATGCTTCTTGCGGGGAAAATGCGCTTAACACGTTAACAGTTTTGTGTCGCGGTCAGCCATCTTGAAATTCTCAAGCGCGACTATGAAGATCACCCGAGAAAAGGCACCACACGGTTATTTACAAAGCTATAACTTTCAGTGGACACGGGGAGGCGTGACATCATTTCCTGTAAACAGAGAACGGCTCGTTTACTTCCTGTCTGTGCGGGCGCTCTGGCTGTGGTGAGTTATAGTCACGTTTTTAGTCTTTAGATCGATACATTCAGCTGAGACTGACCCAAAGTGTGGACGTGCTTTCTCTCTGAGGTAGAGCTGTGACTGTGGCCACTCAGAGACATCACTTCACTTTATGGAAGCACAATGACAGCACAGTCAAAGAGCACAGCTGTGTCCCACAATGCACTGCATCCTCACAGACTAATTCCTGTCTGAGCGTCATTTAGGAAACTCGTGTAAACATCTGCGGAACTTGAGAGAAACTCAAGCCCCGCGCACCAGAGTCAAGTGGTGTTAAAAACTAACTGCTATTTCTGCAACTGCTGCTACTTTGTGTGTGTATCGTGTGTTGTGTGTGTATTGTGTACATGTTTGTGTTTTGTGTTTCTGCTGCTGAAGTGTGACGTCTCGGTGGATGAGGTAAATTCAAACTTTTGTGTCCAGTCAGAGAGAATTGTGTGCTAGCTTTAGCATCATGCTTTAGCATCAAAATGTGATGACAAATACCTCAACATTTGCTCAAATTTGGCAAAATGTATTTTACTTTGAGCACATTCTGACTCAGCCTAAAAACCAGATTCTCAAATGGGACAAAGCAAAATGATCTTGTTTTAAAAAGATACAGAAATGTCTCTCTTGGAATGAGAAAATAAAGCGACAGTTCGTCTAAATAATTCTAAATGGCTTCGACCCGTTGGAGATTCTTGTTTTAAAACTGTCAGAATGTGTCTGAATAAGAAAAAAAACACTGGATTCAAGCTTTTATTACCTCATATTGTATCGTTTATTTGCAGTGTGGGGGGTTCCTCTGGGGGGTTCCTCTGGGGGGGGGGTCTTCTCTGTGCTTCTGGGACCTTTAGGACCCAGAGGAGAACATGTCTTTGTATCTTCCCTCATGCGGTGTGTGTCCAGCAGGCGGCGCTGCTGTCCCCTGTGGATTCGGACGTTGTTTCCGAGGCAGACTTCCGCGCTCCCGAGCAGACGGTCCCGGACTTTCCTCGTCCCGCGGGTCGTGAGCTGATCCTTCGCACCTGCGTCCCGAGTCCCGCCCCCTACTCCCGATCGTTACCTCAGCGGATGTTCTGTGTCCTGCTCAAGGACGAGGTCAGGCTGGCGGCGGCGCTGAGCTACGATACTGCATTCTTCTGACCACGCCCACAACACCTGACAATGACCACGCCCACTTCATCTGACCCCGCCCCCTCATGAGCCTTGACATTGGCTTGTTCTGACTCCTGAAGGATGTTATTTTAAATAATTAATATAAACTTCTCAATCATAAATAAATGATCAGTTTAAATCAATAAAGTTCTGTTCAAACAAATTTGTGTTTTCTTTTCCAGACAGTGAATGCTGTGCATCTGTGTGTCTATCTCCGTATGCGTCTGTATGTATCTGAGTGTGTGCATCTGTCTGTGTGTGTATCTGTGTGTCTATCTCTGTGTGCGTCTGTATGTATCTGAGTGTGTGCATCTGTCAGTGTGTGTTTGTCTATCTCCTTGTGTGTGTGTGTTTACTGTCTCAGGACAATACATTCTAATAATGTAAGAATGTTACGATATAGAACCACCCATGAGTCATTGTCACATGACTAAAAGTTTTTATTTTTGTGTTGAATTATTGTTCATTTATCTTGTGCTGTGTGCTCCTACTGTTCTGACAATGCAACACTAACCTTTCCCCACTCACTGTGGGATAATACCACTGTCCACCAGGTGGCGCTGTACCAGGGCAGTGTAATGATAAAAAGACGACACAGGAGGCGCTGTGGTGCTGAAACATGCTTTATTAAACCAGAATCTCAGGAGGACAAAGTTTATTTCTCTAAACTACAGACACGACACACAACACGTTCCTCCAGGAGATGGCGCTGGCCCCGCCCCCGAGCACACGCTGCCCTCATATGGCCAGGTGCCGGAGCCGGCGGTCGGGGGCGGAGCCAGCGCTCGTTAGATTGAGTCCAGAGCGAAGGCCGTTCGCTCCAGACTCTTATTCATCGGGAATCGAACCCAAGACCCGTTGAGCGGATTACACGAGGGTAGTGCACGCCGCAAGCAGGGTCTTAGGCCAAAACCTCCTTCATATGTAAATATGTAAATACATGTAATAAATGTAATATATGTGATACTCTGGTCGTCAGCGGGGATCTCTCCACCCGCTGAGGCGGATCTTAGACTTCAACCTAACGTTGAGGCTCGGTTTGGTTTCGTTCTGCAGGGTATTCGTCGCCGGACTTTCTCCTGCTGTGTTTCCTTTCACTTTTACTTTTACTTTCACTTTCACTTTATCATCGTCATAAATAACATCTTTGTAACCGTAACTCCGGCTATATACATATGTACACGGCGCTGTCGCCCGAGGCACATTTCAGGTCGAAAGATTCACGTCACGTTTGGTACAAAAACTCTTATTTACAAAACATCAGCTCTTTTATACACGCTCACTCCTGCAGCTCTCAGGCCGGTCGCCGGTCGGAACTGCTCCATAGTTCTTATGGTTCTTACGGGGTGGGGGACTTCGGGGTCGGGGACTTGGGCGAGACGGGGGATTTGACCCGAGGAGGCGACCGCACAGCTTCTGGGGACTTTACTCTCTGTGGGGACTTTATGGACTCTGGGGACTTGACCCGAGGGGGGGATAGGACCGGGTCTGGGGACTTGACCCGAGGGGGGGACAGGACCGGGTCTGGGGACTTGACCCGAGCGGGGGACTTGAGTGGTTCAGGGGACTTGACTCGGGAAGAAGAGGGGGCAGATGTCTCCATGACGACTGCCTGTGCTACTACAGTCTCTGTAACCATGGTCTCCATGGCGACTGCTTCCACAGTCTTGGACATGTAGACCTCGGTGGTCTCGCTCTGGCTGGTCATGCTGGACTCGCTCTTGGACACATGGGAGACTTCTGTGGTCTCGCTCTGGCTGATGGTGCTGGACTCGCTCTTGGACACATGGTAGGCCTCAGTGGCCTCGCTGGTCGCGGCCCTGGTGGTGCTGCTGCTCGCGCTCTTGGACACATGGTAGGTCTCGGTGGCCTCGCTGGTCGCGGCCCTGGTCGTGGTGCTGGTTGCGGCCCTGGTCTCCTTCATGTGTGCCGCTGGTGGCTCTTCGTCTCGCTCGTCCTCTCGCTGCACCAGAGTGGAGAACTCTGCCAGCTCCTCCCCGACCACCTCTAGTGTGGCGTAGTCGCTGGCCTGGCCACGGGCGTTTCGGCAGAGCACGCGGTACGTGCCCGAGTCTGCGGTGATGCAGCGTTTGATCTGCAGCGTCAGGACGCCATTCGCGTTGGTCATGATGTACTTAGAGCTGGGGCTGATGTCTTTGCCGTTATGGGACCAGGACACCGTGGCCTCGGGTTTGGCCTGAACGTTCAGACTGAAGCGGGCCGTGGTGCCGTAGGGGACACGGTGTGACCGCAGGCGGATGGTGAAGAGCGGCGGGTGATCCAGGCTGAAGGGCGGCAGGTGCACCTCCTCCAGTGAGCGCCGCTCTGAGCGAAGCGCCTGTTTGCGCTCCTCGTATCGAGAGGCAAAGTCCACTTTGGGATACGCCATCTCCACCTTTGATCTCTCCACGGGCTCCAGCGCCGGCTCGGGAGGGGGCAGCTTCTTCAGGGGTTTAGCCAGATACGGTGAGGTGAAGGTGGTGAGGTGTTCGCTGGTCACATCCTCGCTGTAGGTCGTCACCATGGTTTTCTCCTTCTTGATGCTGCGTGTGCGCTCCTCGAAGTCCATCTGCCTCAGCTGGCTCTTGTACGAGGAGATGCGGCCCTGGGTCGTGGCCGGCCGCAGCAGCTCGGTGGATTCTCTTTCTTCGTAGACGCGCTGTTTTCCTTTGGCCGGTTTGAACGTGGCCTTGTCGTGGCGGTCCCGCAGGTCTATGAAGCTCGGGCCAGCCTCGTACTTAGACGGGATCTTGTACGAGTCATAGCAGGCGGTCTCCTGGTCTTCATCGGGTCGCGGTGATGTGGGGCGCAGTGCAGACAGCTCGAAGCGTACCGGGCTGAGGCTCGGGGGAGACGCAGAGTATCCCAGCTCCAGCTCCTCCTCCAGCCGCATGCGCTCCTCCTCCGTGCGCTTCATGGTCAGGTACTCATTGACCGGCAGCAGCAGCTCCTCGTCAGACAAGTCTCCGAGGGACCTGGGATCAAAGCCATAGAGTTATTATTATAGTATTTTAGATAAATGATTATATCATCTGTCTTCTGTCAGTCTGCCTCCGGGCAGCTGTGGCTTAATGTGCTTGTAGAGTGTATGTTTCACAGTTACCTGCGGCGGATGCGGCGGTAGGCGTCCGTGGGGTCAGGAGATGGTGTGCGATGGCGAGAAGGTCTCACGGTCTCGAGGTCATCCTGGCTCACAGCCGGGAGCCTCCACTTGGGTTTGTATTGGTCCTTGATGCGGATGGGGATCTCGTAGAACTGGTCCCAGCGCGACAGCCGGATGCGTTTGGGTCGCCGCTGGTGGACCTTGTCCATGGGCTCGGGGAACTCGTACTGGTCGCGCAGCGTCTTGTACCACTTCATGTCGGACATGGGTTTGAAGACTTTGATCTGCACGTCCTCCTCTAGCGCGGCAGGGTTCATGGGTCGCGGGGCTGGCACCACGTATGGCATCCTCAGCCGCTTCTCGTCTGCGCGTTTCTTCCTCTCCTCCTTCTCCTTCTGGATCTCCGCCTCGGTCTTCTCGCCCTTCTTCGTGGTCACGGCAGGTTTAAACATGGAGGCCGCTTCTCTCATGGCCTGTACCGCGGCAGGGGGCAGCGGTAGGACATCGGTGCCTGCCATGATCTGGGACAAGCGCACCTTCTTGTCCATCAGCTCCTTCTCTTTGGCCTTTTCCTTCTCTTTGGTGCTGAGCTCAGGCTCCTTCTTCACGTGGGTGACCCGCTCCACCTTTAGCGTGGCCTGGCAGCTGGCCGAGCCGGCCGAGTTGGTGGCAGTGACACGGTAGATGCCCGAGTCCTCGGGGAGGGTATCTCTGATGTGGAGGATGAAGTAGTCCAGTCCCTCATGTACGACCTCGATGCTCGGGCCCAGAGTCAGCGGCATGCCGTCCTTCTCCCACTTCAGTGCCGGTTTCCCCGACACGCGGATCTCAAAGCGCACGTCCTGACCTTCGCGACACTCTACGTTGGCGAGCAGGCGTTTGAACATGGGCCTCAGCGTGAGGTCTGCAGGTTTGGGTCGTGGGACCACAGTCAGGCGGGCTTTGCAGCTGTCGTCTCCGTAACGGTTGCGTGCGACCACGCTGTACTCGGCGTCATCCTCCTTCTCCAGACCGTGGATGATGAGTTGGTACAAACCTGCGGCACATGAGGGTAAGTGACAGAAACATGTTTTAAACAAGACCTTGTTTTGTTTTAACACTGACCTTTGTCGCTGATGAAGGTGTACTTCTTGTCGTCTTGGCCGGGGATCATTTTCTGTCCGGACTTGTGCCACATGACGCGCGGCTCGGGATGCACGGTGATGGTGACGCCAAAGCGCACGTCTTCTCCTAGATACGCCGTCTTGTTGACGAGCGGCAGCGTGAACTCTGGAGGTTTCTGCAGCAGTCGCGCAGTGTCCACCCGGCGCTTGGTCTTCTTCACGACTCGGGTGGTGAAGAAGTCGCGGTAGCTGCGTACGCCGTTCACAAAGAGCTCGGCGTAGGCGCTGTCCTCCCCGTACTCGTTCACCACTTTGCAGCGGTACGTGCCGTCGTCGGCTCGAGTGACTTTCTCCAGGGTGAGCACGGCGAGCCCGTCCTCATACTCCATGGTGTATTTGGCGCCGGTCTCCAGCTGGCGCACGCCACAGTACCATGTGACCTCGGTGGTGCTGTCGTAATTCTCGATGTTGCAGGCGAACTTCACGCCGTCGCCCTCGTTGGCGACCGAGTGTGAGACCTGCCCGGCCAGCGGCCCGTGCTCAAACGGAGCAATCTTCACTTTAGCCACAAAGACGCCGCGCTGCGGGCGGATGGAGCCGCCACTGGCCACACGGGCGGCTGACACCACCGTGCCCCACTCCTTGCGCACCATTGCTTGGTAATAACGCTTGTGGCGACCCGTGGGGATGGCTCGGGCGCTGATCTCCTCAGCAGGTTTTGTGAGCCAGGGGTGCTCCAGCGCCTCAGCCGCTGACATACGGTGTTTGCGCTCTTTGGTGATGAGGCGATCGGTGAAGTCCAGTGCCTCCACGCTGGCAGCTCTGAAGCTGTCGTCGTCGTAGCCGTAGGCCGCGTTGGAGATGTTGTCGATGGTCTGCTGGTGGGTCTCTGCCGTGAAGGGGTTCAGGCCGCTAAGGAGCACGTACGCCAGCACGCCCACGCTCCACATGTCGGTCACGGATGACACCATGTCGCTCTGGTGGATCTCAGGAGCCGCGTACTCAGCTGTGGTGTACTGCACTTTGATGATGTCACCGGGGGTGAGGTGGCGGGACTGGCCGAGCTCAATGATCTTCACGTGGTCGCTGGTGCGCGTGGTGTAGATGATGTTCTCGGGGCGAATGTCGAAGTGGCCGTAGTCTTCTCCGTGGAGGAACTGTAGCGCGGAGCAGACTTGCCGAATGTAGCTCACGACCTGTCGCTCGCTGAGCTCGAAGTCTGCTGAGTTCAGGCGCTCGAACACGTCGCTGCCCGACAGGAAGTCGTAGATGAGGACGAGCTCCTCGGGCGAGTCGAAGGACTCGTGTAGCAGCAGGAAGTTCTCCTGTTTGCAGAGGTTGAGCGTGGCGATCTCCTTCTTCACCACGGCCTGGTCAGCGCCACGCACCTTCACAAACTTGGCCATGAAGGTTCGGTCTGAGCCCGTGGCCACGCAGCGGTGCACGATGCCAAACTGGCCACGGCCCAACTCCTCTGCAATGCTGTACTTGGTGTGCAGGTTCTTGGCGTCAGAGTGCGGTGCTTTGGCTCTGGGAATGCGGCCTGACTCGTCCACCTCGCGGTCGTACAGCAGCACACGGGACTTGTCCTCTTTGGTCATGACCGGGCCGCTGGTCTCGCTCGGGATGCTCTGGCCGAACTTGTTCTCAGCGATGACTCTGAACTGGTAGCTAGTTCCTCCAAACAGGTTGATGACGGTGTAGCGGGTCTCACGGGACTGGGCCACGCGTTCCCAGCGCTCCGCGGTGGTCGGACACTTCTCAATGATGTAACTGATGACTCTGCTGCCGCCGTCGTTGGCGGGGGCAACCCAGTTCAGGGTCACTGAGTCTCGGGACACGTCGCTGGCCTTGACGCCGCGGGGAACGTCGGGCACGTCTGCTACGTCCAGCTCCACTGTCTGCTGGTCGATGCCAAAGCGATTCTTGGCGCAGACAATGTAGAAGCCGGCGTCCTTCTTCTCCACACCGTTAGGGAAGACCAGCGAGGTGAAGGAGCGGGTCACAATGACCTGGTAGTGACCGTTACTGTCAATCAAGTCCTGGCCCTTCTGCCAGGTGATCACCGGGTCGGGTTTACCGCCGAAGGGGATCTTGATGTTGACGACCTCGCCACGCAGCGCCGGGATGGCCTCCTTGTCCTTAAGGTTCTTGGGTAGGTTAATCTTGGCAGGGATCTCCACGTCCAGGGACACGGTGGCACAGATGGAGCCGCCCTGGTTGGTGGCTCTGATCTGGTAGACGGTGGAGTCCTCTTCGTCTGCCTCGGCGATGACGAGCTGGTGGTACCCGCCCTTAAACTCCTGGATCTTTATCTTCTTTCCGTCGGAATGCACCTCTTTGCCGCGGCGGAACCATTTGATGACGGGCTTTGGCTGGCCGGTGATCTTGCACACCAGCGTGGCGTTGCTCTTGTGTTTGACACTCAGATTCCTCAGCTCCTCTTTGAAGGCGGGCGCGCGCACATCCACGGGCGTGGTGGGTGTCACCGGAGCGGTCTCCTCGCTGTAGTCGCTGTGGCCACCCAGGTTCTCACACTTGACCCGGAACACCACCTCCTGCCCGACGACCAGCCGCTTCACAGAGAACACGGTCTGCTTGATCTCGTCTGTGGTCACCGTGCTCCACTCGGACCACTCCTTCTTCTCCTTCAGCTTCTTCTCCAGATGGTAGCACTTGATCTTAGAGCCGCCATCCGAAACGGGCGGCTTCCAGGACACCACACAGGACGTGTTGGTGATGCCGGACACGACCGGAGACAGAGGCGGCGATGGCTTCTCTGTGAACACAGACCAGGCAGGGTGAGGACAGGGTGAGGGCAGGGTGAGACAGGGGGAGGGCTGCATAGATGTGTGTCTCTCTCTCTGACTCAGTGTGTGTGTCTCTGTCTTAGTGTGTGTTTCTGTCTTGGTGTGTGTGTGTCTGTGTGGTTCTTACCCAGCTGGCTCTTGATGAGAATAGGTGCCTCCAGTTCCAGCGGTGCACTGTTGCCGTACTTGTTCTGGGCGTAGACCCTGAAGAAGTACCCGGCAGAGTCCTGGAGGTTGGGGACGCGGCAGCTGCAGCCGTTGATGGAGGAGGACACCAGCTCCCACGCTGTGCCCTCTTTGTCCTCGCGCTTCTCCACGATGTAGTTGGTGATCATGCAGCCGCCGTCGTCTGCTGGCGCCTTCCAGCTTAGGATCACCGAGTTCTTCAGCAGCGCGTCGAGTACGATGGGACCCTGCGGCACGTCTGGTTTGTCTGCGGGGCATCAGGGTTTGATCACCAATGACATCATGTACAACAGGAGAACCACAACACACGCACACAGACGTACTATTACTGTTTATTGTAGCAGGAGTGTTTTTGCTAATGCAGCTCCCTGGGAGTTCCCTTTTACTTTTTAATAACAAATAGAATGTGTATGACTTGTATGACTATAAAGTTTTGTAATTAAATAAATAAAGTGAAAGAGTATAGAGTCACATGTGTGTGTCTAATGTAACAGAAGTTAAGTTACGTTACTCTTGAGTCTGACCAACGACCAAAAACCTAAAACTGTGAGGTCACAAGCTCTACTCTAATCTACTCTTCTTTGGTAACTATGGCTTCCAGCCACACTCTGCTCAAACTTTAGTACCAGCTCAGCCTAGATAGAACCAGGACCAAGAGGGACTAAAGAAAGACCTGGTACTGGTTACACAGGACCAGAGGAAACACTCCCAATACTAATCAGAGTAGGGTAGCTAGGGCTACTCATTTTCCTGGTTCTGTTTAGGCTCTTGCTGATCCTACCCTGATACTGCTTCAGGGAGTGTTTTATTTTTATTTTTATTTGTTTACAAAATTTGGGTGTGTTCTCACCGTAGATCTCCACGGTGAAGGCTGTGTCTGCGCGCCCGAAGTGGTTATGCAGCCGGATGCGGTACTTCCCACCGTGGATGCGCCGTTGGACGTTCTTGATGACCAGGTGGGTGTAGTGACCTGTGGTCTCGATGCTGATGTCGTCCGTGGGCTCCAGGGTTTTGGAACCGTGAAGCCACATGATCTTGGGCTCGGGGCGTCCGATGTAGACAGCGTGGATCCTGAGGAAGCGGCGACACACGGTTAAAACCAGGAACCGGAATTACTGCCACAAGCTTAATGCTAGCCTGCTAGCTCAGTGCTAACCTGCGAGCTCAGTGCTAACCTGCTAGCCTATTGTTTGTCCAACACAAAGTATATAAAAAGTTACAACAACATGTAAGAAAGAGCTCTAGCCTGGGGCAGTGTGTAGGTCTAGCCGAGCCTAAGGCAGAATGTAGTTCTACCTGAGTGTGGTTCCCAGGCCAGCGTGGTAGGTCTCCTTCAGTGGGTAGTCGGGGTGGAAGCTTGGCTTGGCCTCCAGCACCAGCGCGCCGGTGGTTTCGGCGTCCCCGGCTTCGTTCACGGCCTTACAGGTGTACTCGCCCTCGTCTTCCTGGCGGTCGGTCATGATGGAGAGAGAGTGGTTCCTGCCGTCCGAGCTCATCTCGTACTTCCGCGACTCCACCACCTCTTTGCCGTTGTGGTACCACTTGATGTCGGGCATGGGTCTGCCGATGATCTGGCACTTCATGATGGCGGGCTGGCCCAGTTTGGCCGTCACCTCATCCATCTCCTTCCTCAGGCTGGGTTTGTTCTCCACTGAAGACACAAGGACAGGTTTAGACCAGGAGCGACTTGTGGAGGCCTCTTCATAGTTCTGTTTTCATTTATCTGATTCTGGCCAAACCTAAACCTCCAGATTCGTGTTATTGTCAGGGAGAGCCATGAAATCACAAAATACTGCTACAGCTACAGTATACAACTACAGTATACAAAGACTAGACTATGTGTTGGGTTACATATCACATTGGCAAACACTAAAAGATACCCAGCTTTCTGTGGACCAGTCCTGGGACTCGGTCTGTCCCTGTGGACCTGTCCTCACCCATGAGCTTGGTCTTGATGCAGGTGGCGGTCCTCCTGGGGCGGCTCATTCCGGTCTCGTTCTCGGCGAACACTCTAAACTCGTACTCCGTGGCCTCGGCAAGTCCGGGCATCAGGAACTCGGGGTTCTTGATGCGCTGTCGGTTGCTTTTCTTCCAGGCGCTCTCGATGGACTTGCGGTACTCCACCCAGTATCCCAGGACGGGCTTCCCACCGTCGCACTCAGGCACAGACCACTTCAGTGAGATGGAGCTGTTGGTGACGGCCACAGTGTCCATCTCTCCAGGCTGACTGGGCTTGTCTGCGGAGAGGCAAGTCATATGGTTACACAGCTGTGCTCAACATTTACACACTTTTGAGGCGGCTCAGGAATTCACAGGAACTGGTGGCTTTTTACAAGAGATTCCAGAAAGAGACCAGAGACTAGAGAGAGACCAGAGAGAGACCCGCAACCAGAGAGAGACAGACACCAGAGAGACTGGAGAGTGAACCCCTTTTAAGCTCAGCCACATGAGACTGAGGTGAGGGTTGGTGTTAAGAGCCTCCTCACCGAATGGATCCTTGCAGATGATGGCGTCGGAGGCGGAGCCAGGCTGGCTCTCTCCGATGGCGTTCACCGCGATGATCCTGAAGTGGTATTCTGCGTCCGCTGTAAGCCCCGTTACCGTGAACATAGTGGTGAGCTTGGCGTCTCCATGGCGACTCCAGGACTCCGCCGTCACCTCCTTATACTCCACGATGTAACCAGTGAGCGCCGAGCCGCCGTCGTGTTTGGGTCGAGCCCACGCCAGCCCCACAGAGCTCTTGGTCACGTCCATGATCTCTGGAGCAGCAGAGGGCGGCTCCGGGGCACCTGTGGGGAGGGGGCGTAAGTATGGGCTCATGGTGGGGGGGGGTCTGCACTGTTTAATGTGTGTTTATGTGTGAGTGGTGGCGAGAAGACCAGACCAGGTTCATCAAGACATTTAACAAATCTATTGTCTATCTAGTCCCGGTTGAGTCCAGCATCATGTTGTATGGTTGTGTCTGGTGATGGTAGTATCATGTTGTTTGGGCGGTAATATCCTATGTGGGCACTGTCTGTTTCCAATGAGGTTTTACTGTCAATGGCAAATTAATTAGAATCTGGTGATGATCGGGTGTGATGGATGGTAGTATCCTGCTATAGTTTGGTCGTGTCTGGGGATGATCTGGTGTCTCCGTGGGGCACTCACACAGCGGCGTCTGTGGCACCAACGGTTGCTCGGACTTGAGCGATGAGCTGACTCCAAAGGCGTTCTCTGCAGTGACCTTGAAGTGGTACTCGGTTCCTTCGTTGAGACCCTTGACCAGCAGCTGTGTGTCAGTGACGCGGGAGTCCACCGTGTACCAGGCGTTCCTGGTGGCCTCGCGGCGCTCCACGATGTATCCCAGCACCTCCGAGCCGCCGTCGTCTGTGGGAGCCTTCCATCCCACTCTCACACTGTTGTTCTGCACCTCATCGAACAGCAGGGGGCCCTCCGGAGCACTGGGCCGGCCAATCACCTTCACCTGAGGGGGGAGGGGAGGGAGGGAGGAGGTGAGGGGGGGGATACAGGGAGAGGGGAGCAGGAGGAGAGAGAGGGGGAGGTGTGTGGGTAGGGGGGAGAGAAAGAGGAGGGGGGGAGAGGGAGACACAGGGGAGAAGATGGGGGGTGAGGTGTGAAGTCCACTCCCATAGAAATGGTTTAGACCTGGTTCAGTCCTGGTTCAGTCCTGGTTCAGTCCTGGTTCAGTCCTGCTTCAGCCCTGGTTCAGTCCTGCTTCAGTCCTGCTTCGGTCCTGGTTCAGTCCTGCTTCGGTCCTGGTTCAGTCCTGCTTCAGTCCTGGTTCAGTCCTGCTTCAGTCCTGCTTCAGTCCTGGTTCAGTCCTGCTTCGGTCCTGGTTCAGTCCTGGTTCTGTCCTGGTTCTGTCCTGCTTCAGACCTGGTTAAGACTTGGTTCACATCTGCTTCAGTCCTGGTTCTGTCCTGGTTTAGACCTGTTTCAGTCCTAATTCAGTCCTGATTCAGACCTGGTTCAGTCATGGTTGAGTCCTGGATCAGTCCTGGTCTTACCTTGATCTGGACCTTCTTGGTGCCGACTCTGTTCTGTAGCAGGAGTGTGTAGAGGCCAGAGTCCGCACGCTCGGCTCCTTTGATGACCAGTTCGCTGGCGTCTTCGGTGGAGGCGATCATGGCGGTCGCTGACACGCCAGGGCCGTCCTTGGACCAGGTGCCGGTCGGCTGTGGCTTCCCTCTGATCGGCACGGACAGGCGCACCACGCCGCCCTGTCTCACCACATACACGTCCTTGTACTTCAGCTCCAGCTCGAAGTCTGGGGCCTCTGTGAGAGAAGGAGACTGTGAGAGATCCCACTGGACTGGCCAGACCTGAGTTAGACCTATGTTAGGCCTGGGTTACACCTGAGGTAGATCTGGGTTAGGCTGGGTTAGACCTGAGGTAGACCTGGGTAAGACTTGAAGTAGACATGAGGCAGACCTGAGTTAGATCTGGGTTAGACCTGAGGTAGATCTGAGATAGACCTGGGTAAGACCTGAAGTAGATTTGAGTTAGACTTGTGTTAGACCTGAGATAGACCTGGTTAAGACCTGAAGTAGATATGAAGTAGACTTGGGTTATATCTTGGCTAGAGTCCAGTTAAAACAGCTGTTCTATCAGATTTGGGTTGCGCTCTGATGTCATTCTTGGAGGACATGCTTTAGATGTATTTGGGTCGTGTGTTGGGTCATGGCGTACCCAGCATCTCTGTGATCTTCACCACGCCGGGCACCTCAGCCGCCTCGCCGCAGCCGCCCGCGTTGCAGGCCAGGACCCTGAAGTGGAAGTCTGCGCCCTGAGGCATGTTGGTGAGCGTGTACTCGCAGATCAGCGATGGCGTGGTGTTACATTTGGTCCAGGCGACACTGCCCTCCTTCTGCATCTCTATCAGGTACCCGTCCAATCGAGCGTCTCCCTCGTCGTCCGGAGGGTTCCACGCCAATGACACAGAGGAGCTGGTGGTGTCTGTGACCCGTGGGTTCTGTGGGCAGCCAGGCGGGTCTGTGGGAGGGAGAGGGTCAGCACGGGCGGAGCTATAGGCTGAGAGGTGGTGGGGACAGACTGAGGTATGATGGTGTTATGGGGACAGACTGAGGTATGGTGGGGTTATGGGGACAGACTGAGGTATGGTGGGGTTATGGGGACAGACTGAGGTATGGTGGGGTTATGGGGGACAGACTGAGGTATGATGGGGTTATGGGGACAGATGGAGGTATGATGGTGTTATGGGGACAGACTGAGGTATGATGGGGTTATGGGGACAGACTGAGGTATGATGGGGTTATGGGGGACAGACTGAGGTATGGTGGGGTTATGGGGACAGACTGAGGTATGATGGTGTTATGGGGACAGACTGAGGTATGGTGGGGTTATTGGGACAGACTGAGGTATGGTGGGGTTATGGGGACAGACTGAGGTATGGTGGGGTTATGGGGACAGACTGAGGTATGGTGGGGTTATGGGGACAGACTGAGGTATGATGGTGTTATGGGGACAGACTGAGGTATGATGGGGTTATGGGGACAGTCTGAGGTATGGTGGGGTTATGGGGACAGACTGAGGTATGATGGGGTTATGGGGACAGACTGAGGTATGGTGGGGTTATGGGGACAGACTGAGGTATGATGGGGTTATGGGGACAGACTGAGGTATGATGGGGTTATGGGGACAGACTGAGGTATGATGGTGTTATGGGGACAGACTGAGGTATGATGGTGTTATGGGGACAGTCTGAGGTATGATGGTGTTATGGGGACAGACTGAGGTATGATGGTGTTATGGGGACAGTCTGAGGTATGATGGTGTTATGGGGACAGACTGAGGTATGGTGGGGTTATGGGGACAGACTGAGGTATGATGGTGTTATGGGGACAGACTGAGGTATGATGGGGTTATGGGGACAGACTGAGGTATGGTGGGGTTATGGGGACAGACTGAGGTATGATGGTGTTATGGGGACAGATTGAGGTATGGTGGGGTTATGGGGACAGACTGAGGTATGGTGGGGTTATGGAGGACAGACTGAGGTATGATGGGGTTATGGGGACAGACGGAGGTATGATGGGGTTATGGGGACAGACGGAGGTATGGTGGGGTTATGGGGACAGACTGAGGTATGATGGTGTTATGGGGACAGACTGAGGTATGGTGGGGTTATGGGGACAGACTGAGGTATGATGGTGTTATGGGGACAGACTGAGGTATGGTGGGGTTATGGGGACAGACTGAGGTATGGTGGGGTTATGGGGGACAGACTGAGGTATGGTGGGGTTATGGGGACAGACTGAGGTATGGTGGGGTTATGGGGACAGACTGAGGTATCGTGGGGTTATGGGGGACAGACTGAGGTATGATGGGGTTATGGGGGACAGACTGAGGTATGATGGGGTTATGGGGGATAGACTGAGGTATGGTGGAGTTATGGGGACAGACTGAGGTATGGTGGGGTTATGGGGACAGACTGAGGTATGATGGGGTTATGGGGACAGACTGAGGTATGATGGTGTTATGGGGTCAGACTGAGGTATGGTGGTGTTATGGGGACAGACTGAGGTATGATGGGGTTATGGGGACAGACTGAGGTATGATGGTGTTATGGGGACAGACTGAGGTATGATGGTGTTATGGGGACAGACTGAGGTATGATGGTGTTATGGGGACAGACTGAGGTATGATGGTGTTATGGGGACAGACTGAGGTATGATGGTGTTATGGGGACAGAGACTGAGGTATGGTGGGGTTATGGGGACAGACTGAGGTATGATGGTGTTATGGGGACAGACTGAGGTATGATGGTGTTATGGGGACAGACTGAGGTATGATGGTGTTATGGGGACAGACTGAGGTATGATGGGGTTATGGGGTCAGACTGAGGTATGGTGGGGTTATGGGGACAGACTGAGGTATGATGGTGTTATGGGGACAGACTGAGGTATGGTGGGGTTATGGGGACAGACTGAGGTATGGTGGGGTTATGGGGACAGACTGAGGTATGGTGGGGTTATGGGGACAGACTGAGGTATGATGGTGTTATGGGGACAGACTGAGGTATGATGGTGTTATGGGGACAGACTGAGGTATGATGGGGTTATGGGGACAGACTGAGGCACTTACCGATGGGGTCTGTTGCCACAGCAGGCTTAGAGGGCAGGCTAGGCTTGCTGTTGCCTCGGGCATTAATGGCAGTAATGCGGTGCTCGTACTCCAGGCCCTCGGTGAGCTCCGTGGAGCGGTACCGGGTCATGGTGATGGGGTTCTTGTTGGCGCGCACCCATCGGTCGGAGCGCACTTCCTTCCTCTCCACCACATAACCAGACACCTCCAGTCCGCCGTCCGTCTCGGGCACATCCCAGGCCACAGTCATACCGTCTCGGGACACGTCAAAGATGATGGGGCGACCCGGGGGTCCAGGGACATCTGTGGGAGGGACATAGTTATGTATGATTACCTATTCTATCAACACTGACAGATATTGGTCTCTGCTCCTTATGGACCAATGGCTCCATGTATTTTTTATCATTGCATTTCCTGTATTTGAACTGTTTGATTCTCTGATGTGTGTTGGCGAATCAACAACTTTGTAACTTTGTCCTCCGAGATAAGTACTGTTGTGATTTAGAGCTATACTATACGAAAGGTTGCCCACCCATCATCTTCAGAGTGAGCAACTCTTCCTTTTAATAATCCCAAGAGCAAACACAAAACTATAAGTTGAATTGAATGTGTGTGTCTCTTTGTGTGAGTGTCTCTGGGTGTGTGTGTCTCTTTGTGTGAGTGTCTCTGGGTGTGTGTGTCTCTGGGTGTGTGTGTGTCTCTTTGTGTGTGTGTCTCTGGGTGTGTGTGTCTCTTTGTGTGTGTGTCTCTTTATGTGTGTGTCTCTGGGTGTGTGTCTCTGGGTGTGTGTCTCTTTGTGTGTGTGTCTTTGTGTGAGTGTCTCTTTGTGTGAGTGTCTCTGTGTGTGTGTGTCTCTTTGTGTGTGTGTCTCTGGGTGTGTGTGTCTCTTTGTGTGTGTGTCTCTGGGTGTGTATCTCTGGGTGTGTGTGTCTCTTTGTGTGTGTGTGTCGCTGGGTGTGTGTGTCTCTGTGTGTGTGTCTCTGGGTGTGTGTGTGTGTGTGTCTCTTTGTGTGTGTGTCTCTGGGTGTGTGTCTCTGGGTGTGTGTGTCTCTTTGTGTGTGAGTGTCTCTTTGTGTGTGTGTCTCTGGGTGTGAGTGTCTCTTTGTGTGTGTGTCTCTGGGTGTGTGTCTCTAGGTGTATGTGTCTCTGGGTGTGTGTGTCTCTGGGTGTGTGTGTCTCTTTGTGTGCATGTCTCTTTGTGTGCATGTCTCTTTGTGTGTGTGTCTCTGGGTGTGTGTCTCTGTGTGTTACTCACTGTTGAGGCTCTTGCAGGTCACCACCTCAGACTGCAGGTACTCTCCGGTGCCGTAGCGGTTGATCGCCGCGGCTCGGAACACGTACTCGTCGCCCTCGATGAGGTTGGTGAAGCGGTACGTGGGTCGACTGACAGAGTCACACACGGGCACCCAGCCGGGTCGGTGTGCGTCCCTCTGCTCCACCACGTACCCACTGACCGGGGCGCCGCCATCACGGAGCGGGGGACTCCAGCTAAGCACCACAGATGTAGCGTCCACCTCGTCAAACTTCATGGGGCCCTCAGGCGAATCCGGCTTGGCTGAGGGCAGAAGAGAAGGTTAGCTGAACAGGAAGGGCTAGCTTCCGCAGAGTTAGTCAAATGGGAGGGGCTAACCCAATAAGTACGTAAGTAATCTTCATTTATATCGGCTAGTAGACAGTTAGCTGAACGGGTTGTGGTTGGAAGAGACAATTAGCGGAACAGTTTGTGGTTGGCAGAGACAGTTAGCGGAACAGTTTGTGGTTGGCAGAGACAGTTAGCGGAACAGTTTGTGGTTGGCAGAGACAGTTAGCGGAACAGTTTGTGGTTGGAAGAGACAGTTAGCGGAACAGTTTGTGGTTGGCAGAGACAGTTAGCGGAACAGTTTGTGGTTGGCAGAGACAGTTAGCGGAACAGTTTGTGGTTGGCAGAGACAGTTAGCGGAACAGTTTGTGGTTGGCAGAGACAGTTAGCGGAACAGTTTGTGGTTGGCAGAGACAGTTAGCGGAACAGTTTGTGGTTGGAAGAGACAGTTAGCCGGACGGTCAAAGCTAGAATGGTGTGTGTGGACATGTGAGGTTAGCTTCAGGTCATGGGAGGTTAGCTTCAGTGAGGTTAGCTTGAGGACTCACAGAGCACGGTGAGCTTGATCTTCTCGGTCACCGTTCCCACCACGTTCTTCAACTCGATGGTGTACTCCCCGCTGTCGTCGATGGTCGGGTCGCTCATGGTGAGGCAGGTGCTCTTGCCCGTGCTCTTCACCTTCACGCGCTCCGTGATCTTCAGACGGTTATCGGCAAAGTACCAGGCGCAGGCAGGAGGGGGACGACCCACGATCGGCAGCTCCAGCTCCAGAGTCTTCCCAGCAACAATGTTCACCACTCTCTGAGGCAAACTGGACAAGTCGACCTCGGGCATCACTGCAGAGAGAAGACCGGGTTAGTCTTCTATCAGCTCTCCTCTCTCTCTCTCCTTTCGCTGTCTCTCTCTCTCCTCTTCTCCTCTCTTTGCTCTCTCTTCAGCTCTCTCCTCTCTCCTGCCTCTTCTCTCTTCCTTCTCTCCTCTCTCTCCCCTCCTATCTCTCTCCTCTCTCTCTCTCCTTTCGCTGTCTCTCTCTCTCCTCTTCTCTTTGCTCTCTCTTCAGCTCTCTCCTCTCTCCTGCCTCTTCTCTCCTCTCTCTCCCCTCCTATCTCTCCCCTCTCTCCTCTCTCTCCCCAAAGCTCTCACCACTCTCTCCTTTCTCTCCTCACCCCTCCCCCCACCTCTCCTTTCTCTCCTCGACCCTCCACTCAGCTCTCACCTCTCTGCTCCTGGACGGTCACCGCGGTCACCAGTTCTCTGGCTTCACTGGCTCCTCTGCTGTTCACTGCTCGGAGTCTGAACAGATACTGCTCCTTCTCGTTGAGTTTCTCCACAGTGTATTCCAGGTCTGTGAGCTTCAGCGTCGCCACCTTCATCCACTTGTCTGTGCCGAACTTACAGGCCTCTATCACGTATCCCACCAGTCTGCTACCGCCATCGTGCTCCGGCTTCTCCCAGCCCAGAGACACTGAGGACTTAGTCACATCTGTCACCTGCACAGAGGGAGAGAGGGAGGAGGAGAGGACACACAGGGAGAGAGGGTCAGGGTATAATTCAGAATTGAAACTTATGGAGTTAGACCACACAAACAAAAGACAAACCAGGACAAACCAGGACAACACTAGGAGCGGAGTGGTCACCATCATGGATAAAGCAATAATGTTTTGCTGAATTGGAGTTCTTCCTGACACGGTTTTCTGCTGAGAGCACTGCCTTTCCATCCATTTTAAGTGAAAAAGTTTCAACATTTGAACTTTGAGCATGGGCAACTCACGTAGACCGGGTTAGACCTGGTTTAGACTTCATGTAGACCTGGTTTTAGCCTGGTTGGACCGGGTTTAAGCTTTATTTTGTTTAGTTTAGACCTGCTGTAGTCCTAGTTTATACCTGCTGTAGTCCTAGTTTATACCTGCTTTAGTCCTGCTTGAGACCTGGTTAGACCTTTAGAACTGCTTTAGGCCTGGTTAGACCTGGTTTAAACTTGATTCAGACCCTTGTCCTGCCTTACCTCGAACTTGGAGGGCGGCATTGGCACGTCACAAACCAGGATGACGTCAGGAGTCTCTCGAGCTTCTCCGACTCCGTAGATGTTCTCTGGGAGGACTCTGAAGTAGTAGAGCATTCCTTCCAGCAGGTTGTCGATGTGGTACGACGTCTTGCTGCACTTGGCGGTGACGGTTTTGTAGGCGCGCATGGACGCCTCGCGCCGCTCCACCACGTAGTTGTTGACCGGAGCGCCGCCGTCCACCGTGGGAGCCTCCCACGAGATGGTGACGCTGTCTTTGTTCAGCTCTTTGATCTGGATGGGACCAGTGGGCCCAGGCGTGTCTGTGGAGAGGAGAGCAGTGACAGGTCAGTCCCAGCAGGGGGCGAGAGTGAGAGCATCACGGCAAGAAACAGATGAGGAAGGAAGGGAGAGAGGGAGAGGGAGAGGGGGGGGAGGGGCAGGGAGAGAGGCAGGTATAAGGGAGGAAGACAGGGAGAGGAGAGAGAGTGAGGCAGGCCCGAGGGATAGAGAGAGGAAGGCAGAGAGAGTGAGGGGGTGGGGGAGAGAGGGGTCGAGGGGTCAGATAGACGTGTGTAGTGTCAGTGTAGTGACGTGTGTTACTGTAGGCGCTCACCATAGACCTTGACCAGGATGTGCACTTCCTGTTTGCCAGAGCTGTTTTCTGCGCTCAGAGTATACTTTCCGGCGTCGTAGCGGTGAACTTTGTCGATGATGAGCTGCGTAGAGGTGGCTGTAACCTCAATGAAGCCGCGGGTCGCCAGGTCCACACCCGGTTTGGTCCAGGTGATGGCGGGAGCGGGACGACCCGTCACGTTCACCTGCATCTTCAGAGAGCCACCGGCACGGAGGCAGATGGTCTTCTTCAGGTCGTCATGGAGCTCAAAGTCTGGGGTCTCTGTAGGGGAGAGGGGGGGAGGTCAATACGGGACATTACAGCTGTCAAAGGACTCAAGTGTTTGGGTCTAGGTCTAAGTCCAAGTCTGGGTCCTGGTCCTCACCCAGTCTCTCCACGGGCTTGGTCTCAGTCTGGGTCTCAGTCTGGGTCCTGGACCTTACCCAGTCTCTCTACGGGCTCAGTCTCAGTTTGGGTCTGGGTCTTATTCTGGGTCTCAGTCTGGGTCCTGTCCTTACCCAGTCTCTCCACGGGCTCGGTCTCAGCACACGGGTCGCTGAAATCGCCCGTGCCGTTGATGTTGATGGCTGCCACTCTGAACAAATATTTCTTTCCTGCGCTAAGGCCGGTCACGGTGTACTCTGACGACCTCAGGGTCTTGTCGTGGGCCTTGGTCCATTCCTCTGCCCCGGACTCCTGCTGCTCCAGGATGTATCCCATCACCTCAGCCCCACCGTCCTCCACGGGCCGCGACCAGGCCAGGCTGATGCTGTCGGCGTGAGTGTCCGTGATGCGAGGGATGGAGGGGGCCATGGACACACCTAGGGATCAGAGACACAGAACATGACTATGAAGGTCTGCTGATCCGTCTTCCTGATCCTGACCTGCTTTAGTCCTGTTTTAGTCCTACATTAGACCTACATTAGACATTCTTTAGACCTACTTTAGTCCTGCTTTAGACCTACTTTAGACCAACTTTAGTTTGCTTTAGACCTACTTTAGCTCTGCTTTAGTCCTACTTTAGAACTACTTCAGTCCTGCTTTAATCCAGTTTTAGTCCTGCTTTAATCCAGTTTTAGTCCATATTTAGTCCAGGTCCAGTCTCTTACCTGTGGGCACCCTGCAGACCACGTACAGAGACACCTCACTGGGCTCGCTCTCCCCAGCCTTGTTGATGGCGGTGACCCTGAACTGGTAGATGTTTCCCTCCGTGAGCCCGCCCACTTTGAGGCAGGTGTCCAGGAAATGACCGTCGCGGTTGACCTTCACCCAGCGGGCGCTCTTCCTCTCGTGCCGCTCCACCAGGTAGTGGGTGATGGGGCTGCCTCCGTCCGACTCGGGCTTCAACCACTCGATGGTTGCAAAGTCTTTTCCAGATACCAGGATCTCGGGCGCTCCGGGGGGAGTGGGCACCGCTGTGGAGGAGAGAGAAGAGGAGAGAGCAGAGTGGAGAAGGGAGGAGACAGGAGAGGAGAGGAGAGAGGAGAAGGGAGGAGAGGGAAGAGGAGAGAGGCGAGGAGAGGAGTGCGGAGAGAGGAGAGAGAGTAGAGGAGAGGGGTGTGGAAAGAGGAGAGAGAGGAGAGGTTCGAGCAGAGGAGAGGAGAGGGGAGAGTGGAGAGAGGGAGAAGGTAGAGAGGGGTTAGACCACTGTCTCAAATGGAACTCTAGCTGAAGCAGCAGCAGTAGTACCACTATCACCGCCAGTATCAGCAATAGCAGTACTCACTGAAGGTGTTCCTGGCCACCATAGGTGCAGACTGCAGAGGCACTCCAGGGCCGTACTTGTTGATGGCCCTCACTCTGAACAGGTACTCTGTGTTCTTGAACAGGTGGTTGATGTTACAGGTCAGCTCTGTGCACTGGGCGTCCATCACCACCCAGTTCAGACGGTTGGTGTCGCGGCGCTCCACCATATAGTACGCCACGTCATCGCCGCCGTCCTCCAGTGGCGCCTTCCACGTCAATACACACGATTCCTCTGTGACCTTTGAGATCTCGATTGAGCCCTCACACACGCCCGGAGTGTCTGCCACAAAAACAATATGGAGTAAGAGATGGCCAGGAAGAGCATCAGTCCTGGATCTACAGCCTCAGTTATTCTTCAGCCTCAGTCCTGGGTCTACAGCCTCAGTCCTGGATCTACAGCCTCAGTCCTGGGTCTACAGCCTCAGTCCTGGATCTACAGCCTCAGTCCTGGGTCTACAGCCTCAGTCCTGGATCTACAGCCTCAGTCCTGGGTCTACAGCCTCAGTCCTGGATCTACAGCCTCAGTCCTGGGTCTACAGCCTCAGTCCTGGGTCTACAGCCTCAGTACTGGATCTACAGCCTCAGTCCTGGGTCTACAGCCTCAGTCCTGGGTCTACAGCCTCAGTCCTGGATCTACAGCCTCAGTCCTGGATCTACTACAGCCTCAGTCCTGGGTCTACAGCCTCAGTCCTGGGTCTACAGCCTCAGTCCTGGATCTACAGCCTCAGTCCTGGTCATCTACAGCCTCAGTCCTGGGTCTACAGCCTCAGTCTTGGATCTACAGCCTCAGTCCTGGATCTACAGCCTCAGTCCTGGGTCTACAGCCTCAGTCCTGGATCTACAGCCTCAGTCCTGGGTCTACAGCCTCAGTCCTGTGTAGTGTAACAGGTGGATCATTACCAAGCACTTTGACGTTGACCTCAGCGGTCTTGGTTCCGCTCACGTTCCTCACGGTCAGCACATATTTTCCCGTGTCGTCGCGGTCGCAGAACTTGATGACGGCCATGGCTTTGGTGGGTGTGTAGGTGAGCTGGTATTTCTCACACAGCTCCAGGTCTCTTGTTCCTTTGGCCCACGAGGCCTTGGGGTCCGGCCGGCCACCCACCGCCGCGTCCAGGACCAGGTCAGACCCAGCACGCACAAACACGGTCTCCGACAGCAGCTTACTGTCCAGCTGGGCTTTGGGTGGTTCTGTGGATGGGGAGGACGACAGGCTTGAGACGCAGACATGAAGTATGTGACATAGAGAGAGACTGTATACAGAGGAACAATGCTAACCCACAAACTCAGTGCTAACCCGCTAGCTCAAGTCTAACCCGCTTTTTCAAAGCTAATGGCTAGCTCAAGTATACATCCTAATATGGTTAGAAGCCCAGTGTACATTACCGAAGTCGGTCTTGCACTGCACAGAGCCCGTGGACTCGGAGGGCAAGCTGTAGACCTGGTTCTGGTTCTTGGCGATGACCCTGAACTCGTAGGGCTCTCCCTCGCCAAGTGCGGTCACGGTGTAGAAGTTGTCTGTCACATTGGTGTAGTTGCACTTGAGCCAGCGGCCCTCTCCAGTGATGGTGTAGGGCTTCCTCTCCACGATGTAGCCAGTGATGGGCGAGCCGCCGTCGTTCAGCGGTGCCCCCCACTTCAGAGACACGGTGGTGCGGGTCACGTTGGTCACCTCGGGTCTGCTCGGGGAGTCTGGGGATAGACACGGGAGGAGGACATAGGATTAGGACACAGGAGCTGGACACAGGAGCTGGACACGGGAGCTGGATGGTAAAGCAGCTGTGACTGTCTCTCTGTGCGTGTGTTCTCAATGACGGGGTTCAGGTGTGTGTGTGTGTGTGTGTGTGTGTGTGTGTGTGTGTGTGTCTCTCTCTCACCAACAGGGTTCTGGGCCACAGTCCCCTTGCTGGCCTCGCTGGGCTTGCTGAGACCGGCAGAGTTCATGGCGTAGACCCTAAACTGGTACTCCAGTCCCTCCACCAGCCCCTCAGCCGCATAGTAGCAGTCGAAGCACGGGATCTTGTTCTCGCGGACCCACAGGATGTTGTTGCGTTCCTTCTTCTCGATCCAGTAGCCCGTCACTTTGCTGCCGCCGTCGTTGTAGGGCTCCTCCCATTTCAGCGTGAGCGCATTGGCCGACACGTTGAAGGTTGAGGGGCGGGTCGGTGGGCCAGGGGGAGCTGAGACGAGAGAACATGTTAGAAACATGTGAAACCTGCACCCCGACTCCAACATACAACCTTAAAAAACACTAACTGTCTGTGACGCTGCATATGCAGCCCCCTGCAACCTCATCCCCCTCCCCATGGGCCAAAGGCTCCTCTGTCTTTGCCATTATTGAATTTGCATTTGATCTGTTGTTGGTAAATTGATAACTTTGGAATAATAAATACTATCAAACAGTACTCTTACTCTCTCTAATCCTGTATCTACTCTTTGCACTGACACTCACAGCCTCAGCTCAGAAGGAGGTGACTTACTGAAGGGGTGCTCTGCCACAATGGTCTCAGACTCAGTGGACTTGCTGATGCCAAAGCGGTTCTCCGCGGAGACTCTGAAGGTGTACTGCATATACTTGGTGAGATGTCCCACATGGAGCGAGGTCCTCTTCACGCTGGAGTTGATGAGCTGCCAGGCTGTGGAGCCGGACTCTCTCTTCTCCACGATGAAGTTGGTGATGGGCGTTCCCCCATCGTCCTCAGGCGCCTCCCACTCGATGACGCAGGACTCAGAGGTGATGCCAGAGATGGCAATGGGCCCGGTGGGGGGGCTGGGGCGCGCCGTCACGTTCACCTCCACAGTGAAGGTCTTGGTGCCGGCGGCGTTCTCCAGGGTCAGGTGGTACTTACCGCCGTCTCCCCTCATGGCATCCTTCACGGTGATGCTGCACCGGTCTTTGCTGCTCTTGATGCTGACACGGTCTGAGTTCTTCAGCCGCATGTCTTCCAGTCTCCAGGAGACCTTGGGTGCGGGGCGACCGCTGATGGGCAGCTCGATGGTGAAGGTGCTGCCGGAGCGGCAGCAGATGAGCTGGTTGGGGATGTCGCTGAGGTCAGCCGCAGGTTCGATGTGTGGTTCTTTGACCAGCACCGCAGCAATGGTCTCCTTGGGCAAGCTGAGGCCAGCATCGTTCTTGGCCTTCACTCTGAATTCATACTCGTCGTTCTTGTTGAGTTTGTCCACGGTGTAGCTCTGGGTCTTGGTGTTGCCCACCACCATCCACTTGTCTCCCCCTTTGGGTCGCGCCTCCAGGAGGTATCCCTGCACACGACTGCCTCCGTCGTGCTCTGGTTTGGGCCAGCCCAGCACCACAGTGCTGTCTGTGGTGTCCAGGACGTCCAGGCGTTTGGGCGCAGAGGGCTCAGCTGTGGCCATAACCGGCTCGGTGATCTCCAGAGGCTCTCCCAGGCCGCGCTGGTTCTCTGCCAGAACTCTGAAAAAGTAGGGCACTCCCTCCAGCAGGTTGTTGATCTTCAGCTCGCACGCAGAGGTCTTGGATCCGGACTGGGCCCAGGTGCGCCGGCTGGCCTCGCGCCGCTCCACAATGTAGTGGTGGATCTTGGCTCCGCCGGTGTGAAGAGGAGCCTCCCACACCAGTGTCACCGAACCACGGGTCACCTCCTTAAACATAACGTTCTGAGGAGGTCCAGGCGTGTCCAAGACCTGCCGGGGAGAGAGCCATTAAGCACATGCCAAGAAAATACAAACGTAAAACTGGCCTCAGCCCCTCCTTTAACTCAAATTCCGCCCCCTGTTGGTGGAATATGGCCATGCCCCCTGCTGTTGTACTTTGACCCTGACTCCGCCCCCAGCTGATGTACCTGGACAGTGAAGGTGATGGCTTTGCTGCCGCTGCTGTTTTCCAGGGTGATGGTGTATTTGCCCGAGTCATTGCGTGTGCAGTTCTCGATGGACAGAGAGCTGTGTCCCTCCACAGTCTGCACCTCTGTCATGTGACCGAGCTCACCCTCGTCCCGGGCCCAGGTGGCAGTGGGTTCAGGTTTGCCACGGTAGTGCACGCCAAGGCACACGGAGCCGCCAGCCTTCACGATATGCGTCTGTTTGAAAGTGGCGTCGATGTCCACCTGAGGAGCAGTGAACCTCTCCACAGCCTCAGCCGGTTCAGACAGCTCCAGATCATCTCCACGACCCACATGGTTCACAGCGGCCACACGGAACCTGCACAGGGGATGAGAGGCAGGGATTTTAGAACACCGTTTAGGTCGTTAGACTGGCTATCCCGATGAGGATCCAGTGGAGCAGGTTTAAAAAGCACTAAGTCAGAAGGGGCGGGGGACGTTGTATGGAGCTAACCACAGCTGCAGATCAGTAATGAGGAACTGTGCTGTATCTGTAAATACACTGCTCTTCGTCAAACACAAGGCCCACCTGACAGAGGCCCCTGATTTTCAGATATTACTATAACTTGGAGTAAGTAAGTAATGTTTATTTATATAGCGCATTTTACAGATCAAGGTACAGACCCAAAGCGCTTTACAATGTTCAGAGTCAGATATTGTTCCAATCATTCCACACACGGTGATGACAGAAGCGAGTCCAGAACACACTGGACCATCAGCTCCAATCAACTCCATCTCCATCTCTTATTTACATTCATACCTATTGTGCATGTTTTTAGTGGTAGGGGAAACTTCTGCACCTTCTCCACCGACTCCCACTGATGACTGCTGTCGTTGTGTCCTTGGGCAAGACACTTAACCCCACTTTGCCCAAAGCCCCCACTGAAAGATCAAGGCTATGCTCACACTCAGAGAGCAGCCGTCCTCCTGTGGACTCACCACCTGCAGAGGGTCAGTGAGGGGCTGGTGCTATGAGACTTGGGTGGCATCTCTGACTGCCACCCCCCTGACCCAGAAATGGATTAAAGGGTAGAAGATGGATGGATGGATGGATGGGAAACCGGAGCACCCGGAGAAAACCTACAGGTGCCAGCACTCTCATAAAAAAACACAGGGAGTCTCTAACTATTACCCAAATTGTGAATCAATCCATCAATGAAAGTGTGTTCCCCAGTGTCTTTAGAACTGCAGTTATAGCACCCATTCACAAATCTGGCAGCAAAAATGAAACTAGTAACATTAGTAAACTACCTGTAGTGTCTAAAATCCTGGAAAAGGCAATCATAGAGCAATTAGCAGAACATCTAAACTGTAATATTTTTTTACATTCAATGCCATTTGGTTTTCGTAGTCATCATTCCACTGATACTGCCTGTTGTTACTTGACGGAGAGTATTAGGGCGAGTCTGGAAAAGGGAGGTACAGTGGGGGCTTTGTTCTTGGACTTACAAAAGGCCTTTGACACGGTAAACCACTCTGTCCTCCTCTCCAGACTTGCTCAGTGTAATCTGTCCACAGAAGTGCTGCAGTGGTTCAAATCATATCTTACAGATCGGAGGCAGTGCGTGAGAGCAAATAATGCAATGTCCTCATTTAAACCCTGTACAACAGGAGTCCCACAAGGTTCCAACCTGGGGCCCTTGTTGTTCAGCATTTATATCAATCAACTTCCTGAGGTGTGCCAAGATGTGGAGGTCATCATGTATGCAGATGACGCTGCATTCTACACACATGGCAGGGATATGCAGCAAGTGGCCTCAAAGTTTTCTCTTGCGATGGACAAAATTGAGAATTGACTCAAATCCGCTTGCCTAACTTTAAACACAAATAAAACATTTGGCATGGTCTTTCACAAAACAAACAATACCAAAAAGATGCCTAACATCTATGTCAATGGAATGGCTCTCAAAATTGTTACAGAGACAAAAAAGATACAATATAATGCATCATCCTTAAGACACATGAGGAACAGTCTGACCGTTGAAGCGGCGTTCACACATTTCAATGCCATGATGGTTCCTCACATCAGACTGTTCATCCAGCTGGTCTCAGGCCAATGAGACTGCGCTCAAACCCCTCAGCTCAGTGTACAATCAGGCTTTAAAGGCACTGGACAAAAAACCGCTTCGCTACCATCACTGTCATATTTTGAGTAAGTATAAATGGCTGAGTTTTGATAATTTAATAACATTCAATAATCTAAGAAGCATATTCAAAATCACAAACAATTTAGCTCCACCTCCTCTGAAAATCTTTGTCAAACTTTGCTCTGAACAAATGTCCACTGTGAACAAAAACTGTGTGATCCCAAAAAGATCGTCGGCCTTTTCACAGTCGGCCTTTTCGTGTCGTGCCATTAAACAGTGGAACCAGCTTCAGTCTGAAATTGTCTGTAGATCTGAAACATTTCACTATTCATTTGAAAAAGCACATTTTAAACAGTCAATCGTGTCAACGTTTATGAACTTTAATGCATTAGAAATGTTATTTATTTAATCCTATGTCATTTTAGGAAAAAATTTAATGTATATATGATTGTATTTTTGTGTGAGGTAAGTTTGCTTTTATATTTGTGATGTGTGTGTGTTATCTGTGTGTGTATCTGTGTATATATCTGTTGTGTATCTGTGTGTGTATCTGTGTGTATCTGCCCAGGGACTACAGATGGAAAGTAGCTGCAGCTAAATCTGGTGCAAACCATCTCTTCTTTTGTAAAGACTAATGTTTTTTTTTACTTTGTCCCTGTTTTATAAACAATAAACTAAACTAAACTAAACATGCAAACTCCACTCAGAAAGACCCAGTTCCGACCGCGATTCGAACCCAGGACCTTCTTGCTGAGAAGCGAGAGTGCGATCCACTCAGCCCCCGTGGAGTATCGATTGTAAGGTTACTATGAGCCTCCAAGATAATAAAAAGAAAACAACCGTAAAATGTATTGCTCATTTAAAGCCAACATGTGATTACAAATAGCTAATTTTGTTGATTCTTGAAATTTGACCCAGTTTGGGTTCAGTCCAGACACACAAGAACTGGAACAGTTTTGGTCAGAAAAATCTACCATGAAATAATGACTTTGATTACAGTGATCTTTTTGTGAAATGCCTTCAGAATCTAACACTGTGCCAGGTAGATTTTAAGTTTTCAATCTGTCCCCGACCAAGATCAGTTACTGCTGCACATATGTGTGCTCACCTGTAGGAGGCGCCGCTCTCCAGCTCCTTCACAGTGAACTGTGTATCTGAGATCAGCTCGTTCTCCTTGACTCTGGTCCATTCTTCTTCTTCTCCTTTGGCCATCTCCAGGATGTACCCCAGGACCTCCATGCCGCCGTCGTCGGCTGGCCGGGTCCATTCCAGGCTGATGGAGGAGCTGGAGGAGTCCGACACACACATGACCGAGGGGGCACAGGGGATGTCTTTGGGTTCAGCAGCGCGGATCGCCAGGGATACGTTACTGGGAGCTCCCACGCCGGCGTCGTTTACAGCTAGAACCCTGAACTCGTACTCTGTGTCCTCGCTGAGGCCGCTCACTTTGTGGGCACACTCCACAATTGGTTTCTTTGTGATGACTTTGTAGAAGCGCAGCGTCTTCTTCTCGCGCTTCTCCACGATGTAGCACTGGATGGGGTTCCCTCCGTCAGAAGAGGGCGGTGTCCAGGCCAGCGTGATGCTCTCTCCGGTGACTTCTGTGGCATCTGGAGTACCAGGGGCATCCGGGGCAGCTGAGGAGAGAGTGCAGACTCAGAGAGGGCACACCAATGTCACTAGGATCAACCGCCTCAATCGTGGGTCTACAGCTTCAGTCCTGGGTCTACAGTCTCAGCCCTGGCCTGGGTCTACAGCTTCAGTCCTGGGTCTACAGCCTCAGTCCTGGGTCTACAACCTCAGTCCTGGGTCTACAGTCTCAGTCCTGGGTCTACAACCTCAGTCCTGGGTCTACAGCCTCAGTCCTGGGTCTACAGCTTCAGTCCTGGGTCTACAGCCTCAGTCCTGGGTCTACAAATTCAGTCATGGATCTACAGTCTTAGTCCTGGGTCCACACCCAAATTTCCCTTGGGACAATAAAGGTTATCTTATCTGTTGTTGATGAATCCACAACTTTGTAAAGTCCTCTAAACGTCATGTTCCCTCTTCAACCCTGGACACTCACTGTACTGCATCTGGGCGATGACTGGGCTGGACTCGACTGGCCGGCCCACCCCAAACTTGTTGACAGCAGAGACTCTGAACTGGTACTCGTTGGTCTTGATGAGTTTGGAGGCATTGAAGCTGCATGCCGTGCACTCGTCTGACACCAGGGCCCACGAGATCTTGGCGGTCTCGCGCTTCTCGATGATGTAATGCGAGATCTCGGAGCAGCCATCGTTCAGCGGAGCGCCCCAGGACAGTGTGCACTTCCCCTCAGAGATGTCCGAGAAGACGATAGGGCCGACCGGCTCGCCAGGGGTGTCTGTGCCAGAGGGGAAATGAGGCATTATCTCCAGTCTGTTTGTGAAACAAACTTGAGGAAGTTCATTGTTTTAGAATGTGAAATTATGAGGGACTTGAGCTCAAAGTAGAGATATGATCAGACCCACAGAATGTATACAGGTGGACAATGCTAGCATAGACTGTACACTCATACACAGTTAGCTCTACAGTATCTGTAGTGTCAGCGCTTATCTCAAGCGCCTCAAAAGTCAGCTCATACCTTGCACTTGCACCAGGATCTCCTCCCTCTTGCTGCCCGAGCTATTGGTGGCCTCCACAGCGTAGAGGCCACGGTGGGAGCGGTCTGCGTCGCGCACAAACAGCGTGCTGGAGCCCGGAATGGTGATGATGTCCATCATCTGTTTGGTGACCACCACGCCGTCTCGGTACCACACCACTTTGGGCTCAGGCCGGCCGGTCACCGTCACCTTCACCCGAATGTTGTCCCCTGCCTTCACCGTCAGACCCTCAAAGTACTCAGGCCCAAATTCAAGGTTGGGGGCAGCTGAGGGAGACAAGAACATTACTTAAGAAATAAACATGCTAACCCGCTAGCACAATGCTAACCAGCTTACCCAATACTAACCAACTAGCTCAATACCAACCCACTAGTTAAATGTAAATCCGCTAGCTCAATGCTAATCCTTGGGCTAGACTGGGACATTTTTGCCTCCTTGACGGCCCGGCCATTTCTTTTTTCATGTTTTTTTTTAATGGTTATTTTTACAGTATGCGGGAGCACATACTGTTGAGGCACAGGATATAGTCAGTTTCAACAACTATAATAAAGTGCAATGGTCTACATTGAGATGACATGAGACTGACATAGCACCATATTGTTTGTTACAGGGATGAGAATGAGACATTTCAAAGATGTCAGAAATGTATAATGTCAGTCAATGGCTGTTTGATTTATTCACAACATTTTACTTTTGGGCACAACCAACATGAACTGTTAATGCAAGAGGAAAACGTACGTACCCCAGCTTTAATTTAGCGAGTTTAGTTGCGCTTTGGGGTTACACAAAGACATGCACACAACAAGCACACTATGGTCATGTGTATGTATATGGTCTAGGGTACATGGCCACGTTAGTGCTGTGCACTGCGTCCAGTGGCTCACAGGCAGCCGCTGGACGTGGGAACCGCTGTCCAAAGCAGCCGCAGCTGCTCCTAAAGGCTGCAGGAGGATGTGCAATCTCGTTCGAGTTCAAACAGCAATCAACAGTGGTCATGCGTGCCCCCTCGAACATTTCTTAACAGATTTACACATTTCTCAAAAATGTCTTTTTTTATGGGCATCGGCCCTTCGGGGACTGCCCGGTGCGCCCGATGGCCAGTCCACCCCTGGCTAATCCACTAACTGGTCTAGTCTCTGGTCTCTTTCTGGTCTCTTGTTTCTCTGTGGTCGCTGTCGTCTCTTATAAGAACACAAATACCGGTAAGTCATATCGGTCTATACAGCACATTTGACGACCAAGGTTACACAAAGGTTAATAATCTGTTCTCTGTTCTCAATCCAACCTGTTTACATGTTTACAATGGTAGGAAAACCAGAGCCCCTCGAGGAAACCGGAGCACCTGAGAACAGGTAAATTCCCCCTCCATCTGTGCCCTCCCACACTCACCGTTCTCGCTGCGCACAATGATGAGGCCAGAGGAGTTGGATGGCGGGCTCACAACACCAATGGCGTTGCGGGCGATGACCCTGAACTCATATCGCTCGTTGGTGGCGAGACCGGTGACGGTGTACTGACAGTCGCAGCAGTCTGTGAGGTTGGCTTTGAACCAGCGACCTTTGCCCTGCCGCTTCTCCACAGTGTAGCCTGTGATCTTAGAGCCACCGTCTCGTTTGGGCGCATCCCATTTCAGAGACACACTGTCACTGGTCGTGTCTGTGTAGTCAGGCTGGCCAGGGGCGTCTGGAGAGAAAGAGAGGGTTAAACCAGGTCTAAAAAGGTCTAAAGCAGGTCTACAGAAAGTTTCTTACCAACAGGGCTCACAGCCATGGTGAGTTTGCTCTCGTCGCTCATGCGGCTGTGTCCTGCATCATTCTGGGCGTAAACCCTGAAGGAGTACTCCAGACCCTCGATTAGCTCCAGGATCCGGTACTCTGTGGCCTTCACTATCATTGTGTTTACCTGAGGAGAGACCAGTGAGTTCAGGCAGGTCCTAACCAGGACCAAAGGAGGTCCAAACCCTACTGTAGGTATACCCGAGGTGTAATTCAGAACCGAGGTATTACCTTCTGCCACATCACACTGTTGCTTTCCCTCTTCTCCACATGGTATCCTTGGATGGCGGTGCCTCCGTCGTACAGTGGCTTCTCCCATTGGATGGTCATGCCGTCGTTGGTGACGTTGTAGACGAAGGGTTTGCCTGGAGGTCCTGGAGGTCGGAACTGGTGCTTGGCCACGACCATCTGGGACAGCAATGCCTCACTCACACCGTAACGGTTCTCAGCGCACACACGGAACTGGTATTGCAACCCTTTGATCAAGTTTGGCACCTAGACGACACAAAGCACCGAGGGTTGACCTTCAGTATTCTCAAAAAACAAAGCTCTCTGGGAGTCTGCCAGAGTCTCCCCAGCACTCCCGGTCTCCACAGAGCTCAGTACTCTCACTCTAAAGAGACAGATACCTTGAACTGCGTGTCGGTCACGCAGGAGCAAGCCATCTTCCAGTCGTTCTTGGCCGTGTCGCGCTTCTCCACAGTGTAGCAGCTAATGTCTCCACCACCATCGTCGTTGGGTTCTTCCCAGGAGATGGTGATGCTCTCAGCTCTCACCTCGTCCAGTTTGATGGGACCCACGGGTTTGGTCGGCGGGCCAAGCGTCACCACGTGCAGGTGGAAGGACTTGCGGTTGACCTTGTTGTCCAGGGTCAGGGTGTACTTGCCCTCATTCTCTTTGGTTACAGATTTGATCATGAGTGTGGCTTTGCTGCCGGTGACTTTGAAGCGGATCTGGTCGCTCTCCTTCAGGGGCAGGCTGTCCTTCAGCCAGCTCACCATGGGCTTGGGTTTGCCACGGTACGGCAGCTCCACATGGACGTTATGGCCCAGCCGGATTTTCAGGAGGCTTCCAGGATACTCGGACATATCAGCCTCAGGTGTGATGATGTAGTCCACCTGAAGACGTTTAACAACAAGAGTTAAAGACAGAATTCAGCAATCCTTTAGTGCCTGCATCAGAAGGTTAGAGCTGGGGAAATATAGAATGAAATCCATTCACAGTTTGCCTCTATCGCTAGTTTTTAAGTAGGTCAAGTTAGGAAAAGTTGTCAAAATTCAGAAAATATTTTTTTTTTTGTCTACTTAAAATTACTGTGGTGGGTTATTGACCCGAGGGCAGCACTGTGAAATGTACCACTTTGATGGGCTGAGTACGTACCACTTTAATGGGCTGGGACAGGACAAAGTCTCCTTGTCCTTTCTCATTGCGAGCAGCGATTCTGAACTGAACTTCTGAATGTTCCTTGAGCTTCTTGATTTCAAACTCGCAGTGGCGGCTGGCTCCAGCGGATGACCATTCCTCTTCTCCTTTGGTCTTCTTCTCAATCACGTAGTCTGAGATGATGCTGCCGCCGTCGTACTCGGGTTTGAGCCACTGCAGAGTGACCGAAGTCTTGGAGGAGTCCTTCATGGAGACCTCCTTCACGGGGCCGGGTGTCTCTGTGGCTTTCACCGGCTCCACTGTCTCACACGGGTCTCCCACACCGTTCTCGTTCTCAGCCAGGACTCTGAAGAAAAAGGAGGTCTTCTCGGACAGGTCCTCCACAGAGAAGGTGGTGTCCATGCACTTGCTGGTGACAGCGGAGAAGGTGCGTTTGCTGGAGTCTCTTTTCTCCACAATGTAGTTGGTGATCTCGGCTCCTCCATCCGACAGTGGCGGCTCCCAGCACAGAGTGACCTTTCCTCGGGTCACATCCTTCAGCACCAGGTTCTGGCACTGGGCTGGACTATCCTGCACCTTCACCGACAGTGTGAGGCTCTTGGCTTCGCCCACGCCGTTCTGGATCTTCACAAGATACTTGCCCGTGTCGTTGCGGGTTACCTCGCGCAGCACCAGGGTGGAGCTGTTGTCGGAGTGGTGGAACTCGAAGCGTGGGTCTTTGTCGATGCAGGTCTCTCCCAGAGACCAGGAGGCAGTGGGGGCGGGCCGGCCTTTCATGGGCACAGAAAGCTCCACGTCTTTGCCAGCTTTCACCACGTAGTGAGTGCGCATGGCCACGTCTGTGTCCACCTGGGCCTCCTCTGTGGACGCACAAGAGAGACGTTTGATCAGAACAAGACCAAAACACAAGGACAAGCTGAAGTCTAGTTTCCCAGTCCCCTGGAGACTGGAGACACATGAGCCGCGAGGAGCGGAGCTACCTCCTCCCTTTAATTAAAATAAAAAATGACTCTTCTTCTGGCCCCTAGAGAAGCCATGTTCCAGCTGCTTCCTTCGGGCAGAAGATTGAGATTCTCACAGCTGTTACCATCTTTCCCCAAGCTGTTACCAGTTTGAACAAAGCATTTTAAAGCTGCACTAACCGACTTTATTTTTGTATTCATTACGAAAGTGCTATCCATGTCCATGCAGTGCATTGGGATATACGTCCTTTAGAAGAAAAAGTAGCGCAGGTTTGTGCTGGCGTGACATTATATTTTAGATCGAGTTTTGATGAAACAAGGAAGAGAATGTGTTTCGGGTCTCAGATTGTGACCAATCACAGCGGACCACTGGACCCCACTTTCGTGAGAAATCTACAAGTCCGTTAGCATAGACGGCTGAGTTAGCACAACAAGCGGCGGAGCTAACCTGAAACTTCCTCATCTGCGTCACCGGTTACTGCGTACACAGCGAGACAGCCATCCAAAAGAAAGTCCCGTTCCTCCGCACTTCCCAGTTCTATCGTTCTATGGTCACGCCATCCACGTGCAAATCCATATCCATGTATTATCCATATTGGGAGACGCTAGCTCCATCAACAACAGTGGGTGTGTGTGGGGGGGATAGCTTCGTGGGTGCGGGGAGGGGAGGAGAAGAGCGAGGCCAGCGAGTCTGGGGCTTCAAAATCCCAAAGTCAGTTAGTGCAGCTTTAATGTTCTTTTATATTGAAGCTGTTTTTGTTCAATTTCACTCTGTCAATTGTTTCTTGTACTTTTTATATTGTTTTATTCCTGTACTTTTAAGCTGGTTTTATTCATTTACTTGTCTGGTTGCCACTGGGGACTTTGCAAATGTATTCCAATGTGGAATACATAAGTATAGTAGATAACCGATACTACAATTAAAACGACTGTATCTATACGGCCACAGCTCACCACTAACTTCTCAGGTTTACTACTGAATGAGAGCAGTACTCACCCAGGATGTCTTTGGCCTGCACAGGCTCGGTCAGCTCCAGAGCCTCTCCCCGTCCAGCACAGTTCACCGCAGAGACTCTGAAGTAGTAGTCCTGGTCTGGTTTGAGGTCGTGGGCTGTGTACTCTGTTGTCTTCACTTCTCCTTTGGTTGTGAGCATGGTCCATTCTTCCTCCTCGCCCACGAGTTTCTCCACCATATAGCTGGTGACCTCACTGCCCCCATCCCACTCGGGCTTGGTCCAGCTCAGGGTGATGGAGGTCTTTGTGGAGTCCACCACCTTCAGCTTCACAGGCTCATAAGGAGTTTCTGAGAGACACAAGCAAACGTTTATGATCGGTGAAAAGTACGAGTGTAAGAGAATTCTACTGCAAGATTCGAGCAGGTCTAAAACAGGTCTACAGCAGGACAAAAGCAGGACTAAAGCAAGTCTAAAGGTTGACTAAAGCTGGTCTTAAGCAGGTCTAAAGGATGACTAAACAGGACCAAACCCCCGTCTTACACCCACGTCCTGTTACCCCCTCCCAGCTCTTACCGATGGGATCGGCGGCCTTATAGTAGTCCGAGGCGTCGGTGAAGGGCCCCTCGCCAGCCCGGTTGATGGCGCAGACACGGTACTGGTACTCGTTCCCTTCGGTCAGATGGTACACGGTCTGCTTGGGCTCTGTCACTGGGTCTTTGTAGACTTTGATCCAGCGCAGACTCTTCTTGTCTCTGCGCTCCAGGTAGTACCCTGTCACTGTGCTGCCGCCGTCCACGCCAGGTTTGGCCCACTCCACGACCTGAGTGGTTTTGGTGGACTCCGTGACCTCAGGCGTGCAGGGCTGACCAGGCGTCACTGTGAGGAGCATAGGAGTCACGTTATGGTCTGAACTACAGCTGTTCTTGTCGGCTGTGTAATAGGGTTGATTTGTTAAAAAGACCAACTGTTCCAAAGCCCGAGGAAACAGCTGACCACTGCCAGACTGGCCCTCAGAGCCATGTGTCGTAGTGTCAGCCTTTTTGGACTGACACTACGGGTGCACCACACGGTATCTTAATGTGCTTTTGACATAGAACACTGTGGTTCTATGTCAAAAAAGATACCTGAGCTTTCAAAACCAGCTACCCAAGCTTTACAATCAGACTCGGTAAGGGGACAGCTGGTCTCTCACCGAAGGCGTTCTTGGCAACCACAGGCTCGCTCTCCAGCACCTCTCCGACGCCGCATTTGTTGACGGCCATCACTCGGAACACATACTCGTTTCCAGCGACCAGCTTGCCGACCGTAGCGTGGTTCTGCTCCAGGCGCTCAGACACGGTGGACCAGACCACACGGCTGGTCTCACGTCTCTCCACCACATAGTGCGTCACTGGGTACCCGCCCTGATCCCACTCCGGCACGGGCTCCCAGCCGAAAGAGATCTTATCGGCCGACACGTGGCTGAAGCTGATAGAGCCGGCAGGAGGCCCAGGTTTGTCTGCCAGGAGAGAGGCAGTTACAAGGAGGAAAACAACTTAATATTGGGCTGGAGTCACATGGTGATGGTCTTACCCAGAACTTCCATGCGGATGGTTGCTGTGGCACTGCCCAGGACGTTGCGGACCTTGACCTCATAGGCCCCGGTATTGGCTCGGGTGGCGTCCTTCACCAATACGGCGGTGGAGTCAGTGGTGTTCTCCACAGAGACAGTGGAAGAGGCCACTAGCTCTTTGCCGTCTTTCATCCAGCTCATGACCGGCTGAGGTTTGGCAGTGAAGCTCACTTTGAGTTTCACCGACGTGCCAGCCTTGTACCGGACCACGTCCAGATACTCTGGGGGCAGGTCGATGGCTGGGGTTCCTGAGAAGACAAGCTCATATTTACAGGGGTCACAGATGTCCTGAGGAATGGGTGTGGGTCATAGAAAAAAAAATACTGGCAAGTCTGTGGTGAAGGTGAAAACCGGTCTCTGGTGCTGTCTGTAGTAAAGACCTGTCTATGGTGAAAAAGTGAAAACCCGCAAACTCACCACAGGCGTCCACACAGGTCACCGGGCCGGCGATCAGGCTGGGGTTGCTGGTGGAGCCCACAGCGTTCTTGGCGTACACTCTGAACTCGTAGGCCTCATTCTGGTTCAAGCCGGACGCAGTGAAGCCCATCTCCAGGATGTTGGTGAAGTTGGCCTTGACCCAGCGGCCACTGCCGGCGTCACGGCGCTCCACGTTGTAACCGGTGATCTTGCTGCCGCCATCGTAGGGTGGACGCTGCCAGGCCAGGGTTACAGAGTTCTTGGTCACCTCAGTCACGTGCACGTTAGCAGGCGGCTCTGTAGGAGGACGGGATAGGGTCAGATTGGCACAACTGTGAAATCATCAGGATGACAGTTACATGACTTCTAACTGGGAGGACTTGGACCTGCCAGGCCCAATGTGGGATGGCTCAGACCAAAGTAATTCTATCAATGTCAGAGCTCATCAGTATCTGAGCTCATCAGTATCTGAGCTCATCAGTGTCTGAGCTCATCCGTATCTGAGCTCATCCGTATCTGAGCTCATCCGTATCTGAGCTCATCCGTATCTGAGCTCATCCGTATCTGAGCTCATCAGTATCTGAGCTCATCAGTATCTGAGCTCATCAGTGTCTGAGCTCATCAGTGTCTGAGCTCATCAGTATCTGAGCTCATCAGTATCTGAGCTCATCAGTATCTGAGCTCATCCGTATCTGAGCTCATCCGTATCTGAGCTCATCCGTATCTGAGCTCATCCGTAATCTTATGGAGAAATGTATCGGTGCAAAGTAAAGACTCTGGAGCTGGTGATTGGTGTTTTTCCCGTAGAACCCCTGTGATGTCACATTAGCCATGACTTGGCACTCACCGCAGGCGTCGATGGCCAGCACCTCTTCAGAAGTCTTGCTGACCTTCCCGATGCCCGCAGCGTTCTCTCCAGACACCTTGAACTCGTAGATCATTCCGGGCAGGATGTTGGTGACCCGCAACTGGTTGCCGGGGATGGCCGTCTTGTTGATCTTCTGCCAGAGGATACTGCTGCGCTCCTTCATCTGGAGGTGGTATCCGAACACCGGGCTTCCCCCATCTGTCACAGGTTCATTCCAACACACCGTCAGGCTTTCTCTGGAAACCAACGAGAGCCAGGGGGTAGAGGGAGGACCAGGGATGGCTGAGGAGAGGACAAAGACAAGACCATTACACCTGTGTCAGAAATATCACATTACACTTGTGTTTCAGACCTCACTTTACACCTGTGTTACAGACCTCACTTTCACCTGTGTTACAGACCTCACTTTATACCTATGTTATAGACCTCACTTTACACCTGTGTTTCAGACCTCACATTACACCTGTGTTACAGACCTCACATTACACCTGTATAAAGCCTTCACTCACTGTGCACCTGTATAAAACCCACAGGCGCTTCACTCAATGTACATCTGCAAAAAGTCTACAAGTGCTTCACTACAAGTGTTTCACTCACTGTAGGGCAGCTTGATCATGATCGGTTTGGTGTCAATGTGGTCACTGACGCCGTATCGGTTCACCGCCTTGATCCTGAACTGGTACTCCTCTCCCTTGGTCAACTTGGCAGCCTTGATGGCGCTGCGGGCCACGTTGGTGGTGACCTCGGTCCAGGCTGGGGTGCTGGTCTCTCTCTTCAAGACGATGTAGTGGGTGACGGGGCTGCCGCCATCGTACTCTGGAGGAGCCCACTTGAGACAGACACTGGTCTCTCCCACCTCTCCCACCTCCACGGGGCCTGTGGCAGGCCCAGGTCGGTCCATCACCACAAAGGTGAAGCTGATCTTGGTGGTGCCACCGGCGTTGGAGGCAGTAAACTCGTATTTGCCGGCGTCTTTAGGTGTGGCCTCGGTCAGAGTGATGAGGACACTGTCTGGGGTCACCGTGGCGGTCAGTTTTTTGTCCGAACCCTTTATGACCACGTTGTTCCGGGACACTGCCACCTTGGGCTGTGGTCGGCCACTCAGCGGGATCTCAAAGCTCAGGTCAGAACCGGCCTTCACATAAACCGTGCTCTTAGGGTAGTTCTTCAAGTCAAACTCCGGAGCCTCTGTAAGAGGAAATCAGCAGATTTAACCGATTAAACTTAACACTTAGACACTACAGAGCCCCTGCTGACCACAGGAATTAATACAGGCCAGTCCAAACCGACAGAGTACCTTGTATCTCCTTGACCAGCACGGGCACGATCATCTCCTTGGGCTCGCTTAGGCCAGCGTGGTTCTCTGCCCGCACTCTGAAGAAGTACTCTGTGCTCTCACGCAAGTTCTTGATGGTGTGGTTCATGGTGCGCACTGTGGCACATTTGATCCACTTGGTCTGTCCCTTCTCCAGGGCATCAATGAGGTATCCAGCAACCCGGGAGCCACCATCGTACTCGGGCCGTGTCCAGCCAATTGTCACACTGTCTTTGGTCACGTTCACCACACCCAGCTTCATGGGGGGAGTGGGCACCTCTGCAAAAGACAGGCAGGTTATAGATAGATACTTCATACTTCATTGAATACCGTAAGAGAAAAGATTAAACAATCACATTAGATTAACAATATATACTGTTATAAAGACTTATACTGTTATAGAGACTGTTCTTTATAGTGTTATAGCGTCTGCTCTATATACTGTGATACAGACTGTGGGTTAGGGAACACTCTTACCGGTGATCTTGGTGCCGGCCGCGGCCTCCTGGGGGACGCCTGTGCCGTACTCGTTCTCCCCTATGACCCTGAAGTAGTAGATGGCGCCCTCCTGCAGGTTCTCCACCGTGTAGCTGAGCTCATGGCAGTTGTTGGTGGTGCAGACCCAGGTCTTCTTACTAGCCTCTTTCTTCTCCACATGGTAGGCCTTCACTGCGTCACCGCCGTCGTTCTCAGGCGCCTCCCAGGTCAGAGTGGCCGAGTCACGAGTCACCTTGGACACCTTGACGTTAGCGGGTGGCCCGGGAGAGTCTAGCACCTTTACAACCATGGGCAAGGTGGCGGTGCCCAGAGGGGATGTGATGGTGACGCTGTATTCTCCAGAGTCGTTCCTTGTGGCTTTGTCGATGGTGAGTTTGGTGTGGGAGTCGGTGGAGTCTATGGTTCCCCTGACCTTCAGGTTGACACCCTCTTTGGCCCATTCGGCAGTGGGGGCGGGGTTGCCACTGAAGGGCACATTCAGAGTGAAAGCGGCGTTGTGTTTCACAATCAACACTTTCCTTAAATCAATGTCTGCATCAAACGTGGGCTCGCAGGTGCGGTCCATGGCAGCAGCTGCCTCAGAGACTGGGCTGCGACCACTCAGGCCGATCTTATTCACAGCTTTCACACAGAACTGGTACTGCTGGTCGGTCTTCAGGCCGCTGACGGTGAACTCCATGCTCCTGGTGAGAGCAATGGCTTCAGTCCACCGGGCCAGCTCCTCTGGAGACTCCTCCTCTTCATACTCCTCGTCTTCATACTCTTCCTCCTCTTCTTCATCCTCTGGTGTTGGCACAAACTCTCTGTACTCCACAGTGTAGCCGAGGACTGAAGCACCGCCATCCTCAGTGGGTGCCTTCCACACGATGGAGATAGTGTCTTTGGTGGAGTTAATGATCTTTGGTTTGGTAGGTCGACCGGGAATGACCAGGGGATCAGCGGCTCTGAAAGTGGCTGAAGCTTCGCTGGGCGGGCTGAGACCAGCAGCGTTCTCAGCGCACACTCTGAAATCGTATTCACAGCCTTTCCTCAGTTTGGTGACGGCTGCGGTGCAGTCAGTCACCAGGTCTCTGTTGACACGGACCCAGCGCATGCCAGTCTTCTCTCTGCGCTCAATCACGTACCCAATCACTGCGCTGCCTCCGTCCGCCACAGGCTTGCACCAGGTCAGGATCATGGTGTCTCCGGTGATGTCGGTGACATCCACGCTCATGGGGGCGCTGGGAATGGTGAAGGGGTCGGTGATCTTCACAATGTCGCTCTCCAGAGGCTCACCACGCCCGTGTTTGCTCATGGCCAGCACTCTGAACACGTACTCCTCTCCCTTCAGTAGACCTTTGACTTTGTAAAATGTTTTGGTGACGTCTCCTTTGATCAGGGTCCAGGCCAGTCTGCTCGTCTCTCTGCGCTCCACCACGTAGTGTGTTATGTTGGCGCCTCCGGCCTCTTGTGGCGGGCCCCAGGCCAGGGTGCAGGCCTCGGCTGTGAGCCCGGTGACCTGTATGGGTCCAGCACAGGGCCCAGGTCTGTCCAGCACAATGCAGTCAATGGGCATGCTGACGGTGCCGCCAATGTTCTGCAGCCTGAGCACATATTGGCCTGAGTCGCGACGGATACAGTCCTTCACCACGACTGCCGTGCTGGTGTCTGTGGACACGATCTGGATGCGGGCTCTAAGCTCGATGTCTTTTCCGTCTTTGGTCCAAGACACAACGGGGGCGGGGCGGCCAGCCAGGTCGGCACAGATCTTCAGTGTGTCTCCGGCCTTCACCAGCACAGCCTCTCGGTATTTGACGTCCATCATGATGCGGGGTGGGTCCACATCATCCTTGACTGTGATGGGCCCGGTGTTGTCTGAGGCGCCGCTGAACAGACCGGCTGCGTTCTTGGCGATGATGCGGAAGTCGTACTGACTGTTCTCCGTAAGCCCAGTGGCATCGTAGTGTGTTTCTGGTACATTTGTGAAGTTACAGCGTGTCCAGCGTCCCTCTGGCAGGTCTCTGCGCTCAATGATGTAGCCAGAAACTTTAGCACCGCCATCGTACTCTGGTTTGTCCCAGGACAAAGACACAGATGACCGGGTAACGGCCGTAACTATGGGCGGGCCAGGTGGGTCGCAGGGGTCTCTGGCGGCGACGGCTTCACAGGACTTACTGACTTTGCCAATACCAGCGATGTTCTCTGCATAAACACGATATTCGTACATCATGCCCTCGTCCACGCCATTCACCTTGAACTCAGTGTCTTTGATCATGCCACGGTTCATCTTGTTCCACATGATGCTGGTGCGCTCCTTCCTCTCCAGGTGATACCCCAGCACTGTACTGCCGCCGTCATTCACCGGCTCATTCCACGTCACTATCATGAAGGACTTGGTGGCGAGCTTCACGATGGGAGTGGATGGGGGTCCGGGCAGTTTGAAGTTGTACTGAGCGGTGATTCCGGGCGAGTCCAGATAGGTGCTCTTACCATATCTGTTAACGGCATAAATGCGGAACTGGTATTCTGCTCCGTGAGTCAGGCGCCCGGCTTTGAAGGCTGTGCGGGCCACATTACTGGCAGCCATCTGCCATTCCTGAGAGTTGGTGTCCCTCTTCTCCACGATGTAGTGGCTAATACAGCAGCCCCCATCGTACTCTGGTGGAGACCAGGACAGGCTGATACTGTCGGAGGTCACAGCGTCCACTTTGACCGATTTAGGAGCCGAGGGTTTGTCCAAAACTACAATAGTAAAGTTGGTGGAGACAATTCCTCCGCTGTTGGCGAGTGTGACCTCGTATTTGCCCATGTGCTCGCGGCTCGCCTCTTTGATCACAATTTTTGTGGATGAGGCAGAGTTCAGGATAGTGACAGAGGAGGACTGCTTCAGAGGCAGGGCATCTTTCTTCCATGCCACAACTGGTTTAGGTCGTCCCCTTATTGGCACCTCAACGGTCAGGTCGTCTTTGGCTTTGACACTGTAAGTGCTGAACGGGAGGTCCAGAGAAGGCTCGATGTCTACGTCCTTTGCAACAACGGCAGGCCCCAGATCTTTGGGCTCACTCTTGCCCTTCTCGTTGATGGCGAGCACTCTGAAGAGATAGGCATCATTGGGTGTGAGGTTGGCCACCTTAGCCTCCAGCACTTTGACCGTGCAGGCCGTGCCCCACTTGTCTCCACTCTTGGGCTTGAACTCAACGTTGTAACACATAACTTTGCTTCCTCCGTCGTGTGTTGGTTTCTCCCAGGTCAAAGATACACTGGTCTTGGTTTGATCCACCAGCGTGACCTTGTTTGGTGGCATAGGCACTTCTGAAATCTTGATCTCTTTGGTCTCCACGCTCTGGCCCTGGCCGAACTCGTTGACGGCACACACTCTGAAGTAGAAGGTTCCTCCTTCTGGAAGCTCCTCGATCTTGAAGGAGTTGGCAGTGCAGTTGCTGGTGACGGTGGTGTAGACCTTACGCACAGACTCTCTCTTCTCCACAATGTAGTTGGTGATCTTGGAGCCTCCGTCAGTCAGAGGAGTGTCCCAGGCCAGTGTTGCAGAGTTTTTCTTCAGCTCTTTCACAACAAACTTCTCTGGTGCGCTTGGAGTGTCCAAGATTCTCACAGCAACCACGGCAGACTTCGACCCGCTGCTGTTTTCCAGCGTGAGCGAGTACTTTCCACTGTCGAACCTGTTGACGTTATCAATGACCAACATGGTGTAGGAGCTGGTACTGTCAACAGCAGCTCTGTCAGTCAGAGTTCCGTCGACCTTCTCCCATTTCGCCACTGGTTCTGGGCGTCCTCTGATCGTCACAAAGAGTCGCAGAGTTCCGCCAGCACGTACAGACACTACTTTCCTCAGCTCAGCATCCAGCTCCATATCTGGGGCCTCGGCTCGGGATGAGGTGACCACTGTGCCGTGGACGTTAGCTGCTTCTCCCACGCCTTCCGAGTTAATGGCACACACTCTGAACTGGAACTCTCCTCCTTCCTTCAGGTCAGTAATGGTCAGTTTTGTGGCTTGAATTCCATTGGGAGGAGTGCACATGGACCATTCCTTCTCCACAACTGGTTCGACTGCAGGAGCCACCTCTGCCTCCTCGTCTTCCTCAGGGATCGGTGTGTACTCCCTCATTTCCACAATGTAGCCCTTGACGTAGGCACCGCCATCAAAGTCGGGTTTGCCCCAGGACAGGGACACCGAGGTCTTGGAGTAGTCTGTGACTTTAGGATGGTGTGGTGGGTTGGGGGGAGTGAGGGCATTGCAGGCTCTGTAGAGAAGAGAGAGCTCGCTCAGGTCGCCCACCCCTGCCTCGTTTTCAGCTGCCACACGGTACTCGTAGAAGTGGTCGGTCATCAAACCGGTCACTTTGAAGCTGGTCTCCAGAAGCTTCTCTCTGTTGCACTTGGTCCACCTCACGCTGTCCTTGTCACGCTTCTCCAGGTGGTAGGTTTGGATATCAGCGCCCCCGGTGTAATCTGGTGCAGACCACGACAAGAGCATGGAGTCCTTTCTGATTTCACTGGCCTCTGGGGTTCCAGGAGCACTTGGTGGTTTGTATGGGTTGCGAGCGACAATGGGTTCACTCTCCAAAAAGTCGCCAACGCCGTATTTGTTCACGGCTCTCACTCTGAAGATGTATTCCTCAGATGGCAGAAGGTTCTTCACCTTATAGAAGATTCCATCAATGTTGGGCGCAATCAGAGTCCAAGAGAGACGGCTGGTCTCTCTCTTCTCCAGGGTGTAATGCTTGATGGCAGCTCCTCCGTCCAAGGCAGGCTGAGACCAGGCCAGCGTACAGCGGTCGGACATCACGCCTGTCACCTTCATGGGGCCAGCGGGAGCTCCTGGTTTGTCCAGGACTTTAACAGAAATAGGCAAGGTCTTCACACCTCCAAGATTTTTGAGCACCAAATCATAGTTTCCACTGTCGAGTTTGGTCACATCCTTGATGGTCATAGAGGCGTGTTTCTGAGCCAGCTTAACCTCGATGCGCAGAGCTTTGTTCATCTCTTTGCCCTCTTTGTGCCAAACAATATCAGGGAATGGCTTGCCGTAGACATCAGCGTCCAACACCAGGTTCTCCCCAGCGTTCACCAAGATTACGTCCTTATATTTAGGGTCCATGGAGGCGCGTGGGGGTTCTATCTCATCTGTGGCGGTGATTGGCCCTGAACTATCGGAGGGTCCACTGTAGGTTCCGGCCGCATTTCTGGCAATGACTCTGAACTCGTACTTTTCTCCTTCAGTGAGGCCTGTCACGTTGTACTCTGTGAATGCGATGTTGGTGAAGTTGGCACGGACCCAGTGGACCTCGGGTGACGACAGGTCCTTCCTCTCCACAATGTATCCAGTCACTTTGGTGCCGCCATCATACTGTGGCTTAGTCCACTGGATTTTGATCATGTTTTTGGTGATTGTCACGGCTTCAGGAGCGCTGGGAGGATCACAAGGATCAAGAGCCACAAAAGACTCAGACACTTTACTGCAGCGGCCGACTCCAACTATGTTCTCAGCGTAAACTCTGAACTCGTAGCCAATTCCTTCCTCCAGGTTACAGATCTTGAATTGAGTATCAGCGATGAGCATTTTGTTCAGTTTGTTCCACAGAATGCTGCTTCTCTCTTTGCTCTCCAGGTGGTAGCCAATCACCGTGCTTCCTCCATCGTTCACTGGCTCGTTCCACTCTACGATCATCATTTCCTTTGTAGCAGATTTTATGTAAGGAGTTCCAGGTGGCCCAGGCGGTTTGTACGGATACTGCACTACAATAGACTTGGAGTCCAGTGATGCGCCCTTTCCATACCTGTTTTCAGCGATGATCCTGAACTGGTACTCTGCACCCGTCTTCAGTTTGGTGACTTTGAAAGCTGTTCTTGCGAGTTGCGCAGTGACAGTTTGCCATGTCTGCGTTGTCGTGTCACGTTTCTCCACAATGTAGTTTTTGACTTGGCAGCCTCCTGTGTACTCGGGCGGCTCCCAGGCCAGTTGCACAAATGTGTTACTGACTTCCAACACCTTCAGTGGGCCTTTAGGTACTCCGGGTTTGTCTAGGATGATCACAGACACTTCCTCTGTGGCAGACCCAGCTGCATTTGTCGCTGTGACAGTGTATTTACCCAGGTCGTCTTTACAGGCTTCAGTGATGGAGATGGAAGTAGTGCTATCTGTGTTCGCCACGTTTACTCTGGAGGTGACTTTCAATGGCTCTCCGTCTTTGGTCCAAGTGACTTTGGGTTTGGGGCGTCCAATCACAGGGAACACCAGCTTCAGGTCTTTCCCGGAGCGAACCGTGTAGCTGTTGAACTGCAGTTTAATACTGGGTTCCAGCGTCATATCAGCTGCCACCACGGGAGCGGCTAAGGCCTTGGGCTCGCCCTTTCCTTTGTCGTTGTAGGCGATGATTCTGAACAAGTACTCTGTTCCAACGGTCAGGCCTTTCACAGTGCCCTCACAGGTTTTTACATTTGAGGCCACACCCCACTTTTCGGTTCCTTTGGGCAGCATCTCAATGAGGTACCCTCCGATCCTGCTTCCTCCATCGTGTTCAGGTTTCTCCCAGGCCAGAGAGGCACTCATTTTAGTTACGTCAGTTAAATAGATTTTTCCCACTGGCAGAGGCACTTCAGCAGCTTTGGTTGCAGTCTTTGTTTCCACCGTTTGTCCCACTCCAAATTCATTCTCTGCAGCCACTCTGAAGTAGTACATGGCACCCTCAATCAGATTTTCCACTTTGAAGGTGGTCTTTGTGCATTTGGTGGAGACGTTGGCGTAGGCCTTTCTGGTGGATTCACGTTTATCAATGACAAAGTTTTTGATTTTTGAGCCTCCATCGACGAGAGGCGCATCCCACACTAGCATCACAGAGTTTGTTTTGACTTCCTTGAGCACCAGATTTAGAGGAGCGGAGGGCGTGTCCAGCACTTTGACTGACACCACCTCGGACACCGTGCCACTGCTGTTGGTCAGGCTCAGCGCGTACTTCCCAGAGTCGTTTCTGTCGCTGGAGTCGATAGACAGCTGAGTGAATGTCAGCGCCTTCTCCACCACAGCCTTCTCCGGCAGCTCGCCTTCATCTTTGCTCCACTTGATCTCGGGCAGTGGACGGCCCTTGAAGGGGACGAGGATCCTGACCGAGGCTCCGGCTTTCACTACGATGCCCTTCCTAAGCTCAGAGTCCAGGTGAATCTGCGCCTCCTCCATTCGGTCTTCAGTCTTTGCTGTGCCAGAAAGTACAGCCGCCTCGCCCACTCCCAGTTTGTTCAGAGCGCAGACTTGGATCTTGTACTCCTGTCCCTCCGCCAGCTTTGTGATCTCATATTTGTTCAGTCTGAGGCCAGTGGCAGGAGTGACCATGGTCCACTCCTCCTCCTCGGCTTTGCACACCTCCACAATGTATCCCTGAATCGGGCTGCCGCCATCAGAGGCGGGTTTGCCCCAGGAAAGTGAGAGGGAGGTCTTTGTGGAGTCGACGACGTTGATGTAGCTGGGAGCACTAGGTTTGAACTTCGGATCGGTGGCTCTGTAGTAAGAGGTGGGCAGGCTGGGTTCTCCTGTTCCCACAGCGTTCTCTGCAGACACTTTGAACTCATACTCGTGCCCAGTGCTCAAGCCAGTCACCCTGAAGGACAGGTCGGTCACCTTCTGCCTGTTACACCTGGTCCACTTGATGCCTGACCGGTCTTTCTTCTCAATGACGTATCCTGTGATCTCACTGCCGCCAATAAAATCGGGGGCGGTCCACGTGAGGGTCATTCCATCGTGAGCGATGTGACTCACGTCCTCAATGTGGGGGGGGCCTGGGGGTAGGAAGGGGGTCCTCATGATGATGTTGTCGGACACCAGAGCATCGCTGATGCCGTGTTTGTTAACAGCCATCACACGGAAGGTGTACTCATTCCCTTCCAGCAGTTTGGTGACCTTGTAGCAGGTGCTAGTGCAGCTGCTGCAGACCACACTCCAGGCCAGACGGCTGGTCTCCCTGCGCTCAATGACGTAGTGACTGATCGCACTGCCGCCATCGTGCAGTGGAGCCTTCCAGGCCAGCGTACATCTGTCCTCAGCCACTCCAGTCACATGCAGAGGCCCTTCGCAGGCACTGGGTTTGTCCAGGACCACCACTTGGAAGGGGATGGTCTCAGTGCCGGCTTCGTTACTGAGCTGCAGCACGAACATGCCGCCGTCCACACGCACGCAATCTTTTATGATGACCATTGCCTGAGTCTCTGAGTTCTTGATCTCTAGTCTGAGTGTATTTTCCAGGGGTTTCTCATCTTTGAACCACTGCATTGTGGGGGGAGGTTTTCCACGCACATCTGCATCCAGTTTAAAGGTTTCTCCAGCGTTGATGACGATGGTCTTGGTGAACTCGGGGTCGATGGAGTACTTGGGTGCCTCCAAGTGGTCGCTGGCAGTGATAGGTCCACTATTGAAGGAGGGTTTGCTGACTGTTCCCACTGCATTCTTGGCGATGACTCTGAAGTCGTACTGAGCGTTCTCGGTCAGACCGGTCACAGTGAATTGGGTCTCAATGACATTCGTGAAGTTGGCTCTGACCCAGCGTCCCTCTGGCAGGTCTCGTCTCTCCACGGTGTAGCCGGTGATGTTGCTGCCACCGTCGTACTCTGGTTTGGTCCACTGAATCACAATAGTGTCTTTGGTGACATGGATGGGCACTGGGTCGCCGGGTGGGTCACATGGGTCACGAGCTACGCATCCTTCAGACACTTTACTGCAACGGCCGACTCCCACAATGTTCTCTGCGTAGGCGCGGTACTCGTACTCCACGCCCTCCTCCAGCGGGTAGCTCTTAAAGGTGGGCTCGTGGATCAGAGTCTTGTTGATCTTAACCCACAGAATGCTGTTCCGCTCCTTCCTCTCCAGATGATACCCGAGCACTGGTGAGCCACCATCAGACACAGGTTCGTGCCACTCCACCACCTGATGGTCTCGGGATAGAGAGGCGATGAAGGGGGTGCCAGGAGGACCAGGCTCTCTGTACGGGTACTGGGCCACCACGGATGAGGAGTCCAGGCCATGGCTTTTCCCATACTTGTTTTGAGCGATGATTCTGAACTGGTACTCAGAGCCTGTCTTCAGTCGGGTCACTTTAATGGTTGTTCTGGCCCAGTTGATGCTTACGTTCTCCCAGACATTGGTGGTGGTGTCTCTCTTCTGGATGACGTAGTTGGATATCTCACAACCGCCGTTGTGTTTGGGCGGGTCCCAGGATAGAGTGACACTCTGAGTTGTGATATCACTGAACTTGACGGGGCCTGAGGGGGGGCCAGGTTTGTCCAGGACAATTATCTCGACAGATGTGTCCTTCTTCCCAGCGGTATTGGTGACACTGACAGTGTACATGCCGCCGTCGTCTCCTGCTGCCTCTTTGATGTTGAGTGTGGTCATGCCCACCGTGTTCACAATGTTCACTCGGGTGGTGAACTTCAGCGGTGCTCCGTCTTTGTACCAGCTCACCAGGGGTTTGGGTCGTCCGATCACCGGTATGTTGACGGTCAGGTCTTTTCCCACATGGACGCTGTAGTTGCTGAAGGCAGGACGCACATCGGGCTCTATCACCAGGTCTTTGGTCATGACAGGGCCAGACAGGACGCGTGGGTCGCTCTTGCCCTTGTCATTCATGGCAGTGACTCGGAACAGATACTCCTCACCAGGGTTCAGGTTGGACACGGTTGCCTCCATGGTCTTGAAGGTGTTGACTCCATTCCACTTCTCCTGCCCTTTGAGCTGAACCTCAAGGAGATACTGCACAACTCTGCTGCCGCCGTCATACTCAGGCTTCTCCCAGCCCAAGGAGATGCTGGTCTTGGTCTGGTCAGTCACCATCAGGCTCTTGGGGCACTGTGGCACTTCAGAGACCTTCAGTGGGTCAACGATAATGGCTGGAAGGCCCACGCCGTGAGCATTCTCAGCCAGGACTCTGAAATAGTAGCTGCATCCCTCCTGTAGAGGCTCCACCTTCCAGCAGAGGGCATGGCAGTTGGTGACCACAGCGGCGTACGTCTTACGGGTGCTCTCCCGCTTTTCCACAATGTAGTTCTTGATTTTAGAGCCTCCGTCCAGAAGAGGAGGTTCCCAGGCCAGCGTGACTGACTGGTTAGTGATCTCCTTGACCTTTAGGTTTGCCGGGGCACTTGGCGTGTCCAGTACACGTACCACGATGAAGGCGGACTTGGTTCCGCTGACGTTCTCTACGTTAATGGAGTATTTACCGCTGTCACTGCGGCTCATTTTGTCGATGACCAAAGAAGTGAAGCTGGTCGTCACCTCGACTTGGGCAGTCTCCTTCAGCGGTGCTTCATCTTTGCTCCAGGTCACGGCGGGCGCTGGTCGGCCTTTGATGGGGATGAAGAGTCGGAGAGAAGCTCCAGCTTTGATGGAGACAATGTTGCGGAGCTCCGGGTCGATGTCCAGGTCGGGCTCCTCCAGTTTGTCCTGAGCCACAATGACCCCCATGACGTCGGCGGCTTCACCCACGCCCACTTTGTTTACGGCGCACACTCTGAACTTGTAGTGCTGGTTCTCCTTCAGGTTCGTCACCTCATATTTGGTACGTTTGATCCCGGCAGGTGGGGTGCACATGACCCATTCTTCAGCTGGAGCATCGGGGGTGGCAGCCTCCTCGACCGGAGCCTCAGCCTCTGGCTCTGGTTCTATTGGAGCTGTGGTCACACAGCACTCCACGATGTACGACTGAATCTCACAGCCGCCATCACACGTCGGTTTGGACCAGGACAGGGACACGGTGGACTTGGAGGTATCCAGGACTCTAGGATTGTGCGGAGGACCCGGTTTGAACACTGGGTCCACTGCTTTGAAAAAGACGGTGGGAGAACTGGCCTCTCCGACGCCAATGGCATTTTCAGCCACGACTCTGAACTCGTACATGTGACTTTCCATAAGACCGGGGACTCGGAAGCTGAGGTCAGTGACAGTGGAGCGGTTACAGCGTGTCCAGCGCACGCCGTCTTTGTCATGTTTCTCAATTATGTAATTGGTGATGGGCAAACCACCATCTTCAGAGGGCGCCTCCCAGGCCAGCATCACGGAGTCCTTTTTGATGTCTGAGACGTCCAGGGCTTTGGGTGCTCCTGGAGGGAGGTATGGGTCTTTGATGCGTACCGGGGCAGATTCCAGGGGTGCTCCTGTGCCATACTGGTTCACCGCTCGAATCCTGAAGATATACTCATCTCCTTCCATCAGTTTGGTGACCTTCAGGCAGATGTTCTCTACCTTGGTATCGATCACGGTCCAGACCAGACGGCTGGTCTCCCGCCGCTCCACCACATAGTGGGAGATCTTTGAGCCACCGTCTTGAAGAGGAGCTTTCCAGGCAATGCAGCAGCGGTCGCTCATGACTCCGGTCACAAACACCGGTCCTTGAGGCTGGCCAGGCTTGTCCAGCACCACCACATTCACCGTCACGGCCTTCTCCCCGCCAGGGTTCTTTAGCAGAAGGGTGTACTCTCCGCCGTCCGACAGCTTGGCCTCTTTGATGGCAATGAGGGCCTTGTTGGGCTGGTTCTTGATCTCCCGGTGAATGGTGTTGCCGAGCTCCTGCTCTCCCATCATCCAGTGGATGGACGGCAGCGGTTTGCCGTAGACGTCTGCATCAATCTTGAAGTTATCTCCTGCGTTGACGACCAGAGTCTGTGTGAACTCTGGGTCGATGCTGAGGCGTGGAGGCTCAATCTCGTCTTTGGCAGTGATCGGGCCAGAGCTGTAGGACGGTAAACTGAATACTCCAGCTGCGTTTCGAGCGATGACCCTGAACTCATACTGGTTATCGAGCACCAGGCCGGTGGCCACGTACTCAGTCTCGATGACGTTGGTGAAGTTGGCCTTGAGCCAGCGGCCTTCGGGCAGCTCCTTCTTCTCCACAATGTAACCAGTGACTTTGGCTCCGCCGTCGTACTCGGGTTTGGTCCAGGCGATGGTCACAGAGTCCTTGGTGATTTTTGTGGCCTCGGGAGTTCCGGGCGGGTCGCAAGGATCCCGGGCCACGACGCCTTCGCACACTTTGCTGACTTTGCCAATGCCTACAATGTTCTGGGCGTAGACGCGGTACTCGTACTCAAGGCCTGGTTCCACCCGGGTCTTGAAGGTTTGCTCGGTGATCAGGGATCTGTTGAGCTTGTCCCACAAGATGCTGTTCCGCTCTTTACGCTCCAGGTGATAACCAAGCACAGTTGATCCGCCGTCGTTCACAGGCTCGTTCCAGGCCACAACCATCGTGTCTTTGGTGCAGGCCGCGATGGATGGGGTTCCTGTGACCAGATACAGAGGGTTAATTCTGTCTGAAACCACAGCTTCAACCTTTAATCTGGGTCCTAATAATAGCAATAACATTATTATCATAAAATTATTATAAAAGTAATTAATAATAACTATAATAATAATGATACAAATAATAACATTATAATAATTACACTGTTAATAATAATGATAACAGCAATAATAACATAATAAATAATAATAAAAATAATGCATGGATAAGTGTTTCATGGCAATACATTTTCACTCAATCCCTGAGCCTTTCCCTATGGTCCTCACTCACCTGGAGGTCCTGGCAGCTTGTAGGGGTACTGCGCAGTGATGCACTCAGACAATAGTGCTGGGCCTTTTCCGTATCGGTTTTCTGCGGTGATCCTGAACTGGTACTCGGAGCCGGTCTTCAGCCTGCCGGCCTTGACTTGGGTGCGGGCGAGGTTAGGACACACCATGGTCCAGACGTTTGTGGATGTGTCCCTCTTCTCCACGATGTAATGCTTGACAGTGCAGCCGCCCTCATACTCGGGTCGGCTCCAGGACACAGTGATGCTGTTTGACGTCACCTCCACCACTTTGACCGGGCCGGAGGGCTGCCCTGGCTTGTCCAGGACCACCACGCTCAGCTCAGCCTTGGTTTCCCCAGCCGTGTTGGTCAGTGTTATGATGTAATGGCCCACGTCCTCACGGCAAGCCTCTTTGATGTTCAAGCTGAGCAGGGTTTCGGTCGCGCTGAAGTTGACTCTGGTGGTCCTCTTCATTGGCAGGGCGTCTTTCACCCAGGAGATAGCGGCTTTGGGTCGGGCCACATATGGGATGTCGATAGAGAGGTCTTCTCCGGCTCGGACACTGAAGGTGTTGAAGAGCATCTTGAGATCGGGTGCAATGACCAGGTCTTTGACAATAACCGGCACGCCGATCTGTCGCGGGTCGCTCGTGCCCTTCTCGTTACGGGCTGAGACCCGGAACGTGTACTCCTCCCCGGCGTTCAGGTTGCTGATGGTGGCCTCGGTCTCCTTCACAATCACTGCCTGACTCCATTTGTCCTGCCCTTTAGCCATAGCATCCACCACATAGCAGCCGACTCGGGAGCCTCCATCGTGGGACGGCTTGTCCCAGGTCAGGGTCACGCTGCTCTTGGTCACGTCTTTGAGGATGATCTTTCCCGGAGGCTGAGGTTTCTCCGACACCTTCACAGACTCAATGGTTTCGATGGGCAGGCCGATGCCGTACTCGTTCTCTGCCAGTACCCTGAAGTAGTAGTTGCATCCCTCCAGCAGTTGGTCGATGGTGAACGTGTTGCTGTGGCAGTTAGCGTTGACTGTGGCATAGGCTTTTCGCGTCGACTCACGCTTTTCCACAATGTAATTCTTGATCTTGACGCCGCCGTCATTGGCAGGGGGTTCCCAGGTTAGAGTCACGGACGTATTCGTTACCGTGGCAATCTTAAGGGCTTGTGGCGCGCTGGGCGTGTCCAGGACACGCACTTGCACAGTGACGGTCTTGGCGCCCGAGCTGTTCTCTACGGTTAGGTTGTACTTGCCGCTGTCAAAGCGGTTGACGTTGCTGATGACGAAGGACGTGTAGGAGCTGGTGGTGTCGATGGTGGCGCGCTCCACAGGCTCGCCATCCTCTTTGCTCCACTTGACGGTGGGCGCGGGTCGGCCTCGGATGGGAACAAACAGACGCAGGGAGCAGCAGGCTCTGAGGCTCACGACCTTACGCAGCTCCGCGTCCAAGTCGAGTTCGGGCGGTAGAAGACGATCTTCTGCTTTGGGGTTCTCTGGCACTGTCGCGGCCTCGCCCATGCCTTCACTGTTTACGGCAGAAATCTGCACTTTATACTCCTGGTTCTCCTTCAGGTCCACAATGGTGAAGCTGGTCGCCAGCAGCCCCTCGGCTGGGGTGCGGATGCTCCACTCCTCGTCCTCTTCCTTCTCACATGGGACGCAGGTCTCCACCACGTATCCTGTGACCTCAGAGCCGCCGTCGTACAGCGGTTTGTTCCAGGCCACGGTGATGGAGGAGCGAGTGGTGTCCAGGACTCGGGGATTGCAGGGAGCGGCTGGGGCGTACAGTGCGTCCGTTGCCTTTTGGAAGGCGCTGGAAATGCTCGGCGGGCTCACACCAGCAGCATTCTCAGCGGTCACTCTGAACTCGTACATGTGGCCGTCCAGCAGCCCGCCAATCCGGAACTGCAGCTCCTTCACTCTGCGCTTGTTGCATTTGACCCAGCGCAGGCTGGCGCGGTCTTTGCGCTCCACATTGTAGTGTGTGATGGGCGTCCCGCCGTCGCTCTTGGGCTCCTGCCACATCAGCACCATGGAGTCTTTGGTGACAGCTGTGACCTCGGGGCTCTCTGGCGGGGCAGGGACAGTGTAGGGGTTATCAGCAATGATGGGGTCGGAGTCCAGCCCCTCACCGTGCCCGTACTTGTTTACTGCCAAGACCCGGAAGATGTACTCGTTTCCTTTGAGCAGTTTGGTGACTTTGAGCTCTGTGCCCTTCAGGCCCGAGGCCACATTGGTCCATACCAAACGACTCGACTCACGCTTCTCCACCACGTACCCCTCGATGTCGGCACCTCCGTCGTCGGCTGGAGGAGCCCAGCTGACAATGCAGTTATCGGCCGTGACATCAGACACTTTGAGCGGCCCAAGCGGGGGCCCTGGCCTGTCCAGCACCTTCACCTTGAAGATATGTTTGGCGAAGCCGCCCTTGTTGGTGGCGGTGAGGACAAACTCACCGCCATCGGCCCGAATGGAGTCTTTGTTGGTGAGAGTCGTTGTTAGTTCAGTGAAGCGCACCTCCAGCTTCAGCGTGTTCTCCACTTCTTTGCCATTTTTGCTCCAGACCATGGAGGGTGTGGGCTGGCCAGCCACATCTGCGTCCAGTTTAAAGGACTCGCCAGCCTTCAGCTGCACCACGTCTTTGAACACGGCGTCCACCATGATGCGCGGCTCCACGATGTCGTCGCGGCATGTGATAGAAGCTGAGGGGTCGGATGGCAGACTCACAGCCCCCACTGCGTTGCGGGCGATGATCCTGAAGGCGTAGGCGGCGTCCTGCGTTAGACCACTAACTGTGAAGGTTGTGTCCACAATGTTGGTAAAGTTTGCTCGGATCCAGCGGCCGTCTGGCAGCTCCTTCTTCTCCACTGTGTAGCCGGTAATCTTGAAGCCACCATCGTACTCAGGTTTGGTCCACTGGATGGTGATGACATTCTTATTGACAAACACTGGCTCGGGCTCACCGGGCGGATCGATGGGGTCCAGGGCCAGGATGGGTTCTGAGGCTTTGCTGGGCTTACCGATGCCAGCCAGATTCTCTGCAGTGACTCTGAACTCGTAGGCCACGCCGTCCTCAAGCCCGCTGGTCTTGAACAAGTTACCTTTGACCATACCAGCACTGATCTTAGACCACATGATGCTGCTGCGCTCTTTGCGCTCCACGTGATATCCAAGCACCTCGCTGCCGCCGTCCGCCACAGGCTCATTCCAGCCCACGGTGATGGAGTCTTTGGTGAAGGCCACAACCTGAGGAGTACCAGGGGGGCCGGGGGCTTTGAAGGGATAGGCGGCCACCACAGAGGATGAGGTGATGGGTGGGCCGGCGCCGTAGCGGTTCTTGGCTTTAACCCTGAACTGGTACTCGGACCCTGTGTTGAGACGCACTGCCTTGAAGGCCGTGCGGATGATGGTGGCTGACAGTTCGATCCAGGTTTGGGTCGTGGTGTCGCGGATCTCCACAACGTAGTTGTTGATGGGGACTCCACCGTCGTTCTCCGGAGGCTCCCAGGAGAAGAGACAGAAGGTCCTGGAGATCTCCTCAATCTTCACCGGTCCCTTGGGCGGCCCCGGCACGTCGTGCACTTTAACCACAAGCTGCTCAGACACACTGCCCACTATGTTTTTTCCTGTCATGGTGTAGATACCGGCGTCGCCGCGATTACACTCTCCGATACTCAGCACCACAGTGGCGCCGGTCGACTCAGCGTTAATTCTCTGCGACAGTTTGAGCGTGGCACCATCCTTCTGCCAAGATACGGTGGGGCGTGGCCGGCCCATCACAGGTATCTCCACTTTAATGTTATCTCCTGCTTTGGCAATCACTGTCTTCTGGCACACGCCGCGCAGGTCAAACTCGGGCAGAGTGGTGGCCTCCTTCACCATGACGGGTTTGCTCTCCCGCGGCAAGCTACGGCCGGAGTGGTTAACCGCCATTACCCGGAACACATACTCCTCGCCCTCATTCAGGTTCTTGACGGTGAAGTCTAGCGTCTTCACTGTGGTCACATGCGCCCACTGGTCCGTGCCCTTCTTCTGGGCCTCCAGGACGTATCCCGTGATGCGGCTGCCGCCATCGTGTTTGGGTCTTGCCCAGGCCAGGCTGACAGAGTTCTTAGTGATGTCAGTGGGGATGACGCTGGGGGGAGGGGTGGGGGCCTGGGAGGCTCGGACGGGGTCAGAGGTCTCGACCGCCTCGCCGATGCCATACTCGTTCTCGGCGGAGACTCTGAAGTAGTACTCACAGCCCTCGCCGAGCTCGGCGATGCAGGCAGAGGTGGCTGAGCAGTGTGTGACGCAGGTGGCAAAGGCCTTTCGCGTCGACTCGCGCTTCTCGATGATGTAGTTGGTGATTTTGGCACCTCCATCCACCAGCGGCGCCTCCCAGCTCAGCGTGATGCTGTCTTTGTCAATCTTCAGTGGTTTTAGGTTAATAGGCGGCCCGGGTGAGTCCAGCACGCGCACGTGCACCTCAGCGGTCTTGGATCCTGAGCCGTTCTCCAGCGTCAGCAAGTATTTGCCTGCGTCGTTGCGGCTGCTCTCAGGGATCAGCAGCATGGTGAAGGACTCGGTGCTGTCGATCACCGCTCGAGTCACAGCGGCACCTTCTTTGGTCCAGGTGACGGTTGGAGAGGGACGACCTTTGATCGGCACAAACATACGTATGGAGCAGCCAGCGCGCACCACCAGAGTGCGACGCAGCTCCACGTCAAGCTCAAACTCGGGCTCCGCTGCACGCTCCAGGACCTCCACAGGCTCGGACGTCTCAGCTGGCTCGCCGGGGCCTTTGCCGTTCACTGCAGTGATGCGGAAAGTGTATTTGGCCGCAGTCTCGAGGCTCGGGACCACAAACTCAGTGATGCGCAGCGGCGAGGAGGGCGTGTCCTTCACCCACTCCTCTGCGCCGTCTTTGCGGTGCTCAATGATGTAACCGGTCACCTCCAGGCCACCGTTGTCCAGGGGTTTGCCCCAGTTCAGAGTGGCCGTGGTCTTGGTTGTGTCGGTGACTCTCGGGTTGACTGGCGGGCCGGGAGGGACTGTAAACACAGAGAGAACATTAGAACAGTCTACCTAAAGGGAGAACTCTGATAGAACTACACTCACAGGCTGCCACAACAATCAGCACGGGCATGGATGCCTCGCTTGGCTCGCCAAAGCCAGCGCGGTTCTCAGCCAGAACCCTGAACTCGTATTCCATGCCCTGAGTCAGCCCGCCGGCCTGGAAGCTCAGCTCGGTCACTGGCTTCTTAGAGGCGCGCACCCAGCGCATGCCCTTCTTCTCCTTCTTCTCCACGCAGTAACCGATGATGTCACTGCCGCCATCGTCAGTGGGGCGGCGCCAGGTCACCGTGGCAGAGGTACCGTCCGCCTTCTCCACCTCGGGTTTGGAGGGAGGGCCGGGAGGTCCTAAAGACACCACATGTCACTGTGTGCGCTGCTCTGAGGCTTCTTATATTACATTATTTCTTATATATACAATTTATAATCTCTGAATAACAGACACTATTATCCTGAGCCACGGTCTCTTACCGTAGCGGTCGACCATCTTGACTGCCTCGGAGTGGGCGGGCTCGCTGGCGCCGTACTGGTTGATGGCGCGGACTCTGAAGAAGTACTCGTTTCCTTGGATAAGTTTGTGGGCGACGTAGTGACAGTCCAGGACCTCGTTCTCCAGGACGGTCCACATCAGCCGGCTGGTCTCCCTCTTCTCCAGGAGGTAGTGTTTGATGGGGGCCCCACCGTCTTCTACAGGGGCCGACCAGGCGAGGTTCACCTGAGCACACACACAGTTATAAGACTGATCACCAAAGCAACACACACAAACAGGCGAAGACACACACACACACACTAATCAAAAAATTTATAATGGACAGATGGACCACAGAGGCAGCTGAAAAAAGGACAGAGTAGACTGTGGTGGGAGCAAAGAAGTACAGAGTAGACTGTGGTGGGAGCACAGAAGGACAGAGTAGACTGTGGTGGGAGCACAGAAGTACAGAGTAGACTGTGGTGGGAGCACAGAAGGACAGAGTAGACTGTGGTGGGAGCACAGAAGGACAGAGTAGACTGTGGTGGGAGAAGAGAAGGACAGAGTAGACTGTGGTGGGAGCACAGAAGGACAGAGTAGACTGTGGTGGGAGCACAGAAGGACAGAGTCGACTGTGGTGGGAGCACAGAAGGACAGAGTAGACTGTGGTGGGAGCACAGAAGGACAGAGTAGACCAGGGGTGGCCAACCCGCGGCTCGTGAGCCGCATGCGGCTCTTTGGCTGGTTCCGTGCGGCTCTCGGGCTTTCACTCGACAAGCGTCAAAAACGCCTCGGTGGTGGCGCTGCCTTTCATTCCATATGTAGTTCTGACCAATAGTAAAGGCCGACTTCACTCCACTAGCCAGGCCACCAAAACAATCTGACGTCGGCGAACGTCAATTCTGGTTGGTCAGATGCGCTGTCAATCACTCTGCAGCTGCTACCTCAGCTGTAGCAAATATCATAACAAACAACACGTTGCCTCGAACCATGACGTCCGTACGGAAAAGAATTCCTTGGTCGCTGGATGAGGGCAACACCTTCCTCAGTTTGAGGAGAGGACACCAGCCTGATCTCGCTGGTTCCACCAGAAACCAGAAGGTGTTTGTGGAGCTAGCGCTAAGGACGGAGCAGAATGATTCCCACAAACATGACAATGCAGAGAAAAGTTAAAAAGCTTAAAAGTGACAACCGTGAAATGAAAGATCGCAGCAGCAGAAGTAGAGGCAGACCCGAAAAGTCTGGAGGTGGTTTGACCAAATGGATTACATTTACGGACATCGGCTAACACCGGCTAACATGCTAAAACCAGCTAACACCAGCTAGCATTACACCAGGAGATTAGCCAACTCTGCCTGGTGAGTGTCTGTCTTCAATCAAATTCAAAAGTATCTGGTCTTATACTGAGCATGTGTCTGTGGTTCTAAATCAGCTAAAGTGGTGTTGGTGTTATGTGTCAAATCTATATCTTTTACTAAAGACAGTTGTGTTTCTGCTGAACACTGGGTTGAAACTTGATTTTTTTTTCTTGGTTAGAGATTGAAAGCATTCATTTCGGAATCATAATTGATGTTCGCTGACGTGAAATTGTTCTGGTATCGACTCGCCCGGTTAGAACCAGGGCCAAACCATTAATAAAAAGTACCGGGGAGCGGTTGAAGCGAGCGGTGGAAGCGCCTGCAAACCGGGGAGAGTCGAGTCCAGCCCTTTAGTGCTGTACGAGTCAATTTCTGTCATTATCATGTTGATGACATTTACAATAAATCTGTCTGAGCAGAGCACACCTCTCTGCTCAGACAGATTGCATGTGTGTGCGCGTGTCTGCTCGTGTGCGTACAGTACGTGTGCGTGCGTGTGTAAGGGTTGGGGTGATGTTTATGTAGTGCACATTTGTATGATGTGGCTCTTTGCTGTAACACAGTAAAAAAAATTGGCTCTTAGTCTCTGACTGGTTGGCCACCCCTGGAGTAGACTGTGGTGGGAGCACAGAAGGACAGAGTAGACTGTGGTGGGAGAAGAGAAGGACAGAGTAGACTGTGGTGGGAGCATAGAAGGACAGAGTAGACTGTGGTGGGAGAAGAGAAGGACAGAGTAGACTGTGGTGGGAGCATAGAAGGACAGAGTAGACTGTGGTGGGAGAAGAGAAGGACAGAGTAGACTGTGGTGGGAGCACAGAAGTACAGAGTAGACTGTGGTGGGAGAAGAGAAGGACAGAGTAGACAGTGGTGGGAGCAGACCTTCTCGGAGGACACCCCACTGCACTCGATGGGGCCAGGCGCTGAGGGCACGTCCAGAACCTTCACGCTTACAATCTCGTCCTTGGCTCCAAAGGGGTTGGTGGCGGTGATGACGTAATCGCCGGAGTCTTTGCGACTGGCATACTTGATGGACAGCGTGGAGGAGGTTTTGGTGGCCTCAATCAACACAATGTCAGAGGGCTTGAAGTCCTTCCCGCCCTTGGACCAGGAGGATGTTGGCGCTGGTTTGCCCTGGATGCTGGTGGCGGTCATAACGATGGTGTCACCGGCTCTGACCGTGAGCCCTTCCTTCACCTGAGCCTCGATGATGATAGTGGGAGCAGCTGCAAGAGGAGGAGCATGAAAACATGTAAAACATGGCTAAGGGAGGACTAAAACCGGTCCTAAAGCAGGACTAAAGGAGGACTAAAGGAGGTCTAAAGCCGACCTAAAGCAGGACCAAAGTAGGTCTAAGACAAAGCAGGTCTAAAGTAGGACTAAAGCAGGACTAAACCAGGTCTGAAGGAGGTCTAAAGCGAGATATATGCAACAATAAAGGAGGTCTAATTGAGGCCTAAGACAAAGCAGGTCAAAAAGAGGTCTAAAAGGGCCCTTGTCCTAGTCCTGGTCCTCTCACCATACTCGTCTGTGCAGATGATGGTGTCTGTCTGCTCGGATGGAGGACTCAGAGCTCCGGCAGAGTTCTTGGCTCTGATCCTGAACTCGTACTTGCAGCCCTCCTGGAGATCTGTGACGGTGTAGGCTGGATCCACCACGTTCACCGTGTTGCACTTGTTCCAGATCTTGGAGGGGAGGTCTCTGCGCTCCACGATGTACCCAGTGAGTCTGTGGCCACCGTCAGAGAGAGGCTCCACCCACTGCAGCGTCACTGTGCTGCGGGTGATGGAGACCACGTCCGGCTTCCCAGGCGGGTCTGTGGGGGGAGAGCAGCTTACAGCTCAGACTGAGAGAAAGTCTTTTTGTTTAGGTTTAGTTAGAAACATCTCCATACTGTCTCTCTCGCTGGTCTCTCGCTGGTCTATCTCTGGTCTCTCTTGCTGGTCTCTCTCTGGTCTCTCTCTGGTCTCTCTCTGGTCTCTCTCTGGTCTCTCTCTGGTCTCTCTCTGGTCTCTCTCTGGTCTCTCTCTCTGGTCTCTCTCTCTGGTCTCTCTCTGGTCTCTCTCTCTGGTCTCTCTCTCTGGTCTCTCTCTCTGGTCTCTCTCTCTGGTCTCTCTCTCTGGTCTCTCTCTCTGGTCTCTCTGGTCACTCTCTCCGGTCACTCTCTCTGGTCACTCTCTCTGGTCTCTCTCTGGTCTCTCTCTGGTCTCTCTCTCTGGTCACTCTCTGGTCACTCTCTCTGGTCTCTCTCTCTGGTCACACTCTCTGGGCACTCTCTCTGGTCTCTCTCTCTGGTCACACTCTCTGGTCTCTCTCTCTGGTCTCTCTCTCTGGTCTCTCTCTCTGGTCTCTCTCTCTGGTCTCTCTCTCTGGTCTCTCTCTCTGGTCTCTCTGGTCACTCTCTCCGGTCACTCTCTGGTCACTCTCTCTAGTCACTCTCTGGTCTCTCTCTCTGGTCACTCTCTCTGGTCACTCTCTCTGGTCTCTCTCTCTGGTCACACTCTCTGGTCACTCTCTCTGGTCACTGGTCACTCTCTGGTCACTCTCTCTGGTCTCTCTCTCTGGTCACACTCTCTGGTCACACTCTCTGGTCACTCTCTCTGGTCACTCTCTGGTCACTCTCTCTGGTGTCATGTGTGGTTTGGTGTTGTCTGTGCTGGTTCGTACCAATGGGGTCCAGGGCCACCTGTGGGTCGGTGGGAGCACTGGGCCTGCCGGTTCCTGCCAGGTTCACAGCCATGACCCTGAACTCGTACTCCAGGCCCTCTGTGAATCCGGTCACCTGGTGCTCCTTCATACGAACTGCTGCGGTGCTGGTACGCTTCCACAGCATGCTGTTCCTCTCTTTGAACTCCACAAAGTACCCTAAAAGTAGAAGAGTAAAAGTACAGTAACTCAACGAAGTACTCCGAAAGTGAGGGATTATCAGGTAGGTAGATAGCAGGACTAAAGCAGGACTAAAGTAGGTCTGAAGCAGGTCTAAAAGCAGGTCTAAAAGCAGGTCTAGAGCAAGACTAGAGCAGGACTAAAACAAGTTTGTCTAAGGAGGATGAGGCGTACCTGTGATGGGAGACCCGCCGGTCTTCCTCGGGTCGTTCCAGGCCAGATAAGCCACGTTGTGTCTCATACTCATGACCTGAGGAGGAGGAGGAGCATCCGGGACGTCTGAGAGAGAAAGAACATGTGTAAGACACTGATCACCATATGTGTGTGTATATGTATATGTGTGTATGTGTGTGTGTAAGCGTATGTGTGTACTTGTGTTACTGTGTTTGTGTGTATCAGTGTTACTCACTGAAGGGGTGCATGGATGTGTGCATCTGGGTGTGGTGTGTGTGTGTGTAAATGTGTGTAAGTGTGTATCTGGGTGTGTGTGTCACTCACTGAAGGGGTGCTTGGCCACACAGGGGTCTGACTTAAGCCCCTCCCCCACGCCGTACTTGTTCTCAGCGCTGACCCTGAATATGTACTCCGTCCCCTCGTGGAGACCCGTGACGCGGCAGCTGTTGGTCTCCACCGTAGACGACACGGTGACCCACATGTTGGTGACCGAGTCACGCTTCTCCAGGATGTAGTTGGTGATCTCTGACCCGCCGTCGTCTTTGGGCGCACCCCAGCGGAGGGTCGCGCCATCTGCTGTCACCTCTTTGAACTTCACCGGTCCAATGGGGATGCCTGGTTTACCCACGACCCTGAGGGGGAGGGAGGAGAGAGTGAGTGGGATCTACCTACAACCCTGAGGGGGAGGGGGGGGGGGAGTGAGACGGAGGGGGTAGAGGGGAGTGAAAATCTACTTATCTCATTGGTCTCTCACCTGATAAAGATGGCAGACTCTCTCTTTCTCTAGTCTCTTTCTGGTCTCTCTTTAGTCTCTCTCTAGTCTCCTGTCTATCTGGTCTCTCTCTGGTCTCTATCTGGTCTTTCTCTGGTCTCTCTCTGGTCTCTCTCTGGTCTCTCTCTGGTCTCTCTCTGGTCTCTCTCTGGTCTCTCTCTGGTCTCTCTCTAGTCTCTCTCTAGTCTCCTGTCTATCTGGTCTCTCTCTGGTCTCTCTCTAGTCTCTCTCTAGTCTCCTGTCTATCTGGTCTCTCTCTGGTCTCTCTCTGGTCTCTCTCTGGTCTCTCTCTGGTCTCTCTCTGGTCTCTCTCTGGTCTCTCTCTGGTCTCTCTCTGGTCTCTCTCTGGTCTCCCTCTGGTCTCTCTCTGGTCTCCCTCTGGTCTCTCCCTCTGGTCTCTCCCTCTGGTCTCTCCTCTGGTCTCTCCCTCTGGTCTCTCTCTGGTCTCTCTCTGGTCTCCCTCTGGTCTCTCTCTGGTCTCTCTCTGGTCTCTCTCTGGTCTCTCTCTGGTCTCTCTCTGGTCTCTCTCTGGTCTCTCTCTGGTCTCTCTCTGGTCTCTCTCTGGTCTCTCTCTGGTCTCTCTCTGGTCTCTCTCTGGTCTCTCTCTGGTCTTCCTCTGGTCTCTCCCTCTGGTCTCTCTCTGGTCTCTCTCTGGTCTCTCTCTGGTCTCTCTCTGGTCTCTCTCTGGTCTCTCTCTGGTCTCTCTGGTCTCCCTCTGGTCTCTCTCTGGTCTCTCTGGTCTCCCTCTGGTCTCTCTCTGGTCTCTCTCTGGTCTCTCTCTGGTCTCTCTCTGGTCTCTCTCTGGTCTCTCTCTGGTCTCTCTCTGGTCTCTCTCTGGTCTCTCTCTGGCCTCTCTCTGGCCTCTCTCTGGTCTCCCTCTTGTCTCTCCCTCTGGTCTCTCTCTCTGGTCTCTCTCTGGTCTCTCTCTGGTCTCTCTCTGGTCTCTCTCTGGTCTCTCTCTGGTCTCTATCTGGTCTCTATCTGGTCTCTATCTGGTCTCTCCCTCTGGTCTCTCCCTCTGGTCTCCCTCTGAAGGTTCTACTTATCTCATTGGTCTCTCACCTGATAAAGATAGTGGACTCCTTGGTTCCAGCGCTGCTCTTCAGGGTGATCACGTATTTAGAAGCATCGCTGCGTTGACAGTCGCGGATCAGCAGTGTAGTGTTGACGGCGGTGGCTTCGGCACAAACTCGGCCCGAGTCCGTGAGGTCTTCGTCGTCTCCCTTCTTCCAGGTCACCTTGGGCGTGGGCTTGCCGATCACCGGGATCTTCAGACGCACCGTGGATCCTTCTTTGGCCACGTACACCATGTTGGGAAGGTCTCGCAAGTCAAGGCTGGGAAGGACTGTGGAGAGACCAGGGTTAGGTCTGGGTTTAGTCTCAGTCTTGCCCTGTTCTTGGTTCAGTCAGGTCTCGTCCTGGTTCAGTCCCGTCTGAGTCCTGACCTGGTCTCAGACGGGACTGAACCAGGACGAGACCTGACTGAACCAAGAACAGGTCTCGTCCTGTTCTTGGTTCAGTCAGGTCTCGTCCTGGTTCAGTCCCGTCTGAGTCCTGGCCTGGTCTTGGTACAGTCCATTCTCGTTCTGGTCCTGGTTCAGTCTACTCTTGGTCTCGTCCTGGTCCTGGTTCTTACTGATCTGGTCTTTGGCAGTCACGGTGAGGTCTTTGGCAGGTCCCTCTCCCGTGTCGTTGACGGCTTTCACTCTGTAGTTGTACTCTCGGCCCTGGATCAGGTCTTTAGCGCTGAACTGCATGTTCTTGGATCTGAAATAAAAACACAGCAGAATGTAGTGTTTAGTACAGCTTTGGGACTGAGTAAAGGATTATTCTGGTCTGGTATGGCCTGGATTGGCCCGCTCTGGTTTGGCCTGGTTTGACTCACCTCATGAGTTCCTTGTATTTGTCCTCTCCGTTCAGGACCTCCAGGACGTAGCAGGTGATGCGGGAACCTCCGTCTGTCAGAGGTTTCTTCCAGCTCAGAGTGCAGGAGTCCCGGGTCACCAGGAGGGTTTTAAAGTCCATGACGGGACCGGGCTCCTCTGTGGGGAGATGGCAGGTCTGAGCCAGGTCTAAAGTAGGTTTTAAACTGGTCTAAAACAGATTTAAAGTAGGTCCAAAGCAGGTCTAAAGCAGAACTAAAACCTGTACTGTTAAATGTCTATTGTGTGTACTTAATCCAGTAGCAATTGTAAGAATTTGTTTATGCATCCCTTATGTCTAATTTAATTGACACAACTTGTTTGCATCATGAGCCAAACCTAGTTGGTGACCTCGTTTTATTTACAATGGCAATAAAAAGACTAAAAAAGTCTAAATCAGGTCTAAGTCAGGTCTAGGGCAGGTCTAAAGCAGGTTCTCACCTGAGGCCTTCACTGCGTCAGCAGTCTCGCAGCTCTCGCCCTGTCCCAGGGCATTGACGGCAGAGACTCTGAAGCTGTAGTTGCGTCCGGACTCCAGGTCTTGGACTTTGAAGATAGTTTTAGCGCAGTCTTTGGACACAATGGACCAGGCCTTTCTCTCCGTGTCGCGTTTTTCCACCACGTAGTGCGTTACCTCGCTGCCTCCATCCAGCTGCGGGACGTCCCAGAACAGCTCTGCCGAGTCTTTGGTCGTGCCCTTCACCGAGATGTTCCCAGGAGGCCCAGGTGTGTCTGCGAGGAGAGACACGTTTAGTTTGAACCAGGAGAAAAGAGCAGTAATGAAGCAAAGTCTACAGCCTCAGTCCCAGGTCTACAGCCTCAGTCCTGGGTCTACAGCCTCAGTCCTGGGTCTACAGCCTCAGTCCTATGTCTACAGCCTCAGTCCTGGGTCTACAGCCTCAGTTCTGGGTCTACAGCCTCAGTTCTGGGTCTAAAGCCTCAGTTCTGGGTCTGCAGCCTCAGTCCTGGGTCTAAAGCCTCAGTTCTGGGTCTACAGCCTCAGTTCTGGGTCTAAAGCCTCAGTCCTGGGTCTGCAGCCTCAGTCCTGGGTCTACAGCCTCAGTCCTGGGTCTCCAGCCTCAGTCCTGGGTCTACAGCCTCAGTTCTGGGTCTACAGCTTCAGTCCTTGGTCTCAAGCCTCAGTCCTGGGTCTCCAGCCTCAGTCCTGGGTCTACAGCCTCAGTTCTGGGTCTACAGCTTCAGTCCTTGGTCTCAAGCCTCAGTCCTTGGTCTCAAGCCTCAGTCCTTGGTCTCCAGCCTCAGTCCTGGGTCTACAGCATCAGTTCTGCTATGATTTTAGTTTACAGCCCACTCACCTAAGACCTTGACGATGGCCGTGTACATCTTCATGCCGGCGGAGCTCTCCAGGTTCAGGATGTATTTCCCGCCGTCATAGCGGTTGACGTTCTCCACAATGACTGAGGCCTCGGTGGGTGTGGTCTTGATGACCGCGCCCTGCCGGTCTTTCAGGTTGGAGTTCATCTTGGCCCATGTGACTCGGGGGGTGGGGCGTCCCTTATAGGTTGCAGTGAGTTTCATGGTCTGGCCAGCGGTGAGCTGCAGCCCGTCCTTCAGTTCAGCGCTTAGCTCGGCCTCTGGGGCCACTGGCGAGGAAAAGGAGAGTCAGTTATATACATTTAAATATAATATTTCTCTCTGTTATCAACACTCCGCTACCACCAAGTGGTGACAGTGGGAACTACAGCCTCATTTCAGACTGTTATAAGTGTGTGTGTGTGTCTCACCGATGATGTCCTTGGCGGTGTGCTTGTCGGGGACCTCGACCGCCTCTCCGAAGCCAACTTTGTTGACGGCAGAGACGCGCACCTGGTACTGCGACAGGTGCAGCAGGTTCTGGATTACGTAGCTGGTGTCCTGCAGGTTCCGCGGAACGTTGCAACGGATCCAGTCATTTGCGTCGCAGCGTTTGGACTCCACCAGATACCCGAGCACGGGACTGCCTCCCGAGCTGGCCGGGGCGCCCCAAGACACACTCAGGGTAGAGTCAGAGGTATCAGTGACGACTGGATTCTGCACCGGGCCAGGGACGGCTAAGGGGACACAGGGTTAAGTTGAGGAATGGCAAGTTTATTTGTATAGATTTGTATCTAAATAATGTATTATTGTTTTTTGTAGTCTCTCTCTGGTCTCTTTCTGGTCTCTCTCTGGTCTCTCTCTGGTCTCTCTCTGGTCTCTCTCTGGTCTCTCTCTGGTCTCTCTCTGGTCTCTCTCTGGTCTCTCTCTGGTCTCTCTATGGTCTCTCTATGGTCTCTCTATGGTCTCTCTATGGTCTCTCTCTGGTCTCTCTATGGTCTCTCTCTGGTCTCTCTCTGGTCTCTCTCTGGTCTCTCTCTGGTCTCTCTCTGCTCTCTCTCTGGTCTCTCTCTGGTCTCTCTCTGGTCTCTCTCTGGTCTCTCTCTGGTCTCTCTCTGGTCTCTCTCTGGTCTCTCTCTGGTATACTCACTGATGGGGTTCATGGCGGTGGCTCCCACAGACGCCTCGCTGGGTTTGCCGGAGCCAGCGATGTTGACGGCGATGACCCTGAACTCGTACTCCGTGCCCTCGACCAGCGCGCCGACCTCCAGGGAGCGCTCGGTCAGGGGTTTGCGGTTCAGCTTGGACCAGTTTATCTCCTTTGTTTCTTTCTTCTCCAGTAAGAAGCCGAGGATCGCGGAGCAACCGTCGTCCGCCGGCTCCTTCCAGCTCACCGTCATGCGGTCCTTCTGCACGTTGGTGACCACAGGGGCCTCGCAGGGTCCGGGCACGGCTGAGGAGAGGGAGGGCAAGCACAGGTTGAACATGGACTAAACAGACTAGAACCAGACTATAAACAAAGTAAAGCTGGGGGATGTGTTTCTTTACTGTTTCATAAATAACATGTAGTTTGAACAGAAAGAGTCTTAAAGTAAAATATACCAAGACATGTCTTCATCTTAGTACAAAACACAATATTTTTTGTGTAAGAAATAACCCTGTGAGTCACTATCTGCCTCTTTGGGGTGAGAGCTGATTGACAGGGGTCCTCTCTTTGATCTAAAGATGTGACAGAGACAGAAACATAAAAAGCTAGTGACAGAAGCAACTGTTTTAGAGCCAGAACTAGAGTTCTATTCTAAGACTGTATCCATTCTAAAGTCAGTCTAAAGCTGGTCTAAACCAGATCCAAACAAGGTCTAAACCTGGTCTAAACCAGGTCTAAACCAGGTCTAAACCAGGTCTAAAGTCAGACTCACTGTAGGGGTTCTTGGCGATGACTGGCCCAGTGACCAGGGCGTCTCCCACTCCCCACACGTTCTCAGCTCGAATCCTGAATTGGTATTCCTGGCCCTCAATCAGACGACCCACGGTGAACTCAGGGCTGTCGGCCATCACTTTGGCCGTGACCTGGGCCCACTCGGCTCGGCTCGTCTCCCGTTTGTCCACAATGTAGTTCTTCAGAGGGGCACCCCCATCCTGCACAGGGGGGGTCCAGGCCAGCTTCACACTGGAGGAAGTGACGTCAACGAAGGATGAGGAGGCAGGAGCTCCTGGGACATCTGTGAGGACCAGAGAACAGGGACTGTGTAAGACCAGGTGGACCAGACTGGAACCATGTGAACCAGACCAGATCAGACTGGACCAGACCCTCCCCGGCTCCCACTCACCGAGCACCACGACCTGCACCTCGACCGTCTTGTTGCCGCTGGCGTTGTCTGCGCGCAGGATGTAGGTGCCGCTGTGTTCTTTGGTGACATCGCTCATCTCCAGCTGGAAGTGATGTCGCGCATGTGTGATCACGTGACCGGGGCCGCTCTTAAGAGTGCGGTCGCCGTGGGACCATGTGACCCGTGGCATGGGCTTCCCGAAGACCTCGGCCTCCAGCAGCAGAGGGGAGCCAGCCTTCACCCTAAAGCCCTTCTGCATACGGGCGTTCAGCTCAATACGAGGCGGAACTATGGAGAGCAGGAGTCAGGAATGAGAGAGGGGAGAGAGGGAGGGGGGGAGAAAGAGGGGTGAAAGGGGAGAGAGGGGGAGAAAGAGGAGGGAGAGAGGGGAGAGAGGTGAAGGGAAGATTATTGCTGGGCTAACAAAAAACCAGGTCTAAAAGCAGGACTGAAACAGGACAAAAGCAGCTCTGAATCAGCTCTAAAGCTCACCGTTCTCCGCCTGCACCAGCACTGGGTCGCTGGGCTCAGAGGGTTTGCTGATGTTGACCGCGGTCTTGGCGATGACCCTGAAGGAGTAGGACAGGTCACGCTCCAGGCCGGTCACAGTGTACTCCTCGCGGGGGCAGTTCTGGGAGCTGGTGTTACAGCGGAGCCAGGTCTCACCCGGGACCCTGCAGCTCTCCACATAGTACCCCACCAGCTTCGACCCGCCATCGTTCTTAGGTCGGGTCCAGACCAGCGTCACAGAGTTCTTGGTCACGTCCAGCACCTCGGGTTTCCCAGGCGTGTCTGCGGACAGAGGAGCAGTAAGTCCAAGGCTCCAGCTCGGGCTGTGTCCATAATATGTAATAATAATAATGCATTGGTTTGTCATTATTCATTCACTCCATACACAGTGGTGACAAACTACTTATGTGCCACTGATGCCCTGGGGCACACTGACAGGAAGGAGGCAACCAGTATGTGCCATCGGCCCCTCCCAGACTTGGTCATAAACACAGAGAGTTCTTACCGACTGGGGTTCTGGCGGTCACAAAGTCGGTCTTGACACTGGCTTTGCCCTGGCCAGCGCGGTTGATGGCGGAGACCCTGAAGGTGTACTCCAGGCCCTCGATGAGGCCGGCGCAGGGGTACTCTGTGGTGCGCACCACGGTGTCGTTGGCTTTGACCCACAGCAGACTGTTGCGCTCCTTCCTCTCGATGTAGTACCCGGTGATGGGGCTGCCACCGTCGCTCTCTGGCCGGTCCCACGCCACAAACATGCAGTCTTTGTTGGTCTTGTTGATGCGGCAGTTGAGGGGCTCAGTCGGCACGTCTGTGGGAAGGCTCAGGTTACTCTCACAGTTACACAGCCAGAGTAAAGACTGAGTCAGTGGGTCTTAAGGCTTGGAAGGTTCTTTTAAAAGACAAAAGTGTAAAGAAGCTAGTACTGCTTAAATAAGAATCCATCAATTTTATACAGCGCTTTTCAGGACACTCAAAGACTCTTCACATGTCATTATTCTTTCACTCTATTCACACACAAGACTCAGACTCATTCTAATGTGGGGGGAGTGTCTTGCCTTAAAACTAAGTGACAGTTTGGCACTTTACAGCTGCAGTCACCCCACTGTGGCACCTGGTGTTCCCAAAGGTCTCCCATCACAGTACTAACCAGACCCTGACCTGTTTAGCTTCATAAGTCTGACGGGATCTGGCTTTCACCTGCAGGAGGCGCCACCATTTATTACCTGACATGTTCGGTGGTAGAAGATGTCAGGCCTCTCTCTGGTTTCTCTCTGGTCTCTCTCTGGTCTCTCTCTGGTCTCTCTCTGGTCTCTCTCTGGTCTCTCTCTGGTCTCTCTCTCTGGTCTCTCTCTCTGGTCTCTCTCTCTGGTCTCTCTCTGGTCTCTCTCTCTGGTCTCTCTCTCTGGTCTCTCTCTGGTCTCTCTCTCTGGTCTCTCTCTGGTCTCTCTCTCTGGTCTCTCTCTGGTCTCTCTCTGGTCTCTCTCTGGTCTCTCTCTGGTCTCTCTCTGGTCTCACTCTGGTCTCACTCTGGTCTCTCTATAGTCTCTCTATAGTCTCTCTATAGTCTCTCTCTCTGGTCTCTCTCTGGTCTCTCTCTCTGGTCTCTCTCTGGTCTCTCTCTCTGGTCTCTCTCTGGTCTCTCTCTCTAGTCTCTCTCTCTGGTCTCTCTCTCTGGTCTCTCTCTCTGGTCTCTCTCTGGTCTCTCTCTCTGGTCTCTCTCTCTGGTCTCTCTCTCTGGTCTCTCTCTCTGGTCTCTCTCTCTGGTCTCTCTCTCTGGTCTCTCTCTGGTCTCTCTCTGGTCTCTCTCTGGTCTCTCTCTGGTGTCTCTCTCTGGTCTCTCTCTCTGGTCTCTCTCTCTGGTCTCTCTCTGGTCTCACTCTGGTCTCTCTATAGTCTCTCTCTGGTCTCTCTCTCTGGTCTCTCTCTCTGGTCTCTCTCTCTGGTGTCTCTCTCTGGTCTCTCTCTCTGGTCTCTCTCTGGTCTCTCTCTGGTCTCTCTCTCTGGGTCTCTCTCTCTGGTCTCTCTCTGGTCTCTCTCTCTGGTCTCTCTCTCTGGTCTCTCTCTCTGGTCTCTCTCTCTGGTCTCTCTCTCTGGTCTCTCTCTCTGGTCTCTCTCTCTGGTCTCTCTCTCTGGTCTCTCTCTCTGGTCTCTCTCTCTGGTCTCTCTCTGGTCTCTCTCTGGTCTCTCTCTGGTCTCTCTCTGGTCTCTCTCTGGTCTCTCTCTGGTCTCTCTCTGGTCTCTCTCTGGTCTCTCTCTGGTCTCTCTCTGGTCTCTCTCTGGTCTCTCTCCGGTCTCTCTCCGGTCTCTCTCTGGTCTCTCTCTGGTCTCTCTCTGGTCTCTCTCTGGTCTCTCTCTGGTCTCTCTCTGGTCTCTCTCTGGTCTCTCTGGTCTCTCTCTGGTCTCTCTCTGGTCTCTCTCTATAGTCTCTCTCTGGTCTCTCTCTGGTCTCTCTCTGGTCTCTCTCTGGTCTCCTCTGGTCTCTCTCCGGTCTCTCTCCGGTCTCTCTCCGGTCTCTCTCCGGTCTCTCTCTGGTCTCTCTCTGGTCTCTCTCTGGTCTCTCTCTGGTCTCTCTCTGGTCTCTCTCTGGTCTCTCTCTGGTCTCTCTCTGGTCTCTCTCTGGTCTCTCTCCGGTCTCTCTCCGGTCTCTCTCTGGTCTCTCTTTGGTCTCTCTCTGGTCTCTCTCTGGTCTCTCTCTGGTCTCTCTCTGGTCTCTCTCTGGTCTCTCTGGTCTCTCTCTAGTCTCTCTCTGGTCTCTCTCTATAGTCTCTCTCTGGTCTCTCTCTGGTCTATCTCTGGTCTCTCTCTGGTCTCTCTCTGGTCTCTCTCTGGTCTCTCTCTATAGTCTCTCTCTATAGTCTCTCTCTGGTCTCTCTCTGGTCTCTCTCTGGTCTCTCTCTGGTCTCTCTCTGGTCTCTCTCTGGTCTCTCTCTGGTCTCTCTCTGGTCTCTCTCTGGTCTCTCTCTGGTCTCTCTCTGGTCTCTCTCTGGTCTCTCTCCGGTCTCTCTCCGGTCTCTCTCCGGTCTCTCTCCGGTCTCTCTCTGGTCTCTCTCCGGTCTCTCTCTGGTCTCTCTCCGGTCTCTCTCCGGTCTCTCTCTGGTCTCTCTCTGGTCTCTCTCCAGTCTCTGGTCTCAGGTCTCTCTCAGGTAATTAAGTAGCACTAGCTTCTTCACACTGTTGTCTTATTAAACATAAAAGACATAATAAACTTTTCACATTAAAGTGGATCTTACCGAAGGGGAACTTGGCCACCATACGCTCGGACTGCACCGGGTCAGAAACACCGTAGCGATTCTCCGCCCGGATCCTGAACGCGTACTCCTTGCCGGGAACGAGTTTTCCCAGGCGGGTGTTGGTCTTGGGGCAGGACGACACGGCGTTGACCCAGTCTCCTCGGGTGACGTCGCACTTCTCCACCACGTAGTTGGTGATGTTACTGCCGCCATCCTCCAGCGGTTTGGACCAGGCCAGCGAGCAGGCGTCGGCGTCGATGTCCGAGATGGTGACCGGGCCCTCGGGCGGGCCGGGGATGTCTGTGGCAGAGAGCGGGGTCACAGACCGCAGTGGAAATGTTATACTTCTATAAATGGATCCGAGAGAAACAGCTCGTTTTTGGGGCGAAGAGCAAAAACAATATACTGTATTAAACTTCAGAATGGGATTTCTCATTTTCTCCCACTTGGTTTTAGAGTTGTTCCTTGTCTATGCAGGAGGGTTTAAGGACAGTGGTGATGATCCAGGACATTCATTAATATTTATGGACATTGATTATCTGCCTGTTATGGACCAAGGGCTCTATGTGTTTTTATCATTGCATTTCTTGTTTGAACTGTTTGATTCTCTGATCTGTGTTGGCGAATTCAGCAGTTTTGTAAAGTCCTTCGAGATAACTGCTGTTGTGATTTAGGGCGATACAAGAACAAATTGAAATTGCCATAGCCTGCATCATGTCCGTCTGCCTCTTTTACACCAACACACACCAGACTCATTCTAAGGCAGTTGAAGTGTCTTGCCAAAGGACACAACCACAGTTTGGCAGTTTACAGCTGCCCCACTGTGGCACCTGCTGTTCCCAGAGATCTCCCATCACTGCACTAACCAGGCCCTGCCCTGCTTAGCTTCAGCCTTCTGACAGGTTCTGGCTTTCACCTGCAGGTATGGCCTGGTTAAAGACAATGGTTTCGACCACTCTCAACGATTTCTTGTCAAGGGAAAGCGCACTCAGCCTTGGTTTGAATTTTGCCAATGAATTTTGAAGTGAACAGAACAGACATGTCAAACTCCAGCCTGAGGACCAAAGCCGGCCCTCAAGACCATTGTCTGTGGCCCCTGAAATGATTTAAAGTTATTATATCAAGTTGCAGTATCAAAGATGCTATACCCGATTTTTTAATTTTTATTATTTCATAAAAATGCTAATTACTACATACAAGTTGTATTATAATCCTTTTACATTATAATTTAATGTAAAACTTGAGCTCATTGATTCAGCTGTGTATAAATTCAGGCGTAAAAAGTGCTGAGTAGAGACTTAGCGTGACGCCCGCTCTCCTCCAATCACAGAACGAGGAGCGGTGCTGTTAGAACAGGCCACGCCTCCTCTAGCCTCTACAGCGCTGCTAAACACAGTAGCATGTTAGCATAAGTGGCTATAACTCCTCTGGCTGTAACTGCAGACACAGCAAAACAGCCCAAAACACACAACAGTGAGGAAGAGAAGAGGAACTAAAGCCAAAACATGATCAAAGAAGAAACCAAGCCCTGAACAGAGCTAGCTTCCAAAGTGGGGTCCGCCGCGAGGGTATTGCAGGGGGAGAGGTAATCAACAACAAAAAAGTTTTATATAATTATTGTATGTTAAATTAATAATATTGCTTATAATATTAAAATATTTGTGTTCATTATTTGACTTGAGTAATCAAATTATAATCCTTTTTGTATGACAAAATAGGGTGCGTCATTTACTTGTAGCAGAGGCTTTCTCCCACATAAAATAACGAGAGCAGCCTATTTTTAACGTTGTCTTCTTGGTTATTATTTCGGGGGCCGCGCAGACCCATCAGATTTTTAAGGGGCTGACTTTGGCTGCTCTTGAGAGACCTGTCTATGGGAGAGACCTGTCTGGCAGGTTTACCTTGGATGACGATCTTGAGCGCCTGGCTGATGGTTCCAGAGGAGTTCTCGGCCACCAGAGTGTACTCGCCGCTGTCCAGACGCGACACGTCCTTGATGATGAGCACGCACAGGTTGGCAGACTGCAGGACTGCCAGGCGGCTGGACGGCACCACGGCCAGATCTCCCCGTTTCCACTTACAGACCGGGGCAGGTTTCCCAGAGACCACAGCCTCCACGCGCAGCTTCGCACCGGCTCGGGCGCTCGCCGTCTCCGCCATCACGATCTTAGGCTCCACTGGGGGGCGACAGAGAGCAGGGTTTCAAACAGGCTGAAGGTAATTATCACACTCCTCCAGCAGGCTCTTAGGTCTCTCTCTGGTCTATTTTAGGTCTCTCTCTGGTCTCAGGTCTTTCTTTCTGGTCTCAGGTCTCTCTCTGGTCTCTCTCGGTCTCTCTCTGGTCTCTCTCTGGTCTCTCTCTGGTCTCTCTCTGGTCTCTCTCTGGTCTCTCTCTGGTCTCTCTCTGGTCTCTCTCTCTGGTCTCTCTCTGGTCTCTCTCTGGTCTCTCGCTGGTCTCTCGCTGGTCTCTTGTCTGTACTTACATTTCAGCTCCTTGGCCTCCACGGTCTCCCTGGTCTCGGTGAAGGAGCTCAGTCCCATAATGTTCTTGGCAGCGACCCTGAAGCGGTAGAGTTTCCCTTCTTTGAGGCCGCCCACACTGGCGCTCAGGCCCTTCACGGTTGTGTAGGCGTTCCATGGTTCCTCCTTCGGTTCCTTGTCCTCCTCCTCCTCATCGTCATATTCCTCCACCACAGGAAGAGGGGGAGGGGGAGCGGGCGTGGCTTCAGCACCCTCTTCACCCTGTCAATCACACATGTCTCACACACAAAAACTCATATCGAGGTTTCTCTTCTCTCTGTCTGGTCTCAGGTCTCTCCCAGGTCTCTCTCTTATCTCTCCCATGTTACTCTCTGCTCTCTCTCTGTTCTCTCTTGTTTCTCTCTCTTGTCTCTCTTTCTTCTCTCTCTCAAATATCTCTCTGGTCTCTCCCTCTGGTCCCTTCCTCTGGTCCCTCCCTCTGGTCTCTCCCTCTGGTCTCTCCCTCTGGTCTCTCCCTCTGGTCCCTCCCTCTGGTCTCTCCCTCTGGTCTCTCCCTCTGGTCCCTCCCTCTGGTCTCTCCCTCGGGTCTCTCCCTCGGGTCTCTCCCTCGGGTCTCTCCCTCGGGTCTCTCCCTCGGGTCTCTCCCTCTGGTCTCTCCCTCTGGTCTCTCCCTCTGGTCTCTCCCTCTGGTCTCTCCCTCTGGTCTCTCCCTCTGGTCTCTCCCTCTGGTCCCTCCCTCTGGTCTCTCCCTCTGGTCTCTCCCTCTGGTCTCTGGACCAGACTCCTGTGGTTAAGACTGAGACTTCAGACTGACCTCTGTTGGTTCTGCTGCTGGTTCTGGTTCTGGTTCTGGTGCAGGTGGAGGCGTCAGCTCCTGGTACTCAATGACGTATCCATCAATCTTGGCTCCTCCGTCTCTGAGTGGTTTGACCCAGGCCAGCATGGCGTTAGTGCGGGTCACCTCCAGGATCTCCACACGCTCACACGGGTCAGGCTTACCTAGGCACACGGTCAGAGCGGGTCAAAGCAGGTCAGACAGGGTCAGACTCGACTGAACCGGACCAGTCTCAGCAGGTCTAACAGTCAGAACAACAGCTCAGGGTTGGCCTGTGTGATACTCACTGACAGGGTCGGAGGGCATGTAGGACGTGGGGGAAATGCGGTGGACTCCAGGGCCGTACTGGTTGACCGCTGTGATTCTGAAGTAGTACTCGGTGCCAGACTGAAGGCCTGTGACCTTGAAGGGGACCTGGTCCGCTAAGACCTCGTCTTTGACCATGGCCCAGGTCTTTTTGTCGATTGGACGTTTCTCTACAGTGTAGTGCAGGATTTCACTTCCACCGTCCACCTCCGGGGGGTTCCACGACAGAACCATAGTCGTCTGCTTAATCTCAGAGGCCTCTATGTTCTGCACTGGCCCCGGCGTGTCTGCGGGAAGAGCGGGTTAGAGACTGGTCTAAAGCAGGTCTAGGTTCTAATGTTGGGTCGAAAGCAGGTCTAACGGAGACTCACCGAGGACTTTGACGGCTACGAACACGGCCTTTTCCCCAGCCGGGCTGCGCAGGGTCAGGCAGTACTTGCCCGAGTCGTCTCTAGTGGAGTCTGGGATCAGGAGGAAGGTCATGGAGTCGATGAGATCCACACGACCTTTTCTCACCACGTTGTCGATGCCCATGCGGCGCCACGACACCTCGGGATGAGGGCGCCCCCTGATGGTGGCGACCAGGCGGATGGGGCAGCCAGCACGCACCACCAGCCCCTGCTTCAGAGCGGCATCCAGCTCGATCTCTGGGGCCGCTGTGGGGAGACCGACACAGGATCACACCTCACGCTCAAACCCGGGGTCACACATCACCCTCTGTCCTCTCAGGTTTTACAGAATGTCACATGTTTTATGGAATAAGAAACTTGCTGCTCTTATGCTGCATTTACAGATACTTCTCTCTGTATATATATTGTCTGGTCTTACTACTGTCATTTCTTTTATCTTAGGATCCAAATGAGCTACATTCTCTCTGTAAAGAAGGCTGTGATTGTAGACTGATTGTAGTATTTTATTTAACTATTTCTAATGACGTGTTTGGAATGGAAAACAATTGTTAAAATTAGATATAACACGCCATGGTTTCTCTGACCATCAGTACTGACTGAAAATCATTCACACGGCAAAGGTCCTTGAGTTAGTCTTAGGTCGGGGGTTAGCTCTTGATACTCACACAGGATGTCCTTGGGGATGACGGGCTCGGGGAGGTCGCAGGGTGGGCTCATTCCCACCTGGTTCTGGGCGGAGACTCTGAACTCGTACAGCAGCTCGTGGTTGAGGCTGGACACGGTGAAGTCGCATGCCGTCAGTTGCGCCGCCACGTTGCAGCGCTTCCAGCCCTCGTCCTTCTTACTGCCCTGAAGCCTCATCTCCACCACGTACCCGATCAGGGGTGCGCCGCCGTCAGATACGGGCTTCACCCAGCCCAGGGTCACCGAGCTGCGTGTGCTGTCCAGGACTTTGAGGGCCGTGGGCGCCGCGGGGGGCTCTGCGCACCGGGAAAACACTGTTAGCCGCCATTTTGGGAACAATGAGATTATGTAATAATGAAAAGATGTAATATCGCTCTGAGAAAAGTAAGACTGGAACGAGCACATTACTGTCCCAGGATCAGAGAGAGATTAAGCACAGAGAAAAACCAGCATTATCAAACCCAGCCTGTACTAGACCCAGGTACCTTTACTCTAGTGCTGCTACACTGAGCCAAACTCATCCTCACTCACTGTCCAGCTCGTGTGGCAGCCCTCCTCCTTCACCATCTAGACTCGAGTTTAGTCTCTGGTTAAACTACAGTTTAGACTCTGGTTTAGACTCTACTTCGGTCTCAGTTTCACTCACCCACGGAGTCCTTGGCGGTGATGGCCCTGGAGGGCTTGCTGGCCGGGCTGACCCCGATCTCGTTGACAGCCTTGACCCTGTACTGGTACTCGTGCAGGGGCAGCAGGCCGGTGACGGTGAGGCGTGTGCCTGGGACGGTCTCCTTGTTGACCGGGGACCAACGCACCGCATGCTCCTCACGTTTCTCCAGCAGATACCCGCTGATGATCTTCCCGCCGTCACGCTCCGGCTCGCACCATTCCACAGTCATCTCCTCCTTGGATATCTTGGTGACCTCCGGGGCATCAGGGGTACTGGGCACACTGAACTGTGTTCCGGCCACGATGGACTGGCTCTCCACCGCGGGACCAGGACCCATCTTGTTCTCAGCACGGACTCGGAACAGGTACTGGTTACCTGTGTGTGGGAGGCGGGGCATTAGATATGGAAATATGGAGTATATGTAGTATGTAGTATATAATGTTTAATGGTGTCATTGTGTCTTCTGGTGACAAGTACAGGTGTGTGTGTGTGTGTGTCAGTCATGTACCCTCGGTCAGACACGTCACCACGGCCTTGTTGGTGCATCTGTGTGTGTGTTTGTGTGGGAGTGTACCCTCTGTCAGCCGGGTCACAACAGCCTTGTTGGTGATGATGGCGTTGGAGTGGACGCTCCAGACGCCTCTCTTTGTGTCGCACTTCTCGATGATGTAGTTGTAGATGTCGCAGCCTCCGTTGTCCTCTGGAATTTCCCAGGCCAGGTTGCAGCGGTCGGTGGTCACCCCAGACACCGTGAGGTCGCGCACCTCACCGGGGCGGTCCAGTACATTGAGGTGGGCGTGGCCGGTGGCAGTGCCCGCAGAGTTGGTGACGGTGACGTTGTACGTGCCGCTGTCTGTGCGGCGCGCAGCAGTGATGAAGAGTTTGGAGAAGTCGGCGCCGGCCTCCAGTCGGTGACGCACGCCACGGCGGATCTCACTGGTGCTTTCGTCTTTGGTCCACTTCAGCTCCGGCGTTGGCTTGCCTAAAAGATAAAGAGATCCTTTATTCGTGCCACAATGGGAACATTTCAGTGTTGCATCACAACTTACAGAACTGTAGGAATGAGGATAAGTGAACAACAGCTCGATACTAAAATGAAACTACATATCTAACTTTATCATAATAAAGAAGAAAATATAACATCTCTATCTTTAGAATAATAAAAAAGCAAGTATAAAATACTTAATAATAAATCAGCAGGAAGGAAAGAGCTGCAGTAGCTCTCCTTCACACAGGTTCATGTTATGGTTATGGTCTGAGTCTCTCACAGATGAGTCCTGGTCGTACCTTGCACCGTGGCCTCCAGAGTCAGCGAGTCCCCGGCCTTCACCACCAGCAACTCAGCGGGTTTGACGGTCACGGACGGAGCCAGGATCTGCTCCTTCACCAGCACCTCAGCCGTGGTGACCCAGCCGCTCTCACCGCCCTCGTTCTTTGTCTGGACGCGGAACTGGTAGACCTGGTTTTCTATGCACCTGCAACAGACCAGACTGGAATCAGAACCACCCCAAGGACCCCCAAGGCCCTCCCCCAAAGACCCGAGTTCAAGAACCATCATATATAAATATATTTCATGTTGTTTACATGTAGTTCTAACACCAGGTTCTAAAATCAGGCCAGGACTAATGTGGATTCTAAATAACCAGTGTGGTGGTAGCAGCACAGACCTGTCGGCCATGAAGTAGGTCTCCTTCATCGCCCCCTTGTGGACGCGCTCCCACTCCTCTGCCTCCTTGGGCTTCTTCTCCACATGGTAGCAAAGGTTTTTGCTGCCGCCGTCGTAGTCTGGTTTCCTCCACTTCAGGAAACAGAAGGTCTTTCCGATCTCGGCGATGGTGAAGTCCTGTGGCTCTCCTGGCTTTTCGATGGGGTCCACGGCCAGCACTGCGTTCTTGGACTCCAGGGCGGGGCCTAAGCCGATCTTGTTCTCGGCGCTAACCCTGAAGAAGTACTCGCAGCCCTCGGTGAGGGGCGCCTTGAGCTGCCGCTTGGTGCAGTCTTTGGCGACCAGCGTCCAGTTCCTCTGACTCGGCTGACGGCACTCCACTGTGAACTGCGTGATCTCGGTGCCGCCGTTGTCCTCAGGATTTTCCCAGGACACCATGCAAGAGTTCTTGGTGACGTAGGTGACTTTGATGTTCTGGCAGATCCCGGGCGTGTCCAGGACGTTGACGATGACCGTGGCTTGGGCCTGGCCACTGCTGTTCTTGGCCACAATGGCGTACTTGCCGTAGTCGGCGCGCACAGCGTCGTTGATGACAAGCTCGCACAGCGGATAGTTGTTGATGAAGTCGGTGCGCCTGTCGCGGGCCAGAGCGCGGGCGTCTTTGGTCCAGGTGATCTCAGGATCTGGTCGGCCTTTGACTCGGGTGATTAGGTTAATTATCTGTCCGGCTCTCACGGTGAGAGAGTCTCTGCAGGAGGCGTCCACCACCACCTCGGGCGGCACCAGGATGTCTTTGGCCAGGACTTTGTCTGGCAGCTCTCGCGGCTCGCTGTCCCCGATCAGGTTGGTGGCTCGGACACGGATGCGGTACTCCAGCCCCTCCAGGAGACCCGGGACTCGGAAGGCGCAGTATTTTAGGAGGTCCTTGTTGATACGGTCCCACTGCGCAGAGCCGGACTTCTGCACCTCCACCACGTAGCCCAGCACCGGGCTGCCGCCGTCGCGTGTGGGTTTGGTCCAGCAGATGTCAGCGTATGACTTGCTCCAGTCTTTAAGCTTGAGGTTCCCTGGTGGGCCGGGGCGGCTCAGGGCACGGGCTGCTTTCACCGGCTCAGAGGAGGCCGAGGGCTCACTGATACCAGCCACATTCTCAGCGAAGACTCTGAACTCGTAGGTGTTTCCTTCCAGGAGGCCAGAGACGCGGTAGCGCAGGTCGAGCACCGGAGTCTTGTTGACGCGGATCCATTTCCCCGTCATCTCACGACGCTCCACCACGTATCCGCTGATGGGGGAGCCGCCGTCGTGCTCGGGCAGGGCCCACTCTATGGTGACGGCGTTCTCTGTGATGTCAGAGCACTCTGGCGGGCCGGGTGCTCCTGGTGGGTAGAACATGTGTTTGGCCACGGTAGGAGCGCTCTCCAGCGGCGCACCGATGCCGATGCGGTTCTCTGCACGCACACGGACGATGTACTCGCGACCTTTTTCCAGACGAGACACTTTGGCTTTGGTGACGGTGCTGCCCGAGCTCACCACACTCCAGGGCTCCCATGGCTTCTTCACGTCTTTCTTCTCCACCACGTAGCTCATGATGGGCGAGCCGCCGTCGTCCTTGGGCGCGCGCCACTGTACCATCATGAACTCGGGCGTGACCTCAAGGATGTTGACAGGGCCCACGGGTGGCCCAGGCACAGCCAGCACGCTCACGTGCAGTGCCACGCTCTTGGAGCCGGCCGGGTTGGACGCAGACAGGATGTACTCTCCTGTGTCGCCGCGCTGGCACTCGCTGATGGTCAGAAGAGTGTTGCAGCCCAGCGTCTCCACAGCAACGCGACCTTCAGACACCATCTCCTTCCCGTCACTGCTCCATTTGGCCGTGGGCATGGGGATCCCAGTCATGCGAGCTGGCAAGACGATGGTGCCGCCGGCTTTAATCACCAGACCCTCAATCAGCTTCACATCCACCTCGATGGTCGGGGGCTCTGAAATCACACGGGAAGGTAAAGACCGCCTGAATTGGAGGTCATGTGGTCGAGGGCTCACGTCTGGGTCTGGGATCAAGTCTGGTCAGGTGTGGTCAGGTCTGAGTCTGGGCTTAGGTCTGGGTCATGTTGCGGTCACTCACGGGTCTTCTCCTGACAGGTCACTGGCACACTGGTATCTGGCCGGCTCACTCCGATGGCGTTCTGGGCCTTGACTCTGAAGCGGTAGGTCTTCCCTTCCACCAGGCCAGTAACATGGGCCTTTTCTGAGGTCACGGTCTTGAAGGTGACCCAGTCCGGCTGGCCTTCCTCCTGGTGCTCCACGATGAAACCAGTGACTTCACTGCCTCCTGTGCGCTCGGGCCACTCCCACTGTAACCACACCTCGGTCTTCTCAGCGTCGGTGTGATGCAGGTTCTTGGGCGGCCCAGGCGGATCTGTGGAGAGGAGAGGGTTAGTATTCCTGGGACTACATGCACCAGGGTCTACAGCCTCAGTTCTGGGTCTACAGCCTCAGTTCGAGGTCTACAGGGGACTCACAGAGCGGGTCCAGGGCCTTGATGGGGGTCCTGGTGGTCACAAAGTCACTTCTTCCAAACTGGTTCTCTGCTGCGACCCGGAACATGTACTGGATGCCCTCCATCAGGTACAGGGCCATCAGACTCAGCTTCTTGTGAGATGCGGACACTGGGACCCAGGAGTCGTTGGCCACGTCCTTCTTCTGCACCAGGTAATGGGACACGACCGCCCCCCCATTGTCCTCAGGGGCCTTCCAGGTCAGGTATGCAGACTCACTGGTGATCTCAGAGATGGTCAGGTCCCGAGGGGGAGTGGGCTTATCTGAGGGACACAGACAGGTTAGAGGGTAGAGGGTTAAAGGTAGGGTAGTGCGAGAAAGAGGAGAGGGGGGGAAGGGGGGTGGGATATGGGAGAGTGTGAGAAAGAGGGGAGAAGGAAAGAGGGGAGCGGGAGAGGGAGAGGAAGAGAGTGGGGAGAGAGGGTAGACAGACTGGACACAGTAACAGTCCTATTCTCTGTATAATTCTCAGTACTCACTCAGCACCAGGACGTTGACCGTGGCGGTCTTCTTCCCGGAGCTGTTCTCTGCCGTCAGTGTGTATTTGCCAGAGTCTTTACGTGTGGATTTGGGGATAAACACTTTGGTACCGGATTCAGTGACCGCTACGGTGAGGTGGGCCGGCATGTCCCCGCCCTCCTTCTGCCATTGGACAGTGGGAGTGGGCACGCCACGGACCAGGGCGCTCAGGGTGATGTCTGTCCCCAGCATGGCCAGGTGGTCACGGGACATGTTGGCGTCCAAGAGGAGCTCAGGAGCCTCTGTGGGGGAGACGGGGGAGAGAGGGAGAGGGGGAGACAGGGGTGAATGACGACCTGCTAATTCATAGTTAAATAAATGTATAACCAGTTAACTCATTATTTTATCTTTAATATGACATTCCACTGGGAAAAACTGTTGGTATGTTCCTACTGGTCCTGGTTCTTACCGAGCCGGTCGTGCACTTTGATGGTCTCCTTGACGTAGGCGGGGTCAGACCTGCCAGCGGCGTTGACGGTGAAGATCCTGAAGATGTACTCGACCTGGTCGCTCAGGCCGGTCACCACGTAACCCAGGTCGGGGCACTGCTCGGGCGTCTCGTTGGCCTGGGTCCACTCCACTGCGCCTGGTTTCTGGTACTCCACGATGTAACCGAAGATACGGCCTTTACCGTCGTGACGCGGCTGCTTCCAGCGCAGACTCACCGAGTCTTTGGTCTTATCATAGGACTCAGGGGTGACAGGAGGGCTCGGAGGAACTGAGGGGGAGAGAAACATGGGTGAGAAAAACAAAGCAATGAAATATGAGATATCAGTGAGTAGAGCAGATGAGTTCTGAAACATCTACTGAAGACAGAGAAGTGAGGCGGTGGTGTGGTGTTTGGGTTGTACCGATGGGGTCTTTGGCGAGGATGGGCAGGCTGGGAGGGCTGGGGTCGCCGATGCCCAGCTCGTTCTCTGCAGTCACTCTGAACTCGTAGTTGCAGCCCTCAGTTAGGTCGTTGACGCGGTACTGTGTCTGAGGGTAGAGCTGGTCGCGGGTGACTCGGGACCAACGTTTGGCTCCCACCTCCTTCTTCTCCAGGATGTAGTTCAGGATCGGTTTTCCGCCGTCTCTGGGCCGTGACCACAGCACCAGCACGTTTGTGGCATACACCTCACGTACAGTGGGCTGCTCAGGCGCCTCAGGGACTCCTGAAGAGAGAGACAAGTGATGTCACACACTGTATGGGCGGTGACACACACACACACACACACACAGTATGAAACAGTTGTATCTTACTGAACAGGTCTTTGGCTTTCATCTCCTCAGACTCCAGTGGGTCGCTGATACCGTACATGTTCTCGGCAAAGATGCGGATGATGTACTCACGACCCTCAACCAGACGAGGGATCTGAACACAAATATATACAATAAGATATTGTAGGAGAACTACAATATCCCCCCTACCTTCCCCACACCATGGAGAGACCAAAAGGCCAGGCAGACGCCACATACCCTAAATTGGATTATAACTCAAAGCAGAACAGTCGTTTGGGTGCTAACACCCGCAGGGACAAACTCTCAATCAAAGGCTCTGGCCATTGTCTCTGAACTTAAAAGACTGCATCTCATTGACCCCCGTGAAGCCTCTTCAGAGGCCAGAGGAACTCTGGGACTGCATTCCACTGCCCCCAGCGGCAACAACAGACTAAGCACTCCCAACGCGTAGATTTTTTTTTTTTACGATCACTGTAAATGACTTTTGTGTGTTGAACCGTAAACATAATTGTTTGAATACACCTGTGTTGAATTTGTGTCATGGTTTTCAGGGGGAAATGTGTGTGGTTAATGCCTAAATATCACAGTGTTCCTACAGATAGGCGGGGGGGCTGAACGGAAGTGAGCACCAGCACCCCGCCCCGTGACTCCGAGGTCAAAAGGCAGCGCACGCCATCTTCTCCCTCTTTTTTTTTTCGGCACTTTTCCTGCTCCCTCTCCGACCCCACACATGTAAGCTGGCCTTCGTGTGACTCCTCTGCGTCTCCGAGCTCCAAGCGCCCAGATCCAGACGCAAGCTCCGCGTCCTAATAGTGTCTCAGGACTAAGAACTTCCCCCTTCTGCTCTGGACCTTCGGACGCAAACGCTCCCCTGCAACAAAGACCACGCGCTCCTTCGTTGCGATCCCATCCAACTCGACGCATAGTAAGAAGTTGTTTGTTTGTGTGTTTGTGTGTTTGTGTGTTTGTGTGTTTGCTGTATGTAATTTGGTGTAACACTCACTACTAGAATCGTGACCCAAACCTATACAGGCTATTGTAACAGTCTCCATAGTCGGCTGAAACAACTAATTGATTAATCGACGAATAATCGATTATTGAAATAGTCGACAACTATTTTAGTAATCGATTAATCGTTTTCTGGTTCACACGGACTCAAACAGAGCAAAAATGACATGAAAATGTAGTATTTTTGATTGAAACCGACTTTGTTTTTATAATTTCATGAATATCTGTCTGTCTCATCCAATCAGAGCAGAATTAGCACAAAGAGCCTGTTACAAACATTTACTTAAGTTTACGCCATCAATACGTCCTCGAGTGTTGCCACTTTAGCTTTTTGTGATGAAAAAAAAATGTTTTCTACACAATTCACAGCCAAGCGATTACTCGATTAATCGTAAAAATAATCGATAGATTAATCGATTACAAAATAATCGTTAGTTGCAGCTCTACTCGTTAGCACGTTTTACATTGTCCTGTGTTTAAGCTTACCGTATGAGTCAATAAACCAGAATCCTTAAATCGCTGATAGTTATTGTTTTTCACAAAATCAGGATTCCCTGAACAGTGTAAGAATTCACATGCATTTAGATTATGAGACTGAAAACGCATTTGTAATTAGATTTAGTGTCCAATTTGGACTGGTGCTCAAAGGTAACTTTCTTTGATTCAAAAGCTAAATCTAAATCCAAATTCACTCTGTAGAATCAAGCACATATCTGTGAGAGCAGACATAAGCTTATTTTAGTCAATGTTAAGCTATCTAAGTATCGTTGATTCTCCATGTAAGGCTCTTTCATATCCTACAATACACAAATAAAACAGCACTTTACTTTTACTCATTTTAAGCCCAAATCTGAGGGACGCTAAGGCTGAAGGAGAACGTTCAAACTAGGGAGGCAGGAGTCAAACCCAAAACCTTCTGTGAGACCAGAGTGTTCTCACTCAGCCCCCGCTGTGGGTGTGACCAGGCAGAAGGTCTTGATGGTCATGGGACTCACCTTGCAGAAAGTCTTGGTTGTTGCTGAAGTGACGGTTGTCCAGCTCTCGCGGTTGACGTCTCGCTGCTCAATGATGTAGTTGGAGACGTCCACGCCGCCGCTGTCCAGAGGAGGTTTCCAGGAGACCAACATGGACTCTCTGTGGACCTCGTCAAAGACCACGGGTCCGACTGGAGGAGTGGGCCGGTCTGAGGGACAGACGACATGAGCATCTGGACCTCACAGACCTCCTGAATTGTATGGTGTTGATGGTGGAGTCCCCCAGGGTTCAGACCTGGGACCGTCCCAACTTACCAACCACGGTGATGTTGCAGATGCCTTTGCGAGCACCAGTGCTGTTCTCCACCACCACCACGTAGCGGCCGCTGTGCTGGCGCTGAGCCTTCATCAGCCCCAGGGACATGGTGCTCAGAGTGTTCTTGAACATCACGTGCTGGTCGGCCTTCAGCTCCTCGTCGTCGCGGTACCACACGATGGACGGACAGGGCTTTCCGTGGTACCGGCCCTGAAGCAGGCAGCTCTCACCCACACGGATGATGATTTTATCTCTAAAGTCCAGCTCGATGGTGGGGGGCTCTGAGGAGCACAAGAAAAAGAACTAGTGAGAAAGAGCATGAGTAACACAAGAAGAAGAACGAGTGAGGAGGAGCATGTTTGACTTGACAACAGTTTGATCACTTAATTACAATCACAGAGGAAGTCAGATGTATATTTAAATATATGTTCTTACATTTAATACTACTTAAAAATCAAGTATCTCACCCAGCTGTGTGTGTGTGAGTAAGTCTCTCGCTCTCTCTCTGTGTTTCTGTTTCTCTCTCTCCCTCTGTGTCTCTGTGTGTGTGTGTGTGTCTCTCTCTCTGCGTCTCTCCGTGTGTGTGTTTCTCTCTCTGTGCGTGTCTGTGAGTGTGTGTATCTCTCCCTGTTTCTATCTCTCTTTCTGTGTATCTCTCTCTCTCTCTCTGTCTCTCTGTGTCTCTCTGTGTGTCTCTCTCTGTGTCTCTCTGTGTGTGTGTGTCTCTCTCTCTCTCTCTCTCTCTCTGTCTCTCTGTGTCTCTCTGTGTGTGTCTCTCTCTCTCTCTGTGTGTCTCTCTCACCCAGCTCGTCCCGGCAGGTGATAGGCTTGGTGCAGAAGCTGGGTTTCCCCGCTCCGACCTCGTTGACGGCCAGGACCCTGAACTGGTAGGTGTCTCCCTCGCGGAGTCCGTCCAGGGTGAACTTGCGCTCCATCAGCGACTCCTTGGTGAGACGGGTGAACTTGTCTTTGCCGATCTGCCGCGCCTCCAGGATGTACATGGTGATTTCCGAGCCGCCATCAGACAGCGGGGCCTTCCACGTCACTGAGATCAGGTCTTTGGTGACTTTGGTGACCTCCAGCTCCTCTGGCCGGTCCGGAACACCTGCAACACATGTGGGTGAGAGGCGAAACCAAACACGGTCCAAGGTCTGAAGCAGGTCTAAAGCAGGTCTAAGGTCTGAAGCATGTCTAAAGCAGGTCTAAGGTCTGAAGCAGGTGTGAAGCAGGTTTAAAGCAGGACTAAAGCAAGTCTATGGTCTAAAGCAGGTATGAAGCAGGTCTAACACAGGTCTAAATCAGGAATAAAACAGGACCATACCGGGAGTAAAGTGGGACTAAAGCAGGACTATAACAGGACCAAAGCAGAACTAAAGTAGGACTAAAGCTGGACTAAACAGGACTAAAATAGGATTAAAACAGGACTAAAGCAAGAGAAAAGGAGGAGTAAAGTAGGACTAAACAGGACTAAAACAGGATTAATCGGGTCTAAAGCAAGTCCAAACAGGGCCTTTTTTATATCTCTAAATGCGACTCACTGATTGGTTCCTTCACGATGATTTCGCAAGCTGTGGTCATGAACGGTCCCAGGCCAATGGCGTTTTCGGCTGCAACCCTGAAGAAGTAGGCCTTGCTGGGGGTGAGTCCGGTGAGCACTGCGTTCTGCCGGCTGGCACTGTATGACACGGCGGTCCAGGCTTTACGCTCTGCCTCGCGCTTCTCCACCACAAAGTTACTGATGGGAGAGCCGCCATCGTTCTCCGGGAAGAACCAGTTCAGCTTGCAAGAGTCCCCACTCAGGTTTTCCGCCGTCAGAGGAATTCCAACTGCACCAGGAACGTCTGTGGAGAGGAGAGCAGAGGTCTGAGGTCTGAGGAGAGCAGAGGTCTGAGGTCTGTGGAGAGCAGAGGTTTGAGGTCTGTGGAGAGCAGAGGTTTGAGGTCTGTGGAGAGCAGAGGTCTGTGGAGAGCAGAGGTCTGAGGTCTGTGGAGAGCAGAGGTCTGAGGTCTGTGGAGAGCAGAGGTCTGAGGTCTGTGGAGAGCAGAGGTCTGAGGTCTGGGTTCTGAGATCTGAGGAGACAGGGGGTGGAATGCACACCTGGTCTCATTTGGACCATTCTCAGACCAGACTCAGAGTCAGCCCAGTTCCCGCAGGTGGTACGTACCCAGGACCTCCACGGTGACCTTGCGTTGTTTCTCTCCACCAGCGTTCTTGGCAGTGACGCTATAGACGCCAAGGTGTTTGCGGGCGCAGGGCTTGATGACCAGAGCAGAGCTGATTCCTGTAGTTTCCACCACAGCCTCTGGGGGCAGCGCTGCACCGTCTCTGCTCCAGGTGACCTCAGGTGCCGGCTGACCGCTCACGTACGCGATCAGGCGGATCACTCCCCCGGCGTGTACCACGATACGCTCCTTCAAGGAGGCGTCCAGGTCCACCTCAGGCGCGACTGTAGGGGAGAGAGGGGGAGAGAGCGGTTAGGGCTGTAACACCACTGAGGGGAAGAGAGGGGGGAGTGAGAGAGAGAGGGAGAGAGGTCAGAGCTGTAAGACCACTGTGGAGGAGTGGGAGGTGTCCATGGTCACCTCATGGGCTGCTGTGGGGGAGAGAGGAGAGAGAGGAGAAAGGGGAGAGGAGAGGGGAGAGAGGAGAGAGGAGGGAGGAGAGAGGAGAGAGGAGAGAGGAGAGAGGAGAGAGGAGAGAGGAGAGAGGAGAGAGGAGAGAGGAGAAAGGAGAAAGGAGAAAGGAGAGAGGAGAGAGGAGAAAGGAGAGAGCGGAGAGAGGAGAGAGAGAGGAGAGAGAGGAGAGAGAGGAGAGAGGAGAGAGAGAGAGAGGAGAGAGAGGAGAGAGCGGAGAGAGGAGAGGAGAGAGAGGAGAGAGGAGAAAGGAGAAAGGAGAGAGGAGAGAGGAGAAAGGAGAAAGGAGAGAGGAGAGAGCGGAGAGGAGAGGAGAGAGAGGAGAGAGGAGAAAGGAGAGAGGAGAGAGCGGAGAGAGGAGAGAGGAGAGAGGAGAGGAGAGAGAGGAGAGAGGAGAGAGGAGAGAGAGGAGAGGAGAGAGAGGAGAGAGGAGAGAGGAGAAAGCTGTAAGACTGAAAAGCACCACTGTGGGGGAGAGTGGGGAGGTTAGGGACAGGTGTAAGACTGAGCCCCAGGTAGGCGTCCAGGATGATCAATTTAAGACAAAATCAGTTTAAACATGTGACTAAACTGGACTGAAGTGGACTGAAGTGGACTCACTGGATCTGTCGATGACCTCCAGCACCTCGGGCACCTCGCCAGGCTCACTGTTCCCTGCCGTGTTGAAGGCCATCACTCTGAAGCGGTACTTTCCTCCGGTCTTCAGCCCTGTGATGACCAGACGAGTGCCACGGACCTCTGTGTCTTTGGCCTGAGGGACAAGGTCATGTTAGACTGGACTAAAGCAGGTCTAAAGCAGGACTAAAGCAGTTCTGAAGCAGGATTAAAGCAGGACTAAAGCAGGACTAAAGCAGTTCTGAAGCAGGATTAAAGCAGGTCTAAAGCAGGTCTAAAGCAGTTCTGAAGCAGGTCTAAAGCAGGTCTAAAGCAGGTCTAAAGCAGTTCTGAAGCAGGATTAAAGCAGGTCTAAAGCAGGTCTAAAGCAGGTCTAAAGCAGTTCTGAAGCAGGTCTAAAGCAGGTCTAAAGCAGTTCTGAAGCAGGACTAAAGCAGGTCTAGGGCAGGACTAAAGCAGTTCTGAAGCAGGATTAAAGCAGGTCCAAAGCAGGTCTAAAGCAGGACTAAAGCTCTCAGGTCTGTCAGGTCTCTGGTCTCTGGTCTCTGGTCTCTCTGGTCTCTTATCTCTCTGGTCTCTGGACTTACCTTCACCCACGCCTCAGTCCCCTCTTCCTTATGCTCGACCCAGTATCCCATGATCTTGGAGCCGCCATCTTTGAGGGGTGGGATCCACTCCAGGTCCACTGTGGATTTGGTCCAATCGGAGACTTTGGGTGTGGGTGGGGAGGGCGGGGCTAGAGAGATGAGACAGAGGATTGGTCAATAATCTTTTTTATGCTAATTCTATGAAGGCTCAATGATGATACGGAGTCCAGAGTTAGCCTCATCCCTTTGTGGGACTCTCTGGTCTAAGTTGGACTCACAGATCGGGTCTCTGGCGAACACCGGGTCGGTCAGTGGGCTCGGGAGTCCCGGACCAGCTGCGTTCATGGCAGTGACTCTGAACTGATACTGCGACCCCTCAATGAGGCCGGTCACGCAGAAGCTCTCCCCCAGTCCCATGGGTCGTATGGGTTCCCGGGTCACCCGTGCCCAGCGTTTGCCCGTGGTCTCCTTCCTCTCCAGCCAGTACCCGCTGATGGGCGACCCGCCATCGTCTTCAGGCTCCTCCCAGTTCACCGTCATGGAGTCCAGTGTCACAGCAGAGACCGTGGGCTTCTCCACCTGGCCAGGCGGGACTGAGAGAGAGAGGGGGTTATTGTACTGTTTACAACTACATGTCTAGTCCAGCTCTTAGTCTTGGTATCTGTCCTGGTCTTCGTCCCAGTTGCACGTACCACTGTGGGCTCAGAGTCCTGGTCCCAGTCACAGTCTCAGTTTCAACCCTGGTCACAGTCTCAATCTTGGTCTCAGTCCTGGCACTCACCACAGATGTTGCGGGCCACCTCGGGCTCAGAGTCCAGAGGTTCTCCCACGCCGTACTTGTTCTGAGCCATGATTCTGAAGATGTACTCGTGGCCTTCCATCAGGTTCTCCACGGTCCACACCCGCTCCTTGGGCTCGTTGGTCACGATGACCCAGGTCTTACGGCTGGCCACGCGGCGCCAGATCACATAGTTGGTGACTTTGGACCCGCCGTCGTCTTTGGGAGGCAGCCAGGACAGCGTGATCTTCTCCGCCTCGATCTCCTCAAACTTAATGGGAGCAGAGGGGGCCCCGGGTCGACCTGAGGAGGGACACAGAGTCTTAAAGAGAGCACCCCTGGGTTTGTGCTCTCTCCTTTCTCTCTCTAGTTTTGTTTGATTGGTTTAACATCTTTTTGTTAGAGAACAGGATGACACTTATCATGAAATAACCTCTGCTTTTCCTAAAGTCACCTCAGCACCAGCTACTATCTCTATGGTCTCTGGAATAGCTCTGGTCTAGTTTCTGGTCTCTCTCGGGTCTCTCTTGTCTCTGGTCTCTCTCTGGTCTCTCTCTAGTCTTACTCTGATCTCTCTCTGGTCCCTCTAGTCTCTGGTCTCTCTCGAATCTTACTTTGATCTCTCTCTGGTCTATCTCTGGTCCCTCTAGTCTCTGGTCTCTCTCGAATCTTACTCTGGTCTCTCTCTGGTCTCTCTTTAGTCCCTCTAGTCTCATGTCTCTGGTCTCTCCTTAGCCACCTTCCTCAGGCTGTTGGAGCAGGTTTGGGTCGTGTGGGCAGTGGTACTCACCCATGACGTTGAGCCTCATCTCCTTGCTGGCCTTGCCCAGGCTGTTGGAGGCCTGGAGGGTGTACAGGCCCGTGTCCCCTCGTATGGCCCTCTGGATCAGCAGAGTGCAGGTCTCATCAGACACTATCTTGTTGATGTTCTCATCGTATTCGACTTGGGTCTTCTGCTCTGGTTTGTGGGGAGGGGCTTTGAACCAGGTCAGTGTGGGGAACGGACATCCACGGATCTTTGCCACGATTCGGATCTCCTTGCCCTGTTCGGACTCCAGGAACTCCTCCAACTCGATGGACGGGGCGCCTGAGGCCAGGGGGAAAGGGTTAGACTGAGGCAAGGATGCGACTACACCAGGACTAACCCCTGGTCTAAAGCAGGATTAAAGCAGGTCTAAAATAGGTTCAAAACCCTGGTCTGAAATTGGGCTAAACTTTGGTCTAAAGCAGGACTAAAACAGGACTAATACTGGACTAAACAAGGACTACACCAGGACAAAACCAGTAACTAGGATTACACCAGAATGAAACTTTGGTCTAAAGCGGGACTAAAGCAAGACAAAAGCAGGACAAAAGTGGTTTTGCATGTGGAACTCACAGGTCTGGTCTTGGATCAGGATTGGGCCGACAGTGGTGGAAGGGCGGCTGGAACCGGCCTGGTTAAAGGCGTTGACTCTGAACTCATACTCGTCTCCTTCCTTCAAATCCTCCACCTTGAAATGAGTGGCCTCCACCTCCCTGCGGTTACACCTGAGGAGATACAAGGGGTTAGCTCACTTAGCTTCAGTTAGCTTTGTTAGCTCCTCCTGTTAGCTCCATTAGCTTCATTTAGCTCAGTTAGCTTCAGTTAGCTTCAGTACCTCATCCAGCCCTCCTTCTGAGAGCCGCTAGCGTCCCAGCAGAGCATGTCGACGCTGTAGTGAGTGACAGGAGCGCCGCCATCGTTCTTTGGACACTTCCAGCACAGAGACACCACGCCCTTCTTCACCCCGAGGATCTTCAGACGAGTCGGGGGGTCTGGCGGGTCTGCGGAGAGCACAGATGATGAGACCCACGACCCAGAAGGGTTCAGGTCAGAGCAGGACGGAAAAATAAGGGCCACTGTTTGGGTGGATCGGGTTGAGCACTTTTTAGTCCTAATTTCAATCTACACAGAATCATAGAATTTCATAATCACTGTTTTTAGAACTTAATTTATTGACTACATATATAAAAAACAAATCCTTAGTCCATCCATCCATCTTCTACCCTTTAATCCATTTCTGGGTCAGGGGGGTGGCTATCAGAGATGCCACCCAAGTCTCATAGTCCTTCCTTAGTCCTTAGTCATTAATGAAATTAAATAAACAGGTGGAACTCTTTGGCTGGTTAAGGACTTAATGCATGCTTATTAGTCACGTAAAATATATATATTTTTTAAATGCTGTAACATACATTAATGTTACAGTAAAGACCATTTACTGTAAAAGCAATTTAAAAATAAAAACATTTAAACATCATTTAAAATATAAAAAACTCACAAATGTAGAATCAAAGTCTGTAGCAGTTAGACATGGGCATTATTTACAGTGTCTGAGAGTTTAGTGCGTGAACATGGCTTCAGTAAAAGCTTGCTCGTTTGCAAAGCGGGTCTGGACATTTGTTGACGCTTCATAAGCACTTTTCTCGGTGATTGCAGCAAAGGATTTCTCTGCATTAAAACAGCGCTTTAGATTTGCACAATTGATGTGATCATTTTGGCACAATTACTTTTGATTAACAAAGTAGCTTTCTTGAGCTATTGACCGCGGAAGTCCAAATCTGACGCTAACTTTACCAAACTTCTGCTGTGATGATGCTGCGGCCGCGGCCCACGCTGCCACTTGTCAACATGAAGCCCATGGATGTGATGGAGCCTACGCCCCTTTGACACTGATTGGCCGAAACGCTTAAACTGTGATTACTGTGTGTGTGTGTGTGTGTGTGTGTGTGTGTGTGTGTGTGTGTGTGTGTGTGTGTGTGTGTGTGTGTGTGTGTGTGTGTGTGTGTGTGTGTGTGTGTGTGTGTGTGTGTGTGTGTGTGTGTGTGTGTGACCTGCAGTGAGTGAGTGATGCATTTAAGGCGACTCTGAAAATACGGGACAAAAGCCGTCCCGTATCAGTTCAATACGAGACGCACATAGTTTTTCAAAAATACGGGACAATTCTGTATTTTATGGGACGGTTGGCAACCCTAGGTTTACTCCATAATGTCAGCCTCTAATGTTTGGTCCAAATAATGTCTGTTTCTTATGGATCTTAAATATGGATAGGGTCTATTCTGGAGTTACTGATGGGGTCTAGACTAGGATTTATGAATCAGGTCTGGACCTAGACTTTCAGATGGGGTCTGGTCTGGACTTACGAATGGGGTCTCTGGCCCGGGATCCTTCGGGGGTCTCGGTGTAGGGTCCAAATCCAAAGCGATTCTCTGCTTTGATCCTGAAGATGTACTCCTGTCCATCGATCAGGTCTGGGATCACCAGAGACTGGGCCTGGCAGGTCGGGTTCACCTGGACCACAAGGGAACATAACACATTATAGTTCAAGACCAAGTCCAAGTTGGGTCTGGTCCCAGACCCAAGTCCAGTTTCAGTCTAGTCTTAATCCAGTCCAGTCTCAGTCTCAGTTTAGTCCCATACCTTAGTCCAGTCTCAGTCTCAGTTTAGTCCCATACCTTAGTCCAGTCTCAGTCCAGTCGCAGTCCAGTCGCAGTCCAGTCTCAGTCCAGTCTCAGTCCAGTCGCAGTCCAGTCTCAGTCCAGTCTCAGTCCAGTCTCAGTCCAGTCTCAGTCCAGTCTGAGTCCAGTCTGAGTCCAGTCTCAGTCCAGTCTGAGTCCAGTCTCAGTCCAGTCTCAGTCCAGTGGCAGTCCAGTCTCAGTCCAGTCTCAGTCCAGTGGCAGTCCAGTCTCAGTCCAGTGGCAGTCCAGTCTCAGTCCAGTCTCAGTCCAGTGGTAGTCCAGTCTCAGTCCAGTGGTAGTCCAGTCTCAGTCCAGTGGTAGTCCAGTCTCAGTCCAGTGGCAGTCCAGTCTCAGTCCAGTGGCAGTCCAGTGGCAGTCCAGTCTCAGTCCAGTGGCAGTCCAGTCTCAGTCCAGTCTCAGTCCAGTCTCAGACCTTGGTCCAGGCCTTCCCGGTCGTGGTCTTCTTCTCGATAAAGTAGCTCTTGATGTGTTCTCCACCATCGCTCTCTGGAGCCTTCCAGCTGAGGCGGCAGGTTCCTCTGGTGATGTCGGTGACTCGGAGGTCCCTGGGGGCCCCTGGCAGGTCTGGGGAGAGAGGGACAGGATGAGCAACACTCCGTCTAGTGGCAGAAGAGGGGAACTACATCCTGCTTTTATCATTGGGTCTAACATGGTGCAATCTGACTGAATAATATCTGAGTAGGTAAGAAAGGACCAGGGACTAGAGCAGGGTCCGTGTTCAGGACTCACCCAGGACCAGGGTCTAAACCAGGGTCCAGGTTCAGGACTCACCCAGGATGTTGACCCGGACCTTCAGGACCTTGTGTCCTGCTGGACTCTCGGCGTTGATGATGTAACGTCCGGAGTGACACAGCTGGGACTCGGCGATGACGACCCGGGTGGAGGTGTCTGACGTGTAGATCTGAGGACACACGGTCGGCATGTCAGACGCAGAGAACATGCAAACTCTACACAGAGAGACCCAGGCCAGCCATGGGGTTGCACCCACAACTGACTGTGAGGTCTGAGTGCCTCCCACTCTGCATGTGCTCAGGTCGTAGTCTAAGGGGAGGGTGTGTATTTGGGTTGTGGACTCACCTCAGCATCCAGGGGCAGGGTGTGTCTCTCGTTCTTCTTCTCGCTCTCTGCCGTGCCGTCGTAGTTCCAGGTGATGTTGGGTTGGGGGCGCCCTCTCACAGACACAGGTATCTGCAGCATGGTTCCAGCCCGAGTGTTCAGGAGGTCGTTAGCGCTGAGATCAAGGGTCAGCACGGGCTCGACTGAAAAACAACAAAAGCCTCAGGGTTTGGCTCGTCCATGGTCTGGTCTAGTCCAGTGTCTCCCAAGCTTGGTCTCTCTGGTCTGGTCACTCTAGTCTGGTCTCTCTAGTCTGGTCTCTCTAGCCTGGTCTCTCTAGCCTGGTCTCTCTAGCCTGGTCTCTCTAGCCTGGTCTCTCTAGTCTGGTCTCTCTAGTCTGGTCTCTCTAGTCTGGTCTCTCTAGTCTGGTCTCTCTAGCCTGGTCTCTCTAGCCTGGTCTCTCTAGCCTGGTCTCTCTAGCCTGGTCTCTCTAGCCTGGTCTCTCTAGCCTGGTCTCTCTAGTCTGGTCTCTCTAGTCTGGTCTCTCTAGTCTGGTCTCTCTAGTCTGGTCTCTCTAGTCTGGTCTCTCTAGCCTGGTCTCTCTAGCCTGGTCTCTCTAGCCTGGTCTCTCTAGCCTGGTCTCTCTAGCCTGGTCTCTCTAGCCTGGTCTCTCTAGCCTGGTCTCTCTAGCCTGGTCTCTCTAGCCTGGTCTCTCTAGCCTGGTCTCTCTAGCCTGGTCTCTCTAGCCTGGTCTCTCTAGCCTGGTCTCTCTAGCCTGGTCTCTCTAGCCTGGTCTCTCTAGCCTGGTCTCTCTAGTCTGGTCTCTCTAGTCTGGTCTCTCTTGCCTGGTCTCTCTAGCCTGGTCTCTCTAGCCTGGTCTCTCTAGCCTGGTCTCTCTAGTCTGGTCTCTCTAGTCTGGTCTCTCTAGTCTGGTCTCTCTAGCCTGGTCTCTCTAGCCTGGTCTCTCTAGTCTGGTCTCTCTAGTCTGGTCTCTCTAGTCTGGTCTCTCTAGTCTGGTCTCTCTAGTCTGGTCTCTCTAGTCTGGTCTCTCTGATCTAGTTTTGTTTCTGATCTAGTCTCAAGTCTCTGGACTCTCTCTTGTCTAGTTTCCGGTCTCTCTCTGGATCTCTTTGGTCTCTGGTCTCCCATTGCTCTCTCTCTCTAGTCTCTCTTTCTGGTCCCCCTAGACTCGGGTCCCTCAAGGTCTCCCTCTGGTCTCTCTCTGATCTCTGGTCTGCCCTCCGGACTCCCACTCACTCAGGATGTCTTGCACCATCACGTCCTTGGTGATGGCAGGCTCGGACATGCCGGCAGCGTTGACGGCGTAGACCCTGAACCGGGCCTTGCGGTTCTCCCGCAGGTTGGGTACGTTGAAGTTGGTCGACATGTGGGGCTTGTCTGGCAGGGTGACCCGCTTCCACTCGGCCATGCCCTCCTCGTGCACCTCCACCACATAACCTTTGACTGGGGCGCCGCCGTCCCTCTCTGGGGGACTCCAGCTCAGGGACACAGACGACTTGGTCTTATCCAGCACCGTGAGCTCCAGCGGCGGGCTAGGCGGGTCTGAGGAGAGGGGGAAACATGAGTCAAAGCGGCAGGTCGTCACCTCACTCCAGGGTCCATTCCCAGTGTCTGGTCTCTTGTGTTTCAGGTTGTATGTTTGGTCTCTTGTATTTTGGGTTGTATGTTGGGTCTCTTATGTGTAGTACTCACTGCATGGATCCTGTGCAAAGCGGCAGGTCGTTCCCTCACTCGGGGGACCCACCCCAGCTGCGTTCTGAGCTGCGACCCTAAACTGGTACTCCGTGCCCTCGATGAGACGCAGGATGGTGTACTGCAGTCCTCTGACGGCAGGTTTGGTGACCGGCGAGCGGTTGACTCTGCCCCAGTACACGGCCCCGCGCTCCCTCTTCTCCAGCCAGTACCCCTGGATGCTAGACCCGCCGTTCTCGAGGGGAGGCTCCCAGGTCACTGTCATGGTCGTCGCTGTACCGGCGATGATCTTGGGGTTTCGGGGTGGACCCGGCAAGCCGAAGGGATCGCGCAGCTGTACCTTCTCCGACTCAAAGCCGTCACTCACACCAAACTTATTCTCGGCTTTGATCCGGAACTGGTACTGGCCATTAAAGTCAAGCTTGTAGACCTGCCGGGGAAACAGAGTTAATGTGGTCCTTTATTAGGATTAGATTCAGATTCAGATTCAGATCAGATTAATTTATTTGGATTATATCACAGGGGACCAAACCCGGGTCCCAGGGTTAAAGGACCTCTGCCACAAACACACGGGTCATGGCGGCTGAGGAGTGACCTCCATCTGCGGTCGTATGGTCTCAATTGTGTCTGTGTTATGGCTAGCTGGTTTCTCACCCCGTATCTGCGGTCGATCAGGTTAATCGTCAGGACTTCGAAGTCCGACTTCTTCTTGCTGGCGTCTCGCCTCTCAAGGATGTAGTTGGTGATCTCCGACCCGCCGTTGTCCTCGGGTGCATCCCAGGTCAGGTAGCAGGAGTCCGATCGGATGTCCGAGATCACAATGTTTCGGGGCGGGAGCGGCCGGTCTGAAAACCGGGGTCCAAGACTTAGTGTCATGACATCACTGTTCTCCACAACCCCCAATGCAGAGCAACAGGAGGCAAAAGTCCTGGTCTTACCCAGCCCCAGCCCAAGCCAATCATACAACACCTATCACAATCCCACCCAGCCTCAGCCCATCCCCGGTCTTAGTCAGTCTCCAGTCCTGTCTGCTTTACCAAGCCGTAGCCCTGCCTCAGCCTCAGCCGATCCCCAGGCTAAAACCCATTCCCAGCCTAAGCTCGTCCCCAGCCTCAGTCCCTCTCGTGCTTACCGAGCACTTCGACCCGGATGAGGTGTGTGGCGCTGCCGTAGCAGTTGTCAGCCTTCAGTTGGTAATTCCCCGTGTCCTGCCTCAGAGACGACGGGATGGAGATCTTAGTCTTGATGGTGGTGCGGTCCACCTGCAGGACAGAGAAAAGGGAACTGAATCAGAATCCACTGTGGGGTTCTCAAACTGTGGTCTGAGTACGTGGTATCTGGCCAGACAGTGCGATCTCCGTCTCTCTCACATTGGTCGGTCTCTCGTCTTTCCTGGTCTACAAGAGTAAGGACCAGGTCTAGTCTGGGTCTAGACTCACCTCTTCAGATTCCATGGTCATTCTTTCCTCCTCAGGTTTGACCACGAGGGGCAGGTCGTCCCTGAGCCAGGTGAAGGTCGGCAGGGGGAGACCTTTAATCTCGGCGGGCAGCTCTACAGCGCCCCCTTTATGGATGATCAGGGAATTGTTCTTGAAGAAGCGCAGCATGGCAATGGACGGAGGAACTGGGGAGAGGAGACCAACATTAGAACCAGGCTCCTGCTACTACTATTGAGACTACTGCAAAGGCTACTGCTGCTAATGCTACTGCTGCTACTGCTGCTACTGCTGCTAATGCTACTGCTGCTACTGCTGCTAATGCTGCTACTGCTGCTAATGCTGCTACTGCTGCTACTGCTGCTACTGCTGCTACTGCTGCTAATGCTGCTACTACTACTGCTGCTACTGCTGCTAATGCTACTGCTGCTACTGCTGCTACTGCTGCTAATGCTACTGCTGCTACTGCTGCTACTGCTGCTAATGCTACTGCTGCTACTGCTGTTACTGCTGCTAATGCTACTACTACTACTGCTGCTATTGCTAATACCACTGCTACTACTGCTGCTACCTCTACCATTGCTGCTGCTGCTACTGCTCCTGCTGCTGCTACTGCTACTACGATTACTTTTACTACAGCTGCTAAAACTATTACTACTACTACTGCTAATACTAGGACCGGCACTGCTTCTGTAGGCCCAGCAGGTGGCGTGTGACTCACTCTCATCGTCCATGATCTTCACATTGATGGCTTTGCTGTGGTCTCCGTCTCCGACCTCGTTCACGGCTTTGACCCGGAACTGGTACTCCATGTTCTCCGACAGGTTCTCGATGGTTCCCTGGCACTCGGTGAAGATCTTGCGGTGAGCCACGTCGAACTCGGTGCTGTCGGACCTCATCTTCTCCACGTAGTAGCCGGTGATGGGACTTCCCCCGTCGGTGCGAGGAGGCTGCCAGGCCAGAGAGATGGTGGTCTTACTGCGGTCGCTGTAGTGGAACTTCTCGGGCGCGGAGGGGGTTCCTGTGTGAGGAGGAGGTCAAAGGGTTGGTCAGTGTCCTGCTCACCCTGATGGAGAGGACAACCATACATCATGCAGATTTTCAGGGGGGACCTTTGCTGCAGCTGCCCCCACTCTCTGGAACTCACTCCCACCACACATTAGGAAATCTGACTCCCTTCAGAACTTCAAATCACGGCTCAAAACCCACCTGTTCAAAACTGCCTACACTTAACTGTTTATATTTAGCTTTTTATTTTTGTTCTGTAAATTATCTTTGAGTGTCCAAAAAAGCACTATATGTATTATTACTATTATTTACAGGAGCAGGAGGTAGTTCATGAGCACTTTGTCTACTCAGATTCACTCCTTCATTCAGACCTCTTCAAGTGCAACCATTCTGAGATCGGGAGAAGGTCACAGTTCTGTTCCTCAGAACTTTCACACACTTTTTATGATTTCATTAAGGACATATCTTGTCTCTGTGTCCTCTTTCAAGTCCTGGCCCTGAGTCCTGGTCTGTGGTCTCTACGATTTGCCTGGTCTCTGTCCTCCTCAGCATTGAGGTGCTGGTCCTGAGACCTACTGTCTTAGTCCTCTTCAGCTTTTAGATCCTGGTCTGAGTCCTGGTCTGTGGTCTCTATAGTCTCTATAGTCTGTCTTGTCTCTGTCCTTCTCAGGTCTAGGGTCCTGGGCCTGGGACCTGGTCTGTGGTCTCTATAGTCTTTCGCCTCAGTCCTGCTCACCTTTGGGGTCCTGGGCGATGACGGGCCCCAGGTCAGCGGGGGTTCCGTCTCCGTACTTGTTGCGTGCGATGACCCTGAAGTCGTAGCTCTCGTTGTGGAGCAGGCCCTGGACGTCGCACTTGCAGGAGGCCGTGTCGATGGGCTGCCGGAACAGCTTCATGTTGGAGTCCTTCCTCAGGACCTCGTAACCCATGATGTCGCTGCCACCGTTGTCCAGCGGGTCTTTCCAGGTCAGTACGATGTTCTTCTTAGTGACCAGCACGGTTTTGAGGTCCACCACGGGGCCAGGGACATCTGAGGGAGACAGGGCAGAAGTTGGTTGGTTTGTTTGTTTTTATTGAGATCTCCATTAGCGACTGAAATATACAGCAGCTGCTCTCCCTCAGGTCAGTGTTCTCATCAGTGTCACGTTGATATGACAAATTCAAATAAAAAATAACAAAATTGCTAAAACAGGAATACACGGTAACTGCATTAACACAAATACACGTCCTCCAGAAAAGGGTAATTAGTGGAGGGGGAAAATTGTTTCAGTTCAGAATCGCAATATTTTTCATACACAACAGAGCAAAGTTGTGTTTTCTCTGTTCTCTCTTTCATGTTCCTCTGTGATGTCTGCTCGTTGTGACTCTGTCTTGTCTGTGATAAGGTTCTGTGTCCTGAATGTTCAAGGATAATGTTTTTTCTCTACAGTTAATGTACAGACCATAATAAATGTAATGTCTTTGAATAATATGACGGACATGAATCCTAATATATTGCAGAATGGAATCATAACACTCGCAGTATCACAATATGTTAAGTATAGAAGTGTGACCAAAATAATACAATACTAATGAATTGTCACATTTTTGCCAGTTCCGAGTGTTTTGGTGCTGACAGGTCGGATCAGTGCAGGCCTTACCCATGACGTCCACCCGGGTCTCGGCGCTCTTGCTGCCGCTGGGGTTGGTTCCGGTCACGGTGTATTTGCCGTGGTCGGCCCTGGTGCTGACTTTGATGAACAGAGTGGTGTTCTTGCCCTGCGTCTCCAGCTGCACTCTCTCTGGGTCGGTGGCGGCTTCGTCTTTGGTCCATTTGACCTCGGGCTGCGGGCGGCCGGTCACTACGGCGGGCAGACGCAGAGGCGCTCCGGCACGGATCATCACGCCGTTACGCACCGTGGCGTCTAGCTCCACGGACGGGGTCTCTGTAGGGGAGGAGGAGGAGCATAAGTCCAAACCCTATGTAAAGTCTTTTGGATGTTTTGAGCAGAGACCACGAGACTCGGCAGTGAAAACCTCATTATCATATTAGAACTAATCAGATACTAGTTTAGCTTCTGCTACTTTTTATAAGATTATTATTATTATTATATTATTAAACGCTGAAAAGCTGATGGAGGCAGCAGTCATTTACAATGTTTGAAGAAAACAGATAAACTCATAATCCTGGGGAAGCAGGGCTGGACTGGTCACTGAAGCATAACTATTTGTATTTGTATTTTCTTCTCTGTCATCTATTCTAAATAATTGACATTAAGTGTTTCTGTTTGATTAAAAGAACCAGAGGACAACTCTGTGACTACACTCTCTCCGTCTGTGCCAAGTTCCTGGAGATCAGTGTGAGAGAGGCAGACGGATTGGTCTTACCCTCTGGTTCCTTCACGGTCACTGGGTCCGTGGTCCCTGGAGCTCCCGGTCCGGCCTCGTTCACAGCGATCACTCGGAGGTAGTAGTCGGCTCCTTCGGTCAGGCCCCTGGCGGTGAAGGTCAGGTCTTTACAGCGGTGTTCAGTGGCACGCTTCCATTCCTTCTCCCCGACCACCATCTGCAGAGGAGGAGGACAAGGGGACATCAGGAGGACATCAGAGAAGGTCCTGAGGCAGAGGAGAAACCTTACCTTCTCCACGTGGTATCCTGAGATGTCTCCTCCGCCGTTGTACAGAGGAGGTTTCCAGGCCAGAATCACAAAGTCTTTTCCAGTGTCCACAACCCGAGGAATGGGAGGTCCAGGGGGCACTGTGGAGAGACCGCGTTAGAACCAGGTTTAAGAGGTCTAGAGCAGGATTAAACAAAACTAAAGCAGGTCTGAACAAGACTAGAGCAGGTCTAAAGAAGTCTAAACAGAACTAAAACACTCACAGATGGCGTCCATGGCCACAGTGCGGTCAGACGGCTCGCAGAAGGGTCCTGGTCCGGCTAAGTTCTCCGCACAGACTCTGAAGATGTAGGTGAGTCCCTCCTGGAGCCCCTGGACCCGGACCTCCAGCGCATTAAGCAGAGCCCGGTTCACTCTGGTCCAGTGTTTGCTGTTCACCTCCTTCCTCTCAATCCAGTATCCCAAGATGGGGCTGCCGTTGTCTTTGGGCTCGTGCCACGACAGTTTGGCGCTGGAGGCGGTGACCTCCTGGACTCTCGGGGTGTTGGGGGCATCAGGGGGGTCTGAGGAGGAGGGGAGACTTTATTATCTCAGCAAGGTCTGGGAGAAGAGCTGTTAGAACCAGATTTAACCCTTACAACCAAAAACCTGAGGATCAGAGGATCAGAGTGTGGTCTTGTATAATGTCCCGAAACAGGAAGACACCAGGTCTAAAACAGGTATAAACCAGGACTATATCAGATCTAAGCCCGGACTAAACCGAGACTAACAATGGACTAAACTAGATCAAAGATAGGTAAAAATCAGGTCTAAACCAGGACTAAATCAGGACTTAAGCAGAACTAAACCAAGACTGACACAGGTCTAAACCAGATCTAAGTCTGGACTAAACCGGGAGTAAACCTGAGCTAAACTAGATCTAAGACAGGTAATAACCAGGTCTAGACCACAACTAAATCAGGACTAAACCCGGACTTGGATCTCACCGAACATGTTCTTGGCCACCATTGGCTCGGAGATGCAGGGAGCTCCGGGTCCAGACTTGTTCTCAGCCGTCACTCTGAAGATGTACTCCTTCCCCTCGATGAGTTTGGCCACAGGGAACGATGTGCCCTACAGGAGAAGAACCACAGAGACAGAGTTAAAGAGGTCCTACAGGAGAAGAACCACAGAGACAGAGTTAAAGAGGTCCTACAGGAGAAGAACCACAGAGACAGAGTTAAAGAGGTCCTACAGGAGAAGAACCACAGAGACAGAGTTAAAGAGGTCCTACAGAGGTCCTACAGGAGAAGAACCACAGAGACAGATTAAGAGGTCACAGGAGAAGAACCAGAGACAGAGTTAAAGAGGTCCTACAGGAGAAGAACCACAGAGACAGAGTTAAAGAGGTCCTACAGGAGAAGAACCACAGAGACAGAGTTAAAGAGGTCCTACAGGAGAAGAACCACAGAGACAGAGTTAAAGAGGTCCTACAGGAGAAGAACCACAGAGACAGAGTTAAAGAGGTCCTACAGAGGTCCTACAGGAGAAGAACCACAGAGACAGAGTTAAAGAGGTCCTACAGGAGAAGAACCACAGAGACAGAGTTAAAGAGGTCCTACAGAGGTCCTACAGGAGAAGAACCACAGAGACAGAGTTAAAGAGGTCCTACAGAGGTCCTACAGGAGAAGAACCACAGAGACAGAGTTAAAGAGGTCCTACAGGAGAAGAACCACAGAGACAGAGTAAAAGAGGCCCTACAGGAGAAGAACCAAAGAGACAGAGTTAAAGAGGTCCTACAGAGGTCCTACAGGAGAAGAACCACAGAGACAGAGTTAAAGAGGTCTTACAGGAGAAGAACCACAGAGACAGAGTTAAAGAGGCCCTACAGGAGAAGAACCACAGAGACAGAGTTAAAGAGGTCTTACAGGAGAAGAACCACAGAGACAGAGTTAAAGAGGTCCTACAGGAGAAGAACCACAGAGACAGAGTTAAAGAGGTCCTACAGGAGAAGAACCACAGAGACAGAGTTAAAGAGGTCCTACAGAGGTCCTACAGGAGAAGAACCACAGAGACAGAGTTAAAGAGGTCCTACAGGAGAAGAACCACAGAGACAGAGTTAAAGAGGTCCTACAGGAGAAGAACCACAGAGACAGAGTTAAAGAGGTCCTACAGGAGAAGAACCACAGAGACAGAGTTAAAGAGGTCCTACAGGAGAAGAACCACAGAGACAGAGTTAAAGAGGTCCTACAGGAGAAGAACCACAGAGACAGAGTTAAAGAGGTCCTACAGGAGAAGAACCACAGAGACAGAGTTAAAGAGGTCCTACAGGAGAAGAACCACAGAGACAGAGTTAAAGAGGTCCTACAGGAGAAGAACCACAGAGACAGAGTTAAAGGGGTCCTACAGGAGAGGTCATGAAGACCAGAGTAGGATGAAGGAACCTGTGGACCATCTAGTGAGGAGCTCTATGATGACATTATGAGCAGAAATATAAAAGGAAGTTCTTCAAAAGGCCTGTTCCTGAGAGAAGGTCTCTGGAGCAGGTGTGAGTGAGGAGGTGCAGAGGAGGTGCAGAGGAGATGCAGAGGAGATGTACCTTCAGGGTGGAGGTGATGGTGATCCAGCCCATCTCCTCGTTGCGGTTGTCTTTCTTCTCTAAGATGTAGTTGTCGATCTCTGAGCCGCCATCGTCCTCTGGAGGCTCCCAGCTGCACAACACTGAGGTGTTCCTCACGTCCGAGAAGGTGAAGTTCACAGGAGGACCAGGAACATCTGAGGGAGAGAGGAAACACCAGCTGAGGTTAGGGACCAGAGAGCAACCAGAGAGGCACCCCACAGAGGGACCACAGAGAGACCAGGGAGAGATCAGAGAGAGACCAGAGAGAGACCAGAGAGTCCAGAGAGAGACCAGAGAGAGACCAGAGAGTCCAGAGAGAGACCAGAGAGAGACCAGAGAGAGCTGAGAGACCAGAAAGAGAACATAGAGAGACCACAGAGAGACCATAGAAAGACCATAAAGAGGCCATAGAGAGAGACCAGAGAGAGAGACCAGAGAGAGAGACCAGAGAGAGAGACCAGAGAGAGACCAGAGAGAGACCAGCGAGAGACCAGAGAGAGACCAGAGAGAGACCAGAGAGAGACCAGAGAGAGAAATCGACCTAAACAAAGCTGCACTGACCCAGGACGTTGACGAGGCAGGTTGCCATGGCGCTCCCGTGTTGGTTCTCAGCGAGGATGGTGAAGCTGCCGTGGTCGGTTCGGACTGAGTCGCGGACCATCAGTGCGGTCTGGCCCTTCTTGGTCTGGTCTAGCCCCAGCCGCTCCCGCAGAGGGGTCACAAACTCGGGCTCGGGCTCCGCAACCTTGGCCTTGGACTTCTTCTTCACAATTGGAACGACTTTCTTGGTCGGCTCTTTGGTCACGTCCTCCTCGTTTCGGAGCCAGGTGATTTTGGGATAGGGGGATCCGGACACCAGGGCATCCAGACGGATCTCCTCACCCTTCTTCACACACAGACCGGCTACGACACGGGCTGACAGGGACACCATGGGCTTTTCTGTGGGAGACAGAGAAAAGAAGATGAGAGGGTGAGGGCAGAGGAGGTGAGGACGAGGTGAGAGGGGGAGAGGGTGAGGGGAGGAGACACACAGATAACTGTCTGGAAAATGGTCCCTAAATGACCTATCATCAGTAAAAGGACAGAGGGTCAGAGGCAGATCTGGTCTCACTGGGTCATGGTCTGGTCTGGGGTCTTACCCACTAGGTCAAGATCTGGTCTTTGATCTTAGGTCTGGTTTTGGGTCTGGTGTTGGGTCTAGTCTTGGGTCTGGTCTGGTCTCTTACCCACTGGGTCGGCTGCCTTCATCATGGCTGAGCTCCTTGAGGGTTCGCTGACCCCGGCTGCGTTCTCGGCCCTCACCCTGAACTGATACTCCTGTCCCTCAGTGAGACCCGTCGCAATGAAGCTGAACCCAGGAACCAGACTCGGGTTCAGGCGCTCGTAGCGGTCTCCATCCTTCTCCATCTTCTCCACCACGTAGCCCATGATGGGACAGCCCCCGTCTGAATCCGGGGCCCGCCAGGACACCGTAATGGACTTTGAGGTTGGGTCGTAGGTCTCCACGCAAATGGGAGGGTCTGGTTTCTCTGTAGAGGACATGGCACTAGTTTAGCTCCTGATGACACCTCCATAGATACACTAGCTCCTGACATTAGCTCTACAGAGACACTAGCTCCTGACATTAGCTCTACAGAGACACTATCTCCTGACATTAGCTCCACAGAGACACTAGCTCCTGACATTAGCTCCACAGAGACACTAGCTCATGACATTAGCTCTACAGAGACACTAGCTCCTGACATTAGCTCCACAGAGACACTAGCTCCTGACATTAGCTCCACAGAGACACTAGCTCCTGACATTAGCTCCACAGAGACACTTTGCCCCTGACATTAGCTCCACAGAGACACTAGCTCCTGACATTAGCTCCACAGAGACACTAGCTCCTGACATTAGCTCTACAGAGACACTAGCTCCTGACATTAGCTCCACAGAGACACTTTGCCCCTGACATTAGATCTACAGAGACACTTTGGTCCTGACATTAGATATACAGAGACACTAGCTCCTGACGTTAGATCTACAGAGACACTAGCTCCTGACGTTAGATCTACAGAGACACTAGCTCCTGACGTTAGATCTAAAGAGACACTGTCTCCCGATGTTGGCTCCTGATGCTCACGTTTGATCTCCTCGGTGATGACTGGGGCTCTCAGCTCCAGATATGGTCCAGGACCCACGAGGTTGTGGGCTCGGACTCTGAAGTAGTACTCGCAGTTGACGTAGAGGTCTTTGACGGTGGTGGTCAGCAGGTCCTGGCAGGTCAGGACAGGGATGAATGTCTTCTTGGAGGTCTCGCGGCGCTCCAGCGTGTACCCGGTGATGGGGGAGTTCCCGTCGTCCTCGGGAGCGACCCAGCTCATGACCACAGAGTTCTTAGTGACATCAGCTGAGGTGATGTCCTTACACTGTCCCGGCAGGCCTGGGAAAGACAACAGGCAGGTCTCAAACTGGTCTAAACTGAGTCCAAACCGAGGTCTAAACCAGGAGTGAACCAGATCAAAACTACGTTTAAAGCAGGCCTAAGCCTGGTCTAAAACAGGTCTAAAACAGGTCTAAAACAGGTCTAAACAAGGTCTAAACCAGGACTAAACCAGGATTAAGCCAGGTTTAAACCAGGCCTAAACCAGGTCTAAAGCAGGTCTAAAACAGATCTAAAGCAGGTCTAAAACAGGCCTAAACAAGGTCTAAACCAGGTCTAAAACAGATCTAAAGCAGGTCTAAAACAGGCCTAAACAAGGTCTAAACCAGGTCTAAACCAGGTCTAAACCAGGACTAAACCAGGATTAAGCAAGGCTTAGACCAGGCCTAACCTCCTGAGACCCGAGCATTTGTCTGGTGTGCATTTTATATATTTTTCTGCTATTTAGGATAAGTAGGACCCAATAAGTATAATACCTAAATTGTGATTTTGTACAGGAAGTAGTTTTTGAGAAAAAACATGTCCTCGTATGAGGACAGTGGGTCTCTCATAACCTAAAAAAAAATGTATGCTCTTTGAGGCCGGAAGGTCCTAATTAGTTGAAATTCAAAATTTCAGCTTGATCCAATTAGTACTTCTCTCAAAAATCAATGTCCTCATATGAGTACAGTGGGTCGACCTTACTATACAATACAAATAGACTCCATTGGTCTAAAATAGTATATAACAGTTTATTTGAAAAATGTAAACATCAAAGTTAGACATAAAATCCAAACAGCTCTATCTTCAAAGCCTAAAAATGTCATGGTGTGGACATTTTGACCTGGTTGAGTTTGAATCCTGCCTGTCCTGTTGATTGTTTCCCCGCCCTAATGTGATTCACCTGTGTGTCCCTGTGTGTATGTATATACCCTGTGCCCTTCCTCACTTGTTGTCCGTCCATTGTCTCCACAACGTTTGTCCTGTCTTCAGTTCTGTTTTTACATTACCGTGGATTTATTTTATTAAATTACTTTGATTTTCAGTCCTGCATTTTGGGTTCCCTTTTTCTTCATTCATCCACATGACAAAAAATTGGCTATACATAAATAAAACTGCAAAATACTGTGTAAACTGTCTATTTCAAGCCTTCAATATGGCTGAATTGATTTGATAAATACAATACTAGAACAAATAATGGCAAATATTATTAACAGTCCTAAAACAGTAAAATTCTGCTGAACAGCTTTTGAACCGGGGCTTTTTTCAAACTAGCTCCCTCTGTTTTTCTAGAAAGCAATCTGTCTGCCTGTTTGGAAGAGTCCTATTGGCAAGTGTGAAATGCTGCAAAGCAGTTGCGTTCACTTTGCAAGCACAGGTACACATTGCATGTCATGCATCGGACACAGGATTTTGCAGTCTTGTGCTCTGCAACGCATGGGGTTTTTCAAGGCTACCATCTCCGGGTTAGGGTTAGGGTTACAATATCCCCAGTCGAGGTCAGCAGCTCTCCACCCGCACCATACACGGTGTTGGCAAAGAACTGCTTCCCTCTCTTGAGGCGCCGGAGGGTTTGCCAGAACCTTTTTGAGGCCGACCGATAGTCATGCTCCATGGACTCTCCAAACTCCTCCCAGTCCCGGGTTTTTGCCTCTGCAACAGCCCGGTCCGCAGCACGCTTGGCCTGCCGGTACTGGACAGCCGCCTCAGGAGTCCCACGAACCATCATTGCTCGATAGGACTCCTTTAGCCTGACGGCATCCCTTACTGCCGGTGTCCACCACCGGGTTCGGGGACCAGCACCAGAGACCTTGCGACCACAGCTACGAGCCGCTTTATTGGCGATAGAGGAAGAGAACATGGTCCACTCGGACTCAATGTCCCCCTCCTCTGGGTCCTGGGAGAAGCTCTCCCGGAGGTGTGAGTTGAAAGTCCGTCTGACAGGGGGCTCAGCGAGACGTTCCCAGCAAACCCTCACTACACGCTTGGGCCTGCCAGGTCTGACCGGCTTCTTCCCCTGCCAGCGGATCCAACTCACGACCAGGTGATGATCGGTTGACAGCTCCGCCCCTCTCTTTACCCGAGTGTCCGAGACACGCGGTCGAAGGTCAGATGATACGACAACAAAGTCGATCATCAACCTCCGGCCTATGGTGTCCTGGTGCCACGTGCACTGGTGGACACCCTTGTGCTCGAACATGGTGTTCGTTATGGACAGACCGTGACTGGCACAGAAGTCCAACAACTGAACTCCGCTTGGGTTCAGATCAGGGGGGCCGTTCTTCCCGATCACCCCTCTCCAAGTGTCACTGGCATTTCCCACATGGGTGTTGAAGTCCCCCAGGAGAATAACGGAGTCCCCGGGCGGTGCACCGTCCAGTATACCCCTCCCAAGGACTCCAAGAAGGCCGGGTACTCGGCACTGCCGTTAGGCCCGTAGGCCGTCACAACAGTGAGAGACTTGTCCCCCACCCGGAGGCAGAGGGACGCACCCTCTCATTCACCGGGGAGAACTCCAACACGTGGCGGCTGAGATGGGGGGCAATGAGTATGGCCACCTCAGCCTGCCGCCTCTCCCCGTGGGAAACACCAGAAGCTGACTGACAGGTATGAGCTGATGATACAATCATCCCCATCTGAGAAGTCCTCTATCTCAGAGTTATCTGCAATTGCCAACAGCAATTGTTCTGCTCTTGATAATGAAAGTGTGCCTGTAATGATAATTTTAAAAACCAACATCAAAATCTACAGTATATCAGTGACACATCATAGCTTGGCTATCATGTGCTAGCTATAGCCTAGCTATATTGTTTATGATTAAGCATTTAGCAACACTTCACAATACTAAGCATATACCACTTAGTACTTAAATATACTATTTACAACTGTAAACCACATAACTAAGCCAATGTGTGATTCAAAATAACTATTTACAACTGTAACTTCATCTAAATCTTCCACACAGTTAGCTAAACAGATAGCGGTACATAGTCCTAGCGTCCTCAAACGAGTGCTTCACTTTTACTGACATCCTAGCCTGCTACTACAATCAAAATTTGTCAAATTTCAAACTCCATATGAAGCTAGAGACATTATTGTGCATAAATAAATTGATTTCATTCATAAAATGTTGATAGAATTTTTACCTGGGGCATTTTTCTTCTGTGAACTCTTGTAGAAGTCTTTTGTTGATATTCCCACAATTTTTTTCCTACCGCTTTAAGTGTAATTCTATCATATCACCACAAGATGGCGCGGGCAGTGTCCCTAAATGTGGCCATCAGGTCAAGGATGTAAAAAATTGAGTATCATTGTGCCAAGAGGCAAAAATGTAATGTCCTCGCATGAGGTCGCAGGGTCTCAGGAGGCAAAAGCAGGCCTAAAGCAGGTCTAAAGCAGGTCTAAAGCAGGTCTAAAACAGGTCTAAAACAGGTCTAAAACAGGTCTAAAACAGGCCTAAAGCAGGCCTAAAACAGGTCTAAAGAAAGTATTCTCTCCTGTGCTCACCGATAACCTTGACGGTGACCGTCCCGGAGACCTTGCCCAGTGTGTTCTCCAGGGTGATGGTGTACTTCCCGGCGTCTGCCCTCGTACTCTTGAGCAGCTCCAGGTGAGCGTCGTTCATCTCCACAGTGAAGGACAGACGGTCGTCTGCTTTGAGCTCGCTCTCCTCTTTGGTCCAGATCATCTTCGGGGTTGGAATGGCACGGTACGGCACGAACAGGTGCAGCTTCTCACCCTCCACCACCACCACCTCCTCTGAGGGAACCTCCAGTGTGGGGGCACCTACAGAAGATCAGGTTTAAAACAGAGATACAACCAGAACCAACCCAGATCCAAGCAGTCTAAAGCAGGACTAAAGAAGGACTAACGCAGGTCTAAACCAGGACTAGACCCTCGCTTGAGTAGGGGACAGTGGACTCACAGTCGGGGTCTCGGGTGTAGACCTTGTCGGTGACCTGTGAGGGCTCGCTGACCCCCACAGAGTTAATGGCCCGAGCTCGGATCACATATTTCTTCTCAGACTTGATGCCGTCGTCGATGCGGAAGGTGAGTTCTTTGATGGGGCGGGTGTTGACACGGAGCCACTTGAGCTCGGGTCGTGCCTCAGCCACCTCCACATGGTACCCGCTGACCGGGCAGCCGCCATCTTTCACTGGAGGCTTCCACGCCACGTTGATGTGCTCGCGGCTTGCATCCACCACGACCAGCTCCACAGGAGGGGAGGGAACGCCTGGTAAAGAGAAACCAGAGTAGTCATGACAAGTCTGACATGTCATAATGTTCTTCCACACCCCTACCCCCACACAGAACTCTCCAATCCACTTTATTTACTTAACACATTTTATCGTCATTGTTCCTATACCTCAGACATGGGCAATCTTTTCCTCCTGACGGAACGTCAGCCTATACTGTCCGGGGCCAGACCTAATTTCAAATGTTTTTCTCTGGCTTCATTTTAAAATGTTATATTATATCAAATATTATATCTCTCTACAGCACTGAGGGGTGAAGGGGCAGGGGGAGTGCAGTCATCATAGTGTGGAGGCTCCTGGTCTGGTGTCTGGACCCACTGGTATCTGGTTTGTGTGTGGCATACAAACAGACCAGTGTGTGTGTGTGTGTGTGCACTCACTGGTGGCGTCCTCAATAGTCAGCACCACAGTAGGCTCGCTGGGTTCTCCCACACCGGCCTGGTTCTCTGCTCGCACCTGGAACTGCACCTCCGAGCCCTCGTCCACGTCCGTCACCTTGAACTGGGTCTGACGGTCTGGGGTCTTACAGCACTTCAGCCAACGAGTGCCCAGCTTCTCCTTCTTCTCAATCACATACCTGAGAGAGGAGAGAGGAGGAGAGAGGAGGTCACATACTGAGAGAGAGGAGAGACAAGGTCATAAAGAGAGAACGGGTCAAAACCACCTCCGGAGTATTTTATATGCTGATAGTGGTTGCAGCAGTTTCAGTAGCAGTAGTAGTAGTAGTAGCAGCAGTACCAGTAGTTTTAGTAATAGCCGTACAAGTAGTAGCAGCAGTCACAGTACTAGTGATTGCAGTAGTAGTAGCAGTAATTTCAGCAGTAGTAGTAGCAGAAGTAGCAGTAGCAGTAGTATAAACGGCCCCATACTTGGTAATAGGACGTCCTCCGTTACTCTGAGGCGCCTCCCACTTCAGGTCCACGTGTCTCTTGGTCACTTCCACCACCGTCAGGGCGTAGGGAGGTCCGGGCGTGGCTGTGGACAGAGGTGAGAGGTCAGAGGTCAGAATGCTCCTTGTGTGTTTCTCTGAGGGACTTACTGAAGGTGTCCTTGGCAAGCACAGCATCGTCCAGCTCGCAGAACTCGGACATTCCCACGGCGTTCTCGGCTGCCACGCGGAACACGTACAGAGAGCCCTCGTTGAGAGGAGTCACGCAGTACTTGAGCTCCTTCACTGTGGTGTCCACTGCCTGGTACGCCTTCCTCCTCACGTCTCGCTTCTCCACCACGTAGTTAGTGATGGGAGAACCTCCGTCGCTGCTGGGAGCCTGCCACTTCAGGTCTGCAGCCGTCTTAGAGATGCCAGAGACCTCCAGCCACTGAGGAGGAGAGGGGACGTCTGTGGAGGAGAGACGAGAGAGGTGAGAGGTGAGGAGAGAAGTCAGGGGAAGGAGGAGAGAGGAAATAGGAGAGGGGAGAGGAGGGTGGAGAGTGGAGAGGGGAGAGGAGAGAGGTGAGGTGAGAGGAGAGGAGAGAAGAAAAAGGAGAAGAGAGGTGAGAGGAGAGGAGAGAAGAAAAAGGAGAAGAGAGGGGAGAGGAGAGGTGCCAGTGGAGGTGATATATACTGCATGTGTATGATTTCTTTTGAGTCTGGGTTCTCCAAGAGGGTCCTGGAGAGTCCTGGAGAGTCCTGGAGAGTCCTGGAGAGTCCTGGAGAGTCCTGGAGGGTCCTGGAGGGTCTGTGAGGGTCCTGCAGTCTCGGCTACAGTGTGCCTCATGTGTAGTATGTTCTGTGTCTGAAGCCTCAGTACTCACACAGCCTCTCCTTGCACACCACCGGATCGCTGGGCTCGCTCGGGTCGCTCTCCCCAGCCCGGTTCACGGCTCGGACTCTAAAGCTGTACTCCTGTTTCTCCATGAGCTCCTTGAGGACCGCCTCAGTCTGGGGAACATCTTCAGCCACTCGGATCCAGTCCTCCGACCCGGACTTCTGCAGCTCCACCACGTACCCCTCAATCTTTGCACCGCCGTCGTGCTCGGGCCGCGTCCAGGTCAGAGTCACCGAGGTCTTACCCACGTCACGCACCACAGGCTTTCCAGGAGCCCAAGGGGCATCTGAGGGGAGAGAGGAACCAGGTCTAAAAACCAGCTCTGGAATAGGCCTAAAGTCGGTTTCAAAAAAGGTTAAGAGCAGGTCGAAAACAGGTCTAAAGCAGCAGTAGGCGTAAAACAGGTCAGGTCTAGAGTAGGACTAAAACAAGTCAAGAAGAAGAACCATGTCTAAAACTGGTCTAAAGTCATTCTAAGAAAGGGATAAGAGCATTTCGACAACAGTTCTAAAGCAGGTCAACAGTTGGTGTAAAACAGGTCAGATCTAAAACTTGTCTAAACAGGACTAAACAGAGTCTCACCAATGGGGTCCTTAATGAGGACTGGGTCGGTCTCGGTGCTGGGTTTTCCAGGTCCGGCCAAATTCTCGGCCAAAACTCTGAATCTGAACTTCTTCTTTGTGGGGAGCCCCTTCACCCTATGGGGGGGAGGGGGGGTGAGTCTCAAATAACTGCTCATGGTTTGGGTCGCAGCTGCAGTGCCCACTCTTACCTGTAGGTGGTGTCTTTGATGGGCAGCTTGTTGCAGCGCAGCCACTTGTCGCTCTCCGTGTCATACTTCTCCACCCAGTACCCGGTGATGGGACTGCCGCCGTCCTCGTCCGGTTCAAACCACGACAGCGTCACGGCGTCACGAGACACGTCTGAGGGGGTGACTCGGGTGGGGGAGCCGGGCGGGTCTGTGTGGAAGAACACAGATTGAACAGACTGACCAAGACCTGTGGGGTGCCTCAGGGGTCGATACAGGGACCAATGTTATTCATAATCTTTTCATACTTTGCTGATAACAAAACATTACATGAGATCCTTTATTTGTCCCACAGTGGGGAAATTTCAGTGTTGCATCACAAGTTCCAGAGCAGTAGGAATGAGGAGCACACAAGATAAATGAACAACAACTCTATATTAAAATAAAATCTCTAACCTTATCATAATTCGGAATACAATCTTTAGCATTATGAAGAAGCAAGAATTAAGTACAAGATCTCTGACTTTAGTAGAAGTTTAGGTCATGCTCTGCAGTGGGCATGAACTAATGTCTATGTGTTTTTATCATTGCATTTGTGTTTGAACTGTTGGATTCTCTGATCTGTGTCGGTGAATTTACCAGTTTTGTTGAGTCCTTCGAGATAACTACTGTTGTTGTGATTTAGGGTGATGCAAAAATACATTGAATGAAAATGAATTGGTGTGATGAGGCAACGTACCGAAGGAGTACTTGGCGATGATGGGCACATGCTCGGCAGGCGCCCCAATACCGTACTGGTTCTCAGCACTGACGCGGAACAGGTACTCTTTGAGCGCGGTGAGTTTGGTCGCCGTGAAGGTCGTGTGTTTGACCGTGGCGGACAGTTTCACCCACTCTTCTTTGTCGGTCTGACGACTCTCCACAATGTAGTTGGTGATGGGCGACCCGCCATCGTCCCGAGGCGGGTTCCAGGCCAGCGAGCACGACTCACTGGTGATGTCAGAGAGGTCAAAGGCAGCGGGAGGGCCGGGTTTATCTGTGGGGAGAGAGGTGAGGCCTAGGTTCATTTGAGGGGAGAGGGGGAGAGAGGTGAGGACTAGGTTCATTTGAGGGGAGAGGGGGAGAAAGGTGAGGACTAGGTTTATCTGAGGGGAGAGGTTGAGAGAGGTGAGGCCTAGGTTTATTTGAGGGGAGAGGGGGAGAGAGGGAGAGGACTAGGTTTATTTGAGGGGAGAGGGGGAGAGAGGTGAGGACTAGGTTTATCTGAGGGGAGAGCGGGAGAGAGGTGAGGCCTAGGTCTTTTTGAGGGGAGAGGGGGAGAGAGGTGAGGACTAGGTTTATCTGAGGGGAGAGGGGGAGAGAGGTGAGGACTAGGTTTATCTGAGGGGAGAGCGGGAGAGAGGTGAGGCCTAGGTTTATTTGAGGGGAGAGGGGGAGAGAGGTGAGGACTAGGTTTATCTGAGGGGAGAGGGGGAGAGAGGTGAGGACTAGGTTCATTTGAGGGGAGAGGGGGAGAAAGGTGAGGACTAGGTTTATTTGAGGGGAGAGGGGGAGAGAGGTGAGGCCTAGGTTTATCTGAGGGGAGAGGGGGAGAGAGGTGAGGCCTAGGTTCATTTGAGGGGAGCGGTGGAGAGAGGTGAGGACTAGGTTTATCTGAGGGGAGAGGGGGAGAGAGGTGAGGACTAGGTTTATCTGAGGGGAGAGGGGGAGAAAGGTGAGGACTAGGTTTATTTGAGGGGAGAGCGGGAGAGAGGTGAGGCCTAGGTTCATTTGAGGGGAGAGGGGGAGAGAGGTGAGGTCTGAGGGGAAACCCAGTCTAAACCCGGTGTGAACGGGTCTATCCAGTCTTGCCCTGGTCTGAACAATGGTCTGAACCCGGTCTTACCCTGGTCTAAACCTAGTCATACCTTGGTCTTACCCTGATCTTACCCTGGTCTGAACCCTGGTCTGAACCTGGTCTTAACCTGGTCTGAACCCAGTCTGAACCCTGGTCTAAACCCAGTCTTACCCAGGATGTTGACGTCCACAGTGGCGGTGGCTCTTCCACATGTGTTCACTGCCTCAATGATGTAGGTCGCGGTGTCCCCTCGGGTCGTGTTGCCGATGCTCAGCTTGGCATGGCCTGGCGTGGTTTCCATGGTGATGCGGTCGTCGGCACGCAGGACCAGGTCGGCTTTTGTCCACTTGACCCTGGGGTCTGGCTTTCCCAAAACCTCAGCGGGCAGCTCGATCTTAGACCCAGCCCGAGCCGTGAGACCTGCCAGAAGCTTCACGTCCAACTGGATCTGAGGCGGATCTGTGGAGAGGCAAGCCGTTTTAGACTAAACCTGGACCAAGCAGAACTATTCCTGGTCTAATCCTTCAAGTTTAGTCCCGTTTTAGTTCTAACAGAGAGCTAAACAGGAATAAGCCTGGACTAACACAGGACAAAGACAGGTCCAAACCTCTGGCGTCCACAGCCTGGATCTCGTCAGTGGCTCGGCTCGGGCGCGAGGCTCCCAGACGGTTCATGGCTCTGATTCTGTAGGCGTACCACTGCCCCTCGATCAGCCCGGTGACCTGGTACCTGAGGGAGACATGGGGTTAGGGGCTACAGGGCCTGTCAGGGTCTGGGTCTGGTCTGGATCAGCCTTGTGACTTGGTACCTGATTTAGGGTAAAGAGCAACTGAAATCTACTCTGAAGTGTTCGAAATCTGTGGATTTAGCTCTGTGATGTTCTAGATTCTTACTTGAGACCAGAGAGGGACCAGTAAGAGAGGCCAGAGAGAGACCAGAGAGAGAAACCAACAATAAAGCAGAGGGAGAGACCAGAGAGAGACCACAGAGAGAGACCTGAGAAAAAACAGAGAAAGAGACCAGACTTGTGCTCCGTGATTTTCAAGGTTCTTACTTGAGCTCTGTGATGGGGTCTCCACATGGTTCCCACTTGTCGGTTCCTCTCTGACACTTGTCGATGATGTAGCCCTTCAGGGGAGCCCCGCCGTCGATCTTGGGGGGTTCCCATAGCAGGAAGATACTCTTGGCAGATTTATCTCTCCACTTCAGGTTCTCCGGAGGATCAGGTACAGCTGGAGAACAGGACAAGTTAGACCAGGGAGAGGCCAGAGAGGTAGAGACCAGAGAGAGAGACCAAAGAGAGAACAGAGAGACCAGAGTAACCAGAGAGAGAGACTAAAGAGAGAAACAAGACAGAAAGACCAGAGAGAGAGATCAGGTATATTTCTCACTGGCTGGAGATGACACATTGACGGGCTCGTCGATGTAGGCTGGTTCTCCAGGTCCACACTTGTTGCAGGCTGTGACACTGAACAGATACTCCTTTCCCTCCATCACATCTGTGACCGTGTGCTCCAGGTCCATCACACCAGTGGCCACCTGCAGAAGGTCAGCACAACCATGAGACCAGTCACACCAGAAGGTCAGCACAACCATGAGACCAGTGACACCAGAAGGTCAGCACAACCATGAGACCAGTCACACCAGAAGGTCATACCAGAAAGACTTTTGACACACACATAAAGAGAGAGACTCTAACGGGCACAGAAGGGGTTAGGGTTAAAGGGAGTCGAGCTGATCCCAGAGAGAGATCCGGAAGAGGCAGAAACTCCAGTCTCGCAAACCTCGGCTCTGTCCCGGTCTGGTCTGGCTCACCTTGGCCCAGGTCTTGCGGGACACCTCCTTCTTCTCGATCTGGTAGTGTGTGACTGGACTGCCGCCGTCGTGCTCTGGCGCCTCCCACTGGAGATGCACATGTCTGCGGGTCACCTCAGCCACCTTCAGGTCTTTGGGAGCACTGGGGGCAGCTGTGGGGAAGAGCAGGGTTAAAGAGGGTTAAAGAGGGCTAAAGAAGGCTAGAGAGGATGAGAGAGACACAGCTCTGGAGAGGAGCTGGCCAAAGCAGACCAGGCCCAGCCCCTGACCCAGCCCAAGCTCATCCCGCAGACTCACCAATAACGTTGACCTCCACCTCTCCGCTGCAGTAGTTCACGTCGTTCTCGAGTGTGAGTCCGTACGTTCCCTTATCGGGTCGTACGCTCGGGCTCAGAGTCAGCTCGGTGTACGTGGCCTTGGTTACCATCGAGACGCGGTCCTGGTCTGGTTTCAGCACTGTCTCGCCATAGGTCCAGGTCGGGGTCGGGGTGGGGTACCCGCTGATGGGTACTCTGATGACCAGAGGCTGAGGCACGATGACCTCAAGACCATTTCTGAAGGAGCTGAGGTCCATGGACGGGGCCACTGTGGAGAGAGGGCTGTGAGAACTACAAGTACTACTACTACTGTAAGTACTAATGCTACTGCAAATACTACTGCTATTGCTCGTACCATGTGGGTCGTCAGCCAGCGCTGGGCCCAGTTGCTCAGACGGTTCTGAGACTCCGGCTGCGTTTTCAGCTCGGACTCTAAAGAAGAACTTCTGCCGAGGCTTCAGACCAGAGACCTGGAACCAGAGACAAGAGAGGTAAGACCTGAGCGGGGAGACCTGAGCGGGGAGACCTGAGGGGTAAGACCTGAAGGGTAATTTCAGGTCGGGGCACAGGTAAGTAAGTAAGTAAGTAAGTAAGTAAGTAATCTTTATTTATATACCGCCTTTCACAGACCAGAGTCACAAAGCGGTTTACAATTGTTATTTTTTTAGGTCAGGTCTTGGCTCGGGCACTCACCCTGTAGCTGAGGTCAGGGCACAGCTTGGCGTTGACACGAAGCCAGTTGTAGCTGCCGTCGTCGCACTTCTCAATGATGTAACCCGTGATCATGCTTCCTCCGTTGGAAACGGGCGTCTCCCAGGTCAGGGTGACGGTCGTGCGGGTGGTCTCGCTTGGGTGGAGGTTCAGAGGGCGACTCGGGCGGTCTGAGGGGGAGGGGACAGGGGAGCATTACCACACAGCATGACCACTGGTATGGCCTAGACACAGGTATATGCGTGTGTATGTATACATACAGTATGTGTCTGTGTGTGTGTGTCTCACCGATGGGGTCCATGATCTTGACGGGATTGGTCGCAGCACTGGGGCGACCTGCCCCTGCCTTGTTCTCGGCTCTAACTCTGAAGATGTACTCTTTGTTCTCCACCACGTCATTCAGGTCGGCGGAGCGGGCGGTCGCCGCGGTGACCAAGGCCGCCTCCCACTTAACTGAGGTGCGGTCGCGCAGCTCAATAACATACGCTGTGATTTCAGACCCGCCGTCTGACTGAGGTGGCTCCCAGCCCACGGTTGCACCGAACCGGTTCACAGAGACCACATGGACCTTCTGAGGGGCATCCGGGACATCTGTGAGAGAGGGAAAGGTCAGGACTGAGGGTACAGGATGTATACAGAAGGATTAAAGCTGGTCTAAAGTCTTATGCAAACCTGGTTTAGTAGGTCTAAATAGCAGGTCTGCAACAGCTCTAAAGCAGGTTTAAAGTAGGACTCACCAAACTTGTTCTTGGGCTGGACGGGTTCGTCCAGGACTACACTGGGTCCGGTTCCTACTCGGTTCCTGGCGCTGACCCTGAACAGGTAGAGCAGGTCCCGGTTGAGTCCGGACACACAGTACTCTGGGGCGTCGGCTCGGTCTGTGGCTACGGTCCAGGTTTTCCTCTTGATGTCGCGGCGCTCCACAACGTAAGCCGAGATCTTGGCTCCGCCGTCAGACTCGGGCTCCTCCCACGACAGACTCACTTCACCCTCAGCAGTGTCCACGACCCGCAGACCCTTCACCGGACCTGGCACGTCTGTGGAGGGAGAGGGAGATCTTACAGATCTGCTACAGAGCAAGAGAGAGATCTACCTCCCCCAATGTAAGCCAGGACTGAAGCTAGACTAAACCAAGTCTAAAACAGGACTGAACCAGGGCTCAACTGGATCTGAAATAGGAGTGCGCCAGGACTAAACCAAGACTAAAATAGGCCTGAAACAGGACTGAACAAGGTCTGAACCAGATCTAACCCAGGTCTAAACCAGGCGAGACAGTGTCTAAACCAGGTCTAAACCAGGTCTAAACCAGGCGAGACAGTGTCTAAACCAGGTCTAAACCAGGTCTAAACCAGGCGAGACAGTGTCTAAACCAGGTCTAAACCAGGCGAGACAGTGTCTAAACCAGGTCTAAACCAGGTCTAAACCAGGTGAGACAGTGTCTAAACCAGAACTAAACCAGGACTCACCGATCACGTCCAGTTGGATGTTGGCAGTGGCTTCTCCATGCTTGTTGCGGATCACCACCCGGTACTGGCCCTGGTCCTCCTTGGTGGGACTCTTGAGTCGGTACTCGGTCTTGTCGAGGCTGGAGTCGATGTTCTGGACCGGCAGGCTGGTCCCGCCAAAGACCCAGTCGGTCTCAGCCCGAGGATATGCATCATACGGCACTGACATCATGAAGGGTTTTCCAGCATCTGTCACCAGGCTCTGGTCTGTGGTCTTGATCTTTGGCACAGCTGTGGAGGACAGGGGTTAGACCAGGACCGAAACAGGTCTGTACCAGGTCTGAAGCAGGTCTAAAGCAGGACTAAAACAGGTCTAAAGCAGGACTAAAGCAGGACTAAAGCAGGACTAAAACAGGTCTAAAGCAGGACAAAAGCAGGACTAAAACAGGTCTAAAGCAGGACTAAAGCAGGACTAAAGCAGGTCTAAAGCAGGACTAAAGCAGGAATAAAGCAGGACTAAAACAGGTCTAAAACAGGTCTAAAGCAGGACTAAAGCAGGACTAAAGCAGGTCTAAAGCAGGACTAAAGTAGGACTAAAACAGGTCTAAAGCAGGACTAAAGCAGGACTAAAGCAGGTCTAAAGCAGGACTAAAGTAGGACTAAAGCAGGTCTAAAGCAGGACTAAAGCAGGACTAAAGCAGGTCTAAAGCAGGACTAAAGCAGGTCTAAAGCAGGACTAAAGCAGGACTAAAGCAGGTCTAAAGCAGGTCTAAAGCAGGAATAAAGCAGGACTAAAGCAGGTCTAAAGCAGGACTAAAGCAGGACTAAAGCAGGACTAAAGCAGGTCTAAAGCAGGACTAAAGTAGGACTAAAACAGGTCTAAAGCAGGACTAAAGCAGGTCTAAAGCAGGACTAAAGCAGGACTAAAGCAGGTCTAAAGCAGGTCTAAAGCAGGTCTAAAGCAGGACTAAACCAGGGTCTAAAGCAGGTCTAAAGCAGGACTAAAGCAGGACTAAAGCAGGACTAAAGCAGGACTAAAACAGGTCTAAAGCAGGACTAAAGCAGGACTAAAGCAGGTCTAAAGCAGGACTAAAGCAGGACTAAAACAGGTCTAAAGCAGGACTAAAGCAGGACTAAAGCAGGACTAAAGCAGGTCTAAAGCAGGACTAAAGCAGGACTAAAACAGGTCTAAAGCAGGACTAAAGCAGGACTAAAACAGGTCTAAAGCAGGACTAAAGCAGGACTAAAGCAGGACTAAAGCAGGTCTAAAGCAGGACTAAAGCAGGACTAAAACAGGTCTAAAGCAGGACTAAAACAGGTCTAAAGCAAGTCTAAGTCCTCTTACCTGCCAGCTCCAGCTTGGCTCTGGCGTCCTTGTCCTTGGCGATGATCCGGTACTCTCCCTGGTCCCGGGGTCTGATCTCGCAGACCTGCAGGCGGTGGATGGTTCCTTCACTGATCATCTGGTACTTGTCTCCCTGGACGATGATCATGTTGTTCCTCATCCAGCGAACCTCCACACGGTCCTTGTTCAACTCTGCCTCAAACACCACGTCTGAACCAGGAGGCTGGAACAGGTCCTGAGGAGGACGCACGATCTCCACAGGGGTCTCTGCAGGAGGAGAGGAGGAACCATGAAGAACCAGGGGAACCATGAGGAACCAGAGGAGCCAGGGGAACCATGAGGAACAATGCGGAACCATGAGGAACCAGAGGAACCATGAGGAACCAGAGGAACCAGGGGAACCATGAGGAACAATGCGGAACCATGAGGAACCAGACGAACCATGAGGAACCAGAGGAACCAGGGGAACCATGAGGAACAATGCGGAACCATGAGGAACCAGGGGAACCATGAGGAACCAAAGGAGCCAGGGGAACCATGAGGAACCAGGGGAACCATGAGGAACCAGAGGAACCATGAGGAACCATGAGAAACAATGAGGAACCAGAGGAACCAGAGGAACCAGAGGAGCCATGAGGAACCAGAGGAACTATGAGGAACTTGAGGAACCATGAGGAACCAAGGAAACCATAAGGAACCAGAGGAACCATGAGGAACGATGGGAACCATGAGGAACCATGAGGAACCATGAGGAACCAGACATAAGGAGAGCACAGGTAAAGGGGACAGTCTGAGGTCCTTACCTTCAACGAACAGCCGGGCCCGGGTGCGGCGCTCGTCCACGCCGCAGGAGTATTCACACTCATCGTCCGGTCGACAGGTCTTCACCATCAGACGACAGGTTTTTCCCTCGCGCTCCATATGGTACCTGCGACCCCCATGGTGTTATTACAGATGCAGCAGATTGAGGGCCAGTCCCGATATGGTCATGGTCTGGTTTATTCTAATCTGGTCCTGGTCTGGGTCTTACCTGGGGCCCTCTCGGATCTCGCGTCCTGCTCTGTACCACTTGACTTGTGCTTTGTCTTTGTTCACTTTCGTCACAAACTCTGCGTCTTCAAACTCTGTCACCGTCTGATCTTTGAGCTGAGTCGTGAAATCTGAGGGAGCTTCACTGATGATGAGCTCCGCAACACACCTGCAGAGACACACACACACACACAGACACACACAAACACACACACACACACACACACACAAACAGAGAGACAGACACAGTGAGACACAGAGCGGGACACAGAGAGACACACACAGACAGAGAGACACAAAGATACACACACACATGGAGACACGCAGAGACACACACATGGAGACACACAGAGACACACACATAGAGACACGCAGAGACACACACATGGAGACACGCAGAGACAGAGAGACAAAAACACACACACACATGGAGACAATATACAGGTTATTCCCAGGAGAACAGAAGTACTTAAGGTCAAAGATCAGAAGCAGACTCCTCCCCCTCGTCCTCCCCCACAGTGCTCACCTGTCCTCCCCCACAGTGCTCACCTGTCCTCCCCCACAGTGCTCACCTGTCCTCCCCCACAGTGCTCACCTGTCCTCCCCCACAGTGCTCACCTGTCCTCCCCCACAGTGCTCACCTGTCCTCCCCCACAGTGCTCACCTGTCCTCCCCCACAGTGCTCACCTGTCCTCCCCCACAGTGCTCACCTGTCCTCCCCCACAGTGCTCACCTGTCCTCCCCCACAGTGCTCACCTGTCCTCCCCCACAGTGCTCACCTGTCCTCCCCCACAGTGCTCACCTGTCCTCCCCCACAGTGCTCACCTGTCCTCCCCCACAGTGCTCACCTGCCTGTCCTCCCCCACAGTGCTCACCTGTCCTCCCCCACAGTGCTCACCTGTCCTCCCCCACAGTGCTCACCTGTCCTCCCCCACAGTGCTCACCTGTCCTCCCCCACAGTGCTCACCTGTCCTCCCCCACAGTGCTCACCTGTCCTCCCCCACAGTGCTCACCTGTCCTCCCCCACAGTGCTCACCTGTCCTCCCCCACAGTGCTCACCTGTCCTCCCCCACAGTGCTCACCTGTCCTCCCCCACAGTGCTCACCTGTCCTCCCCCACAGTGCTCACCTGTCCTCCCCCACAGTACTCACCTGTCCTCCCCCACAGTGCTCACCTGTCCTCCCCCACAGTGCTCACCTGTCCTCCCCCACAGTGCTCACCTGCCTGTCCTCCCCCACAGTGCTCACCTGTCCTCCCCCACAGTAGCCGTGTACTCCCCCTCGTCCTCCATGGTGCAGTCCTTGATGGTCAGTGTGTGCTTGAGACCATCGACGCGGTAGACCAGGCGCTTGCTGAGCACCAGCTCCTGACCGGCTTTGAACCATCGCACCGTGAGCTCAGGACGGTTCACTTTACACACGAAGGCAACCGTGCGCTTCTCCTGCGTCTCCAGGTCTTCTATGGGCTCCAGGAACCTCAGCTGCTCCTCTGAGGGACAGAGACCAGAGGGTGAGACCAGGACTGAAGCAGGACTGAAGCAGGACTGAACCAGGACTGAAGCAGGACTGAAGCAGGACTGAAGCAGGACTGAAGCAGGACTGAACCAGGTCTGAACCAGGACTAAAGCAGGACTGAAGCAGGACTGAAGCAGGACTGAACCAGGACTAAACCAGGTCTGAACCAGGACTAAACCAGGTCTGAAGCAGGACTAGCCTGGTCGTACCACACCATAGTACAAATTTCATTTCATACTAAGGTCTGGAGGTGCACCATTGACTCCGTGAACAGGTGGGAGGGGTTAACTCCTTTTGCAGATTGAAACCATTGGATCTGAGTTTACTGTGACATATGTAATTCATCCGAGTCTGTTGTTAGCATTTAGCATTTAGCCTAGCTTTAACACATCTCCTTTGCTGCTAACGGAGCCCGTGGGGAGTAGCACCACAATTTTTTCCAACGATTACATTTGCTAAACATTCCTCTTGCTCCGGCTTCAGTTTCCTGATAGAACCAGACCGGATTACTTTACTATCACATTTTTCGCCAAACTACAACCTGCTCGTTCGACGCAAACTCTTGACGTCACCCACAATTAACTACAACACCCGCCTCCGCGCTCTCTGATTGGTCGGTCAAAATTCAACTGATTATAATCGCAAACACAGGGACTAGACCCAGACGTTACATGCAGTGAAATGATGATTGAACGGAGAGTACGGATGGATAAGACCAGACTAAACCAGGACTAAAGCAAGACTGAACCAGGTCTGAGGCAGAAGTGAAGCAGGTCTGAAACTGGTCTAAACTAGGTCTGAACCAGGGCTTACAGTAAACCGGACTAAAGCAGGGCGAAAGAAGGGCTAAAGCAGGGCTGAAGCAGGACTAAAGTAGGTCTAAATCAGGACTAAAGTAGGACTAAATCAAGACTAAAGCAGTTCTAAAGAGGGCTGAACACGGTCTGAACCAGGTCTGAACCCGGGATTAAGCAGCACTAAAGCAGGACTAAAGCAGGACTAAAGCAGGACTAAAGCAAGACTAAAGCAGGATTAAAGCAGATCAAAGTAAAGCAGGACTAAAGCAGGACTAAAGCAGGTCTGAAAAAGGACTGTCTTCCATAACCAGAGCAGGTGTCAGACCAAAAATCTCCTGAACAGACTAAAGCAGACGTCTGATTGGCTCGTACCTGCCACGGTGGCGGAGGCGGAGCTCTTGGCCTGCTCTCCTCTCTGATTGGTCAGGAGGATGCTGTATTGGGCCTGGTCGGTCTTGTTGGCGTCCCGGATCCTCAGGGAGAAGACGTTGTCCCGCTGGGTCATGGTGAACTTGCCGCTGTCGAAGATGGTCTCGTCCTGTTTGAGCCACTTGGCTTTGGCTCCGTCAGCGTTGACCTCACAGTTAAACACGACCTCTGACCCCTCCTTCACCTGGACGTCCCGCAGGGGAGTGATGATCCGGAGCTTCTCTGTAGACCAAGAAGGAAGCAGGTGTGAAGGAGGTCTAAAGGAGGTCTAAAGGAGGGCTAAAAGAGGTCTAAAGGAGGTCAAAAGGAGATCCAAAGGAGGTCTAAAGGAGGTCTAAAGGAGGTCTAAAGGAGGTCTAAAGGAGGTCTAAAGGAGGTCTAAAGGAGATCCAAAGGAGGTCTAAAGGAGGTCTAAAGGAGATCCAAAGGAGGTCTAAAGGAGGTCTAAAGGAGGTCTAAGGGAGGTCTAAAGGAGGTCTAAGGGAGGTCTAAAGGAGGTCTAAAGGAGGTCTAAAGGAGGTCTAAAGGAGATCCAAAGGAGGTCTAAAGGAGGTCTAAAGGAGATCCAAAGGAGGTCTAAAGGAGGTCTAAAGGAGATCTAAAGGAGGTCTAAAAGAGGTCTAAAGGAGGTCTAAGGGAGGTCTAAAGGAGATCCAAAGGAGGTCTAAAGGAGATCCAAAGGAGGGGTGTAGGAGGTCAAAAGGAGGTCTAAAGGAGGTCTAAAGGAGGGGTGTATGAGGTCTAAAGGAGGTCTAAAGGAGGTCTAAAGGAGGTCTAAAGCAGGTCTAAAGGAGGTCTAAAGTAGGTCAAAAGGAGGTCTAAAGGAGATCCAAAGGAGGTCTAAAGGAGGTCTAAAGGAGATCCAAAGGAGGTCTAAAGGAGATCCAAAGGAGGGGTGTAGGAGGTCTAAAGCAGGTTTAAAGGAGGTCTAAAGGAGATCCAAAGGAGGTCTAACGGAGGTCTGAAGGAGGTCTAAAGGAGGTCTAAAGGAGGTCTAAAGGAGATCTAAAGGAGATCCAAAGGAGATCCAAAGGAGGTCTAAAGGAGGTCTAAAGGAAGTCTAAAGGAAGTCTAAACTAGGACAAAACCCAGACAAAACCAGGTCTAAACCAAGTCTAAACCATTTACTAAAATAAGTCTATAGATGGTCTGAAGCAAGAATAAAGCAGGACTCAGACAGGTCAGCCCTACCCCAGCTCTACCCCACCCACCTGCTCTAACCCCAGCTCTATCCCACCCACCAACTCTAACCCCAACTCTAACCCCAGCTCTAACCCCAGCTCTAACCCCAGCTCTAACCCCAGCTCTAACTCCAGCTCTAACCCCAACTCTAACCCCAGCTCTAACCCCAGCTCTAACCCCAACCTCTAACCCCAGCTCTAACCCCCAACTCTAACCCCAACTCTAACCCCAACTCTAACCCCAGCTCTACCGCACCCACCAGCTCTATCACCTGCTCTAACCCCAGCTCTAACCCCAGCTCTAACCCCAGCTCTAACCCCCCACCCCAGCTCTAACCCCAACTCTAACCCCAGCTCTATCACCAGCTCTAACCCCAGCTCTAACCCCAACTCTAACCCCAGCTCTAACCCCAGCTCTAACCCCAGCTCTAACCCCAGCTCTAACCCCAGCTCTAACCCCAACTCTAACCCCAGCTCTAACCCCAACTCTAACCCCAACTCTAACCCCAACTCTAACCCCAGCTCTACCACCTGCTCTAACCCCCAACTCTAACTCCAGCTCTAACCCCAGCTCTAACCCCAACTCTAACCCCAACTCTAACCCCAGCTCTACCCCACCCACCAGCTCTATCACCTGCTCTAATCCCAGCTCTAATCCCAGCTCTAACCCCAGCTCTAACCCCAGCTCTAACCCCAACTCTAACCCCAGCTCTAACCCCAGCTCTAACCCCAGCTCTATCACCTGCTCTAACCCCAGTTCTAACCCCAGCTCTATCACCTGCTCTAACCCCAGTTCTAACCCCAGCTCTAACCCCAGCTCTAACCCCAGCTCTAACCCCAGCTCTATCACCAGCTCTAACCCCAACTCTAACCCCAGCTCTAACCCCAGCTCTAACCCCAACTCTAACCCCAGCTCTATCACCAGCTCTAACCCCAGCTCTAACCCCAACTCTAACCCCAGCTCTAACCCCAGCTCTAACCCCAGCTCTATCACCTGCTCTAACCCCAGCTCTAACCCCAGCTCTATCACCTGCTCTAACCCCAGTTCTAACCCCAGCTCTAACCCCAGCTCTAACCCCAGCTCTAACCCCAGCTCTATCACCAGCTCTAACCCCAACTCTAACCCCAGCTCTAACCCCAGCTCTAACCCCAACTCTAACCCCAGCTCTAACCCCAGCTCTAACCCCAGCTCTAACCCCAACTCTAACCCCAGCTCTATCACCAGCTCTAACCCCAGCTCTAACCCCAGCTCTAACCCCAGCTCTAACCCCAGCTCTAACCCCAACTCTAACCCCAACTCTAACCCCAGCTCTATCACCAGCTCTAACCCCAGCTCTAACCCCAGCTCTAACCCCAGCTCTAACCCCAGCTCTAACCCCAGCTCTAACCCCAACTCTAACCCCAACTCTAACCCCAGCTCTACCGCACCCACCAGCTCTATCACCTGCTCTAACCCCAGCTCTAACCCCAGCTCTAACCCCAGCTCTAACCCCAACTCTAACCCCAGCTCTAACCCCAGCTCTAACCCCAACTCTAACCCCAGCTCTATCACCAGCTCTAACCCCAGCTCTAACCCCAGCTCTAACCCCAGCTCTAACCCCAACTCTAACCCCAACTCTAACCCCAGCTCTATCACCAGCTCTAACCCCAGCTCTAACCCCAGCTCTAACCCCAGCTCTAACCCCAGCTCTAACCCCAACTCTAACCCCAACTCTAACCCCAACTCTAACCCCAGCTCTACCGCACCCACCAGCTCTATCACCTGCTCTAACCCCAGCTCTAACCCCAGCTCTAACCCCAGCTCTAACCCCAACTCTAACCCCAGCTCTAACCCCAGCTCTAACCCCAACTCTAACCCCAACTCTAACCCCAACTCTAACCCCAGCTCTACCACCTGCTCTAACCCCAACTCTAACCCCAGCTCTAACCCCAGCTCTAACCCCAACTCTAACCCCAACTCTATCACCAGCTCTAACCCCAACTCTAACCCCAACTCTAACCCCAGCTCTATCACCAGCTCTAACCCCAGCTCTAACCCCAACTCTAACCCCAGCTCTAACCCCAACTCTAACCCCAGCTCTAACCCCAACTCTAACCCCAACTCTAACCCCAGCTCTACCCCACCCACCAGCTCTATCACCTGCTCTAACCCCAGCTCTAACCCCAGCTCTAACCCCAGCTCTAACCCCAGCTCTAACCCCAACTCTCTCACCGATAACGTAGAGCTCGGCGGACGCCCGCACGTTGCCGATGTGCGCCGTGTAGCCGCCCTCGTCCTTGCGCTCGCAGCTCTTGACCAGCAGGGCGCGCCGCTTGCCCTCGCTCACCACACTGTACTTGTCTCCTTCTGTCACTTCCTTGTCTCCTTTGAACCACTTGACTTCATACGACTCTTTGGAGACCGAGCAGACGAACTCGGCCTTCTCTCCCTCCACCACCTCCACGTTCTGAGGCCGCGCGATGAACTCAGCCGCCAGCTCTGCGGAAGGGCGGGGCACAGGGTCAGGGACGGAGGACAGATGAGGTCAAGGGCAGGTCTAAAACAGGACTAAATCTGGTCTAAAACAGGTCTAAAATAGTTGTAAAGCAGGCCTAAAGGAGGTCTAAAACAGATATTAAACAGGTCTAAAACAGGTCCAAGGAGAGATCTACAACTGGTAAAAAACAGGTCATGGCCACTGGTCCTGACATCATTGGTCAGTACATGCTGTAGGTCGTGGTCAGTGCTCACTCACCGTTGATGGTCAGCTTGCCCGTGGTGGTGGTGCTGGCCGACAGCTGGCAGGTGTAGTCCCCGCGGTCTTCCAGCCTCAGGTCCTGGATGATGAGGATGCGTTTGCGTCCGTCGGTCACATGTTCGTAGCGTCCTCCTTCTGGGATCTCCTGGTCCTGTTTGAACCAGCGAACCTCAGCACTGGGCTTGGACACTTCACACACCAGCTTCACCGAGTCGGTCTCTGTCCCCTCCACCGACGACAGGTTCTTGGTGAACCGCGCGTCCTCCTCTGGAGACCACAGATTATATATGTATTATAATCAATCTATATCTATCTATATACATGTATGTGTATGTGTATGTGTGTGTGTTGTGTACCATGTCACTGTCAGCATGCGTCACACTCGTACTCCACCACATGAGTGTGTGTTTTGTGTGTCTATCTGTGTTGTGGGTTGTGTACCTGTGACGGTCAGCAGCCCGGAGGTCTTGGCAGTCCTTGCGTCGCACTCGTACTCCGCCTCGTCCTCAAACACAGACTTGTTCACCACCAGGGTCCTCGTCTTTCCCTTCGACATCATCTCGTACTTTTTACTCTTTCGGATCTCGTTCCCGTCACGGAACCAGCGCACCTGAGGCAGGGGGAACCGGGTCAGAACCATTCCAGAACCAGGACAAAACTGGGTTATAACCGAATCAGACAATGGTCAGAACCGATATGTGGGTAATAAACAAATGTGAGTGAGGAGGGGGTGAGGAGTGGGTGAGGAGGGGGTGAGGAGGGGGTGAGGAGTGGGTGAGGAGGGGGTGAGGAGGGGGTGAGGAGGGGGTGAGGAGGGGGTGAGGAGGGGGTGAGGAGGGAATGAGGAGGGGGTGAGGAGTGGGTGAGGAGGGGGTGAGGAGTGGGTGAGGAGGTAATGAGGAGGGGGTGAGGAGTGGGTGAGGAGTGGGTGAGGAGTGGGTGAGGAGGGGGTGAGGAGTGGGTGAGGAGGGGGTGAGGAGTGGGTGAGGAGGTAATGAGGAGGGGGTGAGGAGTGGGTGAGGAGTGGGTGAGGAGGGGGTGAGGAGTGGGTGAGGAGGGGGTGAGGAGTGGGTGAGGAGGGAATGAGGAGTGGGGTGAGGAGTGGGTGAGGAGGGGGTGAGGTGTGGGTGAGGAGAGGGTGAGGAGTGGGGTGAGGAATGGGGTGAGGAGGGGGTGGGGGGGGGGGGGGGGGGGGGGGGGGGGGGGGGGGGGGGGGGGGGGGGGGGGGGGGGGGGGGGGGGGGGGGGGGGGGGGGGGGGGGGGGGGGGGGGGGGGGGGGGGGGGGGGGGGGGGGGGGGGGGGGGGGGGGGGGGGGGGGGGGGGGGGGGGGGGGGGGGGGGGGGGGGGGGGGGGGGGGGGGGGGGGGGGGGGGGGGGGGGGGGGGGGGGGGGGGGGGGGGGGGGGGGGGGGGGGGGGGGGGGGGGGGGGGGGGGGGGGGGGGGGGGGGGGGGGGGGGGGGGGGGGGGGGGGGGGGGGGGGGGGGGGGGGGGGGGGGGGGGGGGGGGGGGGGGGGGGGGGGGGGGGGGGGGGGGGGGGGGGGGGGGGGGGGGGGGGGGGGGGGGGGGGGGGGGGGGGGGGGGGGGGGGGGGGGGGGGGGGGGGGGGGGGGGGGGGGGGGGGGGGGGGGGGGGGGGGGGGGGGGGGGGGGGGGGGGGGGGGGGGGGGGGGGGGGGGGGGGGGGGGGGGGGGGGGGGGGGGGGGGGGGGGGGGGGGGGGGGGGGGGGGGGGGGGGGGGGGGGGGGGGGGGGGGGGGGGGGGGGGGGGGGGGGGGGGGGGGGGGGGGGGGGGGGGGGGGGGGGGGGGGGGGGGGGGGGGGGGGGGGGGGGGGGGGGGGGGGGGGGGGGGGGGGGGGGGGGGGGGGGGGGGGGGGGGGGGGGGGGGGGGGGGGGGGGGGGGGGGGGGGGGGGGGGGGGGGGGGGGGGGGGGGGGGGGGGGGGGGGGGGGGGGGGGGGGGGGGGGGGGGGGGGGGGGGGGGGGGGGGGGGGGGGGGGGGGGGGGGGGGGGGGGGGGGGGGGGGGGGGGGGGGGGGGGGGGGGGGGGGGGGGGGGGGGGGGGGGGGGGGGGGGGGGGGGGGGGGGGGGGGGGGGGGGGGGGGGGGGGGGGGGGGGGGGGGGGGGGGGGGGGGGGGGGGGGGGGGGGGGGGGGGGGGGGGGGGGGGGGGGGGGGGGGGGGGGGGGGGGGGGGGGGGGGGGGGGGGGGGGGGGGGGGGGGGGGGGGGGGGGGGGGGGGGGGGGGGGGGGGGGGGGGGGGGGGGGGGGGGGGGGGGGGGGGGGGGGGGGGGGGGGGGGGGGGGGGGGGGGGGGGGGGGGGGGGGGGGGGGGGGGGGGGGGGGGGGGGGGGGGGGGGGGGGGGGGGGGGGGGGGGGGGGGGGGGGGGGGGGGGGGGGGGGGGGGGGGGGGGGGGGGGGGGGGGGGGGGGGGGGGGGGGGGGGGGGGGGGGGGGGGGGGGGGGGGGGGGGGGGGGGGGGGGGGGGGGGGGGGGGGGGGGGGGGGGGGGGGGGGGGGGGGGGGGGGGGGGGGGGGGGGGGGGGGGGGGGGGGGGGGGGGGGGGGGGGGGGGGGGGGGGGGGGGGGGGGGGGGGGGGGGGGGGGGGGGGGGGGGGGGGGGGGGGGGGGGGGGGGGGGGGGGGGGGGGGGGGGGGGGGGGGGGGGGGGGGGGGGGGGGGGGGGGGGGGGGGGGGGGGGGGGGGGGGGGGGGGGGGGGGGGGGGGGGGGGGGGGGGGGGGGGGGGGGGGGGGGGGGGGGGGGGGGGGGGGGGGGGGGGGGGGGGGGGGGGGGGGGGGGGGGGGGGGGGGGGGGGGGGGGGGGGGGGGGGGGGGGGGGGGGGGGGGGGGGGGGGGGGGGGGGGGGGGGGGTGGGGGGGGGGGGGGGGGGGTGGGGGGGGGGGGGGGGGGGGGGGGGGGGGGGGGGGGGGGGGGGGGGGGGGGGGGGGGGGGGGGGGGGGGGGGGGGGGGGGGGGGGGGGGGGGGGGGGGGGGGGGGGGGGGGGGGGGGGGGGGGGGGGGGGGGGGGGGGGGGGGGGGGGGGGGGGTGACCACTAACCTTGGCTGACTCCCTGGACACTTCACACTCAAACTTGGCCGATTCTTTCTCTCGGACCTCAACATCGTGCAGCGGTTTGGTGAACTCCACGTGCGGCGCTGAAACCAGAAACAAGGAAGTCTAAACCAGGTCCAAACCAGGTCTAAACCAGGACTAAACCAGGTCTAAAGTATGCCTAAACCAGGTCTAAACCAAGTCTAAACCAGGTCTAAAGTATGTCTAAACCAGGTCTAAAGTATGTCTAAACCAGGTCTAAAGTATGTCTAAACCAGGACTAGAGCAGGACTAAACCAGGTCTAAAGCAGGACTTACGCAGGACTTCCAGGTAGCAGGATGTCTTGAACTGCGCGGCGTCGCAGGTGTAGAGTTTGCCGTCGTCCGGTGAACATGCGGTGATGACGAGCGCCCGTTTGCGTCCCTCACTGATGACATCATACTTCTTTGTCTTTCTGATCTCCTGTCCCTCTCTGAACCAGCGAACCTGCAAACAGAGACCAGGACCAGGACTGAGACCAGGTCCAAACAGGACTAAAGCAGTACTGAAGTAGGACTAAAACAGGACGAGAGCTAGCCCTGAACTGGTCTTAAGCCGGTCTAAAGTATATACTAAAGTAGTTCTAAAGCAGGACTGAAGTTGGTCTAAAAGAGGTCTAAAACAGGACTAAAGTAAGTCTGAAGCAAGACTAAAGTAAGTCTGAAGCAAGACTAAAGTAAGTCTGAAGCAGGACTAAAGCAGGACTGACCTCTGCGTTCTCTCTCGACACTTGGCACTCCAGCGTAGCAGTGGCCTCCTCCTCCACAGACTGATCCTCCAGGGGCTGAGTGAACTCTGCTGCGGCCTCTGTGGGACATAGGCAGGGTCAGGACTAGACTAGGACTGGACCAGGACTAAATTGGGAGCACACGGAGTCTGGGTCTGGGTCGTACCTTTGACGATGAGCTGGGCCTGGGTCTGGAAGTCCTGCGAGCAGAGTTTCACTTCTCCAGCCTCAGACAGCTTCACGTCCCTCACTGTGAGAGCGTGGACCTTACCCACAACCCGGGTCTTCACCTGAGGAGGGGCACAGAAGACCTTAGACTAGGACCAGGACCAGGACTCTGGCCTCGGTCCATGCACAGGTCCAGGTCCACAAGAGACTGAGTCTGAACCAGGAGTAGTACCTGCAGCAGTAGTAGTAGTAGTAGTAGTAGCAGCAGTAGTAGTATCAACTTTTATTTTTATTATATTTATTATATTTTATTATTTACTATTTTTAATTATTTATTGTATCTACCCATTTACTATTGTTATTATCAATATTAGGCAGCTGCCATTTTTCCTTTTATTTTCACATTTTATTGTTCTACTTTCTATTGTATTATTGTATTGTTTTAGTGTCCCCAGTGTTTCCTCTGGAGGAGCCCTCTGCACTGAGAGCTGGGGTCTGCTGTGGCTTCGGGGGTCTGGCTCTTGGATCCAGTGGGGGTCTGGGGCCTCCTCTCTCCTCTGGGTCCTATGGGGTCTGAGTCCTGGGCCTGGTGGGGTCTGGGGCCCCTCTCTCCTCTGGGTCCTGTGTCGTTCCCTGTGGCTGCAGCCGGCTCTCTGCTCCTGGTGCAGATGGCTCCTTGGATGACGCTTCTTCAGCCGGTTACATCTGCTGCCAGCCCCATTTCTTTTTATTGTTTTACCTATTTTACCTGATATGACTTTATACTTGTGTATATGTGTGTGTGTGTGTGTGTGTGTGTGTGTGTGTGTGGGTGTGTGTATTGTATATATAATTATAAATGTGGTTTTGGGGGGGTCTGTGGGGAGGAGGGTTTAGGGCTGGGCATGTTGGATTGTTTTTAACTAAACTGTAAAGCACTTTGTGTTACACTTTGTATGAAAAGCGCTTTATAAATAAAATTTGATTGATTGATTGATCAACTATAGCATCAGTAGGAGTAGAAGCAGTAATAGTAGTAGTGGTAACAGATGTAGCAGTAGTAGCAGCAATAATAGCAGTAGCAGTAGCAGTAGCAGCAGTAGCAGTAGCAGTAGCAGTAGCAGCAGTAGCAGTAGCAGTAGTAGTATCAACTATAGCATCAGTAGGAGTTGAAGCAGTAATAGTAGTAGCAGTAGCAGTAGCAGTAGCAATAGTAGCAGTAGCAGCAGTAGCAGAAGTCTCACCCTGTCGCTGGGTTCCATCTTGTTGCCTTTCAGGTACCACTCCACACTGATTCCTTCGTACGACAGCTCACACTCAAACGTGGCTGTTTCTCCCGCAGTGACCTCCACGTCCTTCAGGGGGCGCAGCACCGAGATCGAGCGCGCTAAAGGAACCAGACCAGACTGGGTTAGATTCAAGAACACATGGTCCAACCAGTTCTAAACTAGGTCTGAGCCAGGTCCAACCAGCTCTCAACCAGGTCTCAACCAGGTCTCAACCAGGTCTCAACCAGGTCTCAACCAGGCCTGAACCAGGTTTAAGCAGGTCTATGGTACCTTTGACTCGGAGCTGGGCGTTGGACTTGGCGTTAGCAGCAGAGAAGTCCACAGCTCCAGCCATGTCCATCTTCACGTTGTAGAGGATCAGAAGGTGACGCTTACCCTCCTCCTTTATCTCCACGTCCTGCACAGAAACAACGTCAGAGGTCAGGGTTCATGGCACAGAGGTCAGGGGTCAGAGGTCAGACTGTTGAGGTCATCATCTTCAATCTACCAACAACAGTGCAGGGCTATACTCACTGCTGATTGGTGCAGGGATATACTCACTGCTGATTGGTGCAAGGCTTTACTCACTGCTGATTGGTGCAGGGCTATACTCACGGCTGATTGGTGGAGGGCGTCTCCCTTCAGTTTCCAGTTGCCGTGGACGTCCTCCTCTGAAATCTCTGTCTCAAACTTGGCAGTTTCAGTCTCTGTCACCTCCACACTGTAGAGCGGGCGCACCACCTTAATGTCACGCTCTGAGGAGGAGGAGGAGAAGGAGGAGGAGTTAGAGACACTCTGAGGAGGAGACGAGGAGCAGGTGAAAGAGGAGCAGGAGAGAGAGGAGCTGAGGGGGGAACAGGTGAGAGAAGAGCAGGAGAGGGAGGAGTAGACGGAGGGAGGAGCTTAAATACAGTATGTATATGTAGGACAAAAAGGTGTAATCCTTCATAGAGGGTTTGAAAGACTTCTACATGAGCAGTAACAGTAGTGGTAGTAATAGTAGCAGTAGCAGGAGCAGTAGTAGCAATAGTACTAGTAGTAGCAGTATCAGTATCAGTAGTAGTACATACCCTCGATGGTCAGGTTGGCAGTGGTCTTGTCGGAGCCACAGTCACAGGTGTACGCCCCGATGTTGGCCTTCTCCGCCTTCCTCACGATCAGGATACGCTTCTTTCCATCCATCGTCACGGCAATGTTCTTGGACGGTGTCACCTCCTTCCCGTCTTTGTACCACTTAACGTCGGCGCTGGATTTACTGAGTTCACAAACCAACTGCACCTCGTCCCTCTCCACCGCGGTGTAGTTCTGCAGCTTCATGGTGAAGTACAGGTCTCCCTCTGCAGGACACAACAGGTATTACACCCCCTCTGCAGGACACAACAGGTATTACACCCCCTCTGCAGGACACAACAGGTATTACACCCCCTCTGCAGGACACAACAGGTATTACACCCCCTCTGCAGGACACAACAGGTATTACACCCCCTCTGCAGGACACAACAGGTATTACACCCCCTCTGCAGGACACAACAGGTACTACACCCCCTCTGCAGGACACAGCAGGTATTACACCCCCTCTGCAGGACACAGCAGGTATTACACCCCCTCTGCAGGACACAACAGGTACTACACCCCCTCTGCAGGACACAACAGGTATAACACCCCCTCTGCAGGACACAACAGGTACTACACCCCCTCTGCAGGACACAACAGGTACTACACCCCCCTCTGCAGGACACAGCAGGTATTACACCCCCTCTGCAGGACACAACAGGTATTACACCACCTCTGCAGGACACAACAGGTACTACACCCCCCTCTGCAGGACACAGCAGGTATTACACCCCCTCTGCAGGACACAACAGGTATTACACCCCCTCTGCAGGACACAACAGGTATTACACCCCCTCTGCAGGACACAGCAGGTATTACACCCCCTCTGCAGGACACAACAGGTATTACACCCCCTCTGCAGGACACAACAGGTACTACACCCCCCTCTGCAGGACACAACAGGTATTACACCCCCTCTGCAGGACACAGCAGGTATTACACCCCCTCTGCAGGACACAGCAGGTATTACACCCCCTCTGCAGGACACAGCAGGTATTACACCCCCTCTGCAGGACACAGCAGGTATTACACCCCCTCTGCAGGACACAACAGGTACTACACCCCCCTCTGCAGGACACAACAGGTACTACACCCCCTCTGCAGGACACAACAGGTATAACACCCCCCTCTGCAGGACACAACAGGTACTACACCCCCCTCTGCAGGACACAACAGGTATAACACCCCCTCTGCAGGACACAACAGGTACTACACCCCCCTCTGCAGGACACAACAGGTACTACACCCCCTCTGCAGGACACAACAGGTACTACACCCCCTCTGCAGGACACAACAGGTACTACACCCCCTCTGCAGGACACAACAGGTACTACACCCCCTCTGCAGGACACAACAGGTACTACACCCCCCTCTGCAGGACACACAACAGGTACTACACCCCCTCTGCAGGACACAACAGGTATTACACCCCCTCTGCAGGACACAACAGGTACTACACCCCCCTCTGCAGGACACAACAGGTACTACACCCCCTCTGCAGGACACAGCAGGTATTACACCCCCTCTGCAGGACACAACAGGTATTACACCCCCTCTGCAGGACACAACAGGTATTACACCCCCTCTGCAGGACACAACAGGTATTACACCCCCTCTGCAGGACACAACAGGTATTACACCCCCTCTGCAGGACACAACAGGTATTACACCCCCTCTGCAGGACACAACAGGTATTACACCCCCTCTGCAGGACACAACAGGTATTACACCCCCTCTGCAGGACACAACAGGTATTACACCCCCTCTGCAGGACACAGCAGGTATTACACCCCCTCTGCAGGACACAACAGGTACTACACCCCCTCTGCAGGACACAACAGGTACTACACCCCCCTCTGCAGGACACAACAGGTACTACACCCCCCTCTGCAGGACACAACAGGTACTACACCCCCTCTGCAGGACACAACAGGTACTACACCCCCCTCTGCAGGACACAACAGGTATTACACCCCCCTCTGCAGGACACAACAGGTACTACACCCCCTCTGCAGGACACAACAGGTATTACACCCCCCTCTGCAGGACACAACAGGTATTACACCCCCTCTGCAGGACACAACAGGTACTACACCCCCTCTGCAGGACACAACAGGTACTACACCCCCCTCTGCAGGACACAACAGGTATTACACCCCCTCTGCAGGACACAACAGGTACTACACCCCCTCTGCAGGACACAACAGGTACTACACCCCCTCTGCAGGACACAACAGGTATTACACCCCCTCTGCAGGACACAACAGGTATTACACCCCCTCTGCAGGACACAACAGGTATTACACCCCCTCTGCAGGACACAACAGGTACTACACCCCCTCTGCAGGACACAACAGGTATTACACCCCCTCTGCAGGACACAACAGGTATTACACCCCCTCTGCAGGACACAACAGGTATTACACCCCCTCTGCAGGACACAACAGGTATTACACCCCCTCTGCAGGACACAACAGGTCAGAACAAGTTACACCCCCTCTGCAGGACACAACAGGTATTACACCCCCTCTGCAGGACACAACAGGTATTACACCCCCTCTGCAGGACACAACAGGTATTACACCCCCTCTGCAGGACACAACAGGTATTACACCCCCTCTGCAGGACACAGCAGGTATTACACCCCCTCTGCAGGACACAGCAGGTATTACACCCCCTCTGCAGGACACAACAGGTACTACACCCCCTCTGCAGGACACAGCAGGTATTACACCCCCTCTGCAGGACACAACAGGTATTACACCCCCTCTGCAGGACACAACAGGTATTACACCCCCTCTGCAGGACACAACAGGTATTACACCCCCTCTGCAGGACACAACAGGTATTACACCCCCTCTGCAGGACACAGCAGGTATTACACCCCCTCTGCAGGACACAACAGGTATTACACCCCCTCTGCAGGACACAACAGGTATTACACCCCCTCTGCAGGACACAACAGGTATTACACCCCCTCTGCAGGACACAACAGGTATTACACCCCCTCTGCAGGACACAACAGGTATTACACCCCCTCTGCAGGACACAACAGGTACTACACCCCCTCTGCAGGACACAACAGGTACTACACCCCCTCTGCAGGACACAACAGGTATTACACCCCCTCTGCAGGACACAACAGGTATTACACCCCCTCTGCAGGACACAACAGGTATTACACCCCCTCTGCAGGACACAACAGGTATTACACCCCCTCTGCAGGACACAACAGGTACTACACCCCCTCTGCAGGACACAACAGGTACTACACCCCCCTCTGCAGGACACAACAGGTACTACACCCCCCTCTGCAGGACACAACAGGTATTACACCCCCTCTGCAGGACACAACAGGTATTACACCCCCTCTGCAGGACACAACAGGTATTACACCCCCTCTGCAGGACACAACAGGTACTACACCCCCCTCTGCAGGACACAACAGGTATTACACCCCCTCTGCAGGACACAACAGGTACTACACCCCCTCTGCAGGACACAACAGGTATTACACCCCCTCTGCAGGACACAACAGGTATTACACCCCCTCTGCAGGACACAACAGGTACTACACCCCCTCTGCAGGACACAACAGGTATTACACCCCCTCTGCAGGACACAGCAGGTATTACACCCCCTCTGCAGGACACAACAGGTACTACACCCCCTCTGCAGGACACAACAGGTATTACACCCCCTCTGCAGGACACAACAGGTATTACACCCCCTCTGCAGGACACAACAGGTATTACACCCCCTCTGCAGGACACAACAGGTATTACACCCCCTCTGCAGGACACAACAGGTATTACACCCCCTCTGCAGGACACAACAGGTATTACACCCCCTCTGCAGGACACAACAGGTATTACACCCCCTCTGCAGGACACAACAGGTATTACACCCCCTCTGCAGGACACAACAGGTATTACACCCCCTCTGCAGGACACAGCAGGTATTACACCCCCTCTGCAGGACACAGCAGGTATTACACCCCCTCTGCAGGACACAACAGGTACTACACCCCCCTCTGCAGGACACAGCAGGTATTACACCCCCTCTGCAGGACACAACAGGTATTACACCCCCTCTGCAGGACACAACAGGTATTACACCCCCTCTGCAGGACACAACAGGTATTACACCCCCTCTGCAGGACACAACAGGTATTACACCCCCTCTGCAGGACACAACAGGTATTACACCCCCTCTGCAGGACACAGCAGGTATTACACCCCTCTGCAGGACACAACAGGTATTACACCCCCTCTGCAGGACACAGCAAGTATTACACCCCCTCTGCAGGACACAACAGGTACTACACCCCCTCTGCAGGACACAACAGGTACTACACCCCTCTGCAGGACACAACAGGTATTACACCCCCTCTGCAGGACACAACAGGTATTACACCCCTCTGCAGGACACAACAGGTACTACACCCCCCTCTGCAGGACACAACAGGTACTACACCCCCCTCTGCAGGACACAACAGGTACTACACCCCCTCTGCAGGACACAACAGGTATTACACCCCCTCTGCAGGACACAGCAGGTATTACACCCCCTCTGCAGGACACAACAGGTACTACACCCCCTCTGCAGGACACAACAGGTATTACACCCCCTCTGCAGGACACAACAGGTACTACACCCCCTCTGCAGGACACAACAGGCCATACACCCCCTCTGCAGGACACAACAGGTACTACACCCCCTCTGCAGGACACAGCAGGTATTACACCCCCTCTGCAGGACACAGCAAGTATTACACCCCCTCTGCAGGACACAACAGGTACTACACCCCCTCTGCAGGACACAACAGGTACTACACCCCCCTCTGCAGGAACCAACAGGTATAACACCCCCTCTGCAGGACACAACAGGTATTACACCCCCTCTGCAGGACACAACAGGTACTACACCCCCTCTGCAGGACACAACAGGTACTACACCCCCCTCTGCAGGACACAACAGGTACTACACCCCCCTCTGCAGGACACAACAGGTACTACACCCCCTCTGCAGGACACAACAGGTATTACACCCCCTCTGCAGGACACAACAGGTATTACACCCCCTCTGCAGGACACAACAGGTATTACACCCCCTCTGCAGGACACAACAGGTACTACACCCCCTCTGCAGGACACAACAGGTACTACACCCCCTCTGCAGGACACAACAGGTATTACACCCCCTCTGCAGGACACAACAGGTATTACACCCCCTCTGCAGGACACAACAGGTATTACACCCCCTCTGCAGGACACAACAGGTACTACACCCCCCTCTGCAGGACACAACAGGTATTACACCCCCCTCTGCAGGACACAACAGGTATTACACCCCCTCTGCAGGACACAACAGGTATTACACCCCCTCTGCAGGACACAACAGGTACTACACCCCCTCTGCAGGACACAACAGGTACTACACCCCCTCTGCAGGACACAACAGGTACTACACCCCTCTGCAGGACACAACAGGTATTACACCCCCTCTGCAGGACACAACAGGTATTACACCCCCTCTGCAGGACACAACAGGTATTACACCCCCTCTGCAGGACACAACAGGTACTACACCCCCCTCTGCAGGACACAGCAGGTATTACACCCCCTCTGCAGGACACAACAGGTATTACACCCCCTCTGCAGGACACAACAGGTATTACACCCCCTCTGCAGGACACAACAGGTACTACACCCCCCTCTGCAGGACACAACAGGTATTACACCCCCTCTGCAGGACACAACAGGTACTACACCCCCTCTGCAGGACACAACAGGTATTACACACCCTCTGCAGGACACAACAGGTATTACACCCCCTCTGCAGGACACAACAGGTACTACACCCCCTCTGCAGGACACAACAGGTACTACACCCCCTCTGCAGGACACAGCAGGTATTACACCCCCTCTGCAGGACACAGCAGGTATTACACCCCCTCTGCAGAACACAACAGGTATTACACCCCCTCTGCAGGACACAGCAGGTATTACACCCCCTCTGCAGGACAAAGCAGGTATTACACCCCCTCTGCAGGACACAACAGGTACTACACCCCCCTCTGCAGGACACAACAGGTATTACACCCCCTCTGCAGGACACAGCAGGTATTACACCCCCTCTGCAGGACACAGCAGGTATTACACCCCCTCTGCAGGACACAACAGGTATTACACCCCCTCTGCAGGACACAGCAAGTATTACACCCCCTCTGCAGGACACTACAGGTATTACACCCCCTCTGCAGGACACTACAGGTATTACACCCCCTCTGCAGGACACAACAGGTATTACACCCCCTCTGCAGGACACAACAGGTATTAAAACCTCCTCTGCAGGACAAAAAAAGTATTACACTCCCCTAAACCAAAAGATTGACCTTTTCATTGAGACTTTCCAGAGACAAATGCAATAAATGCTGGGTATAATGGGTCTATTTAATATTGTAAAACTTCTATTTACAGTTTAAGCTTGATCTTTAAATACTATTACTACTATTACTATTACTATACTATACTATTTGTCAAATGGATGCTCTGTATTTTCTTTATGGTCTGCATTCTGTTGATTTTCTTTTACTTTTATTTACAGTACATAACTGTAACGATTTGACCCCTCTGGTCTTTGAGGACTGCTTTGACCCCTATGGTCTCTACAGTAGTAGCAGGAGTTGATGTATATGAAAATGGTGAAATAATTAAATACTATACTATATTTCAGACCTGGGAAAAGTGAGGCACGGGAACCACATCCGGCCCAATTCACATTTCTATGCGGCCCCTGGACCCTTCTCAGTCATGAACCACAAACAGGTCTGTTTAAATGAATCAGGAGTCAATACTCAATGAAGGCTGTAATTGTGCTACCATGGTGTGTTATATATTTATATGGATATCTTCATGTTTGTTAAATAAAAAAATAAATAATCATAATTTATGTAATCAATGTGAGCTTGGATCCGGCCCTCCACAAAAGGGTGATGTCCTGATAAACACTCAGCAGCAGCAGTATTAAGGTAGTAAAGTTTATTTGTATATTACCGATGACGGTGAGCATGGCGGTCAGGCTCTTGTCCATGGCCTCCACTCGGATCATGGAGGTGTCGTCGATGGTGGCCTCCTTGATGGCCAGCGTGTGGACTCGCCCCTGGTCGGACATGTGCACCACTTTGGACGGATGCAGCCGGACGTCGTTCTTGTACCAAACCACCGAGATCTTATCATGAGACAACTCCACCGAGAACTCTGCCGTCTCCCTCTCCTTCACCGTCACATCTTTTATCGGCTTCACAAACTCCAGCCGGATTCCTGAGGAGACCAGGGCTGAGGTTAGAAGAGACCTACTGAGGACCCTCCCCTCACCTTGGACCCTTATCCCCCTTGAACGCATCCTTCACTTTAGACCCGCACCCTGGATCCCTTCCTCACCCAGGACCCCTCCCTCACCTTGGATTCTTCCCACACCGGCTTAGACCCTCTCCTCACCCTGTATCCCTCCCTCACTTTGGACCCGCCCCTCCCCTTGGATCCACCCCTCACCCTGGATCCCTCCCTCACCTTGGACCTTCCCCTCCCCTTGGATCCTCCCTCATCCTTGATTCTCCCTCCTTCACCTCTTGGATTCTTCCCTCACCCTGGATCCCTCCCTCACCTCTTGGATCCCTCCCTCACCTTGGATTCTTCCCTCACCCTGGATCCCTCCCTCACCTCTTGCATCCCTCCCTCACCTTGGATTCTTCCCTCACCCTGGATCCCTCCCTCACCTCTTGGATCCCTCCCTCACCTTGGATTCTTCCCTCACCCTGGATCCCTCCCTCACCTTGGATTCTTCCCTCACCCTGGATCACCCCTTACCTTGGATAACCAGCTTGCCGGTCGTCCTCTTGTCCTCTGCCTCAAACATGTACTTGGCCTCGTCTTCGTAGGCCGCAGACTTCACCCTCAGCACGAACAGGTTTCCTTCCTGAACGGCCTCAAACTTGTCGTCGTTCGTCACTTCAGCCGAGCCCTTGAGCCATCGGAAGGTCTTAGGGACTCGGGAGACCTCCACCTCGAACCGGGCCTCGTCCTTCTCATACACCTGCACGTCACTGAGGGACGTCAGGAAGTTCATTGGCAACTCTGTAGGGGACACAAGAGGTCAGAGGTCATGGGGAGGGTGAGATCAGGGTGAGATCAGGGTGAGAGTCAGGGTGAGGCCAGGGGAGGGTCAGGGTGAGGGGAAGGTCTGGGTGAGATCAGGATGAGGCCATAAAGTTGTCAATTTGCCAACAACAAATCAGATAAATACCTTTGACCTTCAGGTTGGCCGCACACTTAGCGCTGGCAGCGCTGAAGGACACCTCTCCGGCCATGGACACTCTGCAGTTGTAAAGGATCAGAGTGTGTTTGGAACCTTCCTCGATGATGTCCACGTCCTGGAGACAGAGACAGAGAGAAAGAGAGAAACAGAGAGAGAGAGAAAGAGAGAGACAGAGACAGACAGAGAGAAAGAGACAGAGAGAGAGAGAGACACAGAGAGTGAGACAGAGTCAGACAGAGAAAGACAGTCAGACAGAGAGAGAGACACAAGGACAGAGACGCAGAGCCAGTTAGATATTCGATGTTGAAGCTGAACTGTCGTGTGACATCAATGCGCTGCTGTAACGTGTGTTAAACTCACGGAGGAGGCGCTGAGCAGATTTCCGTTCAGCTTCCATTGAGCTTGGACGTCTTCAGCCGAAACCTCAGCCTCAAAACGAGCTGTTTCTCCATCGCACAGCTCCACGCCGTAGATCGGACGCACTACCTTCACGTCCCGCCCTGAGGAGCAGGACCGGGTCAGTTCTGGGACTGGACTACACAGCTAAAGCAGGACTAGAGCAGGCCTTAAGCAGGTTTAAAGCAGGATTAAAGAAGGACTAAAGAAGGACTAAAGCAGGACTAAAGCAGGTCTGCAGACGGTCTAAAGCAGATTTAAAGCAGGTCTTGATATATAGACTAAAGCAGGTAAGTAAGTAAGTAATCTTTATTTTTTTAACCTGCTTTAGTCTATATCAAGCAGGTCTTTATATAGACTAAAGCAGGTTTAGATATAGACTAAAGCAGGTCTAAAGCAGGTCTTGATATTCACTAAAGCAGGTCTCTTACCCTCCACACTGAGTTTGGCCTTAGTCTTGTCGGTGCCACAGTCGCAGCAGTACTCTCCTTGATCGGACATCTCGACCTTCTTGAGGACCATGAATCTCTTGGTTCCTTCGCTTTTGAGGGCCAGGCTCTTGGACTGAGTCAGCTCCACCTGGTCCCGGTACCAGACCACAGGGACGTCTTTGCTGAGCTCACACTGCAGCGACACCTCGTCCTTCTCCACAGCGGTAAAGTCCGACAGTTTGGTGATGAAGACGGCATCTCCCTCTGTCACAGCGAGAGCAGAGTCACATAGAGGAACATGGAGAAGCATGGATGATGATGGAGGAACATGGAGGAGCATGGAGAAGCATGGAGAAAGCTTATATTTAAACCAGGACAAATATGGACTAACACAGGTCTGAAGCATAAGGTTAGACAAAGACAAAGCTGTTTTTGGGACAAATTATGAGTTTCCACCAGCACCAGTCTTGACCCTTTGTGTCCTGCACCAGAGTCCAGAGTCTCAGTAGCCCTATGTGGCTTCCTCCAGCAGGATGTAGAACCTCAATAGCCCTGGTTCTCAGAGGTGGGTATGATACTGGGACAGGTGGAGAAAGGGCTTTCTCTGGACACCTTACAATTTAGGACCAGCTGGCGTGGCAGAGGTTAGTGTGGTGGACTCTTAAAAGATTGGAGAAGATTGTAAATGTGGTTAGTGTTACCATGAGGCACAGATGGACCTTTAGGTTTTAAAAGAAGATCAGAAGAAAGAGATGAAAACACATGGATGGATGAGACGAGACAGAACGAGTGGAAGATGAAGCAAAGATGGAGACAGGCTGGTGTTGAGGACGAGTGCGGTTTTTAGAGAGGAGATGGAGCTGATGGAGGAGATGGAGCTGATGGAGGAGATGGTTGGATGGAGGAGATGGAGCTGATGGAGGAGATGGAGCTGATGGAGGAGATGGAGCTGATGGAGGAGATGGAGCTGATGGAGGAAATGGAGCTGATGGAGGAGATGTTTGGATGGAGGAGATTGAGGAGATGGTTGGATGGAGGAGATTGAGCTGATGGTTGGATGTAGAAGACTTTCCACAGATAACTGGAGCAGATGGTTTGATGCTGTGACATTCTCTCCTCCCCCTCTCCCCCTCTCCCCTTCCTGTCACCTGTCACGCTGAGCTGGGCGGCACAGCGGACTCCTCTCGCCTCCGCAGTAATCTGACACGTATCGTCCATGCTGAGGCTGCGCAGCTCCAGCAGGTGGCGCCGGCCCTCCATCCGCGTGACCACGGTTCTGCTCACGTGGATTTTGACCTCGTTCCGGTACCAGACCACCGGGACGTCCTCGTGACTCAGCTCCAGCTCAAACATGGCCACCTGGCCCTCCTTTATGGAGAGGTTGTGGAGCGGACGAGTGAACTGCAGACGCATGCCTGCAACCACACGGACTGTGACTATCTGGAACTACTGCTGCTACTGCTGCTGCTACTACTACTACGATTACTACTGCTACTGCTGCTGCTACTACTACTACGATTACTACTGCTACTGCTGCTGCTACTACTACTACGATTACTACTGCTACTGCTGCTGCTACTACTACTACGATTACTAGTACTACTGCTGCTATTGTTGCAGATACTCCTTCTGCTACTTCTACTACCACTACTACTACTGCTTCTGCTACTACTACCACTACTACTACTACTACCACTACTCCTATTACTACCACTACTACTACTACTGCTGCTGCTATTACAACTACACCTGCCACTCCCCTCCCTCACCTTCCACCCTGAGCTTGGTGAGGCTCTTCATCCCCTGTACTTCCACTTTGTACTGTTCCTCGTCCTCACCCTCTCTCCCCTCTCTCTCTCCTCTCCCTCACCTTCCACCCTGAGCTCGGCGGTGCTCTTCATGCCCTGTACGTCCACCGTGTACTGAGCCTCGTCCTCGAACTGGCAGTTGTTGATGACCAGCAGGTGTTTGAACCCGCTGTGGATGAGCTCATGTTTGGGGCTGGGGGTGATGACCTCCTCTCCCCTGAACCATAGCACTTTGGGGATCTCACGAGTCACCGAGCACTCGAACCTGGCCTGTTTGTTCTCCGGCACAGACACGTCCTTCAGCCGCTCCACGAAGGCCAGCTCCATCTCTGCGTTATGGGAGTCAAGAGAGATCAGGGCTCCACACCAGAGATCAGAGCTCCACACCAGAGATACACGATATCAGAGCCCAGAAAGAATACAGAGATTCCAGAGAGTCCAGAGAGATTCCAAAGAGAGTCCAGAGTGTCCAGAGAGAGAGAGTACAGAGAGAGTTCAAAGAGTTCAAGGAGAGTCCAAAGTCTTCCGAGATGTTTGAGTGGGGACGACAGAAGAGCATGGAATCTCATACTCACCTCTGGATCCAGGCACAGACCTGAGTTAAAGAACGCCACAAAAAGACTTTGAACCACAATCATTATTAAAGCATCCCGGACCAGTCTGAAATTAGCTTGTGTATTAGTAAAACTTGTTTGTGGAAGAGCTGGACTGTTGAGCCACACATAAGCTCGAGTAGATCCATCAGGCAAGACACATGATTCTTCTGTGTGGATGTGTGGGGATAGAACCATTGCCAGACTGCAGCTGCTGTTGTTGTAAGTGTACTTTACGAATAAAGGGGACAGGAGGTGGGGTACCTTTGACGTTGAGCATGGCAGAGGTGTTGGCGTTCAGGGCCTGGTAGGACACTTCTCCAGCCTGGTCCAGCTGAACATTCTTCAGGGTGAGGAACCTCTTCTTGCCCTCAGCCTTGATGTCCACAGTCTGAGGGAGAGCAGCGTCAGACACAGATCTACACAGCTCTGTGGATCTCAAGAGACCTCAGTATCTCTGGACTCACCGGGGATCTGCTCAGCACTTGTCCTCGCAGTTTCCATTCTCCGGCCACGTCCTCCTCTGAGATCTCAGTGTCAAAGTGAGCCTCTTCCTTCTCCATCACCTCCAGGCTCTTGAGCGGCTTCAGGATCTCCGCCTCGCGCTCTGAGGGAAACCAGGAGTCAGGGAGAAGGTTTCTAGTCAGGTCTCTTGTCCGAAGTCGTTGGTCTCTCTCTCTGGCCACTCTTTCTGGTCTCTTTTCTGCAGTATTGTGTCTTTGTGGTCTCTCTCTAGTATCTCCTTCTGGTCTCTCTCTGGTCTGGTGTCTCTGGTCTGGACTTACCTCCCAGTGTTAGCTTGGCAGTGTATTTCTTGTCCTCCACCTCCAGGACATAGTCAGAAACATCATCAGGTTGGCAGTTGTTGATGGTCAGGTTCACGTTGGGTCCATCCTTAGCGATCTGGACCTTGTCTGAGGGCTTCAGCTCGGTGTCTCCTTTCATCCACTTCCAGTTGGGAGTGTCTTTGAAGAGCTCGCCCCTGAACGTGGCACTGGATTTGGGTTTGACGTGCTGGTCCCTCAGTGGCTTCACCAACCAGTCCTTAATGATCTCTGGAGGACAAAGAAGAAGTCAGACCTGGACCAGACCCAAGGATCTCTGAAGGACAAGGGACAAGTTGGACCAGACCCAATGATTTCTGAAGTACTAGGGACAAGTCAGACTTAGACCAGACCTAAAGATCCCAAGACTAATCAGAGCTGAAGGACTTTAGGATAGATTTCATGTTTCAGAGATTTTGAGAGTTTGTGTGATTAGTGTCCCTCACCAATGAATATTAGCTACTACCACCAAGTTCTGCACAAATTAGATTAGGAGTTTGTTTGTGAAAAGTAGTTTTCAGGTTTTCCAGTTTCCACAGATTTTCTATTGGATTATGTCCGGACTTTGACTGGGCCATTCTATTTTAAACCATTCCATTGTAGATTTATCTTTGAGTTGAGGGTCATTGTCTTGCGGGGAGGTGAATGTCCGGCCCCAGCCTCAATTCTCTCGCTGACTCTAGCAGGAGAAGTGATTGTGTTGTGCGAGAGTCTCTCACCGATAACCTTGACGTTGGTGGAGGTAACGATGTCTTCTTGTCCCTCCACGGCGCAGGTGTAAAGCCCCGCCTCTTCCTCGGTGGCGTTCTGGATGGTGATGGCGTGCTGCATGCCGATCACGTTGATGGCGATCTTTCCAGCCTTCTTCTTGATGTTGGCTCCGTTCCGTTTCCACACCACATCGCGCTCTTTGTTCAGCTCACAGGTCAGGTACATGGGCTGACCCTTCATACACGAGGTCTCAGGCTCCAGCTCCTTCAGCCACTTCACCGGCAGCTCTGAAGAACCAGTTCAACAGGTCTAAGACAGGACTAAGACAGGACTAAAGCAGGTCTAAGACAGGTCTAAGACAGGTCTAAAGCAGGACTAAGACAGGTCTAAGACAGGTCTAAAGCAGGACTAAGACAGGTCTAAAGCAGGACTAAGACAGGTCTAAGACAGGACTAAAGCAGGACTAAAGCAGACTAAGACAGGTCTAAAGCAGGTCTAAAGCAGGTCTAAAGCAGGACTAAAGCAGGAATAAGACAGGTCTAAGACAGGTCTAAAGCAGGGCTAAAGCAGGTCTAAAGCAGGTCTAAAGCAGGTCTAAAGCAGGTTTTAAACAGGTCTAAAGCAGGACTAAAGCAGACTAAGACAGGTCTAAAGCTGGTCTAAAGCAGGTTTTAAACAGGTCTAAAGCAGGTCTTAAGCAGGACTAAAGCAGGTCTAAAGCAGGTTTTAAACAGGTCTAAAGCAGGTCTAAAGCAGGACTAAAGCAGAACTAAAGCAGGACTAAACCCTGACTAAAGCAGGACTAAACCAGGACTATAGCAGGTCTAGAGTACCTTCCACGATCAGCTTGGCGGTGCAGGTGATCTCGCGCCCTGCGTTCTTAGCCACACATGTGTACTCTCCAGCGTCTGACAGCTGGACGTCAATGATGTGCAGTTTTCTGTGGGGTCCGTCAGCGAAGTACTTGTGTTTGGGATCTTCTCTGAGGTTGGAGCCGTCCTTCATCCAGGACACCACCGCTGTGGACGGAGACACCTCAGACTCGAAGAGCGCAGAGGAGCCAATGGACTCAGCCTCCTGTTCACAAAACAAACTGTTTAAACTATGGACAAACTGGGGATTTACACATGAAACACCAGGTCTAAACCAGGTCTAAAACAGGACTAAAGCAGGAAAAAAGGTTTAAAGTAGGTCTAAAGTAGGACTGTACCATGACTAATTAGGACTAAAGCAGGACTAAATCTGGACTTAACACATGAATGCTGAGAAAGTAAAACCCTGGAGATGTCCATTAGTCAAAAAGAAAAACCAGAACAGTCTTTAAAACTGTCTTGAATTCAAAACTACCACAAAATTACAGCTTCATATTAACATTCATGGCGTTATCTTTAAAAACAAGTTGCCCAAGAGTCTTAACTACAGCAATTTATGTTTTACAACTGTATACTTGTGTGTAAAAGCTATGTACTAAAAGCTAATCAACGTTCAGAATTATACCACCACCGCCATCTACTGATGTCTGAGGGAACTGCAGCCTCCACACCCACCGTCAGCAGGATGTCCTGGATCTTCTTGGTGAACTTGAGGACCACAGGTTTCAGGGCGAATGCAGGCGTGGGCTCCGGAGGCGAGGGGCCCTTTCCTCCAGGTCTGAGGCCTCGGCCGCGACCGGCATCTCCAGGGGACGGTGTCTGGCGAGCTGTAGAGAGGGCATCTGGGTTAAACAGGAGCTCAGGGCAGGGCCAGGAGTGGGACACCAGGACAGTGAGGGTTAATGAGGGCTGTGAAGGTTGCTGTTGTGTCCTGAGGCAACACACTATGGTCGGGTCCACCTCTTTCTGGTTTAGAAAGCACTATGCACAACTGCTTCAAGAATATAGACAATTATAAAAAGGCGAAAAACTCTACAATTTGAACTCTTTCTGCAGAAAAATATACCACATTAGATAAATTATAGAATGGGTTCACATAGTAGAACTTTTATTATGAGTTTTTTCTTTTATATGGTAAATGTTTCTGTCAGTGCATTAGTTTGGACACCTTGCACTTGAAAACGTGGGGGGGGGGGGGGGTTGTGGTAAAATTCTTAAAGTCACAAAATGGTTGCCATAGGAACACAACTCAAATCATAGAATTAAATCAGTCATTAGTGATGACTTGTTTAAGGAGAGTTACACCCCTCTGAACGAGAGGCTGATAAACCAACACACATACACACACACATAGACAGACAGACAGATACACATAGACAGACAGATGCACACACACACACACACAAACACCAGGTTATGAAGAGTTATTTAAGGTGATTTATGAGTCTCACCACCAAACCCTCGTCCTCGTCCTCTGGGAGCCTCATCCGCTGGTTTACCGTCTGAAAAGAGCAGGTCCAGATTTTAAAGAAGACGAACACATAAGTGGAAAGATGGAGATGCAGATGGAGGTTCAAGGAGACAATAATATGTCCCCAGAGGAGGACTGACTCTGGAGACAAGATGATTCTAATGAGCCAACATTCCACTACTAAGATGGAGACTGAGGAGTGAAGACACAAGATGGAGGACGACACACCAACACAAAAGACAGGTGAGATGGTCTTCATGTGCAGGGACAATATGGAGGATGAGCGGAGTTATTCAACATAACTCATGATCATACATACTCACACATGACATTAAAGTAACACAAGACAAATAACACAAAGGATGGAGGACATGTTCTGAAGACAAAATGGAGGACAGCAGGTTTCATATGATGATGGAGAAATGAGGTTTTTGGTGGAGAATGGTTGATGGTTGGATGACGAAACATGGTTCATTTGTTGGAATAAGCCATGTGGTGACAGCAGCAGAAATATTAGATGTTTGATGGAAGCTCATTCAGAATGGGATGGAGGCAGTGGACAGCTTGCCCGATGGATGCAGGCGGATGGTTTCATGGTTTAAGGCCGTGCGTCTGTGAGCTCAGGAGGACAAAGCAGGTGAGATGTCTCCAAGGAAAAAGATGGAATAGATTGAAATGATGAGGACTGATTTTGGGGTGAGGTTCTGTTGGATGAAATGATCTGGATGGTACAGGTCTCTTCTAATCACCTCGTTTTCCTATCGGCCCAGGGACCTCTCTGGCTCCTCCCTCAGTTGGAACCATCTCCCAGGTCCAGACCTCGTCTTCTTCCTGGTCTGTGTGCTCTTCGAACACCTCCTCCTCAGGTTGGGTGGGGACCTTTTCCAGTTGGATGCTCCTGGGTGACACCACTTTCATCAGCTGGAGCTTGGAGTCCTCTTTGGGAGTGGGAGGGGACTTTTTAAGCTCCACTGGCTTAGACTGTTCATCTTTCTTTGGAGACAGTTTGGACTCTGCTCTTGGTTCTGGTCTTGGATGAACCTTATCTTGTTCTTTTTGTGATACCTGTTCCACTGGTTTTTCCTCTTTCTTTGGGGAGGTCTTTGGGCGTTCAGGAGACACCCTTTCCACTGGTTTCTCCTCTTTCTTTGGTGTGACCTTTGTTGCTGGTTTTGGTTCTTGTTTAGGTTCTGGTCTGGGCTGGATCTTTGGGACTTTCTCTTCTTCCTTCAAAGAGACTTTTTCAGCTTGTTCCTTCTCTGGTTCCTGTATCACATCCGGTTTAGAGTCAGTCAGTTCCTCTTTCTTTGGAGACGTCTTGAGTTTAGGAGATGGTTTGGGCTCTGGTTTGGGCTCTGGTTTTGGTTGAACTTTTGGAACTTTCTGGACCTCTTCAGAAGACGCCTTTTCCACTGGTCTCTCCTCTGACCGTTTATCTTCCTTTGGTGGCGTTGAAACTTTTGTTGCTGGTTTAGCTTCTGATTTGGGCTCTGGTTTTAGTTGAAGCTTGGGAACTGTTTCGGTTTCATTTGGAGCAGTTTTATCTGCTGGTTTTGTTCTACTAGGTTCTTTGGTTTTCGCCTCAGTCTTAAGTCTCTGTTCAGGTCCAGACTCTGGTTTAGAGACCTCTTTATCAGCTGTTAAAGATTCTTTCCTCTGCTCCTCTGGTTCATTGTCTTTTGATTTCAGTTCTGTAGTCTTTGGTGTCGGCTCCTTTCTGGCCCATGGAACCTTCTCTGTTGGCTTTGTTGGTTCTTTCTTGCGCTCATCTGGAACTGTGTCCTTGTCCTTCTCTTGCTGTTGCTTCTCAAAGGGCTTCAGCGTCACCACCTCCTGCTCCTCATCTTTCTTTGGTAACAGTTTGATTTTGCGTTTGGTCAGATCTGGCTCCGGTTCTTTCTCCCTCTGAGGTTTTGGACTTCTCTGCCACGCCCCTTTCTCCTCCTCGCTGGTCCCAGCTTCAGGTTTCTCCACTTCCACTGTAGTGATGACGTCCTGTTTCGCTATGCGCTCCATTGTTGTCCTCTGAACTGTGAGGACCTCTCTGTCTTCTCTGTGGTGGAGTTTCTGAACCGTCAGCTCCTCATCATAATGTCTCATGACTTTGCTCCTCTGACTGACCACCTCTTTCTCCACCTGCTTTGGTTTTGAAGGAACCTTTTTCAGCTGCACCTTCTCCACCTCGGGCTCGGCAGGTTTGGGAGACTTCTGCACCGGTTTGAGTTTGATCTGCTCAGATTTTTCTTCCTCTTTGGGAAGTTTTGAAATCTTCTTCTTCTCTATTTTGACCTCTGGACACTCTGTTTTTTCCAGTTCATGAACATCTTCTTGTTTCCTGGTCTCCTTTGGTGTCTCCTCTTCCCTCTCCATTGTCTCCTCCTGCTCTAGCGCCCCTGTGTGTTCATCTGCAGTAAACACACGTTGGGTTCGCTCTATCGTCAGGACCTCTCTGTCTTCTCTGTGGTGGAGCTTCTGAACCGTCAGCTCGTCATCATAATGTCTCATGACTTCACTCCTCTGACTGACCACCTCTTTCTCCACCTGCTTCGGTTTGGATGGAACCTTTTTCAGCTGCACCTTCTCCATCTCTGGTTCAGCCGGTTTTGGAGACTTCTGCACAGGTTTGAGTTTGATCTGCTCAGATTTCTCCTCATCTTTGGGAAGTTTTGAAACCTTCTTCTCAATTTTCACCTCTTGCATTTCAGTCTTTGCCGGTTTAGTCATTGCCTTTGGTCCTTGAGCAAACATGTCTTCCCTCTCCACTGTCTCTGCCTGTTCTAGCGCCACCGTGTGTTCGTCTGCAGTAAACACACGCTGCATTCGCCCAATCGTCAGGACCTCTCTGTCTTCTCGATCTCTGAGTTCATGAACAAACATTTCTGTGTCTATAACTTTGGTCACTTCTGCAATTTTTGTCTCCACCTCTCTCTCCACCTGCTTTGGTTTTGTGGGGACTTTTTTAAGCTGTATTTTTTCCATTTCGGCACTTGTTTTTGGGGAAAGTTCTTTCTTCTCCACTTCTTTCTGTTTTTTCAGAACTTTTGGCATCTCAATCACTTTAGCTTCTGATTTTTCTGCTTGTGCTTTGGGCGACTTCTGCACCGGTTTGAGTTTGATCTCTTCTGCCTTCTCCTCATCTTTCTGTAACTTTGAAATCCTCTGTTTCTCTACTTTGGTCTCTGGTGATTCAGTCTTTTCCACTTGAGTCACTTCCTTTGGTTTCTTGAATGTCACCTCCTGTTCCCTCTCCACTGTCTCTGCCTGCTCTAGCGCCACCGTGTGTTCGTCTGCAGTAAACACACGCTGCATTCGCCCAATCGTCAGGACCTCTCTGTCTTCTCGATCTCTGAGTTCATGAACAAACATTTCTGTGTCTATAACTTTGGTCACTTCTGCAGTTTTTGTCTCCACCTCTTTCTCCACCTGCTTTGGTTTTGAAGGAACCTTTTTCAGCTGCACCTTCTCCACCTCGGGCTCGGCAGGTTTGGGAGACTTCTGCACAGGTTTGAGTTTGATCTGCTCAGAAATTTCCTCAACTTTGGGAAGTTTTGAAATCTTCTTCTTCTCTATTTTGACCTCTGGACACTCTATTTTTTCCAGTTCATGAACATCTTCTTGTTTCCTGGTCTCCTTTGGTGTCTCCTCTTCCCTCTCCATTGTCTCCTCCTGCTCTAGCGCCCCTGTGTGTTCATCTGCAGTAAACACACGTTGGGTTCGCTCTATCGTCAGGACCTCTCTGTCTTCTCTGTGGTGGAGCTTCTGAACCGTCAGCTCGTCATCATAATGTCTCATGACTTCGCTCCTCTGACTGACCACCTCTTTCTCCACCTGCTTCTGTTTGGATGGAACCTTTTTCAGCTGCACCTTCTCCATCTCTGGTTCAGCCGGTTTTGGAGACTTCTGCACAGGTTTGAGTTTGATCTGCTCAGATTTCTCCTCATCTTTGGGAAGTTTTGAAATTCGCTTTTTGTCCATAGACTTAGCTTCAGCTCGAGGTTTGCTCTGCTCTGGTTCTAGAAGTGGGAGAGCATTTGGGAACAGAACTTCAAGAAAACATGGGAGACAAAGACAAACAGGACAGAACTACTACATATGAGACACATGGTCCTCATGAAAGAAGGAGAAGGTTCTCTATCTTGAGCTGCTCCGATAAGGCGGAGGGGAAGTAAGGGCTCAAAACACTTTGGATAGAACCTTCTAATTCTAAAGACTCTTTTATTCTCCATTTCCAAACACAAACAGACCCTTATCTAATACACATCCATCCCATGGTATAAATACTAGAGACCAGAGAGAGATCAGAGTTAGAGATCAGAGAGAGATCACAGAGAGATCAGAGAAAGACCAGAGAAAGACCAGAGAGAGACTAGAGGGAAAGATCACAGATAAGAGACCCGAGAGAGACAAGAGAGAGACTAGAGGGAAAGAGAGAGAGAATCAAAACCTCTGTGTGTGAATAAAAGAGTCTTAAAGGGACCAGTGTATTCTGTAGACACATTAAACAGGACATTTAACAGAAGACAAACTTTCCTCCCTCAGATTTGGACAATTTGGTTGTTTTCGCTTTTTAAAATGTATCTCTTTGGGTCAATCTTTTAAACTGAGAGAATGTAAAGAGTGGAATACCTTTGGTCGGTCCGGGTGCAGTGATTGGGCCTTTATCTGGAACGAGTCCAAAGGGAAGACATTGAAAACAGAACAGAACAGACATAAGAGGACAGACAGAGACAGAAGGAGACAGTCCAGTGGTCTAAACACATTAGTTAAACATGTTTGAATGAAGAGGTCTCACAAGATTATTAAGAGGAGACACTCGGACACACGAAAGGACAGAAAGGGCAGAAACAGAGAGTCACCACAGAGAAGGTAAGAGGTTAATCCAAGAACACACATCTAATACAAGAGTTTAATGATCAGTAAAGACAAGACGATACCTTCAGGAGGAGAGGCCGACGGAGACACTGCCCCTACTGATGTGGAGCCAACCGCGGCTACAGGAGATTTAAGACAAGTTTAAGACTAGGACAAGACTAGAACAAGACCAGGTCAAGACCAGGTCACGACCAGGTTTAAGACCAGGTCAAATCCAGACCCAAGACACAGTCACAAACTCAACAAAAGACATACAGAGAAGCAGACGAAACCATCAAAGAAAAAGTCCAGTCTTGGTCCAGTCCTGGTCCAGTTCGTAGTCTTGGTTCAACACACACAGTTTAGGATATAACGGAACATTAAAATTGCAATAACTACAGGATTTAACTTTGTGGCTGGATCTGAGATGAAAGACACAAGAATGCAAATACCTGCGCTTTTCTGAGTCGGGGGAGATGGTTTACGAGCGGCGGACATCTTGTCTTCAGCGGGAGAGACTTCAAGAGGAAACAGAGCAAGATCACCAAACGGTTTAAACCAGAAAGGAGTGAGAGGACTACAAGTGGAGAAGGGGAAGAACTACAACAGAAGACAGCAAGTGGGAGTGACCAGACAGGAAGTGGGATAGACAAGGACAGGAAGAGGCTAGCGCATCTTCAAGACTACAAATGGTGTAAGAACTACAAACATGTCACTCACGTAGAAGACTTCAAAACAAACAGAACACAACAAGAATATTAAGAAAACAGTCAAAGGGCAACTGTAACACGGAGACAAAAGCTGGGGACAAACCTGCAGCAGGGGGCGCTGTGGCTTTGGGACGAGACTTTTCCTCAGGACGAGACGCTTCAGAACAAACAAGACATTTAGACAAAAAACAGAAGAGAACACAGAACATGGGAGATTGTCCCTTCATAAGAGTGAGCAGAGCAGTACCTGCAGGGGGCGCTACAGAGACAGGCTTCTGCTCTGCTACAGGAGCCACTGAGGGACAAACATCACAGGATCAGAGACAGAACAGAGACACAGAGATTGCCCCTTCAAAAGAGTGAGCAGAGCTCTACCTGCAGGGGGCGCCACAGCTGCAGCTTTAGACACAGGCTTCTTCTGATCTGAGGAAGGGGCTTAAGACCAACAAGAGACAACAGTTAAACACACAGGGACCAATCATAGCGAGCCGTGAGCGACTCTGTCCAATCAGAGCGAGCCGTGACCGACTCTGTCCAATCACAACAAGCTGGTAATAGTAGTATAGTAGTAGAAGTAGAAGTAGAAAAAGAAGCAGTAGTGGTTGTAGTAGCAGTAGTAGTAGTGGAAGTGGCAGTAGTAGTAGAAGTAGTAGTAGCAGTATTAGTAGAAGCAGTAGTGGTAGTAGCAGTAGTAGCAGTAGTAGTAGAAGCAGTAGTGGTAGTAGTGGAAGTAGCAGTAGTAGAAGTAGTAGTTTTAGCAGTAGTAGTAGTATTCAGGTAAAGTTAAGATTGTAATGTCCCCAGTGTCCCCTCTACCTGCAGGGTAGAGGGGACACTGGGGACAAACAGAATGAGACACAGACGAGACATAGACTCTGAGACATTGAGGGGACAGTTACCTGCAGGGACACTAGGGGGCGCTGCAGCTGTGGGGACAGACTTTGGTTCAGTCTCAAAACAAACATTTAACATTGAGGAAGAGAAACCGTAGTGTACCTTCACGGCCAGCAGGCGGCGCCACTACTTTGTGCGGAGGAGCGATCGTCGAATCAAGAGCTTCACAAAGGAAAGAGGAGAAGAAGCCAAGAAAGATGTGAGAGATCAACAAAGACACAGAATCAAAGAATCAAAGCGAGGAAGAGGAACAGACAGGATCAAAGAGAGGAAGAGGAACAGACAGGATCAAACTAAAAGAGAAGAAGAGGAGTACCTGGACGAGCCACTGGCCGGTCCACAGTCTCAGCCGTCTTCTCTGGGATCACTTTGGGGAAAGTAGAAAGAGAATCAGCAAATGTTTAGGACGGAAACTGGAGGAAGAGACAAGATGGAGGAGAAGAGAACGAGATGGAGGTGAAGAGGACGAGATGGAGGATGGTTTTATGATGAAGACGTGCCCAAAAAGTGAAGAATGAAGAGGTTACAGCATGTTAAGACTGAGAGGAAGAGGTGAAGAGGTGAGGATCAGACAAGACAAACATGGAAGTTCTCCTCTGGCCAAAGCAGAGTCCACACTCACAGCCGTGGTCAGTGATACATGGAAATACATTTCACTTTCCTGTAAAAGGTCTGAAACATGACCGGAACAACCATATCTGTGTTCTCTGAAGGTTAACTGCACTGACCCTGAGGACGAGTGATGGAGGCTCTGGTTTGACACACGAGAGAGACAAGAAGACAGAGACAATGATGTGGAACTGATGAAAAAAGATCTGATGGGTTCTGATTCTCAAAAAGAGTACCTGTGCCCCCTGCTGGGTGAGCCTGGAGCTGCAGCTGAAGACTTTCTTCAGACTGTGTGGACTCTTTTTGTCCTCTCTCAGAAACCTTGAACTGTTCTTTCTCATCAGCTTCGTCACTTTGATTCTCTTTGTTCTTCAGTAGAACTCTCCCTTGGTTTGGCTCACAGACCTCCTCACAGACCTCCTCACAGACCTCCTCACAGACCTCCCCACAGACCTCCGCATAGACCTCCTCAGGCTGTAGGTCTTGGACTGCTGGTTCGAGACTGAAACTGGTTTTGTGTGACACTATTCCATCATCTTGTTTTTCAGTCTGGGGTGAAGCTTTAGTTGTAGCTTTAACTTTCTTCTCACTTGTTTGTCTAATTTTGACTTCTTCAAGCACTTTTGGTGAAACTTGTGCAGCTGTGACCTTCTTGATTCCTGTGGTCTGCTGTACATTGGATTTTTCAGTGGATTCCTGACTCTTTCCAGAAAGTTTGTTCGTCTCCATTTGAACTCTAACATGTGTCTTCTCTGCTGTTTGAACTCTAACATCTGTCTTCTCTGCCGTTTGAACTCTAACATCTGTCTTCTCTGCCGTTTGAACTCTAACATCTGTCTTCTCTGCCGTTTGAACTCTAACATCTGTCTTCTCTGCCGTTTGAACTCTAACATCTGTCTTCTCTGCTGTTTGAACTCTAACATCTGTCTTCTCTGCTGTTTGAACTCTAACATCTGTCTTCTCTGCTGTTTGAACTCTAACATCTGTCTTTTCTGCTAATTGAACTCTAACATCTGTCTCCTGTGCCTTGACTGTGGGAATAACTCTATCTTCTTCAGATCTTGGGAAACTTGGTTTCTTGGTCTCCTCTGTGGAGAAGTCTATTGCTGGTTCATCCAGTACTGACAGACCATTTTTGCTCGACATCTGAACTGTTTGTGATTTCTCAACAATGACTTTAGTTCCTGAATCTCGCTCTTCTTCAGTCAGTCTCCTTTGGACCGTTTTCTTGGTCTCATCCAGAACATGTTGAGAACTCGTTTTGGCTGATTCTAAACTTGTCCTTGGTTCTTCAGACTTCACTTCAAACATGGCTAAATTCTCCTTGGGTTTCTCTGAAAGAGTTTTCTGTGTTGAATTGTAACTTGTCTGCCTCTGCTGTTGGTCTTCAGGTTCCTCAGAGACACGTTGGGACATACCTGGTCTCTGGTTTCCTTCAGTTGTAACTTGCTGAGGAATAGGCTTCTCCTGGACCTTCTCCTGTCTCTGGTCTCTTTCAGGTGTCACTTGCTGAGGTGTGGTCTTCTCATGGACCTTCGCGGGTCTCTGGTCTCTTTCAGGTGTCACTTGCTGAGGTGTGGTCTTCTCATGGACCTTCGCGGGTCTCTGGTCTCTTTCAGGTGTCACTTGCTGAGGTGTGGTCTTCTCATGAACCTTCTCATGTCTCTGGTCTCTTTCAGGTGTCGCTTGCTGAGGTGTGGTCTTCTCACTGACCTTCTCATGTCTCTGGTCTCTTTCAGGTGTCGCTTGCTGAGGTGTGGTCTTCTCACGGACCTTCTCATGTCTCTGGTCTCTTTCAGGTGTCACTTGCTGAGGTGGGGTCTTCTCATGGACCTTCGCGGGTCTCTGGTTTACTTCAGGTGTCACTTGCTGAGGTGTGGTCTTCTCACGGACCTTCTCATGTCTCTGGTCTCTTTCAGGTGTCACTTGCTGAGGTGGGGTCTTCTCATGAACCTTCGCGGGTCTCTGGTCTCTTTCAGGTGTCACTTGCTGAGGCCTGATCGTCTCGTGGATCTTCTCAGCTTCATAAACATTGTGTTGAATCCTTGACACCAGAGTTTCCTCTCGTTGACTTGCTTCCTGTTTGTCTTCACAAACAGGAGTAGGTTTGATGGATACTTCTGTCTTCATTGGTGTTTTAGCTTCAGAAAATATCTCTTCTCCGGCAGAGTCTTGTTTGATTGTCTCCACAAAGAACATATTTTCTTTAGAAGCTGCAGACTTAACTTGTTTGTACTCGTTAGCCGGAGATTCAGGGAAGGTCTGGGCCAGTTCTCGGGAGGTTCTCTTCTCAGTTTGGCTGAAAGACTTTTCCTCAGTTGTGGACGATGTGACTGTGTCTGTACGTTCCGACATTCTCTTCAGCTCAGAGAAGTAGTTCCCTTCTACTTTCAGAACATTCATCTGTGACACGGCTTCACTTAAGGCGACCATTTTGTCTTCTGGCTTCAGAGCGTCTGCCTTTTTAGGTTGTGCTTTGATGCTTTGTTTTACTGAAGCTGATTTTTTTTTTTTTAAAGAAAGATCGAACCCAAGACAAAAAAGACACAATTAAGAATGTATAAAGAGGATATTTGGGAAAAGAAGTCACTGCAAAGCAATATAAAAGATTACAGCAGTGACAACAAAACCATCAGACACACACACACAGATGGGGGTTAGTGACAAGATGGCCGCCGCTAGCAGACTGTTACCTTGAGCTCTGCGTTTGTCCTCTCTAACCTCCACTCGTTCTTCTGTGGTCTTTGCCACAGTCCGGACAGATTCTGTGGTTTGTGAGAGCTGTTTGGGCTCCTGTTCCTCTGTCTTGTTGGTCTTCTTGGTCTTCTGCAGCTGTGTGAGATGCTCTTCAGTGTGAGATCCCTGTGTCTCTCTCTTCTCACTCACTGCTGAGGATCTCTGCTGCACTGTTGCTCTGGAATCTAACTCTTTGGCCTGAGTTTGTGCAGACATTTCCACTTTCTGTAGTTGTTCTGGAGCAGTCTTAGCTTCTACCCTCTCTACCGTCTCCTGCCTCACTGTCACCTCTTTGCTTTGAGAGATCACCTGCTCTGTTGGCTGCACCCTCTTGGGTTTCTCTGGCACTGCTGTTGGTGTTTCTGGAGCCTTCTGGACCTGAACTCTGTCTACTGTCTGTTTGACCTCAACATAAGCAGCCTCCTGCGTAACTTTCACCTCTCGAACCTCAGAAAGAACCTGTTTTCCTGCTCTGGTCTCTACATCTGTCTGTTTTGGTTGGTCATGCACTGGTTTGGAGACCTGTGGGGCTGTCTCTGTCTGTGTGTCTTCAGCTAAAGTCCTTCTGACATCTGTGATCTGAGGAACAACCTTCTCTTCCTGCACTAGTGTGACCTGAGCTGTTTTCTCCAAGCTGGCCTTTGACACTGAGGTCCTGGCTTCAGTCCCTCGCTCCATCACAGACTCTCTCCCCATAACTGTCTCTATGCTCTGTCTCTGAGTCTCTGTGATAAACTCTTCAAACCTCTCAGCTTTCCTCACTTCTGCAGCTCTCTTCTCCTCAAAGACTATCTCTTGATCTTGAACTTGGACTTGCGTTTGTGAGCTTGTCTCCAGGGCTTCAACCGACTGCGTCATCTCTCTGCGAGTTCCCACTGTTTTCTTCTCCACTTTGGACATTTCAACTTTTGTCTGTTGAAACGTCTGCATTTCTGAAGATTCTGAAGCCACTTAAGAAGGATAAGATTGATTGACAAGATTAAGAAAAGCAGGTTGCACTCTGGCGAATGCAGACAAGAGAAAACACAGAACAGAACTGGACACACAGGAAAGAAAAGGTACCTGTAGAAGGAACTGGGCCTTTCTGCTCGGCCAACACTTCATGGAGACGATCCTCCGCTTGGACTTTGAGAAGAGACCAAGAATTACTGACTATAATCCACTACGTTCCTCCAGAGAAAGAACATGGAGGAACCAACACAACACAAGAGAAGCAGCAAGAGAGAAGCAGCAAGATTCAAAGAGAAATTTGAAAGATTCCCACAGACTGTTTAAACATGAACAACATGAACCAATAGAGAATCAAGGCTGAACTAAAACTGGACGTATGGGACAGTCTGCCTGAAACTGTGAGCCTCGGCTCTGTGTGAGCCATGATGTCATCTGCTGAAGTTTTCATACCGTGGTGCGTGTGTACAGTGTTGAAGCTGTGACTTGTTCTGATTGATTGTATGAGAAATAGACACTGGTACCTGGTACTACAGAGACCAGAGAGGCCAAAGAGACAGACCAGAGAAAGAGACCAGAGAGAGACCAAAGAGAGAGACCAGATAGAGGCCAGAGACCAGAGAGAGACCAAAGAGAGAGACCAGATAGAGGCCAGAGACCAGAGAGAGACCAAAGAGAGGCCAAAGAGAGAGACCAGATAGAGGCCAGAGACCAAAGAGAGGCCAAAGAGAGAGACCAGATAGAGGCCAGAGACCAGAGAGAGACCAAAGAGAGGCCAAAGAGACAGAACAGAGAGAGGCCAAAGAGAGAGACCAGATAGAGGCCAGAGACCAGAGAGAGTCCAAAGAGAGGTCATAGAGAGAGACCAGATAGAGTCAAAAGAGAGAGGCCAGATAGAGGCGAGATAAGGTCCAAAGAGACAGACCAGAGAGAAATACCAGAGAGAGCCACAACAGTGTCCCTGTAACTGTCATGTTATACTAGCTGTTCTATGGTGTTGTTGGGGTAAAGCTGGACCGTGTTGCAGTGAGGGACCAGTGCTAAGAGAAACTGTGCTTTTATGTGATTGTGGAGACGGGTGTTTTATTGATTACACCAAGATGTGAAGATTGGGGAAACAGTACGATTTGATTGGTTACCTGTGAGGGAGGGCGGGGCTGTCACTCCGGCGTCACCTGACCACTCCTTCTCCCGGTCAAACGCTTTTCATAAGAATCAAAGACAAGTCACAAGAAACTCACCCAAAGATCAAAGAGGAAGAACAAACAAGACGAGAGAGAAAGACTAGAGAGAGAGACCAGAGAGAGACCAGAGAGACCAGAGAGACCAGAGAGAGACCAGAGAGACCAGAGAGAGAGACTAGAGAGAGAGACCAGAGAGAAAGACCAGAGAGAGACCAGAGAGAAACCAGAGAGAGAGACTAGAGAGAGAGACTAGAGAGAGAGACCAGAGAGAGAGACTAGAGAGAGAGACTAGAGAGAGAGACCAGAGAGAGACCAGAGAGAGAGACCAGAGAGAGACCAGAGAGAGACCAGAGAGAGAGACCAGAGAGAGACCAGAGAGAGACCAGAGAGACCAGAGAGACCAGAGAGAGACCAGAGAGACCAGAGAGACCAGAGAGAGACCAGAGAGACCAGAGAGAGAGACTAGAGAGAGAGACCAGAGAGAAAGACCAGAGAGAGACCAGAGAGAAACCAGAGAGAGAGACTAGAGAGAGAGACTAGAGAGAGAGACTAGAGAGAGAGACTAGAGAGAGACCAGAGAGAGACCAGAGAGAGACCAGAGAGAGAGACCAGAGAGAGACCAGAGAGAGACCAGAGAGAGAGACCAGAGAGAGACCAGAGAGAGACCAGAGAGAGAGACCAGAGAGAGACCAGAGAGAGAGACCAGAGAGAGACCAGAGAGAGAGACCAGAGAGAGAGACCAGAGAGAGACCGGAGAGAGAGAGATGAGAGCAGAAAGTGACGAACGAGAAGACACGGACAGAGACAGATGTGAAGAGGACTCAGAGACGGAGAAAGAGGTCCACCTGTCGAGGACTAAACCCTCTGACCCGAGGACCATCAAGAACACACTGTGGACATGCAGCCACTCCACACTCTACAGACACACACTTTAACACACACACTCTACAGACACACACTTTAACACACACACTCTACAGATACACACTTTAACACACACACTCTACAGACACACACTTTAACACACACACTCTACAGACACACACTTTAACACACACATTATGGAAGAGAGTGAAGACTGAGATGGAAGAGATTTATGCACAAGGACAAACTTCAAACAGTGAAGTTTGTCAGGTCGTAAAGAGAAGACATGTACAAAAAGACAACAGCGAGAAGAGGACAAGTTGGACAGGAGCTACAGGGGAAGGAGCTACAGGTGAAGGAGCTACAGGTGAAGGAGCTACAGGTGAAGCAGCTACAGGTGAAGGAGCTACAGGTGAAGGAGCTACAGGTGAAGGAGCTACAGGTGAAGGAGCTACAGGTGAAGCAGCTACAGGTGAAGGAGCTACAGGTGAAGGAGCTACAGGTGAAGGAGCTACAGGTGAAGGAGCTACAGGTGAAGGAGCTACAGGTGGAGCAGCTACAGGTGAAGGAGCTACAGGTGAAGGAGCTACAGGTGAAGGAGCTACAGGTGAAGGAGCTACAGGTGAAGCAGCTACAGGTGAAGGAGCTACAGGTGAAGGAGCTACAGGTGAAGCAGCTACAGGTGAAGGAGCTACAGGTGAAGGAGCTACAGGTGAAGGAGCTACAGGTGAAGGAGCTACAGGTGAAGCAGCTGAGTCAGACTGATACCTGGGGCTCTGGCCGACTCCACGTCTCTTCTGTCCACTCTGTTGTCCACTTGTTTCCTGCCGTCTGTATAAGAAAGACTTATCAAACACACAGACCATATATGGACATGAGGGGAGGACATTCCAGCCACGCCAGCTGCCTCAGGGCGGCTGTGGCTGTGGATCAAAGAGATACCTTTACACACAGACACTGAGACACTGTAAGAGGAAAGACTGGTACAAACACTGAAACTGAAGATGAGGCAAAAGGCCTGAAGATGAAAAAGAGACAGAAGACAAGAGAATGAGACCCTGTACATGTCCAGGGGACATACAGGACACATGTCCCACACTGGGGACATGTTTGTGTGACAGCATAAGAAGATGTGAGTGATGAAGACAAGATGAAGAGATCATTAGATCAAAGGCACCGGTGTTGAACATATAATAGACATAGGTGTCTCCTACCTCACATGTTCATCTGGGTGCTGGACTTGTGTGCTTGTGTGTAAGTATGTACAAGTGTACATGTGTGAGTGTATGTGTGTGTGTGTGTGTGTGTGTATATGCGCATGTATGTATATGCGCATGTATGTGTGTGAATTTGTGTGCGTGTGTACGTGTATCTGTGTATATGTGTGAGTTCTTCAGAGGTCCCTTACCCCCTCAGGTCAGCTCGGCGCATGAGTGTGTGTGTGTGTGTGTATGTGTGTGTTCCTTACCCCCTCAGGTCAGCTCGGCGCATGAGTGTGTGTGTGTGTTCCTTACCCCCTCAGGTCAGCTCGGCGCATGAGTGTGTGTGTGTGTGTGTGTATGTGTGTGTTCCTTACCACCTAAGGTGAGCTCGGCGCTGGACATGTGTGGCCCACAGACCAGCCTGTAGTTGCCCTGGTCGTTGGCGTCACACTTGTTGACCTTGAGCCAGTGTTTGTCTCCGGATGTCCCCATGTCGTACTTGTCCCCGCGCTCCAGCTTCTGTGTACCTTTGTACCACGTTAGAGCAATCTCAGGGTAATTTATACTAATGCAGCATTCAAAGACAGCCGACGCTCCCGGAGCAACGGCCTGGTCGCTGATGTCGTCCATCACACTCACGGGCTGAGGACAGAGGACAGACTATCAAACTCTACACTCTCTGGTCTCTCTCTCTGATCTGTATCTGGTCTCTTTCTCTGGTCTCTCTCTCTGGTGTTTCTCTGGTCTCTCTCTAGTGTCTGGACTAGGTTCAGATGGTCTCACCTCAGTCCCGGCTCTGGACTCCATCTGCTGCATGAGTCGTGCCATCACTGCCTCCTCCACTGCTCCTCCGTGTTCAGTCTCCTGCAGAAAGGGACGGTCATAAAGATGGTCTAAGTCAGGATCAGGTCTGGGTCAGGTCTGGGTCAAGTCTGGGTCAGGTCTGGGTCTCACTGGTCTCCCACTGGCCTGGGACTTCTCGCTCTTCAGGTGTGGGTCAGGGTCTCACCGGCTTGCCGCTGGCCTGGGCCTTCTCCCTCTTCAGGATCTCGAAGGCCTGCAGGATGGCTCTGTAGTCGTAGATCTCGTGTTCCCTCAGGATGCGTTCATAATCTTTTGGGTCGTTTCCTCGGAGCAGATCCACAATGTCCACATCCTCACGCTTCGGGCTCCGCTGCTTCGATGGAGTCCTGAACCAAGACCAGAGTTTGATCAGACCTGAGGCCAGTGTGTGTGTGTGTGTGTGTCTCCGTGTGTCCGTCTGTGTGTGTGTGTGTGTCTTACTTCCTCAGAGTGGTCCTGAACTCTCCTCCTGTCACCTCCTCCTTCTTGCTGACGCTTAGGTCGGCACTGGCCTCGATCTCTCCGTGTTTGCTGGAGGCTACGCAGCGGTACTGTCCCGCGTCAGACTTGGTGACCTCTCGAATCTCCAGCCGAGCGTCCGGTCCCTTCTGCTCCACGGACACCCTCCCACCATGGGTCACCTGCCGCCACTTCCCCTTCATCCACTTCACGCTTGGGATTGGGTCGCCGCCCAGTTTGGCAATGAAGGTAGCAGTGCCCTCTGGAGGAGACAGGAGACGTTACATCGGGAAAAAAGCCTCAGTCTCAGAGAGATTCCGCTCTCTGAGATACAGGACATCTCCGAACAAAGCACTTTAATGATTTGCACTTGTTTTGAAACTGTTTTAGTCGATCGATTTCACAGTGACATTTGTTTGCTGTTTTATTTGTTTTATTTCTGTCTTTTAATGTTGTTTTATGTCTGTATTTGTCTGTGCACACTGGTGACTTTTTGCTAATGTATTCCAATGTGGTTTTTTTTACTGCAAATGGCAAATAAACTGAATCTGAAACTGAATCTGAGTCCTGGATCTACAGCTTCAGTCCTGGGTCTACAGTCTCAGTCCTGGGTCTACAGCCTCAGTCCTGGGTCTACAGTCTCAGTCCTGGGTCTACAGCCTCAGTCCTGGATCTACAGCCTCAGTCCTGGGTCTACAATCTCAGTCCTGGGTCTACAATCTCAGTCCTGGGTCTACAATCTCAGTCCTGGTTGTCTTACTCTCTGGGGTGGAGATGGTCCGTGGTTCCTCAATGAAGAACAGGTTGTCCAGTCGTTTGGCTGGTGCAGGAGCAGCAGAGGGCGCTGCCGTCTCTGTGGTCTGGACCGAGACCGGAGCTTTAGAGGCAAAGTCTGTGAAGAGAGTTTGCATATGAAACATGACAGACACACTAACAATAAACCAGAGAGAGAGAGACAGAGCAGAGAAAGAGGCCATAGTGAGCTCAAAACATTTTTTGGAGGTAATGAAGGTCCAGTGTTTTCGTTGAATCGGCACGCAGTAATGAGAGGCCTCTACTGTAGCCAGAGCTGCCCTGGGTGCGCACTGACACAGTAACATGAGCACAATCATTAGCAGTGGTACCTCTGATAGTGACGTGAGCCTTGCAGAAGTTGGATCCGCTCTTGTTACTAGCTTTGCAGAGATAGTCTCCTGCGTCACTCTTCATACAGTCTGACACCTGGAGGGTTGCGGTGCCGTTCACAAAAGAGACCGTGGTGTTTCCGGAGGACAGCAGCTCACGCCGGTCCTTCATCCACTGAACTGTAACTGGTGCAGTACCAGACACTGAACAGGAGAGGGCCAGCTTCTCTCCCTCTGCCACAGACACGGCTTTAAGCGGAGAGGTGAAGACTGGCGGAGAACCAGACTCTGGGGACGAGAGAGAGGCCTGTGAGTGATGGAGAGAGACCAGAGAGACCAGAAGGAGACCACAGAGAGACCAGAAGGAGACCAGAGAGAGAGCAGAGAGAGACCAGAGAGACCAGAAAGACCAAATAGAAACCAGAAAGGGACCAGATAGAGGCCAGAGAAAGAGAGCAAAGAGAGACCAGATATAGGGCAGATAGAGAGCGAGCAGAAAGAGAATAGTGAGAGAGACCAGAGAGAAACTGAAGATGTTTTACTGAGATGGTGTTGTTAGTTCTTACCAGAGACAGTGAGGCTGGTGCGGCAGCTGGTCTTGCCGGCCTCGTTCTTGGCTGTACAGGTGTAAATGCCACCGTCTCTCACTGCAGACTCTTTGATGATGAGCATAGACACATTATTGTCAAAGGTGATGTCGTATTTGTCTGAGACCTGGATCTCGGCCGAGTCTTTGGTCCAAGTGGCGGTGAGAGGGGGCGTCCCTGATACTCTGGCCTCCAGGCGGATGCAGCGGCCCAGACCCTCAATGAGAGAGTCCGCCGGCCGCTTGGTGAATGTGGGAGGCACCTTGCGCTCTGGGGGAGGAGGAGAGAGGAGGGGATGGAGGGGGAAGAGTTAGAACAGTTGAGGAGATCAAAGCGACAAACTATCAAACACAGGAAAAACACAAAACATGGAACATCAAAACAATTCACCAGCACAGAACCAGAGTCCAGCATCCATTTGGACTCATATACAAGGACCAAAACAGAGATCACAGAGACCCAGAGCAGAGACCACACAGACCCAGAGTGACCCAAGCAGACACTGGCATGCTTTACAACACATACCAAATGTCTGGAGTCCGACAGGGACTTCCGACAAAGTGTTTGTAGACCCTCATGCCATGCTGCCACCACATTTAAACACATTTATAGACAGATCATCACAGATCATCAGCTCCTGTGGAGTTCCCATCAGGAACACACTGATCCAAAAGCTCACAAAGAACCAAACTTTGACCAAAACACCAGAAAACAAATCAACAGAAAGTTCACTGAGATCACAGAGATCATAGAGTTCACAAAACCACAAGACTTTCACAAAATTACCGCCACATTCAGACATAACATGGAGGACAGGCTCGACAACGGTCACAAGAGATTCTGCACTTTATAACTGTTTTTTTACTGAACAATTGAGCTGAGGTTTGGGGAACAGGACACAGTGGAGACAGCGGAGACAGCGGACACAGTGGAGACAGGCAGGAAACCCCGCGGGCTTCAGGACGAGAGAACATGGACACCAGCAAAGAACAGAACATCCTGTGTTCTTCAAACCTCATGCATACTATCATCCTCAACCTGCCAGGAGACCCGGGGCTCCCATTGGCTGGAGGACCAGTGTTACCTATCCCCAGCCGGGATAGGTCGTCAGTGTTACCTATCCGCACGGTGGCATGGCAGGTGTCTTTTCCGTCGGCGTTGGAGATTTCACACTGGTACTTCCCAGCCGCAGCCTCGCGGTCGCTGTTGAGCACGTCCAGCTCACAGCGCCCCTTTCCTGTGCGGACGTTGTACTGGTATGAGGCCCAGAGCAGTTTCCCATCCTTTTTCCAGGTGGCATGAGCGTGCTCTGAGCCCGAGTACGTGCACGCCAGGGTCAGAGGAGCGCCCAGCGTGTGCGTGACGTCCTGCAGCCGCTGCACAAACCGTACCGGCTCTGTGGAGGGCAAGTCAGTGTTACACAGGAACAGGAAGAACACAATGCCAAGTATGAGCGTACAGAGAAACTGTCCAAGTCCAGGCTAAAGCTCAAAGACAGTCTATGAGCAGTAGTATTACTCAAAAATTACAGTCTGCGTGTAGCTCCCTCTAGTGTCTCATATGTGTATTACCCAGAGTGACGTGAGCACTGCAGCTCTCAGTTCCGTCCTTGTTGCTGATCTCGCAGCTGTAGCGCCCCCTAGCCTCCTCGCGGTCAGCGTTCAGAACGTCCAGGACGCAGCTGCAGTCTGTCTTCTTCACGTTGTATTTGTAGGAGGCCCAGATGGGGAGGCCATCTTTCCTCCAGCTCACACTGACTTTTTCTGTGGCTCTGAAGGCCACACGCAGCGACAGCGCCTCCCCCAGGCGGAATGTGGTGTTCTCCAGCTTACGCACAAAGTGGGGGGGCTCTGCGGGGGAGGAGGAGTGAGGGGTGAGGAGAGGTGAGAGAGGAGGGGGTTAGTGACTTTGAAAGGCAGCGCCAGTCGTAACAGAGTACGTTTCCAAAGCTCAAGTGAATCGAGATCTCTCCTTTGGTCCAGTTTAATGATGTAGCACTCATGTGAACAGCTGTGATCGAGGACAAACCAGGACAAACCAGGACAAACCAGGACATTTGGAGAAACTGGAAGGAACCGTGTCTACTGCGTTTATGCTGCATGTAACCAGATCCTACTGACACAGACAGCAGAGGCATTTAAGAGTTCAGAGGAAGTCCTTATATTAGAAATGAATGTGTTTGGACGCATTAAGAGATTTTATACTTGCTTCTTTATTGTGCTAAAGTTAGAGATTTTATTTTATTGTTCTTGACAAGTCGTTCACTTGTTCACGTCTTGTGCTGTGTTCTGTTCCGTAAACGGTGATACAACACTGACATTTCCCCACTGTGGGACAAATAAAGGATCTCTTAATCTTGATCTTAAACTCTCTCTGGTCTCTCTCCCTACTCTCTCTCTCTCTCTGCTCTCTCTCTCTGGTCTCTCTCTCTCTGGTCTCTCCCTACTCTCTCTCTCTCTCTGCTCTCTCTCTCTGGTCTCTCCCTACTCTCTCTCTGGTCTCTCTCTCTCTGGTCTCTCTCTCTGGTCTCTCTCTCTGGTCTCTCTCTGGTCTCTCTCTCTGGTCTCTCCCTACTCTCTCTCTGCTCTCTCTCTCTGGTCTCTCTGTCTTTTGCACATTCTGAGTGATTCTATCTATGCCTATTGTGACGTGTAACTTTCTCCACTGTTAGATGAATAAAGTTTATCTTATCTTATGTCTGGGTTCTCTCTGTTCTCTCTCTGCTCTCCGTCTCTAGTCAGACACCTGACTAGAAGAGTTGGTATAACATACTTAATATTGTTCTGCTTTGGAAACGCACTCATTGCTCCAGTCTCTGTTCTGGTACCTCTCTTCTTCATCCTACACAGCACAAAGGCGTCACTAGTCACTGCTCCTTGCAGGTTGGACACGGTGACGCTGTACTTTCCCTGGGCCTCCTCGCGGTCCGAGTTGAGGACCTCCAGGCGGCTGGTCGTCTCTGTGGTCTTAACATTGTACTTGTAAGATGCCCAGATGGGTTTATCGTCTTTGGTCCAGGACACATGGATGCGTTGGCTTCCGCTGAAGCCAACCTGGAGACTCAAGGGAAGACCCAGGGTGTACGCGGTGTCCTGGAGGGGCTGGACGAGGACCACAGGCTCTGAGGGGGGAGGAGGGGGAGGTTAGGGGTATGAGGGCTCTGGCTAATGGAGCTGAGGGGGTGATAGCTGAAGCGGCGGTTAGCTTGCTGGGTGATACAAACTGTGATACAAACTGTGATACAAACTGGAGTTACATTAGCATGTGTTAGCGGGTAACTAGCATCACATTAGCGCTGCACTGGGCCTGGCTGCTGCTATAGGAGATGTGGCAAGTATAGCATACATTAGCCTACATTAGCATGTGTTAGCAGGTACCTAGCGTCACATTAGCGCTGCACTGGGCCTGGCTGCTGCTGTTGGAGATGTGGCAGGTATAGCGCCCCCTAGCCTCCTCCCGGTCTGCGTTCAGGACCTGCAGCTCACAGGACTGGTCAGTTTTGGTCACGTTGTACTTGTAAGACGCCCAGATGGGTTTATCATCTTTGAACCAGGACACGTGGATGCGCGGGCTGCCGCTGTATTTGACCCGCAGGCTGAGCGGGTGACCCACCCTGAGGCGAGTCTCCTTCAGGGGCAGGGTGAAGCGCACGGGCTCTGGGTGGAGGAGCACATACACGTTAGCACAGTTATCGTACAGTCTGTGAAGGCGTAGTCAGGGCCAGACATAATATCTCATTCAAACAAGCTGCGAAGAACCTTAGCTTCAAACCAGAGACAGAGCTTTCACAAGTCAAAACAAGAGAAAAACCTTTGGTCTTTAGAGCAGAACTGTCAAACCAGAGCATCACAGACCTCCAGCTGTGAGACCAGAACATCACAAAGACCTCCAACAAAACAGACTGAACAGCATAAACCAGGAGCCAGAGTTATGTCCCTGGTTTAATTTCTAGTTTTTCATAAAGAACTCGTCTGAATAAAGCCCCAGTTGTCTCCTGAGTCCGACACAGGAGCAGCACAAACATGAAGCAAACAGAGCATTTAAACAACCAAAACAGAAGCTCCTCTGAGCTTAGGACTTCCACTGTCAGTGAGTTAGTGAGTAAGTCTTATTTATCTACACAGCACCGTTCACAGACTGCTGTGGGCTCATCCTCTACGTCCACAGTGATGAGAGCAGGTCGTCGTCACGAGCCGGATCTACTGCACATGTTATCGAGAAACCGGAGTACCTGGAGGAAACCTATGCAGATAAAAAGGAGAACATGCAAACTCCACACAGAAAGGACCACCTGGAGGTGGAAACGAACCCAGGACCTTCTGCAGTGCAGTGAGCGCTAACCCCTGCACCAATGTGTGTTACAATCCGTCTCCCCCTCTCCTCCTGATCTCTGTCCCTGGTCCCCCCCTGTGTCTCCCCCTGTGTCTCCCCCTGTGTCTCCCCCTGTGTCCCCCCCTGTGTCTCCCCCTGTGTCCCCCCCTGTGTCTCCCCCTGGTGGTTACCTAGAGTGACTTCAGCTCTACAGTTGGCCATGGACTCAGAGTTGCTGATCTCACAGCTGTGCTCTCCTGGTCCCTCCCCCGTGTACCTCCCCTGTACCTCCCCTGTGTCCCCCCCTGTGTCCCCCCCTGTGTCTCCCCCTGGTGGTTACCTAGAGTCACTTCAGCCCTACTGGTGGCACTCGTCTCAGAGTTGCTGATCTCGCAGCTGTACTCTCCTTGAGCGTTCTCACGGTCAGCGTTAAGGACTTCCAACACGCACGCGTTGTCTGTCTTCTTCACATTGTATTTGTAGGAGGCCCAAATGGGGAGGCCATCTTTCCTCCAGCTCACATACACTGGAGGACTTCCGGCATAGCCGCAGTAAAGCGAGAGTTTGTCTCCAAGACGATATGTAACATCACAGAGTGGAGCGATGAAGTAGGCGGGCTCTGGGAAAGGAGGAGGCGGCGTTAGGAGTTAGTAGGAGGTGATATGTTCTAAAGGCTTACAGACTAACTAAATACTATATACAGTATATATATTTATATTAAAAACGTATATAGTTTTTCCTATAGTAGTATATGGTGTTAGTGATCAATAGTAATATATCGCATTAGTTACCTATGCGTACGGCACAACTGCAGGTGGCGCTGCTCTCCTTGTTCTCTATTTCGCAGGAGTATTTGCCGCAGGCGTCGCGGCTGTCACAGTTCAGAATGGTCAGAGCGCTCGTCCGTGCAGTGTTCTTCACGTTGTATTTGTACGACGCCCAGATGGGGCGGCCATCTTTCTTCCAGCTCACGTAAATGCGCTGACTCCCAGAGAACTCCACCTCCAACGTCAGCGGTTGACCCACTTTGTAGAAGGAGCTACGCAGACGCCGCACAAACCGCACCGGTGCTGTGAGAAGCAGCCTGTTAGCATGAGACTGCAGCTACAACAGCATGACTTAGCATAGAGTTAGCATGTTAGCATGAGACTGCAGCTACAACAGCATGACTTAGCATAGAGTTAGCATGTTAGCATGAGACTGCAGCTACAACAGCATTAGTTAGCATAGAGTTAGCATGTTAGCATGAGACTGCAGCTACAACAGCATGACTTAGCATAGAGTTAGCATGTTAGCATGAGACTGCAGCTACAACAGCATTAGTTAGCATAGCGTTATCTTCTGAGACTAGAAGGAGTTTAAAACTATTATTACAGGCCTTCCTAGATTCAGAGGTAAAACTAAAAGAAGTTTAGCAAATTAGCTTATGAGCAGACAAAACCAAGTAGAGCTAAGACAGAGTTAGCATGTTAGCCGCTGTAGTAGTTTACCCAGCCTGACGGTGGCGCTGCAGCAGTCTTTTCCTGCTCTGTTGGTAACCTCACAGGTGTATTTTCCCGCCGCTTCCTCGCGGTCGGAGTTCAGGATTTCCAGTCGACTCGAGGACTCTGTGGTTTTCACGTTGTATTTGTACGAAGCCCAGATCACCTTATCGTCCTTTTTCCAAGTGACCGACATGTGTTTACTGCCACTAAAGCGAGCCTCCAGCGCTAACGGCTCGCCCACCCGGAGGAAGGCGTCCTGCAGTGGATGGGTGAAGCGCGGGGGCTCTGGTGGGTCAAGCGCGGATGAAGAGGACAGGTTAGAGTTAGCAGTTTAAACAGGTGTAAAAGCATCAAGAAATGGGATTAGCACATTAGCTTTAGCAGAGAATGTTATGTGTTATGAGTACAGATAGTTAGCTCGTTTTACCCAGCGTGACTTTAGCTGCGCACTGGTCTCGCCCGGCTGCGTTCACCACCTCACACGTGTACTCTCCTTGCGCCTCCTCGCGGTCGGCGTTCAGCACCTCCAGCACGCACATGGAGCTCGTCATCTTCACGTTGTATTTGTACGAAGCCCAGATGAACTTCCCGTCTTTGGTCCAGGTGGCGCTGGCGGGCTGGCTGCCTGTGTACACACAGGACAGCACCAGCCCTTTGCCCACGCAGAACGACATGTCACGGAGCGGCTCTACGAAGCGGGGAGGCTCTGAGATCAAAGGCAGGGTTAGGGACGGGGCCTGGACTTCAAAGAAGTTTCTGAGGATGTGGGAAGAATGAGAACGGGACTCGAAATGGCTGACCGCCGGAGAGTAAAATAGGATGAGAGAAGGTCTCATATGGAGCTCTAAGATTAATGTGGAATAAAAAAGCTGATATTTTGTTTCAAATGTTTCATCTGCATTTATCTTATAACAGCGTTTGGATTCAGTATGTAGTTTAGTGTCTCTGCAGGGCAGTGTCAGAATAGGAAGCAGCAAGCCCAATGGGTTATCCTCCAGACAGTGACCCCGAACAACAGCACAAACCTGTGACCGCTGCAGAGGCCACAACAACTGTAATGTTACCTATTTGTATCATGTACTTTACTTACTGACCACAGAGCGCTTATTAAGAGTGGGCCGAGTGTGACATCACCTAGTGTAAGCCTTAATGAGCAAGAAGCCGATTAGAGCTATCTCCAACAACCTCTCTGAGCCAAAGGAACGGCCGAGTCACCAAGAGCCAGGAGCTGTGCCAGTCCGTCTCCTCTTACAGTATTCACTGCTAAAGCTGGGGATAGAAGGCTCCTGATTGGTCAGTCCTTTACAAAGACAATGTCACAATGTAAACATCAAGACCACAGAGAGCGCTAATGTATTGGAAAATACACAGCACACTCGGATAGATGTCCAAAAGATCTAGTATTTATTAAGTTTCGGCCTTAGCCTTCGTCAGATCTGACGAATCTAGCGGATTAGAGTGTTCATAAATATATATCAGTCTACGTTTCTGACCTTTCTGTGCCAAAGTAGCAGAAACCTGCCCTTTATACTTCTGTTATGAATTTTTAGTCGTCCGGAGATCTCATGTTTAAACTCAAAACTCCAATCCGTTGTTTGTCCGGTGGTCAAGCAGTCCAGCAGGTACCGTTACAGATACAGTATAGCTGTGTTACTAATATCAGATTTATGACCAAATACGTCAAATAGCTGTGTGAGTAAAGGAGCGATTAAAGCTGAGGAACCTGATTTCTGTGCTTCATCATTCATTCTGCTATTGCCACATCTTAACACAGAATATCGGACGTGTTTCAAACTTGTAATAAAGAGCCTTTGGAGTCACTATTTGACTCTTTGAGCTGAGATCAGTTCACAAATCACAAGCAGGAAAGCAATATTACACAAAATCTATGATGAAAACGTACATTTGATATCAGCTGTTTTAAACCTGCATTATTATTAGTCCTGAGTTGGACTTTTCAGCCATTTTGTCACAATTCTGATATGTTTGAATGACTGTAGAGTTTTGTTTGATTCCCGGAGAGCTAACCCAGTGTTTATTTTCAGCTTCTTCATGTCTTTTATTTCATCACGTTTTGGGTACATGTCCCTCTCATCTCTCCCACATGTCTCGCTCCGAGGCTGCAGTTCACCTTGCACACTGATGGTGGCGCTGCACTGGCTCTCTCCCACATGGTTGCGTGCTTTCACCGTGTACTCGCCGCTGTCCACCGCGGTCGCCTGTGCTACTGTTAGCGTAGCTTTTCCACTCTTAAACTCCATCTTCCGGCGACCGTTAGCGAACAGAACGGAGTCTCCTCTGAACCATGACACAGAGGTTTCCCCTGAGCCCTGAACGCAACACGACAGCTGCAAACACTTCCCCACCATCACCTGCAGGGGGCGCAAGGGCTCCAGGAAGACAGGCCGCTCTACAGGACAAGTGAAGATCAGGGTAAACAACAGGACCCAGGACTAAACCAGGTCTGAACAAGGCTCTACGGACTAAACCAGGTATAAAGAATGTCATATGGACTAAACTAGCTCTGATTAGCTCTGAGCTTTGACTAGATTTAACCTTGTTTTATTTATGTACTTGTGCACACTGGGGACTTTTACAAATGTATTCCAGTGTGGTTTTAATGCAAATGGCACATAAAATAAATCTGAATCTGAAGGAACATATGGACTAAACTAGCTCTGAGAAGGAGCATATGGACCAAACTCTGAAAGCTCTGAAAAAAGGACCATATTGTAATTATAAAGTAATATTAAATGTTTTCTGTCCTTTATGCAGCCTTCTTACAACGCGGTTTCCCAGCAGAAGCCAATGTTCTGTCTGTGATCTCTAGAAAGAAAAAAGATAGTACTAGGTAGGTGTATTTTAAGACCCTGTTTCCTGCTGCTTTCATTTTCTGTTTCCCAGTAGAAGCCATTGTTCAGCCTCTACACTTATTCCCCAGTAGGTGGCACTGTAGTTTACCCAGCATGGTGACTGTGGCCTCGCATGAGTCACTTCCCACGCCGTTGTCGACCGTGGCGCCGTACAGTCCGGTAGCGTGCATCCGGTCAGCGTTCAGCACCTCTAAGATGGAGGAGGAGCCGCTGGTGTGCACGTTGTACTGGTACGAAGCCCAGATGGGTTTGTGGTCTTTGGTCCAGGACACGTGAGACGGAGGAGTCCCAGAAAAGGTCACCTCCAGACGGAGAGGTCTGCCCAGCTCAGAGGTCACATCCCGAAGACGTTTGATCAACCGGACAGGCTCTGAAGGCCCAAAGGACGGGAGAGAGACCAGAAAGAGAGACAAGAGACCAGAGAGAGCCCCGAGAGGAACCAGAAAGACCAGAGAGAGATCAGATAGAGACCAGAGAGCAAAGACCACAATGCCGTAATCACGTTAGAACAAGTTTACTCAGATCTGGATGGACCTCCTCTGCTCATGAAGAACCCTCACAGTCAAAAAAGTCTGTAGCTTTGAAAACTTGTGAATCCCGAAAAACCCCTTTTGATGGACCTCGGGTGTGTTTGATCTCTGAGGCTGTGAGTGACTCTCAAAGGCCCTTTCCCTGTCGCATGAAACCTGGGGCTGTCCCAGTGTAAGGACAAGAATGATGTAACAAACAGCTTTTCAGCTTTTATGTGGAACAAAGCTGTCGTCACATGTTTTTAAAGTAGTTGATAATTGGACGGACTCTCCAGGGTTGGTTTCAGTATCACTGCTGTGATCTGAATATAGATATTTATCTGTCAGTGTCCATCCGCAGCAAATATTCAAGACGTGAAACCCCACACTCACCGCGATTCGAAGGGTTTTAGATAAATTAGTAGAAAACTGAATTAGTAGATATTGGCAGCGTTAAAGAAGTACAGAGCAGCCTGTTCAGTAGAACTGGAAATATGTCTGTTTGGTTTTTCTGTTGAAACAATTCAGGATTTAATCAAGAAAAACTCACCTTTTGCTGATTCACAGATTTTTTGTGAAATTGTGCGGTTTTTCCAGCTGCTTCAACTTTACTCCAACATCCACAAGTCTCAGACCAACAACAGGTTTGATATCTGTAGTCTCTTGTGGTTGGAAAAGTCTATAAAGTTTGTGTGAGGATTTTACAGCCTTAAAACATACTGAGAGGAATTATTTAGAACACATCACCCCTGTCATAAACTGGAGACCAGTGTATTATATATTTGTACAGATGAGTTTGGCCAAAACATATAAAGCAGTGTGAATGGTCTTTGGAAGCACCAGGAGTGTAAGGAGGTTCTCCAGGAGCAGAGCAGGTACCGGTCACATCTTTGAGCATGTAAGATTTTCACCTCGGACATGGAGCATCACGCCTGTGCTCACGACCTCCCCGTCCTTCTGTAGGACACAGGTGATGTCACCGCTGTGGGACATCTGCACGTCTTGAAGGCTCAGGACGGTGAAGTCGTCCTTCACCGTGACCTCACATCCTGATCGTCCGTGATAAAACTCCTGAGAGCCGCAGAACCACCGCACCTTCACAGGGCGCTGGGCTTTGAATGAGGCGCTGAAGGATACAGACTTCCCAGGCAGGGTAACCACATCCTGAGGGGTGTGGATGAAGCAGATGGACTCTATGGCAAGACACGGTCGTGAAGAAGGTCAAAGATGTACGGGTTATGCTACACGACCACAGCTAAATCACAAACTAAGCCAAACTCTAAGACCCAAGACCTAAACTACAAGCAAAACCCAAAGACCTAAGACCTAAATCACGAACTACAAGCCAAACTCTAAGACCCACAACCTAAACCTTGTCCTGAGGGGTTTATGTGACAGTGATAAACGCTACGGCAAGACACAGTTATAAGGAAGGCAAATATGTGTGGGATAATTTACTAAACTGCAGCTAACTTTCTGAAGACGCATACCTGTGGTGTGGTGGTTAGTACCTGTCACTGTGAGCTTGCCGGTGCTCTGGCAGCTTCCTTCTGCATTAGTCGCGGTGCACACGTACACGCCGGCCTCAGCCGCGCTAACACTTGGCAGGGTGAGGCGACACGTGCCGTCGCTGAAGCTCGTGGTGCAGTTTGTTCCGGGTTGGACTTCCTGTCCGTTGTGAGTCCAGGTGACGGTCACCGGGGGCGACCCAGTCACCTTACAGACCAGCTCTGTAGAGCGGCCGCTCATCACCGACAGGTTACGCAGAGACCATAAGACCGAGGGCGGGGCGGCTCGGGCTGAGGCACAGAAGGCCGTGAGGGTCAAGAGTTTGAGACGAGAGAGAAAGAGAGAAAGCACCAGCCAGAGCTCTACAGGACTCTACAGAGGTATCAAGACTATACCAGGACTCTACTGGGGGACCAGGATTATTACAGGACTCTACAGGGTACCAGAACTCTCATAGAACTGACAAGTGCTAATCACTGCACCACTGTGTCACCCCAAACTTGGTTCCTGGCTCAGTAGTTGTGGAGTGTTTGGTGTCTGGAGTTGTGTACTTGGTTCCTAGATTTGTGTGCTTGGTTCCTGGCTCAGTAGAAGCTCTGGCTGGTACCACAGCTCCCCCTACAGACTGACCTGAGACAGTGACTTTGGTGTGGCTGCTTGATGAGCCCAGGGAGTTGGACACATGGAGCTGATAGTCCCCAGAGTCTGGTTGGTCCAGAGAGCGGATCTTCAGCACCGCGGTTCCTTTGCTGAAGCTGCTCTGGTACTTAGGGCCTGGCTTAAGTTCCACGTCACCCTTTGACCAGCGGGTCTTCAGTTCTGCTCCACTTACCTGTACTTCAATAGACAAACTCTCCCCAGCCTTTACAGACACAGATTCTGGCCAGTCCAGGACCTGAGGCGTCTCTGTGTCAGGGAGGATCGGGATTAGACTGAAGCTGAAACCGGGTATAGAGCAAAGACCGGGTATAGAACACAGGATAAGAACAGAGGGCCCCAGTGGCTCCGAGGGTTAGGGGCCAGCACAGTTGACCTCAGTTTAACGTCCAGAAAGGGATCAATAGAATGTATGACTTTACAATTGCGCTTAAGATGAAGATTACACAAAGAGAGAGACCACACTGTGTGAGGTTCTGCTGCTGTCAGACTGTACAATAAAACATGGATAGATACATATAGATACTTTATTGATCCCCCGTAGGAGAAGTTTAGATGTCCAGTCCAATGAAGACTGATGAACTCTGCCAACCTCACATTTTATGTATGTGCAATAATGGGCAATGTCAGAGTGCAATATGGACCATGGGTCCAGTGCAACACCACTGAGCACCTGAACCACAGATTTCCCTCAGTGTTCTGAGCTCTACACATACAAAAGGGGTGTCCAGACTTTTAGTCAGATGATTCAGACTGATCCAGAGGCTGGCGCCGACACAAACTTTTTAATGTGAGATATGACTCATGTCTGTAGTGATCCACTGCAGGTCTGAACCAGAACCAGGTCTGAGCTGGATCCTTGGAGCCACTGGGGTTGAACTCTGCTGTGTATAGTGTTGCCGTGGTTACACATGTTTGTGTACAACGTTGTGGTGGTTACACGTGTTTGTGTATAGTGTTGCCAAGGTTACATGTGTCTATTTAGTGTTGTAGTGGTTACAGGCATTTGTTAACAGTTTTGCCGTGGTTAAAGGCATTTGTTAACAGTGTTGCCGTGGTTACATGTGTTTGTGTACAGTATTGCTGGCGTTACAGAGTTGTATTTATAGCGTTGTTGTGGTTACAGATGTTTATATACATCATCGCCATGTTGCCGTGGTTACAAGTGTTTGTGTACAGACCTAGCACAGTCACGTTAGCGCTGCTTTCCATGACGCTGCCGTCGCTTGTCAGTCGGAGCGTGTACTTCCCCGCGCCGCCTGTCAGGGCTCGGGCCACACACAGTGAGGCCACGCCCTTCTCAAAGCTGATGCTGAGGTCAGGACCGTCCCGCAGGACCTGCCGACCATGCAGCCACGTGACATTCACAGGGGCGGAGCCACAGCGTACCGTGGCAACAAGTCTGAGCTCTTCACCGGAACGCACCGATTGGTCCACCAGGGGCTTCAGGAAAGAGGCGGGCTCTGAGAGAGGGGGGAGCCAGAAGGGCGGGGCGAAAAGTGAGAGGGGGCGGGACCAGAGGGGAGGGCGCGAGGCCAGAGATGAGAGGTCAGCTGTGAGCTCAGACAGATGCGGTCGTCAGACTGTAGAGGTTGTTACCTTTGAGCGACACCTTGACGCGGCAGATGTCACTGTCCACACGGTTGGACACTCTGCACTCATACACGCCCTCATCCTTTGGCTGGAGCGCCATCAAGTGGAGGGAGGCGGAGCTGCCCTCTGTCACTGTGCGGTACTTCAGGCCGTCCACCAGGGGGCGTCTGTCCTTGTACCAGCTCACAGTCAGAGGAGGAGAGCCACAGAAGTCTGTGTGCAGACTCAAATCCCTGCTCACCAGGCCCTGCACTGCCGCCGGCGCTTTGGTGAAGCTCGGGGGCTCTGCAAGTCCAGGAGGCGCGGTTAGACTGGTTTTAAACCGTTTTGGCCCGGTTTGGCCTGGTTCAGACATGCTGGTCCATGACGTAGACGCCGAGCAGCATGCATAGTTTTTCAGATTCAGAGGCTTCATGCTAAACGTTACATTTAACTCTTGTGTCTGTGTAAACATGTGACATCACACAGCTGAACATGCAACTTTACAGCGGATCATGTGACAGTTCTCCTTAATGAACCGGACTGAGCAAACGTGGTTGAAGAACCGAAGATCCTCCCACACGTGACATCACAACACAATCACATCCTCATCATGACATCATCACCATGGCATCATCATCACAGCATCATCACGATGTCTTCATGACCTCATGCACAACTCTGACGTTCAAACGTGTTCACAAGATCTCCATCAACTGCACCACAGACTGTAGAGTGGACTGACCCCGTGGAGATCTACAGGCTCTGTGAGGATTAGAGCTGACTCTACAGGCTCTGTGAGGATTAGAGCTGACTCTACAGGCTCTGTGAGGATTAGAGCTGACTCTACAGGCTCTGTGAGGCTTAGAGCTGACTCTACAGGCTCTGTGAGGCTTAGAGCTGACTCTACAGGCTCTGTGAGGATTAGAGCTGACTCTACAGGCTCTGTGAGGATTAGAGCTGACTCTACAGGCTCTGTGAGGATTAGAGCTGACTCTACAGGCTCTGTGAGGCTTAGAGCTGACTCTACAGGCGCTGTGATTCACTCAGGGGCTGGATTCTGCGGCCAATTTCTGGGTGGCGATGACCTAGCAACCAAAGAGCCAATGACTTAGTGCATATTTTTACATGAGAACAGAGCCAAATGTGACAGAGGTCACTCTGTTTACAGTCTATGGGCCACACTCATGCGCAGTACGCATTCAACACGTGGTTGTGAACACATGACCCCCACACAATCCCAAGGCTCGCCCCCTCCCTGCACTCAAATCCCCCTCACCCCCCTCAATCGCCCCCCCAGACTGGCCCTGACCTTGCACATAGAGTGTGCAGCTGCACTTGGTCAGGCCCGCTCGGTTGGTGACCTCGCAGGTGTAGACCCCGGCGTCCTGGAGGGTCGTGGTCTTCAGTTGCAGAAATGCCGTGGCGTCCAGCAGCGCCACACGGCAGTTCCCTCCGTCTGACACCGGCGCAGCGTCTTTAAACCAGCGTACGGACACACCGCGCCCACACCGCAGCGCGCACTCAAACCTGACCCCCTCACGCTGTTTCACATACATACAGGCCGCCATCTTCTGCCTGAAGACAGGGGGCGCTGTGGAGAAGAGGGACAGAGGGAGGAGTCAGGGAGGAGTTAGAGGCAGAGGGAGGAGTCAGGGACAGATAGCGGACGTTTGACTCAAGTGTAAAAAAAGGGTCGATCCAGAGAAAGTTTCTACAAAAAAAGACTCAAGAACAGACGACGTAAAAATGGAGACAGAGACATGAAGACGCACAGGACAAAGAGGACGCAGAACTTCTCATTCCTGATGTTTTGAACCCGTTTGGCCGTGTCCCGGACGGTTCAGTACAGAAACACAGTCTTCAGTGTTTTGTGGTCTCTCAGTGGTGTTTATGTCCAGTGCTCCTGGAGATGAAGACGGTGTTGTTTTTATTAAATGTCTATTATCACTTTTATTACACATGTTTTTATGATCACATTTATTTCAGACGTGAAACTTACTTCTTAATTAGAATTTAACTGCCACCACTTACCTGCGCTCACAGATGTGGATCATAGAGACGCACCAGAGACAGAAACATTCTACAGTCACATCCTGGTACTACATATACTACTGTTATTACTGTTACTGTTATTGTTGTGTTGTCTTGTTTTTCACAGATGGTGAAGTTAGCACTAATTTTAGTTAATTAGTTTAAGTGTTAATAACATCTTCGGGTTAATTCAAGAGCAGCAGTGTGAGTTTAGCAGAAGCTCGAGGACTGAGGAGTTTGAACGCAAAACCCACGTAAAGAACGAGGATCGAGATCAACGATTTATGGGACAGCAACTTTACAGGAGAAAGACCAGACAACAATGAAACCAGACTAGAAGAAAAACCACAGACAAAACATAGACTAAAACAAAGACCAGAGACCAGAGAGATCAAGGACCAAAGGACCAGAGACCAAACATGGACTAGTACTAGGACCAGAAAACACAGACCTGAAGACCACAGTCAACCAATACATGAAGAAACCAGCGAGAGGTCAGAGGTCATACGAACATGTGACCAGCGACAGGTCAGAGGTAATTCAAACAGCAAGTTCACAGCTTTAAAAACGAGTTGTACTTACCGTGACAAACAGATCAAAAAAACATTGCAGAGAGGTTGAAACAGCATTTTAAATAATCAACAAAACCAGCAGCAGTAAAAACATCAGAACCAGAGATTCAACCAGGTCCCAAGAAGACTGGACCAGGACCAGGAACACAGATGCAGAGTTCCAGGTCTCAGAGCCTTTGAACCGAGAAGCAGGAAATCTCAACAACAGCTTCAAAAGACGTGTTCAAAACAGCAAAAAAACTGCAAACTCAGACAAAACCAAACAAGACAAGACCAGGACAGAGACAGGACAGAGACAGAGACAGGACAGACACAGTAGACAGGACAGAGACAGGACAGGACAGACACAGTAGACAGGACAGAGACAGGACAGGACAGAGACAGGACAGGACAGAGACAGAGACAGGACAGAGACACAGAGACAGACACAGAGACAGAGACAGGACAGAGACAGAGACAGGACAGACACAGACACAGAGACAGAGAGAGAGACAGGACAGAGACACAGAGACAGAGGACATCATCAGTTTGAGGGTGTGTACGTGACTGTGTTTGTTCAGACCAGCCCCTACAGAAACCACAGCTGTGTCTTTAAACATGAAAATTGCACTAGAGACAGAGTAAGTTCACTTTATAACTCTAACGTTTGCAATGACTTCTCCAAATCCATTTAATCAATGCTTTTTTACAAATGTAACCCAGACCTGATAGAACAACTCAGTCCCAAAGCTCTTCATATGAGATTACAATTGTCTACAACTTTTCCAGATTTTCCACTTTATTCAGAAGTTCAGTTCAGTTAAATTCCACCACAACAACTGAATTCCATGTTTAGAATATCCTGGAGTGTTCCTAGAAGAGCATTTTTGTTCTGTCGCAATATTCCAGGATATTCTGGAGACTTTTCTGACAATTTACAAGGAACCTGAGACGACACAGCGAGGAAACCAACAAGATCCTTCTGGAAAGATACTGTGAACCCAAACACTTGGCTGTGTGTGTGTGTGTGTGTGTGTGTGTCCTTTATTTGTCCCACACATTTCAGATGTGTATGTGCATGTGTGTGTGGTGTGTATGCATGTGTGTTATATGTATGTGTATATATTAGGGTTGTCAAAATTATAGCGTTAACGCACATTAACTACATTTTTTCATTAATGAAAGACCCGCCCATGTATCCCATAATATCACTCAGCATGTCGCGGATACATGCGTGTGTCCATGGCAACAGAGCAGCTCTCTGGGGATTTAGGTTTTAAAAGAATATGCGCGTGACTTGCTGTTGTTTGCTGTATGAACTGAAGTCCGCCTCCTCCGTGGCCACAGCGTTCTGACCCGGGGCAGCTGCGGCCACTCTGGACAGCTGTGCCCACCTGTGAGCCGCAAACAACAACACGGCGATCCAAGACCATACACACACTGAACTATTGCATGTTGTGTGTCTTTGTGTTGCGTGTCTTTGTGTGACCTGTGCAAATACACTTCTGAAGCTGAACTACGGAGCCTCAGGGAGTGTCGTGTCTCCTCCTGAAACGCCACTAAACTCGCTAAATTAAAGCTGGGGTTCGTACATTTTCCCGTTCATTAACAGCTCATGTTGGTTGCGCCCAAAAGTAAAAGGTTGTGGATCAAACAGACTTTAGTACATTTGGTCTGAATGACAATGTGTAACATTTGATCATCTCATTTCACTTCCATTGGAGTGGATTTGATTAGAATGTTAAAAATGCCATTAATTGTGAGTTATCTCACCATTTCTATGCGATTTATCACTAAAACATTTTAATCGTTTGACAGCCCTAATATATATGAATGTGTGTGTGTACATGTATATTAGGGGCTGGTGCTATGTGAGTTGGGTGGATATGTATGTATGTTATATGTCCATATGTGTGTGTGTGTGTGTTGTTCGTATACAGTATGTGTATGTGTGTGTGTGTGTGTTGTTCGTATACAGTATGTGTATGTGTGGTATATGTACAGTATATATGTGTGTGTGTGTGTGTTGTTCGTATACAGTATATGTGTGTGTGTGTGTTGTACAGTATATATGTATGTGTGTGTGTGTGTTGTACAGTATATATGTGTGTGTGTGTGTGTGTTGTACAGTATATATGTATGTGTGTGTGTGTGTTGTACAGTATATATGTATGTGTGTGTGTGTGTTGTACAGTATATATGTGTGTGTGTGTGTGTGTGTTGTTCGTATACAGTATATGTGTGTGTGTGTTGTACAGTATATATGTGTGTGTATGTGTGTGTTGTACAGTATATATGTATGTGTGTGTGTGTGTTGTTCGTATACAGTATATGTGTGTGTGTGTTGTACAGTATATATGTGTGTGTTGTACAGTATATATGTATGTGTGTGTGTGTGTTGTTTGTATACAGTATATGTGTGTGTGTGTTGTACAGTATATATGTATGTGTGTGTTGTACAGTATATATGTATGTGTGTGTGTGTGTTGTTCGTATACAGTATATGTGTGTGTGTTGTACAGTATATATGTGTGTGTATGTGTGTGTTGTACAGTATATATGTGTGTGTATGTGTGTGTTGTACAGTATATATGTATGTGTGTGTGTGTGTGTGTTGTACAGTATATATGTATGTGTGTGTGTGTGTTGTACAGTATATATGTATGTGTGTGTGTGTGTGTGTTGTACAGTATATATGTATGTGTGTGTGTGTGTGTTGTACAGTATATATGTATGTGTGTGTGTGTGTGTGTTGTACAGTATATATGTGTGTGTGTGTGTTGTACAGTATATATGTATGTGTGTGTGTGTGTTGTACAGTATATATGTGTGTGTGTGAGTGTGTTGTACAGTATATATGTATGTGTGTGTGTGTGTTGTACAGTATATATGTATGTGTGTGTGTGTGTTGTACAGTATATATGAATGTGTGTGTGAGTGTGTGTGGGATCCATCGCACACAGAACACACACAGATGACCGACCTGTCACGTGGAGCTGCATCTCGGCTCTGCTCACGCCGCTGCGGTTCCGCGCCTCGCACACGTATGTTCCCGTGTGTGCGACCTGCGCGTCCCGCACACTCAGCACCGCACACCTGCTGTCCACACTGCTCTTAAAATGGCCGCTGTCCGTGAGCTCAGCGCCATCTTTGGTCCAAATGAAGGACAGCGGCAAAGACCCAGAGACCGAGACCCTGAGGCTAAGGTCCGAGCCCAATGCAGAGCTCACATCCTGGGGGTAATCCTCGAAGACTGGGGGGTCTGGAGGGGCAGGGCAGGGGTCAGAGGGGACAAGACTGAGCCTGGTCTCAAGAGGACTGAACAGGACTGAAGCAGTTTTATAGAGGTCAGTGAGGACTGAAGCAGGACTAAAGAGGACTGAAGCAGGATTGAGGCAGAACTAAAGAGGTCTACAGAGAACTGAGGCAGGTCTAATGCAGGACTGAAAAGGACTAAAGAGGACAGAAGCAGGACTAGATGACTGAAGCAGGACTTTATCAGCAGGACTAAAGAGGACTGAAGCAGGATTGAGGCAGGACTAAGTGGTCTACAGAGAATTGAGGCAGGTCTAATGCAGGACTGAAGAGGACTAAAGAGGAATGAAGGGTCTAAACCAGGTCTAAATAGTGAAGCCGTACACCCACCTGAGATGGTCACATGACTCTCACAGCTGGCCTCTCCGACCTGATTGGTCAGCTGCACTCGGTATGCACCACTGTCTGTGCAAGTGCAGTCGCAGACGCGCAGACGCACTGTGCCATCGCGCACTGTGAGTGTGCGGCGTTTGTCTGCGCGCTGCAGCTTCTCATTCACAAAGAAACTCAGTTCAAAAGGTTCAGTGCCCGAGACCCGAGCCTCAAGGTCCAGCACAGACCCAGAGGAGGCCTCGACCGGACTGAAGGGGTGGGTGAAGACAGGGGGCGCTATGGAGACAGAGGATCATAGTAACACACTCTATAGCACACACACACACACACACAGACACACACACACACACACACACACATACATACACACAGACAGGGCCTGAAGACAAGGGCCGCTATGGAACAGGTACTGTATGTGAATAACCTCTGAACAGTGTTTAAAGCTGGGATATGTAACTTTCTGATCCATTTAAACAATAGAATAAATATATGTATATGTAATACAATCCTCAAGTTGGCTCTAAAACAGCTCTAAACCAGTTCAGGACCACTTCAGGACCAGTCTAGAACGAGCACTGGACCAGGACTAACCTTGCACACACAGGTTGCAGCTGCTGCGGTCCGCTCCACTCTCATTGTTGGCTTCACACTCATAAAGCCCAGAGTCTCCCTCCTCACAGCACTCTACGGTCAGAGATGCCAAAGTCCCATCGAAGCTCGTAGTCCGGTTTTGATCCGGGACTAACTCTGACCCATCCTTGAACCAGGTTATTGTAGAAACAGAGCCCTGGATTTTACAGGACAGAGTGAGGCCAGTACCGGCCTGGACCAAGCGCTCTGGGTCCAGTTTGAGAGAAAAGCGAGGGCATTCTGAAGAGTCAAAGACCAGGTTAGACTGAAGGGCTAAAGCAGGTCTAAAGCAGGTCCATACCAAATCTAAAGCAGGTCTAGAACTGGTCTTTACCAGGTTTAAAGCAGGTCTGAATCAGGTCTAAAGCCTCACCTTGCACGCTGAGGGCACAGCTGCACAGGCTCTTGCCGCCCTCGTTGGACACCTGACAGGTGTAAGAGGCAGTGTCCGCGGGCCTCACGTTGTGAAGCTCTAAACTGGACCAGGACTGGTCTCTTTTGATCAGGGCTTTGGGCCCAGAGAAAACCTCTCTCTGCTCCCTGAACCACTTGACAACCAGGGGGCAGGAGCCACAGAACTCTGCCCTCAAGACCACATCTGAGCCTGGCCTCGGGCTGAGCTGAGGAGGAGGGGTCAGCGAGAACACGGGAGGCTCTAGGTCGCCACGGATATGAGAGACAGAGTCAGAGGTCACCACAGATATGACAGAGGTGGTCAGTCCTCTGGTCTCTCTCTCTGGTCAGTCCACTGGTCAGTCTCTGGTCAGTCTCTGGTCTCTCTCTGGTCAGTCTCTGGTCTCTCTCTGGTCAGTCTCTGGTCTCTCTCTCTGGTCAGTCTCTGGTCTCTCTCTCTGGTCAGTCTCTGGGTCTCTCTCTGGTCAGTCTCTGGTGTCTCTCTCTGGTCAGTCTCTGGTCTCTCTCTGGTCAGTCTCTGGTCTCTCTCTCTGGTCAGTCCACTGGTCAGTCTCTGGTCTCTCTCTCTCTGGTCAGTCTCTGGTCTCTCTCTCTGGTCGGTCCACTGGTCAGTCTCTGGTCTCTCTCTGGTCAGTCTCTGGTCTCTCTCTCTCTGGTCAGTCTCTGGTCTCTCTCTCTGATCAGTCCTCTGGTCAGTACTCAGGTCAGTCGTCAGTCCTCACACCTGTGACGCAGAGCTGGCCCCGGCTCTCCTCGGTTCCTGCCTGGTTGGTGACCTTACAGACGACCTCTCCAGCGTCTGTCATGTTTAACCCTTTGATGGTGAGTGAGGCGGTGTTATCACTGAACTCCACACAGACGCGGTCATGTGTCGTGACCTCAGCTCCGTCTCTGAGCCATGTGACAGTCAGCGGCTGAGACCCAGCCACACGGCACTCCATCACCGCAGCGCCACCTACAGGCGCAGCCACGCGCTGCAGTGGCTTCGTGAAAGAGGGAGGTACTGCACGGTCTGAGGGCCGAGAGGCGGACAGCACAGTGGTCACTTACACGGCAACAGAAAACTGAAGCAGGACTAAAACAGGTCTAAAAGAGAACTGAAGCAGGACTAAAACAGGTCTAAAAGAGGACTGAAGCAGGGCTAAAACAGGTCTAAAAGAGAACAGAAGCAGGACTAAAACAGGTCTAAAAGAGGACTGAAGCAGGGCTAAAACAGGTCTAAAAGAGGACTGAAGCAGGACTAAAACAAGTCTAAAAGAGGACTGAAGCAGGACTAAAACAGGTCTAAAAGAGGACTGAAGCAGGACTAAAACAGGTCTAAAAGAGGACTGAAGCAGGTCTAAAACAGGTCTAAAAGAGGACTGAAGCAGGACTAAAACAGGTCTAAAAGAGGACTGAAGCAGGACTAAAACAGGTCTAAAAGAGAACTGAAGCAGGACTAAAACAGGTCTAAAAGAGGACTGAAGCAGGGCTAAAACAGGTCTAAAAGAGGACTGAAGCAGGACTAAAACAAGTCTAAAAGAGGACTGAAGCAGGACTAAAACAGGTCTAAAAGAGGACTGAAGCAGGACTAAAACAGGTCTAAAAGAGGACTGAAGCAGGTCTAAAACAGGTCTAAAAGAGGACTGAAGCAGGTCTAAAACAGGTCTAAAAGAGGACTGAAGCAGGTCTAAAACAGGTCTAAAAGAGGACTCAACAGGTCTAAAAGAGCACTGAAGAAGGACAAAAGCAGGTCTAAACGAGCACTGAAGCAGGACTAAAATAAATCTAAAGCAGGTCTAAAAGAGGACCGAAGCAGGTCTTAAACTGGACTAGGACAGGACTGCAGCAGGATCACAGTAGGGGCGCTGACAGGCTGCACTGCTCTGGTCCTGTCTTAAACATAACTACAGGATACATACAGTATGTGTACAGTATAGATGTGTCCCTACAGTATGGCTACAGTATATATATTTGGTACTGACCGCTGACAGACAGGCTGCAGCTGCTCTGGTCCTTCCCGACCTGGTTCCAGACCTCCAGCCGGTACTCTCCAGAGTCGGCAGTCTCTGTGGACAGGACTTTGAGCAGAGCCATTTGTCCGCGGACACTGGGCTTATATTTACGGCTCTGTTGCAGCTCTTTCTCGTCTTTAAACCACTGTGTGTGGAGCTCGGGGCTGCCGCTCACCGTGCACTGCAGCGTGCACGTGTCGCCCGCGGTTACACTGATGGACGCGGCTTTGTCCAGCACACGAGCCGGCTCTGTTTGAGGGAGAGCAGGTCATGTGACGTTAGGGAGGAAAGAGCTGAAGCATTGTTAGAAAGTAACTGAGCCTCTCATAGCAACTTCGCAGCAACCAGAGAGCCAATCAGGAGGCTGCTCCTCTACACTAGAGCGGGTCACTCCAGTCTGTATCTACAATGTTTAAGTTCACACACAGGTCAGAGGTCATGGTGATGTCATACTTCAGATATAATCAATAAACTCATCATTGGTGTTTGTTGGAGCCAGTTCTTGACAAATAAAGAGGACAGACTGATCCACCCTCTGAGAGAAGGAAAGGTTCCACAGGTCTTTCCTTCTGCTGCTGTCAGACTGTACAACAAGACCTGCTGAGTCTGTACAGGTCATTACTCCGTCAATCCTTCAGGTTACTCTTATTTATGTTTTAACATGCGATTATCCTTGAGCTGCTCTGGAGCAATCTCTCACATGCGTCTCATGCAAGGCGGCCCAGGAATTTACAGGAACTGGAGGCTGTTTGCCAAGAATTTATCCTTTATAAATTCAAAAATATATATATTGTACGAACTTAGAAATAATATGGGTCCCAGTGTTGAACCTTGAGGAACCCCTGATCACTCATACAAAAACTGTTACTGAGCTATAAGTATACTTTTACATGTGAGTCAAAAGGAGCCAGAGAGAGGAGCCACACTTCACCATGAGCACCTTCCTAGCTAGCAAGTTAGCATTGAGCTAGCGGGTTAAGTACATTTATATACATATTATGACTGAAAGTGGCGGACATGTTTCTGTTGTAATTACAGTATATGAAAGGGTTGAGGTTAGGAAATGGCTTCAACAAACACTAACGCTAAATAAACAGTGTTTTTGTTTCATAATTTTTGAAATGTTGACGTCCAGCACATGGGCGTTTACAGAGATATTTATTCCAGATTGAGGAACGTTTTCAGATTACAGGGTCCAAACTGAGGACTGGTCTCAGACTACAGGGTCCAGGCTGAGGACCGGTCACAGACTACAGGGTCCAGGCTGAGGACCGGTCACAGACTACAGGGTCCAGACTGAGGATTGATCAGTACCTTGCACGGTCAGCTGTGCCTCGCCCTTGGCCTGACCCGCCTCGTTCTGCACCACGCAGCTGTATTTGCCGGCGTGCTTCAGCTCGGTGCGGGAAAACAAAATGGAGGCTGTATTGTTGTTGAAGCTCATGGTCACGTCCGGGTCGTCGTCGCGCAGCAGCTCCGAGTCTTTCAGCCATTGAACCGTGAAGGGGGCGGTGCCTTTGACCACAGCCTGAAGCTTAGCCGCCTCCCCCATCACCACGGTAACACTCTCCAGGCGCTTAGAGAACATAGGGGCTTCTACAGGACGGAAGCAGAGGGTGAGACAATCCACCCGACAAGAGGGAGAAGAGCCTCCCTGAAGATGTGTGTATGTATATGTGTATATGTGTGTATGTGTATGTGTATATGTGTGTATGTGTTGTTGTCCAGGACTTCCTTGAAAGAGGATCTTAATTAAATTGGACTTTCCTGGTTAAATAAAATTGGAAAATGTATGTGTGTATATTTGTGTATGTGTATATTTGTGTATGTATGTGTATATTTGTGTATATGTGTACATCTGGTCAGGGTTAGGGGAGACGTCACCTTTCTGGCGCACACTGGCCGAGCCGGACACGGAGCCCACCTCGTTGGTCACCACACACTCGTAGTCTCCGGAGTCCGCGCTCTCGAAGCTGCGGATCTCCAGAGACGAGTGAGCGCCCACACTCACGATGTGGACCTTCTGATCTGACACCAGCCGTTTCTTGTCCTTCCTCCAGGACACGTCAAAGGGAGGAGACCCAGAGAGGGAGCAGTCCAACCGGGCCACAGCACCACGGACCGCATCCACAGGCTGCGGAGGGGCCAGGAAGGCTGGGGGCTCTGAGAGACCAGGAACCGTTAGGATCAAGACCACGGAAACCAGGTCTACAGGACTATTAGGACTACTAGGACTACTAGGACTAGAGGACTACAGAACCAGGACTAGGGTTAGAGACTACAGAACCAGGACTAGATCTAAAGACTACAGAACCAGGACTAGATCTAAAGACTACAGAACCAGGACTAGATCTAAAGACTACAGAACCAGGACTATAGCAACAGACTACAGAACCTCTGAATTAGAGCCTGAAGACTGGTTGAATCCGAGTGAGTCGTTACCTTTGACGGAGACCCTGGTGCTGCACAGCTCGGAGCCGCTGTCGTTCTGCACTTCGCAGCTGTATGTTCCACTGTCAGACAGCGCCACCTGCTGCAGCTGCAGAGAGCCTACACCGTCTTTAAAGCTCATGGAGGTTCTGTGGTCAGCTTTGATCTCTGTGTCGTTACAGAACCACAGAACTCTCAGTTCGGGGGAGCCGCTGACACAGCACTGCAGCCGAGCAGTGGCACCCTGCTTCCACAAGGTGGCGCTCTCCAAGCGTTTGACGAACACTGGGGGCTCTACACAAACGTGGGACGAGTGAGGAAGCAAACAGAAGCAGCTCTGTACAGAGCTGAGCAGATGTTCACTACGACTGGTAAACAAGACTGAAGAAACTAAAGATGGATTTCCACAAAAGTAAAACATGCAGTAAAAGTAGTGAACTATGGTTCTGAGGACAGATGGTACGAGGCCCGAAGTAAATATGTGTCTAATATACATACATGTAAAAAATATATATAGATATATAGATATACTGTATATTCATGTATAAAAGTACAGAAAGAGGGGGTTCAAAGATCAACATGAAACAAGTGAACGAGACATAAAGACATAGAAGTGAAAGAGTGAAGCACTGAAGAGTTGAGCCTAATAAAGACTCTTAAGAAGCAGCAGCGGAGCGTTGGCCTTAAGCTCTTACCTTGCACTTTGACCTGGCAGCAGCACAAGGCGCTGCCCGCCTCGTTGCTCACTGTACATGTGTATTCTCCACAGTCCTTCATGGAGCTTTTTAGGACGGTCAGGGAGACCGTCTTCCTCTCAAAGGACAGTTTACAGTCCGGAGACTGGTGCACTCTACGTGAGTCTCTGGTCCAGACCACACTGAGGCCTCTGTCCTCATTCACCACACACTGCAGGGAGAGCGGAGACCCCACCGCTGCCAATACAGTGCCCCCAAGAGGCTGTAGAAACCTGGGCACCTCCACCACAGTCTGCTCCACTTGGGAACTGTGTGGTTTAGTCCCATAGGGGGCACTCTCCTCTACGGTCACAGACACAAAGATTCACAGAGTCAAACAGTTACAGAGACACAGACACAAGAGTCACAGAGTGAAAGAACAGGAGCAGAACATGCATCAGGAGCAGACAGAACCGGACTGAGAGGAACCAGCTCTGGAGCCCTGACCCCAAAAGTATCTGATATTCACCCATGAACCAGGATCCTTCAAACCTTGACTTTGAAAACCACATCTGAACATTTGTGAAACTGTCATCAAAACTGCTTCATGTGAAACTCTTACCTTTTCAACAGAAAATCTGGTTCAAATAAAAACAAGAAAACTGTCCAGGACCTGATCTAGCGTCGAACTGATCAAACAAACCGAGACAAACGTGTCTCAAACTGAGGAGAGCGTCATACAGCACACACTCAGACATCATAGTGGACGTCTTTAACCACAGCTGCTCACACTCATACATCTGGCTTTGTCACCGTCACCGTCAGGGTCTCAGCGTCTCGTACCTGTGATACTCAGCTCTGCGGCGCACTCATCAGCTCCGTGCTGATTGGACGCCTTGCAGGTGTACTCGCCGGCGTCCTCTTTGGCGGCACAGAGCACCTCCAGGGAGGAGGAGGTGACACGGCTGAGAATGCGCAGACGCTCGCTCTCCTTCAGCTGCTTCCCGCCTTTGAACCAGCGGAAGTTTACATTGGGGGCGGCCTCTGTCTCACACTCAAACTTGGCAGAGTTCCCCAGGTTTATTTCCACTGGAGAAATACGGTGACGGAACACAGGTTTCACTGAAGAAGACAGAAGAAGGAAGTCAGAGAGAGAAGCCGGAGAGAAACAGACCAGGAAGAAGGAAGCAGGAGAGGGCAAAGAGAGAGAGACCAGGAAGAAAGAAAAGGGAGAGACCAGGAAGAAGGAAGAGGGAGAGACCGGAGAGAGAGAGACCAGGAAGAAGGAAGCAGGAGAGGGCAAAGAGAGAGAGACCAGGAAGAAGGAAGAGGGAGAGGCCGGAGAGAGAGAGACCAGGAAGAAGGAAGCTGGAGAGGGCAAAGAGAGAGAGACCAGGAAGAAAGAAAAGGGAGAGACCAGGAAGAAGGAAGAGGGAGAGACCGGAGAGAGAGAGACCAGGAAGAAGGAAGCAGGAGAGGGCAAAGAGAGAGAGACCAGGAAGAAGGAAGAGGGAGAGGCCGGAGAGAGAGAGACCAGGAAGAAGGAAGCAGGAGAGGGCAAAGAGAGAGAGACCAGGAAGAAGGAAGAGGGAGAGACCGGAGAGAGAGAGACCAGGAAGAAGGAAGCAGGAGAGGGCAAAGAGAGAGAGACCAGGAAGAAGGAAGCAGGAGAGGGCAAAGAGAGAGAGACCAGGAAGAAAGAAAAGGGAGAGACCAGGAAGAAGGAAGAGGGAGAGGCCGGAGAGAAACAGACCAGGAAGAAGGAAGCAGGAGAGGGCAAAGAGAGAGAGACCAGGAAGAAGGAAGAGGGAGAGACCGGAGAGAGAGAGACCAGGAAGAAAGAAAAGGGAGAGACCAGGAAGATGGAAGAGAGAGAGGCTGAAGAGGGAGTGACCAGGAAGTAGAGAGACAGTTTAGGATGAAGATATGTGGAACAAAAATTCTGAGACATAAAACTACAAATGATCTGAACGAGTGATTACCCTCTACCTACTGAATCCAGGTTAGACCCTATCAAAGGTCTAACCTGGACTAAACGTGGACCCAGTAAGGGGCAGGGCCAGAGGTCTAATAAGGACTAAACTGGGGTCTGATTCCACATATCTTCATGTACTGGAGGCTGATGGATGGAAGGATCATGGGCTGAAACAGGAGCAGAATCATGGAAGTGGAAAGGGTTAATCTGGTTCTGTTGAAGGAGGTGGAGATGAGAAGAAAAGTGATTTAAAACAATGGGAAGAAAAGTGTGTTAGAAGCTCTCAGCTGAAGGGTGGGTCTGCTGAGGTCTGCAGAGGTGAGATGGACCAGAGCTCGGCTGGATCCTCTGGGATGAAGGAGTGGAATGTGGGGGGCAGCTGTGGAAACCTCAGAGCTCTTTATGTGTTTGTGAATCCTATTCTATTCTTTTCACTTTTTGAGTGATCCTATTTATGCCAAATGTGACGTGTAAATTGTGAGATCAATAAAGCTTAATCTAATCCTATCTATAGTCCTATAGTTTCACCTGCATAAGATAAGATTTAATAAGAAAGGTGTAAACCCTCTCTTTGTCTCTCTCTGGTCTCTCTCTAGTCTTTCTCTAGTCTCTCTCTGGTCTCTCTCGAGTCTCTCTCTGGTCCCTCTCTAGTCTTTCTCTGGTCCCTCTCTGGTCTCTCTCTGGTCTCTCTCTGGTCTCTCTCTGGTCTCTCTCTGGTCTCTCTCTAGTCTCTCTCTGGTCTCTCTCTGGTCTCTCTCTGGTCTCTCTCTAGTCTCTCTCTGGTCTCTCTCTGGTCTCTCTCTAGTCTCTCTCTAGTCTCTCTCTAGTCTCTCTCTAGTCTCTCTCTAGTCTCTCTCTAGTCTCTCTCCGGTCTCTCTCTGGTCCCTCTCTAGTCTCTCTCTGGTCCCTCTCTGGTCCCTCTCTAGTCTCTCTCTGGTCCCTCTCTGGTCCCTCTCTGGTCTCTCTCTAGTCTCTCTCTAGTCTCTCTCTAGTCTCTCTCTAGTCTCTCTCTGGTCCCTCTCTAGTCTCTCTCTAGTCTCTCTCTAGTCTCTCTCTAGTCTCTCTCTAGTCTCTCTCTGGCCTCTGAGGTTTCCACATGCTGCTGTTAGGGTCTGGTGAATCACTGGATCAGAACCTGTCGACGTCACGCTGAGCCGCGCCCGCATCTGCACGGCGCCGCTGCGGCTACGCGCCTCCATCATCACGTCTCTGCTGCGTTTGTTCACGTTCAGGATCTCCAACCTGAACGTGTCTTTGTCTCTGTCGCTGCGCAGCCCTCGGCCCGGCGTCACCACAGGCCCGTCCACAAACCACACGGCCTCAGTTACATTCCTGACCGTGCACTGGAACACCGCGGCGCCGTGTTCCTCTGCGCACACGTCACGCAGCGGCTCTACCACCACTGGGGAGTCTGTCTGTGACTCTACAATCACCGAGGAGTCTGTCTGTGACTCTACGATCAGCAGGGAGTCTGTCTGTGACTCTACGATCACCGAGGAGTCTGTCTGTGACTCTACGATCACCGAGGAGTCCTGTCTGTGACTCTACGATCACCGGGGAGTCTGTCTGTGACTCTACGATCACCGGGGAGTCTGTCTGTGACTCTACGATCACCGGGGAGTCTGTCTGTGACTCTACGATCACCGGGGAGTCTGTCTGTGACTCTACGATCACCGGGGAGTCTGTCTGTGACTCTACGATCACCGGGAGTCTGTCTGTGACTCTACGATCACCGGGGAGTCTGTCTGTGACTCTACGATCACCGGGGAGTCTGTCTGTGACTCTACGATCACCGGGGAGTCTGTCTGTGACTCTACGATCACCGGGGAGTCTGTCTGTGACTCTACGATCACCGAGGAGTCTGTCTGTGACTCTACGATCACCGGGGAGTCTGTCTGTGACTCTACGATCACCGGGGAGTCTGTCTGTGACTCTACGATCACCGGGGAGTCTGTCTGTGACTCTACGATCACCGGGGAGTCTGTCTGTGACTCTACGATCACCGGGGAGTCTGTCTGTGACTCTACGATCACCGGGGAGTCTGTCTGTGACTCTACGATCACCAGGGAGTCTGTCTGTGACTCTACGATCACCGGGGAGTCTGTCTGTGACTCTACGATCACCGGGGAGTCTGTCTGTGACTCTACGATCACCGGGGAGTCTGTCTGTGACTCTACGATCACCGGGGAGTCTGTCTGTGGCTCGAGCGTTTCACCGATCATCACGGCCTGAGAGAGGAACGCCTCACTGTCACGCGGCTCTAACGCCTGCATCGGTCTTTCTGCTTCCTTTGCGGTTTGAAACATCACCTCTGTCTCTGTTCTGAGCCCTGCTTTAGCCACATGTGTGCGCGCTAACGTCACTGCACTCTCCCCGACCGTCAGCTCGCTCACTACAGTCGACTGCACCTGTGTGGGACTCGTCTGCGCGCTGACGTTGGCTGTTTGTGGTTTGTTCTCAGCGGCAGCTGGACACGGTTCTTCTGCGGTTAAACTTTGCTGATCGCGGCACAGGAGAGCGTGCAGTGCCACCTGCAGTTCGGCCTTCAGCTCGGCCTGTTGTGGGTAATGACCGTCTAGAGTGAGCATGATCTCGATGGGGTTTCCTGGAGTGGTGATGAGGTATGACAGCGCCGCGTGCTTGGGCTGCTTGGTAATGCGCACTTCCTGTATCGCGGTGGGTTTGATCTGGTTTAGGACGTCTGCAAACAGGACGCGCTGCTCCTGCGCCACAGCAGAGCGCAGCGCGTCCCTGACCTGTCGCTTCAGGTTCCCGCTGCTCGCTTGGGGCACCTGCACATGGAAATGCAGCTCTTTGGGCAGCGCTGGCGAGTCTCGAGTCTCGGGCACAAAAAGGAGCTCTCTCTTCTGCTGCAGTGCGCTCACGGTTTGAGCCACAGACACGCGGATCTCCTCTGACGTCTCTCCGACAAGGACCTGTCGCTGCTCTGACACCACAGAGCGCCTCAGCTCTTGTCCCTCCTGGATTCTAAAGGCACAATCCTGCTCCGCTGCTTCTAATGCTGCGCAGCTCTCTGTGGCCACAGCTTTCTCTTCCACAAAGACCATGTGTTTGTGGATGTTCGGCTCTGTTCTGAGGACTGGCTTCACCTCTGCGTCTGTGCTGATGCGCTCTGTGTGGCCTTCCTCTAAAGCCTGCGTCTCTGTCACGCTCAGCGGCTGCAGGACGTTCCAGAGCTCCTCCTTCTGCACCAGCGCACGCTGTGGTTTGGTAATGCCCCTGAAAGGTGTTTCTTTGGACAGCGGCTTGGCGCTGGAGCACACAGGGAGCACAGCTAGCGCTCGGGCTTCTATGTGAGCTGCAGCTGAGACTTGTGAGGCCGCGGCCGTCAGCTCACCCTCGCGCTCCGCCGTTAACATGAGTCGTTCTTCAGAAACCGCTGCGTTCTTCCGAGCACGCTCCAGTCTGTGTGCAGCCGTCTCCCCCTGGGCTGTGGGCTCCTGTAAGAGGCCTTCTTTGGGGAAGACGGCGGCAGAGCTCACACACTGCACGTACTGCTGCGGCCGCTCCTCCTTCTGCACCTGCAGCGCCTCTGTGTCGGCCTTCTCTGTGACTTCCTGTGACGTGTCGCACTGGAGAGTGCTCTGCTCGTCGTGTGTGACTGTGTGTAAGAGCACAGGGCTGCTCCTGGTGCGCGCCTGCTGCTGCTGCGGTGTCTTTGCGCTGAATCTGCCTTCGGCTTCATACATGTGTCGTTCTGCACTTACCTGTAGCTTCAGCAGCTGCTCCTCCTCGCGCTGAACCTCCAGCCTCACTGCTGTCTGCAGGCTCTGCAGCGCTCCCTGCTGCTCCGCCTGGAGGTCACACCTCTCTTCTATGTTAGCAGCAGATTTCAAGTGTAGATCTGAGGCAAGAGCTGCTTTCTCTTGATGTGGTTTGAATATTGTGAATGGTTCCTCTTTGAAGAGTGCGGTGTGAGTGTGGCTCAGTGGTGCAAGCACAGCTTTCGTCTTCTCCGTCTGGATTTGCGGCGTCAGAGGCGTCTGTGCGTCGTCCATCGGCGCCGTGTGACTGTGCGACAGCTGCATCTGCTCTGAGGACTGAGCCGAGTACAAGAGCTTCACTCCCTCTGTGACAGTGAAGCTGGTCTCCTCCTGGGGGCGCTGTAGAGTCTCCACACTCTGGTCTGGGATCAGTAATGCGGTCTGCACCAGTGTCCCGCTCACCGTGTGACGCCGCTCTGTGGTCATTGCGGTGTTCTGCTGGAGCTCTTCTCTAATTGGCTGTGGCTGTGCCAGCTGCACCAGGTCTTCAGAAAGGGCCGACTGAAGGCTGGTCTTCTCCTCCTTTATGACGCTCCCCTCTGTTATCTCTGGGCTCAGGATACGCTCCGAGTGCTGCTCTGTGATCTGCTGCTGCTCCTGGACGGAGCAGACAGAGGCACTTGTGCGCAGCTGTGTCCCCGGCGCCGCGGTGAATGTGTGTAGTCTGGGCGCGCTAGTAGAAACTCGCTCTTGCACGCACAGACACTGCAGGACTGCGGCGTGTTGCGGTAGTGTTTCTTTGTGTAGCGTCGCGGCTAACAAGTCCAGAGCGCCCAGCGTCTGCACCTCCTCGCTCTGCACCACCTGCCGCTCCTCTGTGCTGATGGTGTAGATCATGTGGTCGGAGCGTTCGTTGGATCGTGTTTGACTCGAGAGCGAGATCTTCAGACCGGAGCTTCTCTTCAGCAGCACCAGCAGCTCTGCACAGCAGGACGCCTCGCCGTACGCGTTAGCGGCTCTGCACACGTACGCACCGCTGTCCTCCGCCGCCACACACTGCAGCCGCAGGAAGCCGCTGCCGTCTGCTTTGGTGACGCTCAGACGCAGCGCGCTCGGCTGCAGCAGCACGTTCCCCCTGAACCAGCTGACGTCTGGGAGGGGGTTTCCTGACACCACAAAGGCGAACACGACCTCGGCGCCTTCAGACACCTGTGTGTTCTGAGGCGTGCTAAGGAAGGCGGGCGCTGCCCCCTGTATGTCTAAGTGTGCAGTGCAGGACGCCTGACCGAAGCGGTTGCTGAGCGTACAGGAGTACTGGCCGCTGTGCTCAGGGCGGCTGTGGCGGATCACCAGACTGAACTCCTCTTTGTCGTGGATCAGATCGAACACTGAGGACGCGCTGATGCTGCTGTGGTCGTGGCACCACTGCGCAGTGGGTTTGGGGAAACCTGAGGCGCGCACCGTAAAGGTGACAGTTTCACCAGCGAGCGCGGAGACACGGCGCGACAATGCGGAGAGGAAACTCGGCTTCTCACGCTTTCGGTCTAATGTAGAGCTGAGGCGCTTGGGTTTGGGCCGAGGGTCTGGCCTGTCGGAGATCACTGATGGGAAGAGACAGCGTTAGACTCTGGTCTCACTGTGGGGAAGACTCAGGAACCTGCCAGGGAACTTAAGACCAGGTTAAAGCTGAAGAATAACAACCTGCAACAATAAGACTTAGACCACATTGTGTGTGTGTGTGTGTGTGTGTGTGTGTGTGTGTGTGTGTGTGTGTGTGTGTGTGTGTGTGTGTGTGTGTGTGTGTGTGTGTGTGTGTGTGTGTGTGTGTGTCTATGTGTGCGTATATGTTTACCTTGACCCTCTCCAGTCTGTGATGTCACTTTCGTCTCCAGTTCAGTGACTGTAAAACACAGAGAAACAAGTGAAAACCACGACACAAACTCAGACATGTTTCTCTGCTGCAGGTTAGTCACACCAGCTCCGAAGAGAGAGGACTGGACTGGGACTTGACTGAGACTGAGACCGAGAGAGGACTGCACTGGGACTGGACTGGGACTGGACTGGGACAGAGAGCGTGAGAGGACTGGACTCTCTCTTGCAAAACAAGAATTCTTTCCAAATGTGAAAATTATTCTTCAAGAGTACTGCGAGGAACATTTCTTGTTGTTTTTTAAGTGCTCCATAAATAAAGAGAATGTAAAGAATTTCTACTCGAACCAACGGATTTAGGATTTCTCTATTTGGAATGTCTCTATCCCAGTGTGCTCCTGTCCCTGTCTCCCCAGTCCCCTCTCTCAGCTCGGAGTGTGCTTTGTGACTGGGCATGCTTCTCTCTGTGACACAAGCTCCATAAAGTGCCGTAAAAGTGCCGTAAAGTGATGAAAAAAGAGTTCCTAAAGGAGGTTCCTGAGACATGCAGGTCCAGACCTTGGGGCCCCGAGCTCTGGGCTTTGGTCACACTGAGCATGTGCTCTCTGTTGAGCTGGTTGTGGAGCCAGAGCATTACTGCGGTTCGTTTCGAGAAGCCTTTGTGCCTCAGCAGCTCTGAGGGCACGGGCATCACCGGGCCTGCCCACAGGTCTGCCCACAGGTCATCCTCCAGGCCGGGGAAGAAGAGACAGGAGCTCAGGCCCTGCTCCAGGCTCCAGACCGGCTCAAGGTTCCAGAGCAGCTTGGACTCGGGCTCCGGCTCGGGTTTGGGCTCTGGGGGAGGTCCCCGCTGAGCACTGGCTGAGGCAGGGAGACTTTGGGGGACTGAGTCTGCAGAAATGGGGGTTTCTGACCAGAGGGACGGTCGCAAATCTGAGTGGATAAAGTTAGAAGTCAGTGAGGGCCACACAGGACAGTTACAGAGAGCTACCACCAGGGGGAGACACAGGGAAGTTACAGAGAGCTACCACCAGGGGGAGACACACAATACAGAGAGCTACCACCAGGGGGAGACACACAATACAGAGAGCTACCACCAGGGGGAGACTGTCACAATTATTAATTATGAATATGTTTATTGTGTATCTATGAAGGGCAAATCTAATGTTTTTGTTTACTGATTGTTTGTTTTATTTACAATATTGAGTGCCTCTTATTTGACTCATGTGGGTGTGGTTAATAAATATCCCAGCGCCGCAGCTGTTGTGCGTGATGGTATGAACAGCAGCGTGTCCTAGTTATTTCCACCCCATTTTTTGGTGTTCTTTCCAGTTAATTCTTTAGGTTCACTACGCGGTACTGCTGTCTGGGTTGACTGTCAACAGAGACACACAATACAGGGAGGTACCACAAAGGAGGATACACACAAAACATGGAGGTACCACCAGTGGGAGACACACAGTAATAGACTGCAGTACCAAAAGCTACCACCAGAGCAGATAGTGGGGAGCTCAGACAGTGACACAGTTCAGACACTAGGGGGCAGACAGTGAAGGATGGTAACAGTTTTGTCTGGACAAAGTTCTGATGGGACTGATGGGGACTGATGGAAACTGATGAGGACATGGACGTGATGAAGACATGATGAAGAGGAGAAGCAGATGGAGGTTCTCACACACACAGAGGATTGACCTTGCAGTGTGAGTCTTGCTGAGGCGGAGCTGCTGCCGTTGGCGTTGGCTGCTGTGACCCGGTACTCGCCCTGGTCCTCACGCCTCACTGTGACGATGACCAGACCCAGACTGGGACCTGTCCTGAAGCTGTGGACCCGATCGCCATCTGAGGCCACGTCCACTCCGTTATGGTCCCAGTGGAAAGAGTCCACGCCCAGGAACGAGCAGAGGAACCGGGCCTCGTCTCCCTCGCTCACACACACATCCTGGAGCTCCTGGACCAGCTGAGGAGCATCGCTGGAAGACACGACCAGTCCTGAAGAGAAGGACTCACGGGACGAGCTCTGGAGGTTTGTGGAGGAGCTCTGGAGGTCTGTGGAGAAGCTCTGGAGGTCTGTGGAGGAGCTCTGGAGGTCTGTGGAAGAGCTCTGGAGGTCTGTGGAGGAGCTCTGGAGGTCTGTGGAGGAGCTCTGGAGGTCTGTGGAGGAGCTCTGGAGGTCTGTGGAGGAGCTCTGGAGGTCCGTGGCTTCACGGAAAGAGCTTTGAAAGATACTAGTCTGGTGAGAGGCTTCAGACGTCTGCTCAGTGCGTTCCACAGAGAAGGAACTGCAGCTCTGAGTGACTTCATAAGAGCTCTGGAAGTCTATGGACACCTGGGGGAAGCCCTGAGGGACTGTGCTCGGCAGGTCCCTGGTTCCTTGGATAAAGCTTTGAAAGTCCCTGGTTTGCTGGACTTTGCTCTCAGAGGCTGCAGACGTCACAGAGGAGGAGTGAGTCTGCTCAGAGCGCTCCACAGAGAGGGAACCACAGCTCTGAGTCTGGGACAAGTCAAAAGATCCAGACTGAATCCCAGACGAGACACGAGGGACTGACGGCGATAAGAGACAGAGACACAGGGTTAAAGAAGAGGACGCAGGACACACACTGAGGGACAAGTCTGCTCTCTGTGAGGGACACACACTGAGGGACAAGTCTGCTCTCTGTGAGGGACCCACACTGAGGGACAAGTCTGCTCTCTGTGAGGGACCCACACTGAGGGACAAGTCTGCTCTCTGTGAGGGACCCACACTGAGGGACAAGTCTGCTCTCTGTGAGGGACCCACACTGAGGGACAAGTCTGCTCTCTGTGAGGGACCCACACTGAGGGACAAGTCTGCTCTCTGTGAGGGACCCACACTGAGGGACAAGTCTGCTCTCTGTGAGGGACCCACACTGAGGGACAAGTCTGCTCTCTGTGAGGGACCCACACTGAGGGACAAGTCTGCTCTCTGTGAGGGACCCACACTGAGGGACAAGTCTGCTCTCTGTGAGGGACCCACACTGAGGGACAGGTCTGCTCTCTGTGAGGGACCCACACTGAGGGACAAGTCTGCTCTCTGTGAGGGACCCACAGAGGGACAAGTCTGCTCTCTGTGAGGGACCCACAGAGAGCAGCTGTAACCACAGACCAGAGGGTAAGACAGGACAGTGGCACAACACATAGACCCAGATCAGAGTCTTCTGTTTAGGTCTGGATCAGGTCAAAACCAGGTCAAAACCAGGTCTGACCAGTTCTGGACCAGGTCCTCATGGTGCTCATGGCGCATGGTCCATTTCCTTCTGATAAAAAGCAAAAACAAACAAAGATCCAAAGAAAGATGTTTCTGTTAAACCATAAAAAAGACGTCTAAAATACTACCTGGCCAGTCTAACCTGGACTAAAGCAGACTGAAGAAGTCTAACCTGGACTAAAGCAGACTGAAGAGGTCTGACCTGGACTAGAGCAGACTGAAGAGGTCTGACCTGGACTAGAGCAGACTGAAGAGGTCTGACCTGGACAAGAGCAGACTGAAGAGGTCTGACCTGGACTAGAGCAGACTGAAGAGGTCTGACCTGGACTAGAGCAGACTGAAGAGGTCTGACCTGGACTAGAGCAGACTGAAGAGGTCTGACCTGGACAAGAGCAGACTGCAGAAGTCTAACCTGGACTAAAGCAGACTGAAGAGGTCTGACCTGGACTAGAGCAGACTGAAGAGGTCTGACCTGGACAAGAGCAGACTGAAGAGGTCTGACCTGGACTAGAGCAGACTGAAGAGGTCTGACCTGGACAAGAGCAGACTGAAGAGGTCTGACCTGGACAAGAGCAGACTGAAGAGGTCTGACCTGGACTAGAGCAGTTTGTGTCTTGAGTCAGAGCTCTTCAGTCTGACAGAGGTCGCAGCTGTGAGGACCTACAGCAGGTCTGGACCAGGTTTGCTTCTGCTCTAGATTACTTCTGAACTCTGAGGTCTGGAGCAGATCTACAGGTCCATCTGGACTCACCATCGATGTTGAGCGTGGCGGCGGAGGTCACGACCCCAGCAGGGTTGGAGATCACGCAGGAGAACTCGCCCTCGTGCTCCAGCTTCACTTTGGACAAACTCAGGTAGAACGTCTCTCCAGAGCGAGACATGTGGACATCTGAGGTCTCCTGCAGCTCCCGGGCATCCAGGAACCAGGAGACAGAGAGGTCTGAGGACAGAGACACCAGTGAGAGCCAGGAGACACCAGTGAGAACCAGGAGACAGAGAGGTCTGAGGACAGAGACACCAGTGAGAACCAGGAGACAGAGAGGTCTGAGGACAGAGACACCAGTGAGAGCCAGGAGACACCAGTGAGAACCAGGAGACACAGAGGTCTGAGGACAGAGACACCAGTGAGAGGCAGGAGACACCAGTGAGAACCAGGAGACAGAGAGGTCTGAGGACAGAGACACCAGTGAGAGGCAGGAGACACCAGTGAGAACCAGGAGACAGAGAGGTCTGAGGACAGAGACACCAGTGAGAGCCAGGAGACACCAGTGAGAACCAGGAGACAGAGAGGTCTGAGGACAGAGACACCAGTGAGAGCCAGGAGACACCAGTGAGAACCAGGAGACAGAGAGGTCTGAGGACAGAGACACCAGTGAGAACCAGGAGACAGAGAGGTCTGAGGACAGAGACACCAGTGAGAGCCAGAGAGAGGTCTGAGGGGAGATATGGCTTAGAGCAGGTCTCAGGTACTGACCGTCTCCAAACGCGGCGCACTGGAAGTTTGCAGTTCTTCCTTCTGCCACCAGGACGTCTCTGAGAGGAACCAGGAGAGAAGGAGGAGACACACGGGACACCTCGGCCTGGATCGGTACTGAAACAATAGAGAGAGACGGTACTGAAACAACAGAGAGAGACGGTACTGAAACAACAGAGAGAGACGGTACTGAAACAACAGAGAGAGACGGTACTGAAACAACAGAGAGAGACGGTCCTGAAACAACAGAGAGAGACGGTACTGAAACAACAGAGAGAGACAGTACTGAAACAAGAGAGAGAGACGTACTGAAACAACAGAGAGAGACGGTACTGAAACAACAGAGAGAGACGTACTGAAACAACAGAGAGAGACGGTACTGAAACAACAGAGAGAGACGGTACTGAAACAACAGAGAGAGACGGTATTGAAACAACAGAGAGAGACGGTACTGAAACAACAGAGAGAGACGGTACTGAAACAACAGAGAGAGACGGTACTGAAACAACAGAGAGAGACGGTACTGAAACAACAGAGAGAGACGGTACTGAAACAACAGAGAGAGACGGTACTGAAACAACAGAGAGAGACTGTACTGAAACAAGAGAGAGAGACGGTACTGAAACAAGAGAGAGAGACGGTACTGAAACAACAGAGAGAGACGTACTGAAACAACAGAGAGAGACGTACTGAAACAACAGAGAGAGACGGTACTGAAACAACAGAGAGAGACGTACTGAAACAGCAGAGAGAGACGTACTGAAACAACAGAGAGAGACGGTACTGAAACAACAGAGAGAGACGGTACTGAAACAACAGAGAGAGACGGTAACTGAAACAACAACAGAGAGAGACGGTACTGAAACAACAGAGAGAGAAGTACTGAAACAAAGAGAGAGAGACAGAGAGGTACTGAAACAACAGAGAGAGAGACTGAAACAACAGAGAGAGACGGTACTGAAAAACAACAGAGAGAGAGACGGTACTGAAACAACAGAGAGAGACGGTACTGAAACAACAGAGAGAGACGGTACTGAAACAACAGAGAGAACGGTACTGAAACAACAGAGAGAGACGGTACTGAAACAACAGAGAGAGACGGTACTGAAACAACAGAGAGAGACGGTACTGAAACAAAAGAGACAGACTGAAGTTCGGAATATTATGTTTGTAGGAAGTTTATAATGTGTTTATTATATTGAAATGAAGTGAGTGTAGGATATGATTATTATGTGATGTGTAGTATATTAAAATAAGTTGTGAAGGGAATGAATAATAAGTGTATAGGTATTTATTTTGTTGTTAGGTAGGGGGTTTATAATTTTTAGGGTAGGTTTATTGGGTGTTTTAGGTATTTTATATGTGTTTAGTAGGTTTATTATTTTTAGTAGGTTTATATTTGTGTTAGTAGGATAGTATTTTGATAGTATTTATTATTTGGTTATTATTTTATTTTGTAGTATTTATGATTTTTAGTTAGTTTATTATTTTTTAGGTGGTTTAATTAGTTTGGGGTTGTAGGGGTTTGGTTTTTGTTTGTTGTTGTGAAAATTTAGATTGTTGTAGTAGGGTTTTTGGTATTTTGTTAGGTTGTTTTTTGGTTTGTAGGGTTGGATTTTATTATGTAATTGTGGGTTGTGATGGTATTTTTATGGTGGTTTGGGTTTGGGTTTGTGGTGGGTGGTGGTGGTTGGTGTGTTGGGTTGATGGTGAGGATGGTTGTTGGTGTGGTGTTTTGGGGGTTGTGGGTGGTGGGTTGGTTGGGGTGGTTGGGGTTGTGGGTGTGTGTTGGGGGGTGGTGGGGTGGTGGGGTGGGTGTGGGTTTGTGGGGGTGTTGGTGGGGGTGTGGTGTGGTGTGGGGGGGGTTGTGTGGGGTGTGTGTGGTGGTTGGTTGGTGGGTGTTTTTGTTTGTGGGTGGTTTTTGTTGGTGTTGGTTGGTGTTTGTTTTAGTTGGTTTTTGTGGTTTGTAGTAGTTTTTTATTTTTTAGTAGTTATTATTTGGGTTGTAGTTAGTTTTATTATTTTTAGTAGGGGGTTATTATTTTGGTTAGGTTGAAACAACAGAGAGAGACGGTACTGAAACAACAGAGAGAGACGGTACTGAAACAACAGAGAGAGACGGTACTGAAACTGAAACAACAGAGAGAGACGGTACTGAAACAACAGAGAGAGAGACTGACGACGTACTGAAACAACAGAGAGAGAGTAGAGACGGTACTGAAACAACAGAGAGAGACGGTACTGAAACAACAGAGAGAGACGGTACTGAAACAACAGAGAGAGACGGTACTGAAACAACAGAGAGAGACGGTACTGAAACAACAAGAGAGAGAGACGGTACTGAAACAGCAGAGAGAGACGTACTGAAACAACAGAGAGAGACGGTACTGAAACAACAGAGAGAGACTGTACTGAAACAAGAGAGAGAGACGGTACTGAAACAACAGAGAGAGACAGTACTGAAACAACAGAGAGAGACGGTACTGAAACAACAGAGAGAGACGGTACTGAAACAACAGAGAGAGACGTACTGAAACAACAGAGAGAGACGGTACTGAAACAACAGAGAGAGACGGTACTGAAACAACAGAGAGAGACGGTACTGAAACAACAGAGAGAGACTGTACTGAAACAACAGAGAGAGACGGTACTGAAACAACAGAAAGAGACGGTACTGAAACAACAGAGAGAGACGGTACTGAAACAACAGAGAGAGACGTACTGAAACAAGAGAGAGAGACGTACTGAAACCACAGAGAGAGACGTACTGAAACAACAGAGAGAGACGGTACTGAAACAACAGAGAGAGACGGTACTGAAACAACAGAGAGAGACGGTACTGAAACAACAGAGAGAGACGGTACTGAAACAACAGAGAGAGACGGTACTGAAACAACAGAGAGAGACGGTACTGAAACAACAGAGAGAGACGGTACTGAAACAAGAGAGAGAGACGGTACTGAAACAGCAGAGAGAGACGTACTGAAACAACAGAGAGAGACGGTACTAAAACAACAGAGAGAGACGGTCCTGAAACAACAGAGAGAGACGGTACTGAAACAACAGAGAGAGACGTACTGAAACAGCAGAGAGAGACGTACTGAAACAACAGAGAGAGACGGTACTGAAACAACAGAGAGAGACGGTCCTGAAACAACAGAGAGAGACGGTACTGAAACAACAGAGAGAGACGGTACTGAAACAACAGAGAGAGACGGTACTGAAACAACAGAGAGAGACTGTACTGAAACAACAGAGAGAGACGGTACTGAAACAACAGAGAGAGACGGTACTGAAACAAGAGAGAGAGACGGTACTGAAACAGCAGAGAGAGACGTACTGAAACAACAGAGAGAGACGGTACTAAAACAACAGAGAGAGACGGTCCTGAAACAACAGAGAGAGACGGTACTGAAACAACAGAGAGAGACGTACTGAAACAGCAGAGAGAGACGTACTGAAACAACAGAGAGAGACGGTACTGAAACAACAGAGAGAGACGGTCCTGAAACAACAGAGAGAGACGGTACTGAAACAACAGAGAGAGACGTACTGAAACAACAGAGAGAGACGTACTGAAACAACAGAGAGAGACGGTACTGAAACAGCAGAGAGAGACGTACTGAAACAAGAGAGAGAGACGGTACTGAAACAACAGAGAGAGACGTACTGAAACAACAGAGAGAGACGTACTGAAACAACAGAGAGAGACGGTACTGAAACAGCAGAGAGAGACGTACTGAAACAACAGAGAGAGACGGTACTGAAACAACAGAGAGAGACGGTACTGAAACAACAGAGAGAGACGGTACTGAAACAACAGAGAGAGACGGTACTGAAACAACAGAGAGAGACGGTACTGAAACAACAGAGAGAGACGGTACTGAAACAAGAGAGAGAGACGGTACTGAAACAGCAGAGAGAGACGTACTGAAACAACAGAGAGAGACGGTACTAAAACAACAGAGAGAGACGGTCCTGAAACAACAGAGAGAGACGGTACTGAAACAACAGAGAGAGACGTACTGAAACAACAGAGAGAGACGGTACTGAAACAACAGAGAGAGACGTACTGAAACAACAGAGAGAGACGGTACTGAAACAACAGAGAGAGACTGTACTGAAACAACAGAGAGAGACGGTACTGAAACAACAGAGAGAGACGGTCCTGAAACAACAGAGAGAGACGGTACTGAAACAACAGAGAGAGACGTACTGAAACAACAGAGAGAGACGTACTGAAACAACAGAGAGAGACGGTACTGAAACAGCAGAGAGAGACGTACTGAAACAAGAGAGAGAGACGGTACTGAAACAGCAGAGAGAGACGTACTGAAACAACAGAGAGAGACGGTACTGAAACAACAGAGAGAGAGACGGTACTGAAACAACAGAGAGAGACGGTACTGAAACAACAGAGAGAGACGGTACTGAAACAACAGAGAGAGACGTACTGAAACAACAGAGAGAGACGTACTGAAACAACAGAGAGAGACGGTACTGAAACAACAGAGAGAGACGGTACTGAAACAACAGAGAGAGACGGTACTGAAACAAGCGAGAGAGACGGTACTGAAACAACAGAGAGAGACGGTACTGAAACAACAGAGAGAGACGGTACTGAAACAAGACATAAATACAGTCCGAACATCTCCGGAGGTGGAGAACTTTCACACTGTATAGAGACAGTCAGGAGCTCCAACAGGACCTCCAGCTGTACATACCTGTGTGTGTGTGTGTGTGTGTCACCTGTCTGTGTGTGTGTGTCACCCGTGTGTCTGTGTGTGTCTCTGTGTGTGTGTGTGTGTTGTGTGTGTGTTATATACCTGTCACGTTCAGCATGGCGGTGCTAGAGACCTCTCCGGACTCGTTTGTGGCCTCTGCGCTGTAGATGCCGCTGTCTTCCGGGGTCACGTCCAGCAGCAGCAGAGTGTGTTCGTCTGCGTCGTGCATGAACTTGACTTTGTTGGAAACTTCCAAAGAACATCCTTCTCTGAACCATGCGACCTGCGGCGGCGGCAGACCAGACACCTGCACCGAGAAGCGGATCGGCTTCCCCACCGTGACGTCCAGAGGGGTCATGTGACGCAGGATCTGAGGAGGCTCAGGCACTGAGGGGGAAAGAGGGGAGAGGACTGAGCCAGGACTGAACCAGGACTGAACAGGACTGAACCTGGGCTAAAACAAGTCTAAACTAGGTCTGAAGCAGGACCAAACCAGGTCTAAACCAGGTCTAAACCAGGTCTAAACCAGATCTAAAGCAGGCCTAACACTAGGTCTAAACCTAAACTAGGACTAAACCAGGACTACCCAGACCGGTCCTTACGCCTGACTTGCAGCTGCAGCTCGCGGCTGTTGCGTCCGGCGTAGAAGGTGTAGACTCCGGCGTCGCTGCGGTACGTCTCGCTGATGGTCAGGCGGTGCAGTCTGCGGATGGTGACGTAACTGAAACGTTCTTCTGTCGCAAAGTTGATCAGGACGCCGTTCCTCGCCCAGCGACCTTCCACCTCGTCCTCAGACACCTCCAGTTCAAAGGTCGCCCTCTGCTTCTCCACCACCTGAGGGTACACAACGTCACTCATATACACACACATCATATCGCAATCTTTTATTTAGTACACTGTTGTCCATAGCTTATATTTATCATTCAACAAGAGGCAACCTACAAACACACACACAAACACACACACACAGACACACACACACACACACACACACAGACACACACACAGACACACGCACACACACACACACAGTCACACGCACACACAGACACATATAGACACACACAGACACACACACACAGTCACACACACTAGAGCTGCAACTAACGATTATTTTGTAATCGATTAATCTATCGATTATTTTTACGATTAATCGAGTAATTGCTTGGCTGTGAATTGTGTAGAAAAAAATTATTTTTTCATCACAAAAAGCTAAAGTGGCAACACTCGAGGACGTATTGTACTTAAAGTAAATGTTTGTAACTGGCTCTTTGTGCTAATTCTGCTCTGATTGGATGAGACAGACAGATATTCATGAAATTATAAAAACAAAGTCGGTTTTAATCAAAAATACTACATTTTCATGTCATTTTTGCTCTGTTTGAGTCCGTGTGAACCAGAAAACGATTAATTGATTACTAAAATAGTTGTCGACTATTTCAATAATCGATTAGTCGTCGATTAATCGATTAGTTGTTTCAGCCCTAACACACACACACAGACACACACACACACACACTCTCTCTCACACACACACAGAGACACATTCTCTCACACACACACACACACACACACACACACACACACACACATACACTCACACACACACACAGACACATATAGACACACACAGACACACACACACACACAGTCACACACACACACACACACACACACACACACACACACACACACACTCACACACACACTCACACACACATAGACACACACACTCTCTCACACACACACAGACACACACACACACTCTCTCTCACACAAAGACACACACAGACACACACACACTCTCTCACACACACACACACACAGACACAGACACAGACACACACACACACACACACACACACACACAGACACACACACAGACACACACACTCACCGTCACTTCACTGCTCCGGGGCTCAGAGATCTTCACGTCCCGTCCTTCCACGTTCAGCTGAGCTTTACTCAGACTGGCTCCAGCGACTGCAGTGTATTCTCCAGAGTCTGAGAGTCTGACCGAGGGCACGACCAGACGGTGCACCAGGCGGTCTGAGCTCATCTTATACCTGAGAGGACCACACAACCACTGAGCCAGGCGGAAGCAGGACTAAAGCAGGACTAAAGTAACGCTAAAGCAGGACTAAAGCAGGACAAAAGCAGGCCTAAAGCAGGTCTAAAGCAGGACAAAAGTAACGCTAAAGCAGGTCTAAAGCAGGTCTAAAGCAGGTCTAAAGCAGGTCTAAAGCAGGTCTAAAGCAGGACTAAAGCAGGTCTAAAGCAGGACTAAAGCAGGTCTAAAGCAGGACTAAAGCAGGTCTAAAGCAGGACTAAAGCAGGACTAAAGCAGGTCTAAAGCAGGACTAAAGCAGGTCTAAAGCAGGTCTAAAGCAGGTCTAAAGCAGGTCTAAAGCAGGTCTAAAGCAGGACTAAACTGGTCCCAACCTGTCGGACACCTCCAGCTCCTGTCCGTCCTTCATCCACATGACCTGAATGTTTGGTTCGTTGACTTCACACTCGAATGTTGCTCGTTTCTTTTCTGTGATTTTCAAATCCTTCAGCGGTTTCGTGAACTCCACCACACGAGCTGCAACACACAGGCTTTAGGACCAGACCAGGACCAGGACCGGTCTGGTCTGGTCCTGGTCTCTGTCCTGGTCTCAGTCCTGGTCTCTGTCCTGGTCTCAGTCCTGGTCTCAGTCCTGGTCTCTGTCCTGGTCTCTGTCCTGGTCTCTGTCCTGGTCTCTGTCCTGGTCTCTGTCCTGGTCTCTGTCCTGGTCTCTGTCCTGGTCTCTGTCCTGGTCTCGGTCTCTGTCCTGCTCTCAGTCCTGCTCTCAGTCCTGGTCTCAGTCCTGGTCTCAGTCCTGGTCTCAGTCCTGGTCTCAGTCCTGGTCTCAGTCCTGGTCTCAGTCCTGGTCTCAGTCCTGGTCTCAGTCCTGGTCTCAGTCCTGGTCTCAGTCCTGGTCTCCGTCTCGGTCTCAGTCTCGGTCTCAGTCCTGCTCTCTGTCCTGGTCTCAGTCCTGGTCTCAGTCCTGGTCTCAGTCCTGGTCTCAGTCCTGGTCTCAGTCCTGGTCTCAGTCCTGGTCTCAGTCCTGGTCTCAGTCCTGGTCTCAGTCCTGGTCTCCGTCTCGGTCTCAGTCTCGGTCTCAGTCCTGCTCTCTGTCCTGGTCTCAGTCCTGGTCTCAGTCCTGGTCTCAGTCCTGGTCTCAGTCCTGGTCTCAGTCCTGGTCTCAGTCCTGGTCTCAGTCCTGGTCTCAGTCCTGGTCTCAGTCCTGGTCTCAGTCCTGATCTCTGTCCTGGTCTCAGTCCTGATCTCTGTCTCGGTCTCAGTCCTGGTCTCTGTCCTGGTCTCTGTCCTGGTCTCTGTCCTGGTCTCTGTCCTGGTCTCTGTCCTGGTCTCTGTCCTGGTCTCTGTCCTGGTCTCAGTCCTGGTCTCAGTCCTGGTCTCAGTCCTGGTCTCAGTCCTGGTCTCAGTCCTGATCTCTGTCCTGGTCTCAGTCCTGATCTCTGTCTCGGTCTCAGTCCTGGTCTCAGTCCTGGTCTCTGTCCTGGTCTCTGTCCTGGTCTCGGTCTCTGTCCTGGTCTCTGTCCTGGTCTCTGTCCTGGTCTCAGTCCTGGTCTCAGTCCTGGTCTCAGTCCTGGTCTCAGTCCTGGTCTCAGTCCTGGTCTCAGTCCTGGTCTCAGTCCTGGTCTCAGTCCTGGTCTCAGTCCTGGTCTCAGTCCTGATCTCTGTCCTGGTCTCAGTCCTGATCTCTGTCTCGGTCTCAGTCCTGGTCTCAGTCCTGGTCTCTGTCCTGGTCTCTGTCCTGGTCTCGGTCTGTCTGTCCTGGTCTCTGTCCTGGTCTCTGTCCTGGTCTCTGTCCTGGTCTCTGTCCTGGTCTCAGTCCTGGTCTCAGTCCTGGTCTCAGTCCTGGTCTCAGTCCTGGTCTCAGTCCATCTGGTCTCAGTCCTGGTCTCAGTCCTGGTCTCAGTCCTGGTCTCAGTCCTGGTCTCAGTCCTGATCTCTGTCTCGGTCTCAGTCCTGGTCTCAGTCCTGGTCTCAGTCCTGGTCTCAGTCCTGGTCTCAGTCCTGGTCTCAGTCCTGGTCTCAGTCCTGGTCTCAGTCCTGGTCTCAGTCCTGATCTCTGTCTCGGTCTCAGTCCTGGTCTCAGTCCTGCTCTCAGTCCTGGTCTCAGTCCTGGTCTCAGTCCTGGTCTCAGTCCTGGTCTCAGTCCTGGTCTCAGTCCTGGTCTCAGTCCTGATCTCTGTCCTGGTCTCAGTCCTGATCTCTGTCTCGGTCTCAGTCCTGGTCTCAGTCCTGGTCTCAGTCCTGGTCTCAGTCCTGGTCTCTGTCCTGGTCTCAGTCCTGGTCTCAGTCCTGGTCTCAGTCCTGGTCTCTGTCCTGGTCTCTGTCCTGGTCTCAGTCCTGGTCTCAGTCCTGATCTCTGTCTCGGTCTCAGTCCTGGTCTCAGTCCTGGTCTCTGTCCTGGTCTCTGTCCTGGTCTCGGTCTCTGTCCTGGTCTCTGTCCTGGTCTCTGTCCTGGTCTCAGTCCTGGTCTCAGTCCTGGTCTCAGTCCTGGTCTCAGTCCTGGTCTCAGTCCTGGTCTCAGTCCTGGTCTCAGTCCTGGTCTCAGTCCTGGTCTCAGTCCTGGTCTCAGTCCTGATCTCTGTCCTGGTCTCAGTCCTGATCTCTGTCTCGGTCTCAGTCCTGGTCTCAGTCCTGGTCTCTGTCCTGGTCTCTGTCCTGGTCTCGGTCTCTGTCCTGGTCTCTGTCCTGGTCTCTGTCCTGGTCTCTGTCCTGGTCTCAGTCCTGGTCTCAGTCCTGGTCTCAGTCCTGGTCTCAGTCCTGGTCTCAGTCCTGGTCTCAGTCCTGGTCTCAGTCCTGGTCTCAGTCCTGGTCTCAGTCCTGATCTCTGTCTCGGTCTCAGTCCTGGTCTCAGTCCTGGTCTCAGTCCTGGTCTCAGTCCTGGTCTCAGTCCTGGTCTCAGTCCTGGTCTCAGTCCTGATCTCTGTCTCGGTCTCAGTCCTGGTCTCAGTCCTGCTCTCAGTCCTGGTCTCAGTCCTGGTCTCTGTCCTGGTCTCTGTCCTGGTCTCTGTCCTGGTCTCTGTCCTGGTCTCAGTCCTGGTCTCAGTCCTGGTCTCAGTCCTGGTCTCAGTCCTGGTCTCAGTCCTGGTCTCAGTCCTGGTCTCAGTCCTGATCTCTGTCTCGGTCTCAGTCCTGGTCTCAGTCCTGGTCTCAGTCCTGGTCTCAGTCCTGGTCTCAGTCCTGGTCTCAGTCCTGATCTCTGTCTCGGTCTCAGTCCTGGTCTCAGTCCTGCTCTCAGTCCTGGTCTCAGTCCTGGTCTCAGTCCTGGTCTCAGTCCTGGTCTCAGTCCTGGTCTCAGTCCTGGTCTCAGTCCTGATCTCTGTCCTGGTCTCAGTCCTGATCTCTGTCTCGGTCTCAGTCCTGGTCTCAGTCCTGGTCTCAGTCCTGGTCTCAGTCCTGGTCTCTGTCCTGGTCTCAGTCCTGGTCTCAGTCCTGGTCTCAGTCCTGGTCTCAGTCCTGGTCTCAGTCCTGGTCTCTGTCCTGGTCTCTGTCCTGGTCTCAGTCCTGGTCTCAGTCCTGGTCTCAGTCCTGGTCTCTGTCCTGGTCTCAGTCCTGGTCTCAGTCCTGGTCTCAGTCCTGGTCTCAGTCCTGGTCTCAGTCCTGATCTCTGTCTCGGTCTCAGTCCTGGTCTCAGTCCTGCTCTCAGTCCTGGTCTCAGTCCTGGTCTCAGTCCTGGTCTCAGTCCTGGTCTCAGTCCTGGTCTCAGTCCTGGTCTCAGTCCTGATCTCTGTCCTGGTCTCAGTCCTGATCTCTGTCTCGGTCTCAGTCCTGGTCTCAGTCCTGGTCTCAGTCCTGGTCTCAGTCCTGGTCTCTGTCCTGGTCTCAGTCCTGGTCTCAGTCCTGGTCTCAGTCCTGGTCTCTGTCCTGGTCTCTGTCCTGGTCTCAGTCCTGGTCTCAGTCCTGGTCTCAGTCCTGGTCTCTGTCCTGGTCTCAGTCCTGGTCTCTGTCCTGGTCTCTGTCCTGGTCTCTGTCCTGGTCTCAGTCCTGGTCTCAGTCCTGCTCTCAGTCCTGGTCTCAGTCCTGGTCTCAGTCCTGGTCTCAGTCCTGGTCTCAGTCCTGGTCTCAGTCCTGGTCTCAGTCCTGATCTCTGTCCTGGTCTCAGTCCTGATCTCTGTCTCGGTCTCAGTCCTGGTCTCAGTCCTGGTCTCAGTCCTGGTCTCAGTCCTGGTCTCTGTCCTGGTCTCAGTCCTGGTCTCAGTCCTGGTCTCAGTCCTGGTCTCTGTCCTGGTCTCTGTCCTGGTCTCAGTCCTGGTCTCAGTCCTGGTCTCAGTCCTGGTCTCTGTCCTGGTCTCAGTCCTGGTCTCTGTCCTGGTCTCTGTCCTGGTCTCTGTCCTGGTCTCAGTCCTGGTCTCTGTCCTGGTCTCTGTCCTGGTCTCAGTCCTGGTCTCAGTCCTGGTCTCAGTCCTGGTCTCTGTCCTGGTCTCAGTCCTGGTCTCTGTCCTGGTCTCTGTCCTGGTCTCTGTCCTGGTCTCAGTCCTGGTCTCAGTCCTGCTCTCAGTCCTGGTCTCAGTCCTGGTCTCAGTCCTGGTCTCAGTCCTGGTCTCAGTCCTGGTCTCAGTCCTGGTCTCAGTCCTGATCTCTGTCCTGGTCTCAGTCCTGATCTCTGTCTCGGTCTCAGTCCTGGTCTCAGTCCTGGTCTCAGTCCTGGTCTCAGTCCTGGTCTCTGTCCTGGTCTCAGTCCTGGTCTCAGTCCTGGTCTCAGTCCTGGTCTCTGTCCTGGTCTCTGTCCTGGTCTCAGTCCTGGTCTCAGTCCTGGTCTCAGTCCTGGTCTCTGTCCTGGTCTCAGTCCTGGTCTCTGTCCTGGTCTCTGTCCTGGTCTCTGTCCTGGTCTCAGTCCTGGTCTCAGTCCTGGTCTCAGTCCTGGTCTCAGTCCTGGTCTCTGTCCTGGTCTCAGTCCTGGTCTCAGTCCTGGTCTCAGTCCTGGTCTCAGTCCTGGTCTCAGTCCTGGTCTCAGTCCTGGTCTCAGTCCTGGTCTCTGTCCTGGTCTCAGTCCTGGTCTCTGTCCTGGTCTCTGTCCTGGTCTCTGTCCTGGTCTCTGTCCTGGTCTCTGTCCTGGTCTCTGTCCTGGTCTCAGTCCTGGTCTCAGTCCTGGTCTCAGTCCTGGTCTCAGTCCTGGTCTCAGTCCTGGTCTCAGTCCTGGTCTCAGTCCTGATCTCTGTCTCGGTCTCAGTCCTGGTCTCAGTCCTGGTCTCAGTCCTGGTCTCAGTCCTGGTCTCAGTCCTGGTCTCAGTCCTGATCTCTGTCTCGGTCTCAGTCCTGGTCTCAGTCCTGCTCTCAGTCCTGGTCTCAGTCCTGGTCTCAGTCCTGGTCTCAGTCCTGGTCTCAGTCCTGGTCTCAGTCCTGGTCTCAGTCCTGATCTCTGTCCTGGTCTCAGTCCTGATCTCTGTCTCGGTCTCAGTCCTGGTCTCAGTCCTGGTCTCAGTCCTGGTCTCAGTCCTGGTCTCTGTCCTGGTCTCAGTCCTGGTCTCAGTCCTGGTCTCAGTCCTGGTCTCTGTCCTGGTCTCAGTCCTGGTCTCAGTCCTGGTCTCAGTCCTGGTCTCAGTCCTGGGTCTCTGTCCTGGTCTCAGTCCTGGTCTCTGTCCTGGTCTCTGTCCTGGTCTCTGTCCTGGTCTCAGTCCTGGTCTCAGTCCTGGTCTCAGTCCTGGTCTCAGTCCTGGTCTCAGTCCTGGTCTCAGTCCTGGTCTCAGTCCTGGTCTCAGTCCTGGTCTCAGTCCTGATCTCTGTCCTGGTCTCAGTCCTGATCTCTGTCTCGGTCTCAGTCCTGGTCTCAGTCCTGGTCTCAGTCCTGGTCTCAGTCCTGGTCTCTGTCCTGGTCTCAGTCCTGGTCTCAGTCCTGGTCTCAGTCCTGGTCTCAGTCCTGGTCTCAGTCCTGGTCTCGTCCTGGTCTCAGTCTGGTCTCAGTCCTGGTCTCGTCCTGGTCTCAGTCCTGGTCTCTGTCCTGGTCTCAGTCCTGGTCTCTGTCCTGGTCTCAGTCCTGGTCTCTGTCCTGGTCTCTGTCCTGGTCTCTGTCCTGGTCTCAGTCCTGGTCTCAGTCCTGGTCTCAGTCCTGGTCTCAGTCCTGGTCTCAGTCCTGGTCTCAGTCCTGGTCTCAGTCCTGGTCTCAGTCCTGGTCTCAGTCCTGGTCTCACCCTCCACGTGGAGCTTGGCGCTGCTCCTGGCTGACCCGGCACAGAAGGTGTACTCGGCGTTGTCTCCAAAGTGCACGTTGCGGATGCTGAGGGTGTGCAGGAGCTGTTTGCAGCGGACCTGGCAGCGGTCCGTGGAGCGGATCTCCACGCCGTTCTTCAGCCACGAGTACGCCACGTTCTCCACGTTCACCGCCACCTCCATCGTCACGCTGTCTTTGGCCTGAGCGTGTATGTCGCTGAGGGGCTGGGTGACCTCCACGGCTGGGGGGAGAGAGAGGGGAGAGGGTGAGGAGCTGAGGGGACAGAGAGGAGAGATACAGCAGCTCTAAAGTATCTCTAAAGTATCTCTGAAGTATCTTTAAAGTATCTCTGAAGTATCTCTAAAGTATCTCTGAAGCATCTCTAAAGTATCTCTAAAGTATCTCTAAAGTATCTCTGAAGTATCTCTAAAGTATCTCTAAAGTATCTCTAAAGTATCTCTGAAGTATCTCTAAAGTATCTTTAAAGTATCTCTGAAGTATCTCTGAAGTATCTCTAAAGTATTTCTAAAGCAGCTCTAAAGTATCTCTAAAGTATCTCTGAAGTATCTCTAAAGTATCTCTGAAGCATCTCTAAAGCATCTCTTAAGTATCTCTAAAGTATCTCTGAAGTATCTCTAAAGTATCTCTAAAGTATCTTTAAAGTATCTCTGAAGTATCTCTGAAGTATCTCTGAAGTATTTCTAAAGCAGCTCTAAAGTATCTCTAAAGTATCTCTGAAGCATCTCTAAAGTATCTCTGAAGTATCTCTGAAGTATCTCTAAAGTATTTCTAAAGCAGCTCTAAAGTATCTCTGAAGTATCTCTAAAGTACCTCTAAAGTAGCCTGGTCGTACCACACCATAGTACAAATTTCATTTCATACTAAGGTCTGGATTTGCTGCATTGACTCCGTGAACAGGTGGGAGGGGTTAACTCCTTTTGCAGATTGAAACGATTGGATCTGAGTTTACTGTGACGGATGTAGTGCGCCCGAGTCCGTTGTTAGCATTTAGCATTTAGCCTAGCTTTAGCCATCTCCTTTGCCGCTAACGGAGCCCGTGGGGAGTAGCGCCACAATTTTGACCAGCGTTTACATTTGCTAAACATTCCTCTTGCTCCTGCTTCAATTTCTTGATAGAACCAGACCGGATTACTTTACTGTCGCATTCTTCGCCATTACTACAACCTGCCCGTTCGACACAAACTCTTGACGTCACCGGCACCGACCTTCAACACGCTCTCTGATTGGTCGGTCGAAATACGACCGATTGTATTCGCTAACACATGGACCAGACCCAGACGCTACATGCAGGAAATGATGATTGCGCGGAGAGTACGGATGGATATGGCCAGGCTACCTCTAAAGTATCTCTAAAGTATCTCTAAAGCAGCTCTGAAATATCTCTTAAGTATCTCTAAAGTATCTCTAAAGTATCTCTAAAGTATGTCTAAAGTATATCTTAAGTATCTCTAAAGTATCTCTAAAGTATCTCTAAAGAATGTCTAAAGTATGTCTAAAGTATCTCTAAAGTATCTCTAAAGTATTTCTAAAGCAGCTCTAAAGCATCTCTAAAGTATCTCTAAAGTATTTCTAAAGCAGCTCTAAAGTATCTAAAGTATCTCTAAAGTATCTCTAAAGTATTTCTAAAGCAGCTCTAAAGCATCTCTAAAGTGTCTCTAAAGTATCTCTAAAGTATTTCTAAAGCAGCTCTAAAGTATCTCTGAAGTATCTCTAAAGTATCTCTGAAGTATCTCTAAAGTATCTCTAAAGTATCTCTAAAGTATTTCTAAAGCAGCTCTGAAGTATCTCTTAAGTATCTCTAAAGTATCTCTAAAGTATGTCTACAGTATGTCTAAAGTATCTCTTAAGTATCTCTAAAGTATCTCTAAAGTATTTCTAAAGTATCTCTAAAGTATGTCTAAAGTATCTCTAAAGTATGTCTAAAGTATGTCTAAAGTATCTCTAAAGTATCTCTAAAGTATGTCTAAAGTATCTCTAAAGTATGTCTAAAGTATCTCTAAAGTATCTCTAAAGTATGTCTAAAGTATGTCTAAAGTATCTCTAAAGTTTGTCTAAAGTTTGTCTAAAGTATGTCTAAAGTATCTCTAAAGTATGTCTAAAGTATGTCTAAAGTATCTCTAAAGTATGTCTAAAGTATCTCTAAAGTATCTCTAAAGTATCTCTAAAGTATGTCTAAAGTATCTCTAAAGTATCTCTAAAGTAGCTCTAAAGTATCTCTAAAGTATCTCTAAAGTATCTCTAAAGTATGTCTAAAGTATGTCTAAAGTATCTCTTAAGTATCTCTAAAGTATCTCTAAAGTATGTCTAAAGTATGTCTAAAGTATGTCTAAAGTATCTCTGAGGCCGCCCTCACCTTGCACAGACACCGTGGCGCTGACACTGCCTCCTCCGCACACAAAGCTGTACTCTCCCTGGTCGGCTCGGACGGCGTTCATGATCCTCAGGCTGTGGGTTTTCCCGCTGGAGCTGATCCGGAACTTCTCACTGATCTCCAGCTCCGACCCGTTCCTCTTCCAGACCGAGGCCACGTTCAGATGGGAGACCTCCACCTCCAGGACCGCAGACTGGGTCTCAAAGACCTGCACCGACTTGGGAGGACGAGTGACCCGCAGGGCTGAGGAGAGAGGCCAGAGTTAGAGGACTAGAACAGGACTAGAGCAGGACTAAAGCAGGTCTAAAGCAGGACTAAAGCAGGACTAAAGCAGGACAAAAGGAGGACTAAAGCAGGACATAAGGAGGACTAAAGCAGGACTAATGCAGGACTAAAGCAGGACTAAAGCAGGACTAAAGCAGGACAAAAGGAGGACTAAAGCAGGACATAAGGAGGACTAAAGCAGGACTAATGCAGGACTAAAGCAGGACTAAAGCAGGACTAAAGCAGGACAAAAGGAGGACTAAAGCAGGACATAAGGAGGACTAAAGCAGGACTAATGCAGGACTAAAGCAGGACTAAAGCAGGACTAAAGCAGGACTAAAGCAGGTCTAAAGCAGGACTAAAGCAGGTCTAAAGCAGGACTAAAGCAGGTCTAAAGCAGGACTAAAGCAGGACTAAAGCAGGTCTAAAGCAGGACTAAAGCAGGACTAAAGCAGGACTAAAGGAGGACTAAAGGAGGCATTCTCCCACCAAAGTTGTGTTATCTACAGTAGTAGTACTTGTAGCAGTAGTAGCAGCAGTAGTAGTAGTACTTGTAGCAGCAGTAGCAGCAGCAGTAGTAGTAGTTGTAGCAGCAGTAGCAGCAGTAGTAGTAGTACTTGTAGCAGCAGTAGCAGCAGCAGTAGTAGTACTTGAAGCAGTAGTAGTAGCAGCAGTAGTAGTACTTGTAGCAGCAGTAGCAGCAGTTGTAGTACTTGTAGCAGCAGTAGCAGCAGTAGTAGTAGTACTTGTAGCAGCAGTAGCAGCAGCAGTAGTAGTACTTGTAGCAGCAGTAGCAGCAGTAGCAGTACTTGTAGCAGCAGTAGCAGCAGCAGTAGTAGTACTTGAAGCAGTAGTAGCAGCAGTAGTAGTAGTACTTGTAGCAGCAGTAGCAGCAGTAGTAGTAGTACTTGTAGCAGCAGTAGCAGCAGTAGTAGTACTTGTAGCAGCAGTAGCAGCAGCAGTAGTAGTACTTGTAGCAGTAGTAGCAGCAGTAGTAGTAGTACTTGTAGCAGCAGTAGTAGCAGCAGTAGTAGTAGTACTTGTAGCAGCAGTAGCAGCAGTAGTAGTACTTGTAGCAGCAGTAGTAGCAGCAGTAGTAGTACTTGCGGCCTCAGTAACAGTACTCACACTCCACGGTCAGCCTGGCGCTCGCCTGCAGATGCCCGGCCACAGCGGTGTACTCCCCCTCTTTGCTCGTGTCCACGTCCTGCACGGTCAGCTTGTGGGTCTTCTTGTCGGTCATGATCCTGAACGACTCGCTGGACTTGATCTCTGTTTTGTTGAACAGCCATTTCACCGGGATGTCGTCCTCAGACAGCCCCAGCTCGAAGACCGCAGTCCCCCCCAGCAGGGAGGTCACGTCTTTGGGCTTCTTCAGGATGCGGATGGCTGAGGAGAGAGGGTCGGGGTTACAGAGGTCAGAGAGGAGTCAAGAGATCTGTCCTAGCAGCCTCGGTCCTGGGTCTTCAGCCTCAGTCTTGGATCTACAGCCTCAGTCCTGGATCTACAGCCTCAGTCCTGGGTCTACAGCTTTTGTCCTGGATCTACAGCCTCAGTCCTGGGTCTATAGCTTCAGTCTTGGATCTACAGCCTCGGTCCTGGGTCTTCAGCCTCAGTCCTGGATCTACAGCCTCAGTCCTGGGTCTACAGCCTCGGTCCTGGGTCTACAGCCTCAGTCCTGGATCTACAACTTCAGTCCTGGATCTACAACTTCAGTCCTGGATCTACAGCCTCAGTCCTGGGTCTACAGCCTCAGTCCTGGATCTACAGCCTCAGTCCTGGATCTACAACTTCAGTCCTGGATCTACAGCCTCAGTCCTGGGTCTACAGCCTCAGTCCTGGATCTACAGCCTCAGTCCTGGATCTACAGCCTCAGTCCTGGGTCTTCAGCCTCAGTCCTGGATCTACAGCCTCAGTCCGGTCTCACTCACTCTCCACGTTGAGGCGGGCGTTGGCAGACAACTTTCCCAGTTTGAAGGAGTACACGGACTCGTCCTGGGTGGTGCAGTTGCGGATGGTGAGGGTGTGGACGGCTCCCTCGATGCTGAGATGGTACTTGTCGCCGGGGGTGAGCTCCACGCCATTCTTGATCCATTGAGCTCCTCTGACGTCTTCGTGAGTCAGCTCCAAACTGAAGACTGCGTCCTGGGTCTGAACCACGCTCAGGTTCCTGAGAGTCTTCTTCACCTTCACCGCTGCCGAAGAGACCAGAGGTTATAGCAGGTCAAAGGCAGGTCTAAAGCAGGACCAAAGCAGGACTAAAGCAGGTCTAAAGCAGGACTAAAGCAGGACTACAGCAGGTCTAAAGCAGGACTAAAGCAGGACTAAAGCAGGACGAAAGCAGGACTAAAGCAGGACTAAAGCAGGTCTAAAGCAGGACTAAAGCAGGACTAAAGCAGGACTAAAGCAGGACGAAAGCAGGACGAAAGCAGGACTAAAGCAGGTCTAAAGCAGGACTAAAGCAGGACGAAAGCAGGACTAAAGCAGGACTAAAGCAGGATTACAGCAGGTCTAAAGCAGGACTAAAGCAGGACTAAAGCAGGACTAAAGCAGGATTACAGCAGGTCTAAAGCCAGTCTAAAGCAGGACTAAAGCAGGACTAAAGCAGGTCTAAAGCAGGACTAAAGCAGGACTAAAGCAGGACTAAAGCAGGATTAAAGCAGGTCTAAAGCAGGACTAAAGCAGTACTACAGCAGGTCTAAAGCAGGACTAAAGCAGGACTAAAGCAGGTCTAAAGCAGGACTAAAGCAGGACTAAAGCAGTACTACAGCAGGTCTAAAGCAGGACTAAAGCAGGACTAAAGCAGGTCTAAAGCAGGACTAAAGCAGGACTAAAGCAGGACTAAAGCAGTACTACAGCAGGTCTAAAGCTGGTCTGAAGTCAGTCTAAAGCTCGACTAAAGCCGGTCTAAAGCCGGTCTAAAGCCGGTCTAAAGCCGGTCTAAAGCAGGTCTAAAGCAGGAGTAAAGCAGAACTAAAGCAGGACTAAAGCTGATCTAAAGCAGGACTAAAGCAGGTCTAAAGCAGGTCTAAAGCCGGTCTAAAGCAGGTCTAAAGCCGGTCTAAAGCAGGACTAAAGCAAGACTAAAGCAGCTCTAAAGGCTCACCTTCCACTCGCAGCGTGGCCGCGGTCTTGGACGTGGCGACCTGGTAGCAGTACTCTCCGATGTCGGTTGCCTTGGTGATGGAGATGATGAGTTTGCGGACAGCTCCTTTTGTTTGACTCTGGACGTTGTCGCTGAAGTCGACTGGTTGACCGTCTTTGAACCACTGGCCCTCGGACGCGGGGTTCGCCACCTCACACTCCAGCACCGAGGTCTGGGAGTCCGCCACCACCAGGTCCCTCAGAGGCTTCTTTATAGCACCACCTAGAGGAGGAAGGGGGAGGGAGGATATAACAGGAGTTCAGAGACCAGCAGAGAGCAGAGACCAGAGAGATAGTAGAGACCAGAGAGAGACCAGAGAGAGACCAGAGAGAGACCAGAGAGATAGTAGAGACGAGTGAGACCAGAGAGAGACCTGAGAGAGACCAGAGAGAGACTGGATAGAGACCAGAGAGAGACCAGAGAGACAAGAAAGCAGAAAGAGACCAGAGAGATAGTAGAGACCAGAGAGAGACCAGAGAAAGACCGGAGAGAGACCAGAGAGAGACCAGAGAGAGACCAGAGAGAGACCAGAGAGATAGAGAGAGACCAGAGAGAGACCAGGGAGAGACCAGAGAGAGACCAGGGAGAGA